TATTCTTGAAACACGTCTAGAAGCTATATAGACTCCCTTGTACAATTATATCTGATAGAGGCCCCTAGTTTATAAGCTAGTTCTGGAAACACCTGACGACCTACCTAAAGACTAAGAGCCTGCTATCCACTGCCTTTCACCCGGAAACAGATAGATAGACTAAGCGAGCCAATGCTATCCTGGAACAGTACCTCCGAGCCTATATAAACTACCTATAGGACGACTAGGCTAACTAGCTTCCGCTAGCCGAATTCGCCTCTAACTCCGTACGAAGCGAGTCGACTGGCGTCACCCTATTCTTTGCTAATTACGGCTAACACCTAGTCGTTGGATTCGAGCCTGTCCGCCTAAGTAATCACCCTGCCGCCTGCGATATAGAGAGGTTCGCGGCTTATATGGAGGAGATCACGAACTTTATATAAGCCTAGATCCTGGCCACCTAAGCTCGCCACAAAGAATTCGCTAACCATCACCACCAGCCTGCCTAAACATTCACTAAAGGACAGAAAGTCTGGTTAGACGCCCGGAACATCAAGACCCATCGCCCCTAGAAGAAATTAGACTGGAAGAACTTAGGCCCCTTCGAAATCACCGAAGTTCTAAGCCTGTACGCCTGCCGTTTATAGCTTCCCCCTGGAATAATGATCCACCTAGTATTTAACATCTCCTTATTACGCCCTGCCGACGATAACCCGCTTCCCGCGTAGCAACAAGAACCTGCCCCACCTATCGAAGTCGACGGAATCGACGAGTGGGAGGTAGAGGAGATCCTAGACTCCCGCTGGGAGAAACATGGTCGCCGGGGAACACCACGTCTAAAATACGTGGTTAAGTGGACCGGTTACGATGACCTAACTAAAGAGCCTGCTGCTTACCTAGAAAATTGTGGACAGTTAGTGAAGAACTTCCACCTCCGCTACCTGTCTAAGCCAGGTCCTGTCTACGCCTCTACGGAGCTCGGCTCTAAGGAGGGGGATACTGTCACGGTGCCAGCTCAGACGACTACTGATTGATTAGATAGTGCGGGCCACGTGACCCGTAACCTTATGTAAACTCAGAACCTTGTCTGAATGTAGCTCTTCAAGCTATGTCTTCGTCTTAGCCTGTCAGTCAATGCAATACTGTCTGTCTAGTTCTAGTATAATTCTATTCACCTGCCCGCCCCGTGACACTACCTGTTCAATTGGGCCATTCATCTCAGGATGTCCTAGAATTGAATATATTACTATAATACCTTGATCTACTAGAAACCGCTCTATAGTAAGGCCTGTAGCTTTCTTATTATCATAGTAGAATGCTCGAATAGGTAAATTCCACCAGTTTTTCAGGAGTTTAATGAAGTGTCGAATCGCATCATTTATCTAGTTCTTTATATAACAGGTGACGACCTAATAGAAGTGGATTCTATTAACATAAAAATAGCAAATCCAACACTCTTTATTATACACGATTAATATTTAGATCAGGTCTAGAGAGATCTATCCGAATCGACTATACCTATGTCCTAGATGACGTCTAGATATCTGTCTAGGAGCTCTAGTAAGACTATAAACAGAGCATAGGCTCTATATTTGGCTATTTATACAGTCAGTGACTGGTTTAGTTAAGTCTGGTTGATCGCTTAAAACGACTCCGTTAACGAGCTTAGGAAGCTGCTATATAGCATTATGGTGTAAATGACCTAGACGACGATGCCAGAGCTCTGTCGGTGCCTTAGATTCTAGTGGTTTTCTGGAATCCTTGCCCATATATACATGCTTTTCCGCCGAAAAAATCTCGTCGGGTGTCTCTTTGTCTATCTCTTTATCTAAATCTTGTTCAGCTAATGATGGCTCCACGATCAATAAATTTGGGTTATGAATCCTTTAAATGGCTAGGACAGGTGTCCCGTCCCTATTAATAAGATAGTCTTTCGAAGGCACCCAATCGCCTCCTTTATCGTTCAGGGCGTAGTAAGAGAGTAGATTCAATCTAAACTTAGGGCTATAGAGGACATTTGACAGGATGATTGATGTCGATTCCTTGGTTACTAGATAGATCCCTTTAACTTTGTATTATCCTTTACCAAGGGTTTCAACCTCTCCTAATCCTAGTTGAAGGGTATCTCTTCCATACTCGAAATTAACGAATGCACCTAAGTTGTTGCAGACATGCGCACTAGCGCCTATATCTAGCACCTAGCTATCTTTCTGGAGCTCCTGACTAGACTAGGTCAGGAAAGCTGATTTCTATAGAAATATAGAGTCTATAAATACACTAGAGAGGTCTGGAATAGTGTCTAGAGTATCTGAAACTATGTCTAGAATAGTGTTCAGAGTATCTGAAGCTATATCTAGAGTATCTAAGATTGTAGTATTTCGGCCGAGAAACTAGTCTTCGGTAGTGCCTATAAGCTATATACTATTGCTTAAATCAGCAGCATAGGTAGTTTAAGTCGCGAAAAACACTGGTTTTATAGTATAGTTGGCGGTATGGTTTACGGCTATAGATTACCTAGCTGGCTCGGCTAGGGTATTGCTGGTGTTAGTGGATTCTTTCAGTTTAGTATCGATCTACTATTTCCAGCCTAAATCCCCGTCCAGGGCCTGTTTTATCTTCTGTTTCATGCCAGCATTTAGCTTTCTGCTACCTTTACCATTTAAGTTGAAGCACTTATCGACAGGGTAGCTACAACCATATAGGCATGCCCTATCTTTAAATGGTTTTGCTTTCTGCTCCTATAGGAATTGAGCTCTAGCCAGAGCTTTCTTCCCTTGACCAGGGGCACTAGGTTGGCCAGGAGCATAAGGGGCAGGAGCACTGGCTTGGCCAGCTGTTTCCTGGTGTCCTTGGAACGTCGTGAACGCTCCCTTTGAGATGGCTGGCTGCTTTGGTCTTTGATTCTGGTAGGTGGTTTTGAAATGATCTAGAAGGCGACGCATAGAGATCTGCTCGCGATCAACTATAATCTTTCCATGCCAGGACTGCCACCAGTTTGGCAGTATATCCTTTACCAGCTCTAAAAAGAGCCACACAGCATCATCATTCTTGGCAGCTGAGACGCCCTCAACCTCTGCTTCAAGGCGCGAATGCTCCCATTCTTTAAGCCAGGCGCCAATATCGGCGCCAGCTATAGGTGGAGTAACCGCAAAGTTGTGCCAATGGTAGAATACCCTGGCTCTGTTTGTTGACGAGATACCATAGCGGTCATACAAGAATTTAAGTCGCATAAATGGTTCGTCATATTATAAAACAAGACTCTGAACATATGTATCCAAGTGCTTTAGGATATATTCATTCACAGATTCAATTGCTCGCTTCTTGGTTTAGTAGAATAAAAGACGGAACTTGTAATCCTCTACATCGTCCTTCCAGTCCTGTCGTAACCGATCATACTCTTTACGATCCATGTCGAGTTCAAGCATTAGTTTGATCGGGTAGTCGCGTGGTTCTGATCCTAGGACTGGTCGTTCAGTCCTAAGCTCTGGATCGCAGTATTCCCATACATCTCCGCCAGTGGCTACGGCTTTGACTCGCCTATACCACTGCTGCCATTGAGAGGCATCTTTCAGTCTTATATCGCCGGACATCGCGGACACAGTCTTCAGTCTCGTTTACCCTTAAAATATGCTTTTCAAGGTAAATTGTCGGCGAACCGGGCTCATAACTGTCAAATGGAGGTCGACTACCAAGGAATAGTGGATTCTAGTGGGCAAATGAGAACGCAGTATGCGTACCAAAGTGTGTATGTGTATCGATTGTAGAATGGAGGAATCCCATTGTGGGATTCCAATGCTGACTAAAATAGACTAACTGTAAATGGAATTGGGCCTTTGACACGTCCCGGCACTCACGTGGCTGATCCCGCAACCTAGGTTCACTACAGTCGATTTATCAGGTAGCCCTATAAACCTTAATTTTATGAAGTATTCCACACGACGGCAAGCGGAGCGCCGCAAACCGCTGGCGTTCCGCCGCCCCCGACCGCCTGCCTGACTGCGCCGAGTATACAGGCGGCGGGGTGGCAGGGTCGACCCTACCACCCGACGAACTTTTCGTCCTATCGGCCCATAAAAACTCTGCATTTCATTTTTTGTGAGTAATATGATACATCATAATAAGTTTGTCGGGGAGCTAAAAAAAAAAAAAGGTTGTCGGGTAGTGGTAAATAGCCATCTTATGTGGTAATATGCAAGATTTGACTTAGGGTGCTTCAACCCTACCACACCGCCACCTAGCTTCAACTTTCGACAATTTACCAGGAATTTGTAAAATGTTTCTTCCTTCATTCAACAATAAAACAGTCAACTCAATTCAGATTTTGATAATATATATACAATTATTAAAGGAATTCCTAAGAATAACACTTTTGAACTGGTTTTAGGAACTTATTATCATTTTTTGAAGTTTTCATCTTAAATTATGAAATTTCATAACAAAATATCTATATCTTTATATATATATCTGTAGACTGGATCTATTTACATCTTAGTCCTTGCTAATCGATTCCTATCTCTTACCATCTTTTACTGATCTTTACCATTATTTACTAGACTGAAGATTTGGGTATTTGTCTTTTTCGTCTATTTATACTTCTCTACACATATCGCTTGATTTCTAAGGATATGATCTCTGTGAAGGGCTAAAGCTAATCTTAGATTAAGAACTAGCTAGGTCACAAATTGTGTACAAAATCCTTAATGGATGTCAAAGAGTCGGCGTGGAGTCGAGGATGAAGGGTCCCTCTATAAAACACCGCTGGCCCTCTTTTCCTCTCTTGCGCACTCGAGCACCCCCTTCTTCTCGCCCCCACCAACTTCTTCATACCGGACTCAGCCCGACGTACTACCCCTTCCATTTTACCAGAGATGCCGCCCGATCCGTCGCTGAGCCTGTTACAGCCAGCGCTGACTGCAGAGCGATCTAGTTGGTCAAGGACAGAGGTTTTGGGATGATCCAACTTCCGGTCGGTCGCCTCCTATCCTGTATCATGTTACCCAGGAAGTGGTACGATTTACCTGCTACGAAATTGGCTTTATAGCTCTTCCTTGGAACTCCTTGCTCGTCAAGCATCTACTGTCCGTCCTGCCGACCTCCTTAACAGCCATATAGGAGTCATTCTTGCGATTCAGGAGGTAGTTCTGGATTTCAGCTGCTTTGAACGGTCCCTCTGGGACCAAGTTGGCAAATTCGATAGAAAGGTCTCGAATTGTTTCGTTTGCCATGGCTCCAGCCGGCTGGTCCTTGAGCTTGTTGGCTGCGATGCACGATTTGAAGCTAGCGGAACCGTCATTACTGAACGGCATGTAAACAAAAATGTACTTTCGACACAGTGTTTGTCGGTATAGCCAAAGGAATACTCTTTGTCCACCCAGCCAGGGCGGGTCAAAGCAGCATCGAGATTTTCTGGATGCTTGGTTGTCATGATGAGAATCCGCCCCTCCTGTGCTCCAACTCCATCTAAAAAATTCAAAAGGGCTGATAGAGAAACACCACTCTGGAGAGAGTTCTGATTCTCAGAGAATTCCAGCACTTCCTCACTTTTGCTGTCTTCAGGGTGGAGAGGTTGACCAATTTCAGCATTATCGACATCTTCGAGGAGTACTATGCGGCGGCTTGGTAGCTCCTGGAAAAGTTTGTATAAACTGTCATCTTCCATTCTGGATGTATTGAGGCTGAAAGTATAAATGTCCAAGCAGAATAATACGGCAATAACGAAGCACATGCTTGACTTTTCTGTTCCGGGAGGGCCACGAAGCAGATAACCACACCGGTAAGATATTCCGCATGCCCTATACCAGTTTTGTTTTTTTTGGCACGAAAAAGTTTTCAATATCAGAAATGATTTCTTCTTTCATCCTGGAATCAAGAGCCAAAGTAGAAAGCGGACGAGGCTTTGAAGAGCTTAAGGCCCAGCAGAGCATATTTTGAACGTTCAGGCCGCGATAAATCGCGACTTGACTGCTCTTGCATTCGAGATATAATTTTTGCACTTCTTCTAGTAGTTCGGTCAGAACTCCTCTTCTCAAAGTATAAATGGTAATGGTCTCAGCGTCCGTAAGCCAGATGTTGCTGAGACTCGGACGAGGGCTGCGACGGAGGTCAATTAGCCGCCTTTTATCCCAGAAGCGATGTAGCTGCTGTTATCCGGGAGTGTAAAAAATTGGCCAGAAGGAATTTTCCTTTTTCTGGCTCCGCCAAAACAATCCCTTGTCCTTTTCAAATCTCTGCTGCTCCTCAGTGGTATTTCATACTCAATTGTGTCACCTGAGTCGTCGTCTGTCCATGGAGGGGTGAAGCTAGACTTCTTGACCGAAAAATATTGTCGAGAGTTGTTCAACTGGCTATTTTAGAGTGAGCTTTCGAACTTTACTTCAATGGATGCGGCAAACTAAAGGATGCATCGCTGCAAGTAGTCATGGAACAGAGGAACCGCGAATTTGAAAAAGGCAGAAAGGATAATGAAGAAAAGAATATAACTCGAGACATTTGAGACATCAAATTGTAAGTACAGAGACAAAATTCGGGTAAAGAGAGAGAAGCCGGGGATCAGGGTCTCGAGTGCTGATGGTAGCATTTCAGGTAGAGTGTCGCTTGAATGGACGGCCATGATTTTGAGGGAAATAAACCAAGATAATTTGATTTCAGACACGGTGGCAGGTCAAATTTATAGTTAGCAGGATTCAAAGCGCTGACAAGGAGTAGTCTCATGCCGAAATAATGAAAAAGACTAGTCAGATAATATTACCTTTCTATGATCTTTACGGAACCAGTAGGTGGTAAGAATGGAAATGATGGACAGGAACCACCAGAAGATCAAATAAGGAATATACTCAAGAAATGTAATCATCATCATCTAGTATTTTCATTGGTCTCGTCTGCTGCTTTTATCGGTTATCTGAGATTTAGAGTCTTTCAAGCCCAGATTCCCCAAGAATTCTCTCAAATGAGATGTGGCACCTTCTTTTCACACTTTGCACAGATCTGGCAAGGCTGGTTGATCCAATCAACCTTAACACGTAATGGATTTTGAACTCTGTATGGAACATTCATGGTTTTTTGTAACATTGGCATACTGTTGCGACAGCCGAGAAACAAGGCCATCAACAGACGGAAAGTATTTCGGCCGAAAAAGCTTCTGCCAAGACAGTGACTCTGGAACTAGATTAGTATATCACGGCATCCTTGAACGATATGCATTCATCGCAAATGACACCCTTGAGCGATGCGCATTCGCGACAGTAATGTCCCGTCTTCACCGTCTCTTCTGTCTCGGACGAATGTTGACATTCGTCCAGGGCAGAGGGGCACCCATATACTATAAGTAACTAGTTCTTTCATCAATGAAAAAGCAGACTTCACAACAACTGCAATATTCAACTAGTAGGAATCCACTACCAGATCGGTGGATTGTCTACGGTGTTGAGTAGCGGTTCGTTGGAGCTCACTGTTCTCAGTAACGAGCGACTGGCTAGCTACGCTCGCTAAGCGAGCGACACATACCATTACGATCTTTGCAGTTTCTGTACCCCTTGATAACCAGCAACTGGTAATTGCTGTTTGCAAGAGCTAAATATTCATTCGTTTTAGCTAACATGTCTAGAAGTAGAGATACACATACTTTCAGCTGTTTTCACGTATAGGTGATTATACCATTGAACTTCAAGGTTCATCAATCCCTCGTGAAATATCTGGCACATTAGAAGAGATATTGTAGCTCTTATGGCCGTAAATGAACACTCGGCACATGTTGTTATTCCGGATGATATGTTTTAAGCATGAGATCATAATTTTTATCACTAAAAAGGACTTACATATGATATGTAATCAGGGCATGAGAGCTGTCAGTAAGCATCTCTGGGGGAGCTCGAGACCTTTAACTGCAACTTTGAAGCTCAAGCTAAATCCATAGCAGCTTTGATCTACAACATTTGCGTTAATATTGATTCAGTGACTACTTAGGGCCAAGCTGTTCTGTTTAGAAGCTCCAGGAAAGATTCTGCGGTTTTGCTGGCATCATAGCTCAATTCTCTCTTTGAAAAGAAGACCAATTGATCTGCCATCTCCAGTAGGCTCCATTGAAATCAATAGTATTTTCAATTTTCAGTAGGACAATTTTTTTTCTTACTTCAGGCTACCTATTCTGAACAATTCGAGACAATTCCGTTTTCTTTATTTCCTTATTTAAAAGGAAAATAAACAGATTTTTTGCGTAACAGATCTGAGGTGGATAGCAAAAGCGCCATGGTGTTCAACTGCATCAGTAGTGAGCTGATCACGTCAGAATCATTACTCATGTAATTAAACGACGGCCAGAGTTCCACAAATTCCTCAGGAGTAGACCCTACAGTGATAACTATCACTGACCTAGCCTCTTGAAAGAAAATGATGAGTCTTGGAATTTACTCTAGGGATCAATTGATAGCGCTAGCTACAAGCTAGATGTACCCAGATAGCCTATTTAGTATTGAAAAGAGAGATAGACGGGAAAATGCCCGGGCACACATATTCCATTCCTGCCGCATTAGTGTCGAAGCCAGATTTCCGAATGAGGAGTCGAAGCGGGAATTTGTCGTGGCCATCACGCCCTTGTAGCCGGCTGTAAACTAGTTGCATACTTCTCACCAATCCGACAGAAAAAAAACCTCTTTTTTGATACCTACTATTTTGCGTCAACTCTAACAATTCTGCAGATATGGAAGAACTTTTAAGATTAATTTTTTCTGAAGCTTAAATACTGACGAAATAGGATATTTGTGTCTATGCTAGCTTGGCAGTTATTTAAAGGCATATTAGAAGAAGCTAATTGCTTCACATATTTGTCTCGGGATCTACCTATCAAAAAGTCAGAGCGAGACTATGATATGTTCTAAATTTTGTGATTTTCTTTCAAAATACATGTCCTGCCTCTTTCCCCTAGGTAGCTCACACGAGACAGTTCTATTCGGAGGCCCAGAACCCGGTCGAAGTAGTATGCCTGAATCCGTGAGATGTACCACGACTACTTTGTTAGAAGAGCAGTCTGGATTTTTTCCACTTTGGACTCTTGTCCTCTAGTGAAAGTCTCAGCGTTGATTCGCTTACGAGTAAGTTTACTTCTTTTGTGCGTCAATATCGAGCGCTAACCCATGAAGACCGTGAGAGTTCGGTTCTATCACAGTGGACTACAACTCAAGGAAGACATCCGGAAAAAGGGCCTCGACGACGTGATTTTTGATGCCATCACTCTCCACGATCTTACTACTCAGCATCACGCCCAGTACGGCGGTAGAAACGTGAAAGATGCGTCTCTAGTGGACTTTGCAGTGCTAGAGGTGTTTCACGGGTCTGGAAGGAGTACGGGATTTTAAACTTTACTCCACTTAGTAGTGATCCGATGGTTTTGTAACAACCGGCTGAACACCTCGCGTCAAAAAAAAAGCTCTTCTTACCAGGCTCTATACGAATTACCTGAAGGAATACGCAAAAAGGTTGGAACTCGCAGAAATACTAGGATACAAGATGCACAAACCTTTCCACCGTTTTCTCCGTTTTCTTCCCCGCCCTTTTGCTAATTTACTGGTCATGTGTCATTTACACACTACCACTGGGCGATTCCAATGAGGGGTAACAGTTTGCTGCGGGGTCTAGTATAAATGAAGGTCTGTTATCGACATGAGACGAAAATCAATGTTTCAACGCCAATTTTAAGATAAAATGAATCCACCTGATCCCTTCTTCGACATTGAGTGGCGTCTCAGTGAAAATATTTCTGCTGCTCCGGATCCTCTCTGCCAGCCCACAGCTGACGCTCCGCGTATCGTCGTTGTTGGTGGTGGTGTTACGGGATTAGTAACTGCATGGTTGCTTCTGGATCGTGGCTACCACGTGACTGTTATATCCAAGGAATGGGCTAGTTACGGGCCTAGCAAGCGCCTGACCTCACAAGTATCTGGAGCACTGTGGGAGCTCCCTCCGACCCAATGTGGTGGCGTCAGTGCCGTGGAGCAAGGGCTTAGCCTGGGAGATCTTGGAACAGTCCAGCAATGGGCTCTGGAGAGCTTTTCCATTTATGAGAAGATGGCGGCAAATCAGAACTTGGCTCGATCCTTCGGTGTGAAGATGGCGATATGCACATCATTCCATGCATATCAGATTGCCGATGACGAGATCACTTACCGAAAAATGAGGCTGGCTCAGAAAACCAGCCCAAGCGGATTCCATTGGGGAATGGATCTTGTAAAAAAGTATGATGTCAACGTCAATGCGCACGGCGGATTACAAGATGCTTATGAACATCTTGCTCCCGTGATTGATACCGACAGGGCCATGGCATTTTTGATGCGACATGTGAGGTCAAAAGGCGCGGAAATGTACACCGATACGATTATCGGCGATCTCTTGCATCACGAAGCACACATACTGCGGGCATACGGCGCGGATGCGATTGTAAATGCGACAGGGATGGCTTGCGAGACAGCAGCGGATGATGGAGTGTATCCTTTGCGAGGAGCAGTTCTTCGAGTGATCAACGACGGATCAGACTTCCCCCAAATCAGAAGCTCTTTGATTGTCACAGCGGAGACTAAAGCCGATGGAACATACGAGGATATAGCTTTCATCGTCCCGAGAAACGACAATATATTGGTGCTGGGATCCATCGAGCAGCCTCATAGAGCAAAACTTGACCTCACGCCAAACTCCGAAGAGGTAAGGGCGATGCGAAAAAGATGTGAGGATTTACTGCCCATGCTTAAAAATGCGCGCTTGGATCCTGAATATCCTTTGGCACAGGGACTCCGACCATACCGCAACTCCAAAATTCGCCTAGAAAGTGAAAAAAGGAAGAGGCTTGATAGGCGCGAGAGCCAGATTGTACACTGCTATGGGCATGGTGGTGCAGGGTGGTCTCTAGCATTTGGATCAAGCAAGGAATGCGTGAAGCTGGTGGAAAAGACAGTTCAACGTGTGCGAAACCAGGCCTTCGCTCGGATGTAGAGCGGAGAATAGACCCGGTTGTCCATAGATTTAGGGTAGTGCCCAACGAGCAAAATGTGACAGGTGAGCACAATACCACACCCTCAGGCGGAGAATATTTTAATATTATCAGAAAGCTGTCATCCACCTCATCCTAAATATATTATTATCTTTTATAATATTAAAACCTGGTGGCAGGAAAGACGAAATGCTCCTAGCCAATAGAAATTTGAACAAAAATCTGGACGAAGGTCATGTGGCTTATAAATTAGGACGCCTAGACATGTTATGAAGTTAGACAGCGACCACGATCAGATGAATACGAAATACATACCAGGGCAGGAAAAAATATATCGATAGATTAAACTCAATCGCACATCCTCTAACCCAAAAATGGCAGAAGATAGTCGAGCTCTGGATAGAATTGTAAGTCGAGACCCAGGAATTCTTTATCATATTAAAAGTAATCAAGCTTTGAGCCCTTACCTGCACCATCAAATGCCAAGCCCTTGCATACAACTCGATATTCACTCGATCTATACCTTGGAACATGCGGAATTGTAACATACCACAAGATACGCAAGTGCTTAAGTAAAGCAACTTCATTATATAAGCTTTATATCTTCTATAGTAGAATTATACAGGATAAGGGGATGTTACAATTGAGATCAATGCAACTATGCCTTGAGCCAGTATGGTGAAAATTATAGGAGAGTATCTGTGGGCGATGCAAAACTCGAAGAAGCCTAAATTAGAACCTGCACTTACAAGTCGGCCCGAGATACCTATCAATTTGGATCTGCAAGAAGGCCTTTTTCACCCATCATAAAATAGCGTTACCGAGGATCTACCGAGCCAATCGGTCCGATGGGGCCCGCAGCTTATATCTATAGGCGCATGGAATTTTCCATTTGATAAGTTCTTACTTGTGAATCCTCTGCCTGCCAGGGAGTCCACTTATCCTGTCGAATTTTGAAGGCTAGTCTAGAATATCAAGGTGAGGTGCACATGTTATAGTTATAGTCATCCTAGCATATTGAGCGTAGGTGTCAAATATTGGCGCTACATCTAGTCATCATTTTCATCGGCGCAGTATGGGTTTGATGTTGGACACTTTCAAATAGCCTGATCACACATTTCTTTCTTGCTCCTCCCTGGGCTGCTCTTCTGATCGTCCGCATTTTTGTTATAAGCGCGTCGCATGCTATAAAAGAGATCTTAGCATAGGAACGGGCTCTAAATTTTCTGCCTTTGCTGACCTTGCTGCTCCCCTCATTACTGCGTAGAAATCTCCGCCAGGTTTAAATCGGTGCTCGTCACTAGACATCCGGTAGAGGAAGAGTTTTTAGTATATCCGGTCAAGCCGATTTCGAGAATGACTGTATCAAAGGTTACACTGAAATACTATTGCAGAGATTTAGCATTTCAATATTCCTGCAAAAAGAAATGCGAAGACTATGAGAAATTTGCTTTTCCGAATCTATGTTTTCTTTTTTTTGAACAAATATGGAAATTGTTCTACGTATGAAGATTTTGGATACGAGATAGTAGTTACCAAGTACCAAAATATCCCGAATCTACCTCGTCGAACAACTCCTGATTCTGCAAAGCATGGCCCATTCCGAGTCGTAGGCTCGTCTAGGATCAAGAGCATTGTATACGATGATCGGCAGTGCCAAGCCGAGGCTTAAATAGCCTGCGGGGCTATTTTTAGGCAACTCCAGTAGAATTATTGAGATCCAGTAGGGCTAAAATCCGATCAGCAAATCAATGAGAAACCATATCACATACAGTAACAATTTAGAATCTATTTAGTTAAACATTAGAATTAACTAAATTTGATGTGGGCGGCTGATATAAGCTTTGATTTTGTGGTGTCCCTAGCAAATACAATCTCCCTTGCCCCGAGGTAAGGGGGTTGTTCCTGATCGAAGGCTATTGCTATAGTTGACTATATGAGCCGTCCAATACGAGCTGGGGTGGTATTTACTACGGTGTTCGTAATTTTAGTTTAGATATCGTTTAGATTATGAATGAGAATAGAATCAAGGAGGCGTGGCACGTTCGGGAAGAGTATATAAAAGGCCCTGCATTTTCCTTGTTAATTCCTCAACAGTATTCCTCTCCACTATCATCACAACGATCGATACTGAAGGCTCTCTTTCGAGATTTCTAGAATGCGTTTCTTATAACATATATATCCGTTATCAAACTCATCCAATATGTTGATTTCTTCTCTCGTCGCCGTGTCTCTGGCCGTCCTCCCCACTGCTGTCAGTGCCTATTCCATCACCGGCGATACCATGAACTGCTATTCCGGTCCTGGTACTAGCTATAGTGTCATCAAGACGTACAAGAATAGCGATAGCGTCTCGATCACCTACCAGGCCCTAGGCACCGAAATTAAAGGCGACAGTATTTGGGACAAGACTTCCGATGGCTGCTACGTGGCCAATTACTATGTGAAGACCGGCTCCAGCACTTACGTGACTAAGAAGCGCGAAAGTAGCAGCAGTGGATCGGGCAGCGCGATTGTTGAAGCCGCCGACAAGGAGAAGGGCATTCCCTATGCCAAGGGCGGCGGTGGCTGTAATGGTCCCTCCAGGGGTGGCTTTGATAGCTCTGGACTGACCCAGTACTCTATTTGCAAGGCCCTAAAGAAAACGATTCCCCGTACTGCACAGACTCAATACGATGCGATCAATATGGGTACGCGTATTCCCCGGTCCGAGGCCAAAGTGGGTGACCTCCTGTTCTGGGGCGAGAATGGTAACTGCAAGACGGGTGTTTCGCATGTTGGTATCTTCATTCGTGATGGTTGGATGATCAACGCGGTCCACGCTGGTAGTACGGTCCGTAACCAGGCTATCTGGACTTCGCATGGTAGCGAGAGAATCTGCAACTATGTAATGAGGTATGGCATTCTATCAATTCCCGGATATCGACGCACATGCTAATGGTGACTTGCAGATTCTGGTAGAGTAATTTAGAACTTAGGCCCGACTTTTGATGTTGATTTTGATTCATTGTATTGCTTTTCAATCTTTTTTTCAATCCTGTAACATCGTTTCTCTTTTATTTAGGTTGAGGTTGGGTTGGTTCTTTGATAGTGGTCTTAAGGCATTTTTTAGGTGTGCCGGTGCTCGGTGCTCGATGCTCGGGTTTTGACGAGCATTGCTAAGGGAATTGATTATTTTTTGATGCCATAGACTCCTATATTTACCCTCTGATAGCTAGACTTGAATAGACATACTTCTATGAACCTATTCCACTACGTATTCATACTGACTTGGTCGAGTAAAACTCCCTTCAGGCTGGACTTGTGGAACGCATGGTACTGTCCTTCAGACATAGTCTGTCGACAGTCGACCTGCACGTTCCTCATTTCAATATTTAGCCAACGCGCTAATTTGGTCAGAGTAGCTGGACAGTGTCGGAGAATAAATAATATTTACTAGCGAGTTAAAATTCGCCGAGGTATTAACACGGCCGAGGGCCAATAAAAAAAGCCATCCCATCCAACGCACCAAGCCGTAAAGCAATATCAAAAGAACCACCCTTCAAAAGTTGAAAAGAAAACAGAAGTTTTTTTTTAAAAAAAAAAAAAAAAAAAAAAAAAAAGGAATCGGAACCACCAAGAACACCATAAAAGCCAACGCACCTTCCTTTTTGGGGTCCTGATTCACCCCAGCAAGAGAAAATAAGCGATGCATTCATTCATCCATTTTCATAAGTCGCTTAACATCGGGTGGGAACTGGATTCGTGCTGTAGCAAGACAGGCCTCAGGGCCCACCACACGATCATTTCTTTTTTTTTTTTATATATAGAGGTCATTTGTCGTTTGTCTAGTAATCGTCATCTGCATCATCTTCGCCTTCTCCGCCTCGACCACGGGATCCCTTCACACCATCCTTGCGGATGGGGATCTTGATACCCTGAAGTGCAAAACATTTACTGAGCTGGGTACTTTCGATGACACCTGGGAATTTCTTTGCAGAAAAGACCTGGAAAGGTTCACTGAAGACGGAAGCCAGAACAGGCGCAGAATCATGGTTAATCACAGGAGCACCGTTACCTGCCTCAGTTGATGGTGTACCAACATTGACAAAACTCATTTTGAGACTGGTTGATCAATGATCAATCAGCAAATCATTCAGGTAGATTTCGGAAATATCACTTACCGGAAAGTACCCTCTGTCCGTACACTCAAATCCTGCAAAATGAACCAGACACCAATCTTGTTGTCTGGGTCTGTTAACCGGAAGGCACTGGCGCTAAGGCTTCCAATCAAGTTGCGGGTAAACATGCCCCCTGGGCCACCGGATACGGGTTGAGCAGGCGACATGGCAGCCGGCATCTGAGATCCCTGTGGATAACCGCCGTATTGGGAGTAGACTTGCTGGCCATATTGATTTTGATATGTCATCTGCTGGGCACCACCATAATAATTGTTCACCTGCTGCGGATACCCGACAGGTGGGGCGTAGGGGTTTTGGCCGTAACCAGGATATGTGGGGGACATGCTCTGAGGTGGGGGTGGGTATGAGGAGGACATAGCGGTCGAGATTGATGGGGATGTGGCGGAGTGCTTGACCAGGTTCACTTCACTGTTTCCTTCGGCGTTCCATAGATCGACCGTGAGCACATAAAATGAAGTATCAATTTCACTAGAGGCAAAAGAGTTAGTATGACAACATATGGAAGCTGCAATTGGCTTTCATACTTGATATCAATCTCTTTATCGGTATGTTGATCGCGCACAATCAATCGAATACATGGGGGCGGGGTGATCGGTCTTCGGTCCTGTCATTCAAATTCCCATTAGCCATGCCACTCGGAGCTATATAATCAAAAGCCATTCGACATACTTTATCACCGAAGCCACACATTCTGGCGCGGATGGGTTGCTGGACAACCTGCAAAGCCCAAATGCGACCATCATGAATGGTAGATATGGGAGCCAAAAGATCAGCCGAGCGTAGTGGTCCCGAGCCCGGTGTAGGATATGCGGCGGACGATCCCGAAATACGGTCCATTGATAGTGGTGGGGGAACCGGATGGGCCCTTTCCTGCTCTACAGCGTACATGGTTCAGTGATGGGAAGGAACCGGGGACGACACTTGCGATCGAAAGACGGGTCCCTAGAAGATTGTTGATTGCGAGAACGAGAACCCCCAGGGAGGAAATAGTAAGTAGAATCGATCGGTAGAGGAGATGGCAGTGTCCGAATGACAGATATTTGGCGATCACTGGTATGGATGACAGAGAGTTGCTACCGGGGAAAGTGGGAAGCGCAGGATATGCCTGCTGCCTTCAAACCACTGAGCGGTGAAGGTCATGCTATTACTGTCCGCCTACTATATTTGGTCTAGTTGTAATTCATTTTACAAATATTGTACTGGCAGATCCGCATATGGGCCGTGTTTTATGGTAACTACAATACAATATAACTGGCAGAACCACAGTGGGTCAAGCAGCCAAATCCACATACTAATCCGGAGCTGACTGCAGACGTATTGGATCTAAAATATGAGAATTCTTCTTCTCTTCTACTATATCTTGATGCAAACGGCATTGAGAGTGTAAAAGGACCTATACTATATTCGGAATTCCCCATTGGTTGGGACCCAAGTGACTGGGATTTGCCCAGGTGGTTCCTGCGTATTTAACTCCCAACTGCCACCCCAAAAAGATCCGCACTGCAACCCTGATTCGAGAACGTCATTCATCCACTCTTACATAGAGTAAAAATACGTTCTATGAGTCTGAGCCTAAGTCTTCTAATTAGGGGCATTCTCATGAAAGTATAGATCAGTTGAATCCATTCAACATACCTCGATGGATTCTAGCGGAGTGTGCGATCCGTGGAAGCTCGGCAAATCTGCCGCTGTCAAGTCACGTGATTGATATGTAGGTTTTTGTGCTTATGTCATTTTACTATTTTAATTTCCGAGAGATTCCGTAGACTTACGACGTACAATCTCAATCATTCATGCATAACACAATTGGTCACCAATACCTCAAAAAAAGTTGACATATTCTACACTTAGTACACTATTTATCTATATTTCTTCCCGAGGCGTTATGTCCTTTTGTGTTCTGAGGGACTTATTTGAACGGTTCTGCTCTATACAGTGTAGCGAGTCCTGTCTTCTACTGTTTTGATTCTCCTGCAATTTTGACTGTATTAATGTATCAATTGATTTCAGATCCAAATTATAATCACTTTATATCCTCACAGTTTGTCTCGGGATACCCATCCTTGATCCCGAGGTCACACAGTATTTCAACTTCCAGCCTTGGAAGGTTCCTTGTTTTATTCCAAATGTCATTTCTCTACCCTTTTAGATCTCTGTATCTAGATTCCTAGACCTCAACAGCATTCGAACATCCATAGTATAGGACTGGTAACCCAAAATCTGACCTGGAGTTAAAAGGAAGCCTTATCTACAGGTATCTACAGTTTCTACTTACCAAGAGTCCGTATTATTTGAGTCAACATCAAATTGAAGTCAATTGGCTGGTTTTGTGCTGTTTTTGTTATTCCTATATATAATGCACCTCTATAACTGGTTACCCAGATCCTAGTCCGTGTTTTTTTAAGTAATTGCACATATGATTTAAGTAATCGTATATAACTACGCCGTAAGTGACCATGTAAGAGAACCGGGGAAATATTATTCCGATTTTTACTTCCAAATTTTGTCCCAATACGGACTAGCGTCCTTTCTGAGCGTGAAGTAAAACCGTCCATCTTTCTATTAATTCTTAGCTTTCCTTCTTCTTCTTCTTTATATTTGTTAATGCTTAAGCATTTGACAGTACTCTTGTGAAAAACTACCAGGTTCAAATGCTGAAGCCTCAATGTCTAACAATTTTTGAAGATTCTGTGAATATTTGGGGGTTTTGACGTCATATTTTGCGACATCATTGTTGACATCTGCCCCACTCTGATATTCTTCTCGTTTACATATGCGCTCTCACTTCGGATGTTCCTCCCATTTCTGAAGATATTTCAAGATTTCTCTTTTATATTGGCCAGTAGGCTAAGTACCTACTACATGCTCTAACTAACGATTAATCATTTAGCATACTTGGCACCCGAACGCGCGCACGAATTGAAAACTTTGATACCCAGGGTCTGTGCGACCCACTACTCTAATTTTATGCGGGGATTGATCTACAAGCCACTACTCCGGAAATGGCTAGGTAATTTCTCACATGGAACCATCTGCATCAACAGCTAGAATCATATGACTACGTTACTTGTGCAAGCTCAATAGTTTCTCAGATGGAACCTAACAGTTGACCGATCCTCTTGTCGTAACTTCGATGAGCTCGCAAACAAATCAAAAATTTGAAGATCTGGAAAGCATCAATAGGTAGTTTTCGTGCAAAACGAGATGCACCTGCCCCAGATGAACAATCACTCAGCCATGAATACCTACTAACAAGTATGCTGCAAATTTCAAAATTCCAAACCCAGATAACCAAAAACTGTTGCCCAAAGTCGTTAAAGAGGGTTCACCGCATGCAAATATTTGCACCCCATCCTCAGTCCATGCACCATCAATGTTGTTGACCTTTGCTAACTACCTAAGCAGCGCAGGGATCATCGCCAAAGGTGATACTCCATTCACGGTGTCGCAGTATGCCAACGGTCAGCAGGGCCGCATCGACCGAAATGAATCGGATCGATACTTCCCCCTCAACGTTGTCCACTCCAAAGTTGTCCACGTATGTACCCAGGCGGGAGGACGACAGAAGACCATAAATTTCCTTCTTCAGGAATTTGCTTCCGTTTGAACGAACTTTCAGGCAGCGAGTTGGCCCACCCTGGATATCAGTGGTGGATAACTCGGGTGGGTACGAAGGGGAACGAACGACATAAACCGGAAGGACGTTGATACCGACATAAAATCCATCTTTCTGGACACACTTGAAGAAGTTCATGGCTCCCTTCTGATTGATAAAAGTGATCTTAGCAGTCTTGAATCCATTGATCGCCACGGTGTCAGCCAAGTATGCAGAGTGAACTGCACCACCACGAATGCTGTGCAGGATCTCAGAAATTGCCATGTGCTGGGGAACGAAGTCGATCATCACAGTGCGGTAGATGTTCAATTCTTTTTCGCCTGGGATATATCGCAGTCCATACTGGAACAGCATGTTGGACTTCCGACTACCCGGGCTGAAGATATAGCACCGATTGAAAGCCTTCCGTTCTTCTTCTTGGTTCTCAAAGACGTTATTCTTCTTCAGTTTCCAATTGAGCCAGCTAGCATGACGAAGATTGAAGTCAAAAGCTTGCGCTGCCTTCACCTTGGATGCCTTCGAGTCTTCCTTGACGTTCACAGGGAGACGGACCCTCACATTTTTGACATAGACAGCCTCACGGTCCTTATAAGCTTGACATCTCTCCAACTCAAGTTTCCAGGCGGTCTTATGGGCGCTTTTACTGGGACGCTCTTCCAACTCATTCATGCCAATGCCTATTGCAGCACAATACGCAGCATCAAGCTGGGCATGAAATGCGTGGTCAGGGTCCTGAGTTGCTATGGCATCCTATCAACCAATCACACCGGTTAGTCAGGGAATAAGAGCACAAAATTCAAGTGTAGATACCACAATGTCGGGGGTTCGGCCAGCCACATTGGCGTCACAGGTTCGGATAGACGAGCTATAAGAGTGAAGTTATGTCAGAGTCATGTCTGCTATGGCTGCGTCCACATGAAATGCAAGTATAAGACCGCAACAACAATCACCACTTACCTTGCTGTCATCAAAGCTGGGAATATTTCTGAAAGCTCCTCAATCCCATCAGGGAGATCCAGAAGGCATAAATGATTCATGTTGTTTTTTCGATGCTATCGCGCACCAATGATTGATTGAAATATTGGTTGTGAGATAGAGGTGGGTTGTGAAAGACGAGTATGTGATAAAGAAGTTAAGACAAAAGAGAGTTGGGACGAGGTCTTTCGTGAGATAGCTCACTCTTCGCTGAGTCGTTTGCTCAGCTGATCAAACTCCCTCGGCGTCTTGACACCTTTGTTCGTGCCCTACTCTCATGAGTCTGCCACCAACGCAGGCTCCACCATATCTGAGAGTCTACCCTCTCATATTCAGTTTAAAATCGGATACAAACTTAAGAAAAAACTGATTTCAAATTTCTATCACAATCTGGTGGAACCTCCATACCAACCCCACTGATATATCCAGTGTGGACCAACTCACTGTCTGAAAGTTTGTTCAACTGGAAGCAAACTCCTGGGGAAGGAGATTTATGGGCTCCTGCCATCCTCCTGCCTGGGTACATACGTGGACAACTTTGGGGTGAACAACGCTGAGGGAAAATATCGATCCGCTTCATTCTGTTGTTATGACCCTGCTGACCGCTGATCTATTGTTCGGGGTTTTGCATGAATATCACCTTTGGCAACGATTTACATACTTGGACAGACATGTTTTGGAAATTGAGAAAACTAAAATTTCAAGGTAAGTATATGCACAGTAACTATGAAACAGAAATGCGTCCAAAAAAAGCATACCACACCATCGAAATCTCTTCCTCGACTACCCAAGAAACTCCCCTCCAGCCAGGGCTATCCAAGTAAGATTCCTTTCCCAGCAGTGCTGCATCAATTGTCGAGCGTTTTGGATCTGGAGAGTAATTAAGTAACATAAGAATAAGGTGAGTGAATACGGATGCATACCTGCTTCATACCAGACTTCTCAAGTACTAAAAATCGACTGAGCAGTTTCAATTGATGGGACGGATCGCGAGTATCGCAGCCAGCAGTGAACAATGGGAACAATGAACACACCAGAGTCGACGCACCAAGTCGCATTTCCACCAGCACATCTATGAGTCTTCTCAGGACTTCCTTCACCAGGAAGGAGTCGAGCGACGAGCCCAGGGCACGCCGATGCAGATGAAGAAGGCCAGAACATAAGAACGCCTCCTCAATTCCAATCATATCTTGGCACTCTACACCCTGATGATGATCTGGATCAACGTGAGCACGCTCACTCGGACTTTCAATTTCTGCCAAGACAGATCGGGCTTCCATGATCATGTCTGGAGATGGGCACCATTCCGATCTAAAGTTCCCCAGCTCGTCGAAACGCTGGTTATCGCATTCTTGGACCAGCCTTCCGAGACGAAGAAGAAACAGCCCTGTGCGTGGAGTCATACCCGAGAAACAATCAACGGCAAACTCGTCATAATTCTCAGGGCTACAGCAAGCTTCCATAACAGAATAATAAATCAGTAATGGGGGGCCGGCTTGACGACAGGATAAAGTTCCCATGGTGTCGATATAGCCCAGCCAGCGAGCCAGAAAGGCTCCGACTCGGTTACCAGGCTGGGCGAGATGCTCACTTCGGGCAACGAATAGATCACGCGCAAGTTTCAGGTGGCTCTGCCATGTGATGCTAGTCTCGAAAGTTCCAGGGGACACGATCTTCAATGAGAGCAACAAAATTGCCGTTGCTAGATGGCTATCGGTAATGGCCTTGTGGGCACCCTCTAGCGCCATTCGAAGGGCTGGGAAAACATCACTTACCCAGTGCGCAATCCGATTGGATGGCTCCGGGTGTCCTAGGTACCTTGCACGATGACTGGCTGAGTATGCAAGCAACAGGTTCAAGAGGTTTGGGTCACCGGTGGCCACTGAATAAAGCAATTAGCTACCAATACAAGACCATTTCTGAAATCTACTTACTCGAAGGTAGAACCGATATAAACGGATTTTTATCACAATCGTGTGGTACCAGCATTCGAGACGTATGGTTCAAGAAGTGATGGAAGTACATCAAGTTGATCGGGTTTCCTAGTAGGGATGATGGAAGTGGAGATAGATATCTTGGAAGGTTGATGGGCACTGGGGATGCATAGTATCCGCCATAGTCGGAGTCCTGCACGGTCGACTCTTGTGATGGTGAGGAAGTATGACTGGATCGTCCCCGAGAATTGATCATATCCATGGCAGAGTTGATATCTATCGCAGCATGATCGTTGTTCAACCCCAAATCTCGGTCTGAACGCCCGCAGTCCAAGCCATAGTTGTCAGTCACCCTCGTGAGATAAGTCTGCCATTTGCTCTGAGCTAAAGAAGATTCTCTCGCAGCTTTTTCACCCTCTTTGGCATCACTTGAAGGGGCTCCTGGCTCAGCTCGCGGTGGATATCTTGCTACTTCTTTCATCCCATCATAGCCCGTTGTTGAACTAAGATTTCTTTGTTTCATTGTCTTGTGAGAACCAATTACCAATGCTGTGATATCGCCGGAGTTGGAGAAAGAAGGGTGGCCACCCCGATGCGCCATTGCAGGGATTTGAAACCCCAATCCATGATCATCAGACATTTGACTATTCTGAGAAGACGAATGACTCGGCGTATCCACGGAGTTCCGAAGAAAGGATACTGGTTGCGATACTGCATTTGAATGGAATGAAAATTCAAAAAGCGACTGATGACCAACGGCTTGGTCCACGTCCGATGGAAATGTGTTATGAAAACTGTGGCCAAATGAATACTGCGATATTGGTCCCGACGAGGTCGATGAAGGTAAAGGAGAGTTCTCCACCCAATTGGACGATATACGAAAGTCTACTTGAGATGGTGAAATAAAACCTTCAGGTGCAAGTTGAGGCTTCCGGGAATCAAAATAGCCAATTGGAGCTGAAGTGGTGGGCGAAATTGGCCCTGAAGAAGCCAATTCCCCAGAGTGAAAATTAATAAATCCATCCGAGGTACTATCGCTTGCTGGAGTGTGTATTTTCGTGGAGCTTGCGGTTGGTATGGGATCACTGAACATAATGGTCTCCATATACCCACTGGGCAGAGAGCTTGGCGAGTCGTCAACAGAAGTTCCCTTCGTCCTACCACCCCAATTCAGGCGGACACTATAGTCACATGCCCCCCCTTGCCGCTGGCAGTTGATGCACATCGGTTTTTCTTCTCCGCTATATCTCTTTCATGTTAGCAGGTTCAGATGTTGCCAAACTCATTCTTTCTCTTACCATTTCACTTTGCGGGCCTTGCAGGGCCTACAGGATGATCATGTCAGCTGGAGGAGACGCTACTTAGACCAACATAACTTTAAACCAGTATAACTTACCAGCATCCTTTCCGACTTCGCCGTTTTGGTTCTGGCGCCCCAGCTCTTCGGGGACGAGGCATTACACCTCAATTGCGGGATAGATGTTCGGCCCGATGTCGGGCGGCACTTCCGATATAAAGAGGAGATCGAGGCCAAAAGCAGGTCCAGATCTTGATATACGATGCAATCCCCATTCACTATCGCCCCGCCCAAAGATACAGACTGGGACCTGGTAGAAGTCTGCTACCTCACGGGGTATACCGAATGCAATTGCTTCGCTTTCGGCGTCTAGGACTGGATTGTCCCCAAGTGGCGACGAAACGATAATCAATAAGGCAGCCACACTTGGTAGACAATGACATCGAGGTGTGGTAGGAAGCTAAGCTAGCAATCAGGGACCGGCTGCAACTAGCAGCAAATTCGGCCAATGGAGGAAAGAGCGATAAGGCTTTACCGATCTGGACAGTGACGACTTTAAAAGCACTTGAAAACCAGTAATATGCTACTAAGGTGGTGAAATATTTCAACATGTACATATAACGCAAGTAGTGATAGATAAAAAAAAAAACTACACTAAAGGGCATCCAGAAGATTCCTATCTTTACAAAGTGTGGGGAAGCAAGATAAGGCTGATTCAGCGTCGGAGATCGGGATGACTAATATCCGACGGATTTCGCGGCCTATCGTACGTCATATCATCGAACTCACTTCAGCTTGTATACTTCGAGCAAATCCCAATGGCCGATACTCTAATCAACCGGCATCCGTTGCAGCGGCTTTCAAGCCCTTCCAGAGGTCTCTCTGCCCTTGTTCATGTATGTCCGATACTGGATCCATCGTGGACCATGACTGACAGACTTAGGTAACGGGCCTTGCAAGCTTTATATGGTCATTTAAGTAGTATGTACTGACACTGGTACATATGTACCTGCATAATTGTACTAATAAATTTTGATAGCATGGAAGACAATCCCAACAAGGCGTGCGTTCTATCATACTCTCCATCTAACTACGAGACATGCTGATCAAATTATCAGTAATCAAGCATATGGAGGGCACTTTCAATTCCTCACTGTGATAGGTCTGAGCCTATCTACTCTTACTTTTTCCATTGCCTTATTGGCAGATTTGACTTTATCTCGACGTCTATTCTTGTTCAAGAACCTGCTGTCAGTATGCAGCGCCCCAATGGAAGTTCTGATCAGTATTCTGTACTGGGGTCTCCGACTGGTACGTCTGCGACTAAAGTATCCACTGTAACCCTTATGACTTACTTGATATCAGACAGATGAACGCCTTGTAATACCAGATTGGGCCGTGATTCCTCTACACGCAGGTTTGATACCCTTGGAAGATTGCGCTCAAATTCATACTGATAAAGGCCGATAGATATCAGTTTCCATTTAATCCCATCTATCGTGATGTTGATTGATCTCTTCTTCCTATCGCCACCATGGACTATCACAGTCCTTCCCTCGCTGGGGCTGTCTGGGACTTTTGCCTTCGGCTACTGGTTTTGGGTGGAGCATTGCTTCCAGCAGAATGGAGAGTAGGTTAAATTCGCAATTTACGAGTCTCATTACTGACGGGCTTAGATATCCATATCCTATCTTCTCAGTACTGCCCACTCCTGGCAGGGTTGGCCTTTTCGCATTGAGCGCTGTTGTTATGGCCGGTAGTACGGCTACACTGAAGTGGTTACATGGCCGTGTAAATGGTTTCGGTACTCCCACATCAGCTCAATCTTACCCCGGAAATATTAGGAAGTAAGGTCTATAAATTACGGCCATGATAGCTGTGATTCTCATGTTCGCGCAATCTATTAAGAGGATACAACAAAGATTCAACTCTTTGAACGAACGAACAAGCTGTGCTTTGTCGTCACTCTTACTAGATAGATGTTTTGATCACGAGCATTCATACTACAAGCGTTGAGGGCGGTCAAGTGAGGGCTGATATCATTTGACAGATGGGTTGCATTTACATGTCAAATTGTGCGGGAATATCGGGTACTAGTCTACTAGAGTCGATTGAAGACTTGTATAACTAGCTTATTCATTCATACATAATTATGATTTATTCGGTATATAAGACTTCTCTATAATCTCAATCGCTAATCTTAATCCATGTCAAGTGGATCCCCTTGCTGACTAATCTTAATCCACCTTCGGTTTTGCTGCAAACCGAACCGCAATCTCTTGTCCTGAGGTCAACTACGACAAAATGCACACCACTCCACTCACAATGTCAGCTCGTTCCATGCTAGGTGGTCATATGGGCTCAATTGCCATCCGCTCAATTGCCAGCCGTGTCCCGAGCATTGCTCCTCAGCAACCTTGCTACTTCTCAACCACGTCCGCGACCACAGCAAGCAAGCTTACTGTCCGCCCTCACGTCCGTGCTTCACCTTCTTTTCTCACTCACTCTGTTGGTCTGCGAACACAGTCGACTGCGGCTCCAACCAACGAAGATGTTAAGCTCGACTGGAACTCGTTTTTCAAGCTCCGCACGTCCCGTCGTCGGTACTCTCTAGCCTCCTCGATCATTGGCACTGTCGGTGGTGTCAGTGCGGGTGTCCCTGTTCTTACAACTCTGGATCTTGAGTCTCTGAGTAGCTCGGTTATGGGTTTAGATCCTTTCCTCGTCCTGGGTCTAGCAACCGCTGCCTGTGGTGCTGTGGGTTGGTTGATTGGTCCTATTGTCGGCAACGGTGTCTGGGGTCTTGTAAACCGAAAGTTCTTGCCCTCTGTTGCGGTGGTAAGCAATCCCTCTGGAACCTCGTTCCGGCTGGAATATATCTAACAAGCTCTTCGCTGCAGAAAGAAAAGGAATTCTTCGATCGCATTCGGCGATTCCGGGTCGACCCCTCTACAGCCTCTCTCTCAAACCCTATCCCGGATTACTACGGTGAGAAGATTGGCAGTGTGGGTGATTACCGACGCTGGCTAAAGGACCAGCGTGCATATAACCGCAAGCGCCGCAACTATGCTCTCTAATTTGCATCCCCTCTGCATTCTCTTTGCATTGTTCATGTTCATATGGTTCATCGTGCCTGTATATCGGCAGATCTAGGACCTTACTGGTCTCTCTTTTTTCCTTTGGTTATGGACCGGTGTTTTTACTGTTTCGATCTCATTAGCGGTGGGGTATCACATTTGTATTTCAAAATGGCTTTGATAGCACCATCAAGCTCCCTTATATCCTGATCTGAAGTTTCCTTTGTGTAAAAATGAGTCTACTCCGTATTGGGGCTACAAGAAAAGGTAATTGTAAACCCTTGTATAAAAAGTGTTATGTGTTCTCTAAAAACGAGTCTTCCTTGACACAATAATCAACATCAGTCAATCTCAGTACCATTTATCACTTGGGTAAAGCTATAGTTTTGATGACCCCGTGGCCCTAGGCTTTCTACGAGTATCAACTTCATTCCACCAGGGTACATTCGCCGGTATGTTTTCATCAAGGTCAGCCTTGAAGTTAGGCTTTCTCTTCTCAAAGAAAGCAGCAACCCCCTCCTTCTGGTCTGGATTCTTAACCATATGGTAAAGAATGCGAGACTCCACCAAATGCGCCAACTCAGGCGACCCGGTATCCCGCCATATCAAAGCCCGATTGAGGTAAGATGAAGTCGGGCTTACATTCTCAGCTATCTCGCTCGCTAACTCAAGGGCACGTGGCAGAACCTGCGACACGTTGGGCATAACTTCGTTAAATAGATCTCCGAAGTGTTTCGATGATGGTGGGAATATACCGCCAGAACTGACTAGGTAACTGGTATTTGAATGACCGATCAAACGAGTGAGGAAGTAAGAGGAGCATGATTCCATGGTGATGCCGCGACGGCCAAAAACAAAGCCATATTTACCTTTCTCGTAGGCGATTCTTGGATCGTGTCAATTAACACTTGCCCTTTCGTTACTTCGTGATGGATTCTTACCGGATGATCGCTGGAAGGGTCATGGTCATACCCACGCCAACAGCTGAGCCTTGCATAGCAGCGATAGTCGGTTTGCGACAGTGATGAATAGCAAGTGCAACGCGTCCCCCACTATGATAACGATGAGTAGATAGATACCAGTGACAAGAGACTCATCTCACCTATCACGATAATTGGTCAAATTCTCTTGCTCGGAAGAAAATCCAATGTCAAGATCAGCCCCCGCGCAAAATGTCTTGCCGGCCCCTGTTAATACAATCACATTTATCCTTTCGTCAACGTCGAACATGGGGAAGAGCATCTCAAAGTCCTGGGCCATCTTTTCAGTAAAGGCATTGTGGTGTTCTGGGCGATTCAGCGTTACTATAACGACTGATGTTACTGTTAGGGAGTCAGGTGGGTGATGCGAAACCACGACATGACCGGTTGTGGAAACCGTTTTGTATGAGCTTGGAAGTTTGAAGGATAGTTCAGATACCATATTATTGGGTTGTAAATATGTGGGATATAACAGATAATTACAATTAGAAGATATATCTCCAAGCATGTTAGAATTACCTCGGTTCTGGGATTTGGGGAAGTTGGGGACCCCGCAGATCTACTTTGCAGAGTACTATTAGTCAGACCCTGGTTCATCGACCTTCCTATTATACCTAGGTAGGATCACCAAAGATTTAATCAAAATTTATCCATATCTAAGCTTTCCCAAGCTCGCTAAACCCTTGAAAGTTGTGTCGTTATTAGGACAGTTGACTAACTTAGGGTAGATTTATGAAGGCCTATTTTCTAGCCCTTCTAGCCTTTCTAGTCTCTACAGTAGGATGTAAAGGGACCTTGGAAATAATACTAGTCGAATAGTTCCAAGATTATAGGCTGTGTTTACTAACTCATGGACTTGAACTAAGCTCATATAGTCTTGACCTATTTTTAAGTTAACCTTCGTGGATCAATTAAAGTCTATCTGCTCTATAGCTTTATCACATATATATCTCACTTCAGTTGTCTTACAGTTTCAGCCAGCGCATGACGTTGAATTGAAGTAACTTCCAAGGTTCACATGACTTCCGTGAAGAATCAGACTTTTGCCAGCAACAGAATCTCAGTAGGCGATTTTATGATTTTAGCAACCCAATCATGGCTGAAACCCCCTTTCAGATACACTAAATGGGTGTTCGATGCAAAGCATTGCCAAGTGGGTTACATGGTCTAAGAAGGATTGGTCAAATTCTAGCCTCGCTTTAGCCTCTCTTTGATCTCTCTTTCAGCCTTCATCTCACTTTAGACTCACTTTCAATTTTAAGGTTTGCCAGTTGACTATAGATACAAACATTCATTGTAATGTCCACTGCCGGCTGATACATATACTGGCGCTTCCTTCTTCTTCTTCTCTGATTACTCTTCCTCATCATACATCTACCTCCATCTCCCACTTGGTCAAATTTCCTATGTTCAACTTGCAACCTTGGAACATAATTTCTCTCCCTTTGTGTGATGGTTCGGAACAATATCATCCTTACTAGAAGCCATACTTTGACTAGCCTTCAACCCTCCCCCATAAGCTCAAAAGCGCACAATCAGATGAGGTTGAACAGCCTCATGCTGGTTGTTGATCTCGATACGTTCGCACAGAACCTCGTCTGAGCCTTGGCAACTCTTCCTGCAGCAATACTGCATTATGAGTGACAAGACTTAGTATTCGGTCTGAATTTCAGGACATAGTATGGCAACGCACGCTTGATGTCTGCGCTGTCAAGTCAGATGTTGAGAGTGAGTTCCAAGATATAATGTACGCATTGATAGCTCGGGGTTTTCCTGACAGATCAGGTTTTCCCGTACTGAGTTCCAGGACATATCACACGTTTGGTATTCAGTACTTGCGTTGAAAACTTGACGTTCTCATGCGCTGCAACCTCCCGGGCGCTTCTCCATTGCCGATTCCTACAGACTTCCTGCCAGATATTGTATACTGTCATTTCCAAATAAGTCGAAAAGGTTCTCCACCGTGATGAAAGGGAATGCATGTTATTTCCCCAGATCACCTGGGAAGTTAGAATATCATCTTCCTTCACCCCATTCAGAGCATCTGATATTCTCTACTACGTATGTAGAGACCTGAAGGTAACAATGCAGCCCCAGACCCCATGGCCCTACATGGGCCTCCATTTCGGGGAATCACTTTCGCAAAGAGGTAGAACTACACGATAGTCAATCTAAACTCCAAAACCATCGCATTGCTCCTTGATATTACTGCTATGGCCACCGTGTTACCCGTCGACTTACGCTCTGGTCCCTTGGGTTTTCGAGAGGGCGAAGTTGCAAAAACAGCCGAACCGGTTAACCTAATGCATTGAATCACCAGGCCTACCCCTCTCTGTCTTTCATGATTATTATTATGCTTCTCCATCCTTATATTAAGAGCCTAAATGTGCTATATTTTATCTAAAAAGTAGCAAAGATGGGCGATGATAAAAAAAGTAACGAAGTTGTAGGAATATCAAAAAAAAGATAATAAAAAGAACAATCCGCTCGGGCGGAGTCGAACCGCCGACTTCCAGATAACAATTTCCATTACAGTCTGGCGCTCTAAACCAACTGAACTACAAGCGGGATTGTATGATGAACTCGCTTAGATTAAATAATATGATTCTATTCTAAAAAAAAAAAAAAAAAAAAAAAGAAAAAAAACACACATTACTGAGTTCTCTAGAATCAAGTAATTACCTTTCGATGTTCTGGGAGTTCCAATCAAATGCTAATATTTTTCAGTTCTGGGGCTGAAGCTGACTAATTTAAGGGGCTGTTTACCGCAGCCTAAGAAGTTCATACTTGAGATCGATCGACAATAATATCCCGTCCGCCGGGCCGGTCAACTATACATACATGCCTAGACATCAACAATGGAGTCTCTGGACATCCCAACCACAGGCTGATAAAGAGCAAATACTTGAACAGTAAATTAAATGTAACAAGACTCATTTTCAAGACTCTAACAACAGAACGTCGAAACCCCCAAAGCGTCAGTTCATGACCTCATCAGGACTTGGCGTGGAAAAGATTTCGAAAGCAAAAACTTCTTTCCGACCCGAACATCACAAGGTCTGCCCTGTAATTTCCACGTTTTCCTTCTTCCCACGTTTTCATTCTCGATCCAATCTGCACGGCCATATCAAAGTTATATCTGTCATCTAGACACAGAATCTGCAGCTTCACTGCAGCCCCCCTCCCCCCACTTTCCGCTTTAAGTCTCGAAGACTCCTATCCAGTTTCTCACACACTAGTCATGTCTGGACGAAATATCTCACATGGTCGCGGTGGCGCTGGTAGGAAACTACGTTGATCATGTCAGTGAATATCAAGACTAACCTCGACTCTGCCAGGTAATATAACCCGCCAGGAAAAGCCCTCAACCCCCACACCACAGGACTTTGTCACCCCGACAATCAAGCAGGATGTCTACACAACTGGTCGCGGTGGCTCAGGCAACATGGTTCAGAATGATCTCGAACGACCAGAGATCGCCCGCGAGAGACAGGATGTTGAATCACCGCCATTGCGGGCGCAGGTCATGCCTCATTATATCGGACGAGGTATGTAACCCATATACGCGCAATTAATAATCTCACGAGAAGAAAGTTGATGCTGATGCGATGATACGATCATCTAGGTGGTGCTGCCAATGCCTATATCCCCAGTGTGGAAGATGAGAGGCTGGCCCAGGAACATGATGCGGAGTTGATGCGCGTACAAACTCTGTCCAACGAACGGGCTAAGAAGGCTGAGCATGATCGACTGGAGTTGATCGACTCTCTAGTTGAAAAGCCTCCTCAGGCTTATACGAGGAATCACTTGAATCACTCGAAAAATCTGGAGTGATCTCGAGTATTAGAAGTCGACGTCGATAGAATGACTGATTAGGACATTCTTCAACGAAATGGAATGAAAAATGAAGTGCTGCAGGCAGTGCGACAAGGATGACCAGAACGTGGGGGAATCGGGGGTTTTCTATATCTCTTATCTTGTTCTTTTTTTCTTTTCTTATCTTTTACCCCTCTCATCCTTTCTACTGGGAGACCAAAGCACTGCTTGTTGTAAGGCGCAAGACATATTATATTAATACTGCTCTAGAAATGAGTGACTGTTTTTACAGACAGCCATCTTAATAAACCTTCGAAACGAGATCTTTGGAGTATACAGAGTATGGACTTCTACTCAAATATCAAAAAAAAAAAAAAAAAAAACGCCAAACTAAAGTGTAGATAGTACTTTTGTAAAGAAACAAGAGCCAATAACAGGACTCAAAGGACCAAAAAAATATATAAAAATTTGACCTACGCAGGGGTCGAACCTGCAATCTCTTGATTCGTAGTCAAGCGCCTTGCCATTGGGCCAGCAGGCCAACTGATGAAATTTTCAGTATAATTACCCTAATAAAGTGGTCATGGCTTTTCCGCGCCTTACATCACGTGATTGATAAGCCATATCATGTTTAAACACCTGCCTAACTTAAACCCTCCTCTACACATGCTCTATACGCAGACTACAATCAAAGGAGCAAAGAACTCAAGCCCCCACAAAGCTCCATATCCACTCAACGAGGGCCAAGCCAGCTCCTGCACTTGCAACTCAGAAGACCTTTTACCACATACCATCCAAAATGTCCTCAAACGTCGGACTCACCACTCCTCGCGGAAGTGGCACATCAGGCTACGTCCAGCGCAACAATGCCTTCATTAAACCCCGGGACTCAGGCTACGGCGCCCCCTACCCGCCCGTAACAGGCGCAAACAGCACATCAGGCCACAGCTTCAAACAGCGCGTGCCTGACCAGAAAATTCTAGAACATGACCGAAAGCGCACGGTCGAAGTTAAGGTTATGGAGCTGCGGGCGGAGTTGGAGGATGAAAATGAGCGGATTGAGGAGGAGCAAAGCAAGAACAAGTCCAAGTCCAAGTCTACGTCTAGGTCTATCAGTAAATCCACCGAGGATAAAGAGGAAGGAGAGCAGGATGAGCTTGACGAAGCAGAAGATAAAGCCGAGCGCATTTTGTCAGAAGACGAGATCGATGCGCGATGCGACATGCTACGACAGGAATTGCTGAAAGAGCTCGATAATCCTCGCTCTGGGAAGATGGGTCCTCCTAAGGATCGACGCGCGCTTAAATCTTATCAGGTCCATGATCTTGCTGAGGCCAAGATTGAGGAGAGTGAGCGGTTGCGGAAGGCGTTTGGGCTTCGGGAGAATCGGGAGACTGGGGAGATTAGTAGTAGTTGGAATGATCGGAAGAGTGAGCGGAGAGATGAGCAGAGGGATGAGCGGAGGGATTATCGGGATCGGAGAGATGATCGGAATGGCCAGAGAGATGACCGAAGGTATGATCGGAGGGATGATAGAGATTATCGGAGAGATGAGCGCAGAGATGAGCGCAGCCGATACTGATGCCATCCGCTAAAATAGATGCTGATCTAATCTGAACCTGCTATTGGAATGGGTTAGGATTCTTGATGATACGACATTCTTATGAGCTTTATCCTTTACGATTTTATTGGACGTGGTAAAAGCTGAATGCTTGGGATATCATGATCTCGTGTATAATAAAACAGCCTCCAACTCAAAAACGTTTCCTTTTCCTATCCTTCCCAACAAAATTATGCAAATGCTCATGCAACAAACTTTTCAATAACCCATCCATCCTTAGCATCCTTCCTCTGCACAACCTTCTTAGCAGGCAGCGGCCAGCCCGTTCCACCCGCATCCCCAACCAAAGAAGGAATAACCCAGCAAGATCTCCGCTGCGGAATCCCCTCTAGCGTCTCCGTTTTGCCAATAGGCTTCCCGTAATCGAGAAGCGGCGTGTCATGCGCAAGCGCAGCAAGCTGTAGCCCGCTCGGTGCAACGAGCGGGAACATCCTAATCTTGGGCGTCTGGTCCGAGACTACGGATGCAGACGATTGCTGAAGATGCGAGTATATGATATACTGTGGCATTTCCTTCGGCGTGAGCTTGGCAAGTAGGGACGAGGGGTGGATGAAGACGGCGCGCTCGGAGATATCCTGTGCTGGACCTTCGCGCGATCGGAAGAGCGTTAGGTAGGGCACGTCGATGGCGCGGCGTGGAGCGCGCGGCATCTCTGGTGGGACTGGGGCTGTGTCTGCGCGGATAGCGACGTGGTCTATGAAGCCGGCTGTGATGATCTGCTTCAGGGCTTTGATCTGTTTGGGTAAGGGCTCGGGAAGGCGTGCTTCGTAGGTGCCGATTAGGCCTGGGTTGTTGGCGCGTACGATGTCTGTTAGTTGGCGGCGTAGCTGGGTTGCTTCTTTGAATGCTTTTGCGCGGAGGAACATCTGTGCGCTGAAGGCGTCACCATCTGCTGCATAGGCGTAGGCGCAGATTGCTGAGAGGTACTTGAGGGCGTCGGAGGTGTCGTCATGCTTGCTGAGGAGACGGTGGACACGAGCGTAGTCCTTTCCGCGTTGTTCGCGCTCTGTGTCTTCTATTCTATCTTCGTTGGTGTAGACTACCCTCTCTTCGTCGCTGTCATCGCTGCCGTCTTTATTCTTCTTTGCTTTGAGGATGGAGGAGGTAGTCCTAAGATCCAGTTCTGTCGGTGCGACGAAGAGGTCGCCAACTGCTAGTGCCGAGACTAGGGCAATGACATAGGGCATGCAGCCGTGTTGGTGACCAATATAGAGCATCTTGCCGAATCGAGGAGAGAGGGGGTAGGTTGAGAGACGGCGACCAATTGGTGTGACTTGCCCGTTGGCAGAGAGGGCGCCGAGGTTCTTCAGTAGTTTCTCTGCCTTGGCCAGACCCTGACGGCTTGGGGGCGTAGGGAAGGGGAAGTTGATCACGTTGTGCAGACCCATGCTCTTCATTTGAAGCACAACGCCCTCGATAGGAGTGCGCAGGATTTCGGGCTCGGTGTACTCAGCGAAGTCGCCTTCGTATACAGCCGAGGAATACAATCTGTAGCAGTGACCGGGGCCTGTTCGACCGGCACGACCAGCTCTCTGGTTTGCACTGGCTTTGCTAATCCAGCCAACCTGGAAGCTCTGGACACCGGTAAACAGGTCGAATTGCTTTTCTTTGGCTCGTCCGCAGTCGAAGACATACTTGATACCAGGAATAGTGAGGGAGGTTTCGGCGACGTTGGTGGCTAGGATGATGAGTCGCGAGTTCTCCGGCGCTGGCTCAAAGACTTTCATCTGCTCTTTTGTGGGGAGCTGAGAGTATAGCGGTAAAACGTGGACCCGAGTAGATGAGTCCATGGCTTCTTCGCCGAGGTCAAAGTCCTCGTCGTCCTCTGGATCATCCAGTCCAGTGATTTCAACATCACTGTCGTCATCTCCGCCGATGTTGTTCATCTCCGTCTCTCCGAATTCCATATCTTCTGCTTCCAGGGGTGCATCATTGGCTGTGATTTGCACCTTGGCATGCGTTGTATCCGCTCGCTGGGTGGGCTTAAATGCCTGCTTCAAGCGTTTCGAGAGCTGTCGAATCTCATTTTGTCCAGTCAGGAACACAAGCATTCCACCGGGTGGCAGCTTGCGGTGTCCTCGCGAGACCTTTCGAAAAGCTTCCTCAACATAGTCGCGGTGCGTACGACGAGCGAAATGAACAGAGACGGGATATTGACGACCTTCTGCCTGAACCAAAGGAGGTGGCCCTTGGCGAAACAGACTTGAATTCTCAGTGAAGTCCGAGATTCGTAGAGTGGCAGACATGATAACAACTTTCAGTGGGGTCACGGACGAGTCTTCCTCGCTCATAGATTTGCGCAGCTCCACGATACGGCTGACCATACCGATGAGAATATCGGTGTTCACACTTCGCTCGTGGGCTTCGTCGATTATGATCACAGAATACTTTCGGAGAGCAAAGTCATCCGCGATTTCACGCAGAAGAATACCATCAGTCATGAACTTGATGGCGGTGTTCTTGGAAGCAGTCGACTCAAATCGGATCTGATAAGACACTTTATCGGAGTATTGGCCCAGCTCCTGAGAAACACGGTTCGCCATACTCACAGCGGCAACTCGACGGGGTTGGGTGACACCAATGAGACCTGGATTCGGACTGTCTGGGTTACCAAATCCAGATTCAAAGAGGAATTGCGGTAACTGAGTTGTCTTTCCACTACCGGTAGCACCCCAAATGACGACTGTTGAGTTGTTGTGGATTGCTTCCATGATCTTCTGCTCCTCGCCAACAACCGGGAGGCCGAGACGGGCAGTTTGGATTTCCTCTGAGCGATCAACTGAAACGCTGAACGCTTTGCGGTTCGGATTCCCATGTGTCACCTGAAGCTCTTGGGGCAGAGGGTCCTCCTCGTTTTTCCTTGGTTCCTGTTTTGGTGCAGATGAATGATCATGATCATTGACCATCGGGCCGGTGGTCGGCTTAAAGCCTATAGCTTCATTGATCTGCTGTACAGCCCAAGACTTGAAGGCGGACTGTCGTGGCTTGATAGTTTTCACTTTTTCTTCGCCATCATCGTCCTCATCTTCCTCATCTTCCTCATCTTCCTCATCTTCCTCATCTTCCTCATCTTCCTCATCTTCCTCATCTTCCTCATCTTCCTCATCTTCCTCATCTTCCTCATCCTCATCGTCCTCATCGTCCTCATCTTCATCCTCATCGTCCTCAAGATCGTTTTCTTTATCCTCTTCATCCTCCTCCTCCTCCTCCTCCTCATCTTCCTCATCAGATCCAAAACCCTCCCACGCAACCTCCTTCACAGGCGCCGGAGCCGGTTTCTTGTTAGTGCGCTTCCGCTTCTTAATGACAGGGAATCCATCAGCCCCAAGCTCAAGTGGCCGCTTCAAACCACTTCCAACAGGTGCAAGAGGTTTAACCAGTGGTTCGGGGTCAGTAGCGGGATCAAAAGCCTTCAAATCAGCATCCTCATCGTCACTCTCATCATTGTCCGCAATAGTATCGTGATCGCGATCGCGGCGCCTTTTCTTAGCGTTGAAATCCTTGAAACTCTTAAAATTGGATGTGTCCACCTTTGACTGAGCAAGTTTCTTCAACAGTTCAAGATTTTCTTCCTTCCTGAGTTTGTTCTCCTATAGCAGTATTATAAAATTAGAAATCTTCTTGCAATGCGAGTAATTCAATGCAGCTAAAGAGTAGATATAGGTCAACGCACGATATATTTATCAAGTCGCTTCTTCTTCTTCGACGACACATTCGTATTAGAGCTTTGAGCTTGTAGCTCCTCGCGCAGCTTCTGTCTCCTCGCCTCTTTCTCATCTTTAGAAACGGGTGCTAGCTCCGCGACATTGGTGTCGACATGCTCAGTAGGCTCCTGACGCCGGTGTTTCTGCTTTCGCAAACGTGGCGTGAATTTTGGCTGCGGCATCCTGGGCAAAACTCGTCTAGAGGCGACAAGCTACAATCAAGACCCTGGCAATTCACCTCTGTTGGCTGCTCGGGGAAAAAAAAATCGAGGATGCTAGTTGGCGGTGAGTTACTGCCGATTATATTGTGGGGCTTGACTGACCGCTTTTCTGATCGGCCATCAACTACTCGCTTGTTGTATTTGATATCACTTCGAGCAAGAAACAAGCATGGCGTCTGTGGATGAGCTTCTTCAGGGAGCTATGGATCTGCCATTTCCTGCTCCTACTAAACAGGTGGCTGGGCTGGTAGATGGTGTCAAAACTGACGTTATGGTCATGAACTTCAGTGATAAGATCTTGGTGACTATCTCACAAGAAGGTCGCCTCGCTCATTGGGTGTGTTGCCATTGATTATTTCTATGTTTGAGCTGAACTGACTATCTTATAGCTACATGTGCCACTTGGAAATTCAAATCCCGGCACAGATGGCATGCACACCTTCTCCGAGGGAGCGGATGATGGTCTTTTGCCCCTCAGCAGCTTGACGGCTACCTCTTTACTTGGTGGGCATGCCCCTGGACAAGATACTACAGGCCAACTACTTGCTCGACAGATAGCAACTTCCATTGCAACTAAATCTCCCGCTGAAAAGCGGCTACTAGTTGTTGGCTTAGGACTTGGCAAGACCGGTGAAGATCGTGATTCCTTCTTTTCTATTATCGACCTTGTTTTGCAGTGTATTTGATGGTTGATGTCTAGTTCTAGCGCTTGTTCAACGTCTTTGAATGAAGGGGATTACGATACAATTAGCTTTCCTCGCAATCTTATATTACGCAAACATCTAACACCTAGCGGGAGAATTAATTGAGAGGAGATTGATATCCATAGCGGGTCTCATTTTATTGATATTTTGTATGAATACAGGCAGTAAGAAAGCCAACAGGCGTACCTTGAAATAAGTTATACTTAACAACTGAGGTGGTGAACTGTCGGCCATGATCACAAAATAGCAAGCCCCATATCCGAATATGCATGACATCTTAGCATCTTGTGCAGAAGAAGGAAGAAATAATAGAACAAGAGGACTGTGTCGTGCTTGAAAGTCCCAGGGTGTTTCATGTTCCAGTATTGTCATAGACTGGGAGCATCCTTGGCAACCCATAAAACACACGACACCGACTCCAGATACTCAGTCCGAAATGGGAAACACAATTGGCGTTCGTGGTGAGCTGAGCAAGAAAAGAGTCAATGGTAATAAAAAAAATAAACAGGTGAAGGGGTTCGGCCAGATAAACAGGACATGATGGTAAAGGAAAGAGATCCGTCCAAGATCCATGCACATCAGCACAGGGATGATAATAGGATAAGATAACAATGCACCGTAGCGCCGTGGAGCCATGATAAGATAAACACGTAAGAGGTATAGCCCGCCGGATCCCCTATATGTAAGCGCCCATATTAGAATATTGAAAAGGAAAAAAAAAAAATGAATCGGGACCCGTGCAGAATTAGGAAGTGATTTTGGGCGGAAAAGTTGGGAAGTTAGTTGGCATGGGCAATGTTCAGGTGAACACCACCGTTAGCGCCGTTGGTTCCGTTGGAGCCGTTACGGCGAACACTGAGGCTAACACCACCGTTGATACTGTCGCTGCTGCCAGACTCAGAGCTGGAAACAGAGTTCACGCTGCCGCGAGCCAGGTCAATGGAGCGCTGCAACTGAAGAGTAGCCGACAGGTCAATGGGAGGAGGTGTAGGTGGAGCAGCGCCAAAGGGGCCACCATTCTGCTCCGAGGTGGGTATGATACGTGTTGAGGGCTGAGGCGACGATTTGTGGGAGTGGGGAGGTGTCGCGGTCCCAGGGGCATTTGGAGGGGCGTTCGCAGGGGCGTTGGTGTTGAAAATGAGTTTCTCAATAGCGAGGATCTGCTTGCCATAGCTGAACTTCTTCAACGCGGTGAGCAAGGGTTTAATGTGGTCGACCAACATCTCTCGCTCTTGACCCTTCAGCTGACCCAGAACTTTTTCTGAAAGGAAGTTAGCAATGAACTATTTTAGTGATGGGTGATGAACATACGGATAACATAATTGCCATACTGGTCGCGCATAAGACCAAGTAAAGGGCTCTCATTGCGATCTGTGTTAGTGAGTGTTGAGATGATCAGGTGGCGCTGGACTGCTCCTCCAAATTCAATGCTCTTCTCAACAACATTGCTCGCGAACTTATGCTTGGAGTATGTAAGAAGCTGCGACATAACATGGCTGATCATGCGGTCGCGATCCTCCGTTTCACCATTCTCAATCACATGCTGAATAACATAATTACCGAATTGGTCAGGGATAAGGGTGGTGGTGCACGAGTGTAGTTCCCGAAGGATATCCTGACGATCATCCTCCTCACAGTGTTCCAGCATCCGCTGGATAACACGGCATCCATAAGGGTGGGCAGCGAGGCGGTGAACCTGGCCACGGAAGGCATCGATAATGAAGCGAATGTATTGTGTCGGCACTCGCTCAATTGCCTTCTGGATCACGTGGTTACCGTTCTGATCCTTAACACACTTCAAGACATGGTGTTCTAGCTCCTTGACCATAGAGGCCTGCTGGTCCACGAGAATGTGTTCAAGGGCCTATGAAAGATTAGTAACTCGTTAGATCGATATGGAGAATTAATCATACCTTCTGAACGACTCGGCACCCGTACATCTGGGTAGACAAGGCGAGAACATGACCACGCATCTGGTTAGCCATCTGTTTCTTCTGAGTCTGGTTACCATGTTCAAACAACTTCTGAACAACGTAGTTACCGAAGACGTCAGTCATCAATTGTAAAGCGTTAGGGCGAATTTCACGGAACACCTGTTCTTTCTCGTCGCTATTAGCGGTCTCAAGCTTTTGCTGAATGAAACGAGATCCATGCTGATCACCACTGAACTCAACGACATGATTGTAGATGTCCTATTTGCGAAGTTAGTGAAGTTGGCAGAAATAATGCGGGTGGTGTCCGTGGAACTTACTTTGAGTTCATAACGCTTGTTACCCTTGGTGTTCGCCCGGAACTCTTCCAGGAGAGCGCTGCGAGAGCCCTGGGAAGAGTCAATCTCTTGGACACGGTGCGCGCGTGTCGCTCCAATCTGGCCAAGCTGATTCATTTGATAGTAGTTTTGCAACGCGGGCAAACGTGCTTGGTATCCCATAGGGTAATCAAGCTGTTGAGCCTGCATCTGGTTTGACATGCGCTGAATAGGGGTTTGGGCATGCATGAGGTCACGCTCGTGAATGGAGCGCATGCGGCGATTGAAATTAACGACCTCAGGATTCGGGATACCGCCACCGTTGTAGTGAGTAGGAGCTTCAATGCCAGGGTAGAGCGGACTGCTCATGCGGCCGTAATCAGAGGGAGAGTTAGAGCCCGTGTTGCCGTTACGAGAACGTGATTGGTACTGGAAGTTGGCCTGGGAATTTTCGGCGATGTACCGGCTGATAGCATCGTAGTTATCCTCGCTGCTCTGATACCGAGCACGGGGAACAGAGGCATCAGGGACCTGGGGTCCGTATCGGTGGATGGCCTGATTGGCGAGGGCCAATTCAGCGTCATTGAACTGCAAAGCGTTCAAGCCCGCGGCTATCTCCAAAACACTGCTCTCATAGGAACCCTCACCGTGACTGTCCGAGTAGAAAGAGGGGTGGGCGGAGTGTACCGGTCGCTGGGTATAAGAGACTGAATTGTGGGACACGTGAGCGCCATTGCGCAGCGGCGGGGGAGACATGTTGCCGGATGCACGAGGGCGGGCAGCTCTATCATCCCGCGCAGTCTCGAGAGATGTCGAGTACGGGTAGTTGACTCCAACAGGACTTCCGTTATGACCAGCGGAAGTGATAGGTTGACGACCAGACAAAGGAGGGTATGACATATTGTCTGTAGGAGAGATACCCCCAGATGGGGCCTGCAGGTACGATCGACTCGCACCGCCTGCAGAGCTAGGCATAGCAGAAGAACGAGGCAGCGCAAAGTAAGAGCTGTCAGAAGCTTCATTCATGGCAGGTGCACTACGATCGTTGGCGCGTGCCTGGTTGGGCGAATGACCCATGCCCCGGTTCTGACTAGTTGTCACGGGAGCGTTCGAAGTGCTCCAGGGCACATTGTGGCGCGCAGCCCATCCATCTGATTCTGAAGTGGACAGCAAGGAGCTGGAGCCCGAACTGGGCTTGAAGCTATTATCACCGTTCTGTTGATCTATTTCCAACATGTCAGTAAACCTAAGTGTTCTCGAATTGATCAAATAATGTATGATCTCACCACTCCAAATGGTGTGCAAACCGTTGTTGTGACCACCAAAGCCATTGCTTCCTTTGCGGGATCCACCTGCACGATCGTTGTTCACGCCAGACGAAGACATGTTACCACCAATAGATGAGCGTCCCTGCAAGTGTCCGGTCAGCGAGTGACCCAAGATATTGTTTTTGTAATCACCACTTACGTTCTGCTCGGATGCGTTAGCAGCCATTGAAGAGGCCGTGGAACGCGATCAACGAGTGCAACGAGCAAAAGACGAACGAAAGTTCGAAACTTGAAGCGAGTCGGTATGACAACCGATGTGCTCGCAGGTGGCGCTGGGCGATAGAAACGAGCGTACACGAAGAGTTTTAAATCTAGAGATTGATGTGACAGTTAGAAGGAGCTCACATGCGATGGGGGGGGGAGCAGGTAGGGTGCCAGGGCGCAACCACGGGCAAGGTAGGGGAGGGGTCAACATACCAAAGGATTGTTAGAAGTACCGTAGGATATCTTCTGGCGAGGGTAGGTGTTGTTGGCACTTTTTCAGTCTCAGCCACGAACCCAGGACATGTATCACAACTGACGGCTGACGAAGGGGTGAGGTTGGTACGATGACGATGCTTTGCAAACCCGTCCAAAAAAAAGTCAAGTAGCAAAGAAAAAATAACCGCAAGGCGATAAAGAATTGATAAAATGGAAGTCTCCCTTCGTTTGTCACAACAAAAGTAGAAGTCTAGCCGGAGGGGCTAAACTGAGTAAGTGGTTGCTCAGTTCGCTCCGTGCATAACCCAGGAATCTTGCTTGCCGATCCCACTCATGTGCCTTGAAGTCGATCACCGAGAATGGGGTTGATGAGATGCGCAAGGGGGGATGTTGCGAGGACGGGGGAGAGATAGGGTAGAGTCGAAAAAATAATGGAATGTCGCGCTTGTTGCGCAGCCTGATAAAACCTGCTGTGACGTTTGTGGGTTGAAGGGGAATGTGGGAAGTCAAATCAAAAAAGAGAAATGACAAGGTAGTGTTATTCAGCTGTCGTCACACAGCAAAAGCAAGCTTAGGAGTTGGAAAGATGGAGGCCAGTGGAAGTATGAGTTGTGATAGAGGGGGAGGTGAGGAGGAAAGAAAGGAGGGAAGGTAGACAAGGAAGAAGAAGAGAAGACGTGACACGAGCGTTGGGGGGGGGGGGGGAAAAAAAAAAAAGAAAAGTTGACCGCCGCGTTTTCTGTGATGGAAAATGGAAAATGATAGATAACAATAAGACGAAATATTGATGCTTTCAAGATCAGCCGCTTCATGTATTGTTTTAGTATTAACTTAACCATTATGATGCCTTGAACAGGGTCGATCCTGGATAGGTACCTTACTTTGTATATGGTGTCTCCTATTAAAGGAAGTACTGCCAAGGCCCAGACTGATGTTCGGGCATTGTATGGCAGGCGTATTGTATTGTAATAGATGATCGTTTGATCTTTGGCTTCCCGCCGCCTTTTTAGCTTCTTTCTTCTTTAATTGTTGACCATTTCTAGGACATCTCATTTCTGATATCAACCTCAATCTTTTGTACCCAATGTATTTCTACGGTTGGTCTGGTTGTACTATTAACCATCTACTCTATAATATCTCTTCTATTTTACTCGATAAAATCTCAGACCTCAAACATCAAACCTCAACAACTTCCACTGACCGCTAGATTCAAACCCCCTCCATATTCCATGGTCTGCATATGAGAAGCAAACTGTGCCTTTTATGTCGTAGTTCATGTCAAAGATTCAGTTCCAGGTTCAGGTTCAGGTTCAACCCCACCCAACTTCGGCCAAGTATTCCTAGCGATCCACTCCAAGTATTCCTAGCGATCCACTCCAAGTAACTCCTGGCATCCTACTACTAACCATGGTCAGGCTAATTCAGCAGTACAGATCCAAGGCTGAAAGGAAACAAATTACCTATTAATCTGCAGGTGAGGGGTTTCTAATAAAAAGACTCAACCGACTCAAATGGGATAAATTGGAGAGATCAAATACCGAATGCAGGACGTGGAGCATATGCGATCGGGGATCCACAGGGATCCCAGTAAGGTAAGTGATTAAAGGATATTTATACAGTAGTCACCTAGTATTTACTGGCTACTATGTACTAGTTGCTACCTAGGTATAAACCATATTTAATGTTGCCTAAACATACCGTTCTACACGTATCTACCTATGTACCAAGGTACTACCTAGGTAAGCAAGTACCATTCTAGTCTCTCTTGAGACGTTTTTTACTTGGTCAGAAACTCAATTACAACATACTTATATCGAGGTAGAATCAGTAAATTACAATAATATCATTCCCATTCTATAATCCATACATTATTACCGAGGTACCTCCTACTTCTTCCCCTTATTATAAATAAACAAATAAACATTAACATTAATAAAGGCGTCGGCAATAGTGCCGAAGATAAACTAGCTCAAATATTCCGAGTCAACCCCTTACTTAGGTACTCATCTCCATCCTTGGTTGTATACTTCGGCACTAGCATCAGACTACCGGCTTGAGCCGATAAGACCAGACTTTTCAATTCCAGTAATCATTGACTCATATGAGGTCAAATACCATCCAGGTCATCCCAGTGTCATATTTCGCTCCCGGCGGGATTGGAAAGAGGCCGAGACATGGCCGCAAGTCATGAGCGCACAGGATATGCAAGTCTGGATCCGTACACTGTGGTACAAGACCGGTCATTACTCATCTTCTACATCTAGAAAGCGATGCAATTCTTGACCTTTTTGACTAGAGGGATGAAGGACCCGCTTGTGGAGTCTGCTTGCACTTGTGGCTTACTCAAGGTTTGACGTGCAAGTGCGGAGATGGGATCAAGATATCCTGCAAATCTTGAAACGTGATACATGAAACTTTCCATTTTCCCTCAATCCAGTCAGATATTGCGTGCTGTCATTGATCTATAAAAAGTCGTTGCGCTCACTTCGATCTCACCCTACCTGGGTACTAGGACCAATCCACTTGGTGTAGTTTAGAACAGTTCGACGCGTGTTCCTAGTCATGTTTACGATGTGACCGAGTCTTGTTGCCACGGATGTACCCCATCTTATTTCTTTAAATAGCGGGTTTGCCCTGCGCAGTCCTCCTTTTGCCTGCATTAGCGGATAGTGTATTTGCTATCAGGGCTGTCAACTGCCAAGTGACTTGACTAGATCTTGTTGCTTAGACCCACGTGTGATGATTGTCGGGTTTCTCGAGAATATTGATATAACCAGGTAGATATTAAAATTACGATGGATGATGTGATGTCGCCACTGATGATGGGAGCACAGTCATCAGGCGCTCATACTCCATAGTTAACTAAAATCACGCAACGACATCTGCAACATCCATTACATGACATGGGAAATCTCAATAGCTCTGGAGATACTAGATTTTGCCTCCCTCTATACTTAGTTACAGGGCGCTGGAGGTGTGTCTCTACACCTCATCAGATCTTCTCCCGGTAGAAATTTACTTTGGGAAATCAACATGAAACAGCATTGTCGGCTACGTTCTCTCCAATTGTGATACATTCCAAGGTTCCTCGGTAGTCAATGGTTGTCACAGGAGGACGTAGGTATGTACGGAGTACTGTACTTAGAATGGATGTCCTTCTTTCAGTATGCGGGTAGCCGATCGAACCCATGCGGGCATCCATGTAGAAACAGCCATGAACCGGTCCCGAGGCTGTAAAGTATCGGAACGGGTGTTTTCAGGAGGTGAGGTTGATAACCATTGGAAACAATTAAGAACGTTGAGCTTGGGGAACGTTGCCGGAATCTTGGGAAAGAGTCTGTGGGGTTAAGTGGAGTACTCCTAGTATCGATTTTGGGCGGTGAACAAAAAATGGGGTTCAACTATTCTGCCACGAAGATATTGATTTATTGAGGCTAAATAACACCCCAGTTTGCAATTAAATACAATTCTGTTCTATACGTCTACATGTTGTCTACACTATGGAAAATTTCGAGGGTATTCCCATTTAAAACCATCACCCGGGTGATGTTGGGGTTTTCCAAGGCTCCAAGCTTATGTTTTGAAATAGATCAATATATTTATTTCTTGCGCCATCTCAAATTCGGGAAGTACCACCATTGTCCACGAGATTACACGAATATACAAGTACCTAGGTACTAAACCCAAACATTCATCCTTGGCCGGGAGCAGCCCTTCGAAGGATAAATGTGACAAAAGTCCTTAATTCTTTAGCATATGTTCATCTTAACTACACACTCTCTGAACTCGAGAACGAATAATTTTTTACAATAGGTATCTAGAGTTGGGATGTTAAGTATTACATAGCCTTTAAGACTTCAAATATCCGCTGCCTACCTAGATATGGAAGCCTTGGAATATTGACGGATTCCATGGTTTTGTAATTCGGTTCCCTAGGTAGTTACTTTAAATAATATTTAGACAGCACCAAGGCACATATTTTTTTCTGAGTACATCAAAGATGTGAGAATTTATTGCGCTTTCTACCTATTATGATATACTTAGACTTCCTATCTAGGTAGGTTTACCTAATTGTTGGGTACCGGGGGCCTGGAGGTAGTGTATATATCACCTATTCAGACGCCGGTCTTCCCCAGTTTAAGCAGATACTCCGTTAATTGTGGGGTTGAACTTTTTTTTTTTCAAAAGATTTCACTTGGAGTTCCATATAAGCATATCTAGGAGTGTAGGGTGGAAGTGTGGCTGTACAGTTCGGATCCTGGCGGAGTTTCAAGCAGGTTGTTTATTTTGATCCCGAACTCATTTAAAGTTATACTTAGTAAGGTAGTACTAGTCTGCTTCATCATCGTTTGAACTGCAGCAAATCTCACTGGAGAACAAAACCAGCATAGATCTAATCTTAATTGACCGAAACTCTTCCATTTAGTCAAATGGCCTGATGAGATTGCTCTGCCTTACTAGATGCTGTTTCACCCAAGATTTAAGGTTATTGGATGTTCGAGGATACGGAAGAAGTTCAAAATTGAGACTTAAGTATTATGTGAGCACGTCTGACAAACACACCGTCACATTTTATGAGCGCTTATTTGAAGGGTTGAAATGTGCCCGTTCACTAGTTTTTGACTAACGATACTTAAGGGGGGAAAAACAAAAATAAATAGGTATCCAGCTGGCCAATTAACTTGCATTCTCCACAATGAGCTCCGTACTTTCAGGCACAATTAGCATATGATTGGCTGACTTAGTAACTCCATCTGCTTACATCAATCTGAGGCTAAGCCATAAGTAGTTTAGCTCAATCCAAAAAAGTGTACACAAAGTTGGGTGGATGGTAGAGACACACCCTAGAGTCTAGGTCAAAGCCGGTTCCTTTCTTCCCCTGGTTTTCCCTTCATTCTCTACCCTTCTTAACCCTCTCCACAACTCTCCCCCATTCTTTCCCACAACTCCTTTCGTCAGTAGTAGCTTCACTCTCTCAGCTACACTGCGATCCATTCCTTCCAAGTCAAATTCTATTCCCCTCTTTTTTTTTTTTTTTTAACCTGGTTATCTTTCGGTATCCGACAGCCCACAACCGTTCGACAGTCATTCGACGATTATTCAACAATTATTCAACAATCATTCTTTCAACCCTCAGCTAGTCTGTGACTCTGTACTCAAGAATTCAAACCCTGAAACATCCTTGACCTGGATGATAAACACCACACTCTTTCCAACATAACTTCGACGATCGCTGTCCAAGCCGACAGTCTACGAACCTCGATCTTGACATTGACTTCAAACTTACATCGACAAGATGTTTAACCTTCCCAAACTCGCTGTCCGTGATAACGACAGCAATGACAGTGGTCTCTCCGGTCCTATTGTCGATCTCCTGATCTCCCTTCTCGTCCTCGTCCTTTTTGCTCTCGTTTTGCTCGGGAGCCTGCTGCTCATCCGTCGCAAGCGCCAGTCTCGCCAAGACTCACTTCTCCCCGTTCACAATGGACAACGCAACACTCGCCGCCTGACTATCTCTGCTGGAGGCAAAACCAATTCCATCATGGTCTGGGACGAAAAGCACAACCTTATTGAGAACTCCCACAGCCCCCCAACTAGCCCTGTTCCTGCTATTCATATCACTTTCCCGGAGGAAGAGGACGAGGCTGGCAAGCGCAAGTCGGGACGTGTGGTTGTTGTGAGAATCAGCGAAACCGGCGGAGTTGGCCTAGAACCTTATCACGAAGATGATCTTCCCCCATACCAGACCAGTGACTCTGACCGCTTCCAGTCCCTCGACATTGAACGTATGGGTGGATTGAAGGAAAAGGGTGAGCTGAACAACTATCATTAAAAAAACGGGTGATACCAGCAGCGCATTATTGTCCAACGCTATATCTCACAACTATCCGCTACTTCATCCACAACCCGTTTCTTCGACGACCTCCCAAAACATGACGAGCATCTCCGCGGACATTTATCTTCCTCTATTACATACCCAATTCCTCAACCTCGACCTAACCTTTAACCTACACCGGCTTTGCACATATCCCAAATCTACCCGTTTTGATGTTTGGCCACCACCAGACATATATTCAAATTATGCAAACTATCCGAAGCGAACTGATCGCATCCCTGCCTGGAGAACTGCCGTGTGCTGATAATTGTCTATCAGCAAGGACCAGTCCGACGATTGCTTGGAGCAGATTGTTTTCACGGCGTTTTATCTTTTCTTCTCTAGTCTCCAGTGATATTCAACCCTGCCATGTCCCTAGGGTCTGAAACACTAGTGACAATTTTTTATCCCCCTATCTTCTCTTCGACAATTCAATTTTAACAGGCGACGTCATTTTCACTTTTTCCTTGCACGATCGCCCCTACTTGACCTCCTTGCATTCTTATGTGGCTTTTGGTACTTCGGCAACTGGATCATCTTATGTACATAGTTTTTTCTTCATTAAGCAACTCAATTACCTGTTAGATTCGATTTCTTATTCATGTAAACGTTTGAGGTTGTATAGTTGAATGTTAGTATGGCAGAAGTTAGGGGCGGCCAATCAGAGTGCGAGCTTCCTCCGCTTCCGTCCAAAGAGAAATTTGGCTTCTTTTCATTCCCACAATTCATTCTTGACTCTCCTTCATTTTATATTCAATCCCCTGGTCGATTGCCAGAAGACATGTACAGTTTGTAATACCATAATTCTTATAGGGAAGCCGCTCGCCAGAAGAGCACAGACAGGGGCCCATCCCAACCGCTTTCCTAGTTCCCACCTGAAGGCGGGTCAATTACCTTGATACGTGCTATTTTTCCGGCTTCCCTGTTCATTTCAACCTTTCGCAGTTTGCGCCTACTACTCCCGAGCAGCGCTTGGTCGCGCCGCAACGTTTGGAGGTTGAAAATTACCATTGCGTACCTACGGCAAACCCCGGCTCAGACATGGTCTCGACATCATCTGTGGGGCCTGCAGGCACGACCTCGTCTCTCAATGGCTCGAAAACTCCATCGACCTCCCGAAACCAGATACCTGGAAAGAAGGCTGTGAAGGGAAAGAAGAATGCTCTTCAGCAACATGAAAAGTCGCAGGAGCTTGAGCAAGACTTCACAAGAAAACATCTTGGAGTACTCGGTGTATTGGCTTGGATCCTGTGAGTTGGTACCTGGTGGCGATTTCTAGAGTTTTGCACCCCGATAATGGACCTAGAGAACATAGGATGCTGATCTTGCATTCCCCGGCAGATTCTTACATGCTGCTGGCATCTACTTCTTCAAAAATGGCTTCCTTCTTACGAGGATGGTACTGGACAATAAATCATCCTGCGAGTTACCCCCTTTTGACGACGCCGTACATGCAGAAAATAAAGGAACCGGTTGCTGGCATGAGAAATCGTTTGAAAAGGCCGTTGTAATCATCATAGATGCTCTCCGATATGACTTCACAGTGCCGTTCTCGCCCCATGAACCGAATGAAGAAGCTCAGCTTTTTCATGATAATATTCCCATCCTATACGAGACCGCTGTCAAGAGTCCTTCCAATGCTTTCTTGCTGCCTTTCATCGCTGACCCGCCAACGACAACTTTGCAGCGACTGAAGGGTTTGACTACGGGAACCCTGCCCACTTTCCTCGACGCCGGTTCCAACTTTGCCGGCACTGCAATCGACGAGGACAATCTAGTTGCGCAGTTGCATGGCGCCGGGAAAACCCTGGTGCAGCTCGGTGACGATACATGGCAATCACTTTTTCCGGGATACTTTGATGAGAACCTTACTCATTCTTATGATTCGTTCAATGTGTGGGACTTGCATACAGTTGACAATGGCGTCAATAAAAATCTGTTCCCTCTCTTGCGTCCAGAAAACAGTGCTAAGTGGGATGTTATTTTTGGACATTATCTCGGTGTTGACCATGCCGGTCACCGCTATGGACCTAATCACCCTGCCATGGCTGCCAAGCTCCAGGAGATGGATGGGGTCATTCGCAAAATCATCGCTTCTCTGGATGAAAAGACACTGCTAGTTGTGATGGGAGACCATGGAATGGACACCAAGGGCGATCACGGTGGCGAGTCTGACGAAGAGGTACAGGCGGCTCTTTGGATGTACTCGAAGCGCAAATCTTTCGGCCGTACAGACCAGGAGACTGTGCTCCCACCAAAGCATGCTAAAGACCGATCTGTCCCTCAGATCGATCTTGTCCCGACTCTCTCATTGCTCCTCGGCATGCCCATTCCGTTCAACAACCTGGGCTCCCCCATCGAAGAAGCCTTTGTTGGACCTAGTGGCAATGACTGGGCTAACTTGGCTACCGTTAATCGTCTGACATCCGCTCAGATCAAGAGGTATCAGCATGCATATGCGAATGCTCAAGGCGCCGGTGATGACAAAGAGTCGTTTGCTCTTTGGAGTGCTGCAGAGGAGGAGTGGAAGTCCTCATCGAAGGGCTTCACTTTCAAGTCGACCGCCGTCCGTTCCAGCTATGAGCTCTATCATAAATACCAGCGACACACTCTTGACATTTGCCGTGGACTTTGGGCCCGTTTCGATATCGCTGGTATGATTCAGGGTGTTGTTCTTCTCTTCAGCGGTATATGTGTGTTGGTTCTCTATGCGCGTGGAATGAAAGCGGACCGAACTGAGCTCACTTCAAAAATATTATCCTCTGTGGGTATTGGATCTGGAGTAGGTGCTGCAGCTGGTGCCGTCTTGGGCTTGGTAGGACTTACCAATATGACAGTCATTGAACTTTCTGTCTTGCTGGCTGCGGTGGGAAGTATAGTGGGTGGTGTGCTTGCCATGGTCGACAAGTCATCCCATCTGACTTTTCCTCTCCCCAACGGTATTTGGGGATGGCTTGCCTTTTTTTTCACATTATCACAGTCATTGGGATTTGCATCCAATTCTTATACAATCTGGGAAGACGAGATTCTCCTCTTCTTCCTCACCACTTTCGGCGTCTTTGCCGGTGTCTCATCCATGCGCCAGAAGTTGACCACAGACCGAGTCCTCGGAGTATATCATTCCGTCCTTTTCGTGATCCTAGGTCGAGTCGCGTCCTTTTCTCGCCTCTGCCGCGAGGAACAGATGCCCTTTTGCCGTTCCACCTACTACGCATCTTCTACCTCCTCCATCTCCGCGCCTTGGCAATTGGGGATTCCATTCCTGGTCACTCTCTTTCTTCCCAGCGTGGTTCGGTCCTTCTACACAGGCTCCAAGTCCTACGAAGGCGCCGCTGCTTTGTGGATTGGGTTTGCTTTCCGCCTAGGTCTGCTCATCACGTCGCTGTTTTGGCTGCTTGAGGGCGCCGACGACGGTGAATGGCTGCCCATGAGCAAAGACACGCTCAAGTCTATTCGGACTTTTCTAGCGCAGATTGTTCTTGTGCTGGCCTTTGGTGCAGGCACTGCCGCATACTTTTACTCAAAGCCATGTGTTAGCATCAGTGTGAATAAGCCAGCCGAGGACCCCAATGCGCCCCCAGCTCCCATTATCGCTGGCCAGCAGCAGCAACCGCGAACCACTGTGACTATCTTGGGCTTCGGCAATGTACATGGCACACGTTTCTTCTTCCTAGTTGTCAACTTTGCCCTTGCCATCATCCTCATGCAAAAGCCTATGGGCCAAGGCGCCATTGCCCTCCTCCTTTGGCAAATTCTCTCCCTCCTTGAAATTCTTGATACAAACGCCCTCACCCTGACCAACTCCTCCATCGGTCCTGTCGTACTGGGTGTCCTCGGATCATTCTACTACTTCAAGACAGGCCACCAAGCGACACTGAGCAGCATCCAATGGGAATCAGCCTTCATTCCTCTCTCCACAATCAAATACCCCTGGTCACCACTCCTAGTAGTGCTGAACACCTTCGGCGCACAAATCTTAGTCGCTCTCGCCGTGCCACTAACTGTCCTTTGGAAACGCCCCCTCCAAACTCACGACTCCAACTCTAAGTTTGCGAATCCCGCCACAAAACTGCTCTCAGATGTCATGCAAGCTGCGTGCACACACATTCTATACCTAGCTACTATCAACCTGGCCACGACCATGTGGGCTGGCCATCTACGTCGCCACCTAATGCTCTACCGCATCTTCAGCCCTCGTTTCATGATGGGTGCGGCTGTCCTGGGTGTCGTGGATGTCGTTCTCATGATTTTCGCTGTTGCTGGTGTGCGTTGGAGCACTCTTAGCGTTGGCGAGGTCTTTGGCTGGTGATGGGATATCTTTGAGGTTTTGGCTGCTCTAATTTTCTTTGTATCATCGTTTCTCTATTGTTTGAAAACTGAAAATTAAATAATCTGTAATATAACTATAGAAGTCAATTTTATTCTTTGATTATCTTCGAGATATCATCACATTCGTCTTTTCATACTCGGGTATCTCTCTCTTCACTCCAGGGCTGTCACTCCACTTCACTCTCGCTCTCACTTTCGCTCTCACTTTCACTTTCACTTTCACTTTCACTCATGGACTTTCAAGGTTTCATTCCATGCCAATTAGCTTTCCCACCCAGAGCTAATCCCCTATATAAACCCTGCGCGTCCTTCCTCCTAATCTATTCCTCATTCATCACACATCATCCTCCCAGCCTTGAAGGTTCCATCCATTACTTTGGAATATCGGCCGGTACTTATCACCTTTGCGACACGGATTTTCTACGAAATCGTATACTCTTCAATTCTGCACGGCCTATATGACTTTAGAATAGCTTCTTTGGAGCTCATTTACGCAAAAACCAACCAATTTATGGATAGTGGGCATATTTACTACCCGAGAATGTCTGCAAGCGGAATCCAATCGCACTTGGTGGAAATGTGCATCCGAAAATACCTAGTCAATTGAGAACGGCTGCATATATCTCAAGAGAAGGAAAGTGATAAGAACCTGAAGCCTGAAGACACTCTATACAGTTGCTGTCAGCACCTTGTTACCTCATCGGCAGTGACTACTGCGCGGAGGAGCAAGTGCCAGAAGCAGAAGCGCTATGCTCTATGAGTAAGTCTTCAGTACAAGTTGTCTCATAGAGTCTGATTTTAATACATTTTAGACCCTCGAGTAAGCTGCTCCTGTCGCTGAAGGAAATACTATAACGGCCCATCCACCACCATTCGACGACTGCTACAATGTCCTCGTTTGCATGAATATATCAGGTATCTAGATCTTTCCTCTGCGACTTCGCCATGAAACCCAGAGGCTATCTATCCCCCAACTTTGGAATACAGTCTACTGAATCGACCAATTTATCATCCACCTGCTTGCCCTGCAATAACAGGGTATAGACGCCCGGATAAAGCTTGTCACTAATTAGTTCCACAGAGGAATCTGTGCTATCTAAACACCTCTCTTAACAGAGACTATGATGTTCGACAAGTTTCTTGTGCATTAGAGAACGGTTACAGCAACGATAACTCGCATCCAGAGTACTACTGTGAGGAGTGTAAGACAAAACCTGTAGGTTGTTCTCAGGGGAACTCTGAAGAAGCACTACTAAATCACAACTGACTATCAAGAGAATAGAGCAACCTTTATTGCTGAAATGGATTGGAGGAAGTCAGTCACCTGCTATTCTATGAGTTTTGTAATAAGAAATTTCCAAAACTCACATATCATATAAAAAATTCAGCAACGCATCAGAGGAGAATTTGCAAGACGATGGCTACTGATAATGATGAGGAAAACCCAATTCAACCACAAAATATGCATTCCGATTACCCATTGAAGCATATTGATCCGATCTTGTGGAGCTGACCTTGCCTGGGAAATGAGTCTCGCAAATGATACGACAGCTTCCACCTGGATCACCTAGGTAATTTCTTGTACAAGGCTACTGGAATCACTATGAGTGGCAGAGCTCTCATCTCTTCTTCACTATCGTTCTCTGACGTTTCTCAATTTCACTTTCAACTTTGGATTTCACTCATACCATGGGCTAGTTCAGCAAAACAGGCCCTCAGCCAATTGCGATGGCCGACCTCTCAGATATTACTTGCGAAAGATCTGTTAGTTACTGGGAGATCTATATCTCGACTGTTAACATGAACCCGGATGCAAGAAAACATTCGAGCTGTGATACCTACAGTGATGTAGTTCGCCTCAATCAATTCCATGTGGTATTCTCATCAACGCTCACTTCATGGTTTTTTTTCTACGAAACGTATCTTGATACGGACTGCTAAAATCCATCGCCTTAAGCTTCAAGGGAAATGAAACAGGTTATGAAGAATCGAGATACATATCGACCTTTTTATGAATCTGGGAGTATAATGGTCCAGAATCGTGACGAGAACCGAAGATTACGCCAAAACAGGACGATGTGATGGACAATTCTCACGTCATAACTACTTATTGTTACAAGTGAAAGAAAAACGAGTCTTCATATTATACGCCGCAGGGTAGGATTGGAATATTATTGATCTAATATAAAACACTGAAAGTCATTAAACAACAACCAGAATAAAAACTTGAGAAAAAACATGGATGCATCATTGTATGTTGCATCCCGTCCATCCTCCGGACCAACCTGCTTCAGAGGAATCAGAATCCCGGGAAAGTAGAGCAATATTTGTAGGTCTTCTGATGGGAGTCATAGGCGCTGGACCAATTGGACGAATTCTGGCTCGAGGTGTTCGTCTCCGACGAAAGCCCACAGCTTCCGGAACTGTACGCGAAAACTCACCTTTAGAATCAAACAAATAAGTCTTACCCTCGTTATTCGGACATGTGGCAGTGAAGAGCATATATCGCAGGAACGGCCCATTGAGACGATGACGCATATGACCACGAAGACCTTCATCACCACCTGGGGCAGACATCGCAACACACTCAACCTGTATCCACTCTGGTAGCCAAAGCTCATGTTTCCCGTTAAACAAGTTGACCATTATAGAGTATACATAGCTGCGCGACCTCTGACCGTTTGCTGTGGTGAAAATTAGAACGCCCAGGGGCTGCGATCGGATTGCAGGAAATCCTGTGTCCGGGTCTCTCCGGCTTGTGCTGCCAAAATGACCTATTTCAAGAGCAGTCAAGTCATCGGCAAATATCAACATGATATCAGCTCCCGTATCGTTGAGAAAATCAAGCTCGAAGTAATCTTCTGGTGCTTGATGTGGGAGTCTGATGCATATCGGCATCTAAAATTGAAAGATGTTAGCTCTCGCGATCCTACCTGTGCCGGCACCTAGGTATGGATAGGAAAATCACACACGTTTACAGCTACCCTGCTTCGCTCTGGAGCCAGAATGACGGAGGTAGATACGTTCAAACTTGATATATGGGCCTAAGTAAAAGGTTAGTCTCCTGAAACCATCTTCATGGAATCATGGATTTGTTGACTGACCCTTTCGACCCAAAATCCTCTTTTTAAATCTTCTTGTTCCATTATGAAGTTGACTTCATCCCAATCAAATGGTCTGGGTTGGCACAGCTGTACTCCATTGGACCAGTAGGTGACTAAGCCTGGATGACAGGCCAACCGGCCTGATCTATATGCTGTCATAATAGCATCCAACGTCGGTATCATGGACCACTCGTCTCCTTTCTCCCGGAGCCATTCCATGGTACCTTTGAGATCATCCAGTTGCTGTACAGTTTCCCAAGGAAGCCCCAGCTCTGCGGCCATCATCGCACTAGGGATATAATCAGTGCCGTTTCAAGAAAAGACTACTTGCATACTTACTCGCGAGCGATCTTTCTTTTCTGCAGATCCAATAGCCTTAGCTCGAAGATGTATGGCAGAATGTTCTCTTGAATCCGCTCATGGCACCGGGCGATCTGAGCATCAACGTTCCTAAATGCTATCATCAGCATCAGAAAATGAGGATCTGTCAATGGATCTCGGGATGCATACTCAGGATCAAGATCAGGCTCGTCAGAAGTCCAGCCATCAGGAACCTGACTAGGTTTCATGATAGCCTCTGCTAGGATAGGCCATGGTCTCCTCATAGGTATATTCGGCTTATCAAGAGAGAATCTCCCTACATATGATACATCAAAATCCCATTTCCAGGTTCTATGCTCCAGTAGAGTAGGCTGTTGAGGTGTAGACTGTTGAGGTGTGATGAACGAAGTTGACTCTTTTGTCTTCTTGGGAGAACCCTTCTTGAGAGGCTTCTGACCTGGTTTTGGTTTCCCGGGGGCCTTCACGCGTTTGGCGACCCGAGGGTTTCCAATCACAATGTTACTTGGGGTTTTGTTTTTATGAATCGACTGACGTCCAGGAGACATGATTATAGTCTTACGTAAGGATAATATGATGGTCTGGTAAGACGATCCCGTAAATTAAAAGAACTGAAATCATTCACATTAGGCTGGTAGGTGTCTTAAAAGTCATCTATGTCAGTTCAAGACAAAGGAGTTGAACACAAGACAAAAGAACCTAATTATAGATAAAACGACATTTACATTGAGCGTGAGTGCTTGAGTAACCCTTGGAACTAGGGAATAAGAAAGAAGCCACAAATTATGTCAAAGAGATATTCACAAAGAAGTTCAAAAAGGAGAGATTGAGACTCTTCATACCAATCTAGGGAACGTACATTCTCTCAATGATTGGTTGTTTCTCGGGCCATAAAGGTGCTAGTCGAAGGGATTTGGCAACCCTGACTTATTCGATCTCAGGATGACACAATATTGCATCCATTTCCAAGTTTCTCTCATTGAGACGCTTTGACACTGCCGTAATGCTCACGCAATATAGGCCATAACACCAGCCGTGATAACTGCTACAGGTAGGCAAGAAGATAGTACCTAAGTAACATTGTGCTAGTAAATGATCAGTTGGTCAATGGTTGTCTCTCTATAAACCTTAACTGGATCAGAAGAGTATGTGAAAGAGTAAATGGATAATAAGGAATAAATGCTATGCAAAGCCACCTTATATAAATAGTACTATTTAATCCGTCCACACCTCCCACTTCCAGAGTACTTGAAGTGGTATACCTGGGCAGCGATGCTGAATATTTAATTCCTTGGTGTGATGGAATACAGGAGTCTTGCTGGTAAGAAAAGTCAACCAGTGTCGTGGGGTTCTATAGTGGAATACCGCGAGGTATTGCTATTATTTCTTGTTGAATTGAAAAAATTAGGGATATCATTTTGATGATTTTGAGTCCTGAATATTGAATCTGAGGCTATTTAAGACCCGCTTATTTACTTTATGAGTGATACCAACCAATGATATGCTGGGAAGCCCAAAGGTTCCTATATAATTCATAATATTGACTAGACTATTACCACCGGGGTGACATGGTCGAGTGATACTGCGTACACGCATGCCCCCTACTAGTCTCGGGCTTGATATCACCTAGTTTCCTTTGTGGATTTCTCGAGAAAGTAACAAAGAGGACATGGGGGGGGGGGGGGGTGCTTCGCATAGGCTTAGACCCTGAACTGTGCTGTGGAGGATTGCACAGTTATAGACCTTGTCCTTGAGGATCGGCTCTCAAGGATGTATGGATTTTTGCCAGTTTGTAAAAATGAAGCCCATCTTTTTATTCTTTTTCTTATTCGATAATGAAGCTGTTTGTGAATTCTAAGGATTTTGTCAATCCATATTGTAATTTGAATCCATTTCCAAGGTTGAAACCTCGGGGGCTCTCTAGAGCTGTAGATATGCTACCTCAGGTAGTTGTACCTATATAGTGCTTATAATTTGAAAGTATACATAGACCGATCTACGGGATGCAAGTTTCTTAAGGTTGGAATATTCAAGTCCATCGTACATGCCAAGGTTTCATTGCTAGCAATATTTCACGTCCTCGGTGATGTTTGAAAAAATAGAAAGCACAAAACTTTTGGAGGGTAAAATGGGGGTATTTACAAATGCTGACGTGCTGAAATAATCAAAATGGTGTACATGCATTCATTCCTGAGTTTGGTCATTTCTTGGAGATAGGGAGGTGTAGGGAGGTAGGGGCAGAATATGAATGCAGGCGGAAAGAAGAGGAAGAAGAAGAAGCAGAAGCAGAAGCAGAAGATGAAGGAGAAGAAAAATGTCGATAAGTTTTTATCGACTCTATCGACTCCATCGAGAGAAGTCCAGGTTCTGGAGAATATCTTTGTCTGATGCTGCATCCCACTCCGAGGCAAAGTCTGTCCGAGCTGGAGCTGCGCGGGTAGGTGATTCCTCGGAGAAGATGTTGGCCTTAGTGGTGCGACGCTGGCCTGGATAAGCACCCTCAGCAGCCTCTGCGGCTTGTCTCTGAGCCACCAATGCACGCTCACGGACTTTCTTAATCTCACGTAGACGAGAGCGCCAAGACGAAACATGTTCTCCACCTTTGTTGTTCCAAACGAGAGAGAAGACGGATGCATTGAGGGCAAGAATCCGGACAAAAGCTGCCAGATTTTTACCAGAAATAATCTTCGGAGTGGCCGCAGGTGAAACATCGGGGAAGCCTGGCTTGCTCATCACTTGCACGCTATAGTAAAGCTTCTCCGGGTTGGTCTCTCCTTTGGCAACACCAGACTCGTCGTAGGCGATACGGCTAGTGGGTGTAATGACGATATTGATGAAGTTGAACTCCGACGGAATTGTTTCAAAGTTGAACGGCAAGTTCGATCGGTTGAAGACGATGGTGACAAAGTTGTTGCCAATATTTCGCTTCTTGTTGATACATGAAGGGTCATGATCAAAGTTAGTGGGCATCATTGTCGCAACATGATACACTATTTCCGTCACTCGATCGCGCCAGGCGTAAGTGGTTTCACCATCCGTGTCGGCATAAAGGCCTTGGGTATTGAACTGAGGATTCCGAATTGACACCTTAGTTCCTAGCCCAGACAAGAAGTATTCATAATCTGGAGATCCGTGAGTGTTTGAGAGAATTTCAGCCTCTTTGCTTTGGTCTTGGTCGAGATAGACCACGCCAATCCTGTGCCCATCGACAATATCAGTCCGATCGAAACTGCCGATAGCTCGTCTTGTGATGTCATCTTCAGGAACTGGGATAGGCTGCATCATGGTGGGGGTAGGGAAGGCAGTGGCGGTCATTTGGAGCATTATGTGACTGGGGAGTACGGCTGTACGCATGCTATCAGAGTGTAGGTGTGCATCCGGTGTTGGTGGCACTTGGTGAGGTAGAACAGGAGCCGTTCGCTGCTGATAAACGGAGTAAGTAGTTCCCGAGGCTTGTCGCTTCGAGATCTGAGTTATTCCAGATACCCCAGCGGTCTCGACAGTCACGATGCTCATACCTACAACCCAAGACTTTTTGGAGACAGGTCCATCCTCAGGGGTTGGAGGGAAATTTTCGAAAGGAATAGTCTCTCCTAGATCCGAGAATGCAACTCGCTGCATCAGGTCAATGAGAACTTGGCTTTGTTCCTCAACAACTTCCTTTCCATGATCGTCGGGGAAGATCAGACGGCTGGTGATCCAGTTGACATGCTTCGAGCGATCTTGCAGCTTTAATGATATAAACCAAAACACCATTACATTGTATGTCAAAGTCATGACATAACTAGACATTGCATCAGGGCCAGAGGTTTCTGTTTCCTCAGCAAGACCTCCGTTAGCTCTTGCTGGGGATTTTTGAGAAGCACGGAGACCTGATTCAGAAGATCTGTAGCGGTGCTCTCTGGAAGTTTGCAAGAATCGGATACAAATACCGAAAACCGTGCGGATCTCCTCTTCGCGCAGGTTCACATACACATCAGGAAGGCGCGCAAGTAGCGTCAGAAACTCCAATATATGGACGGCAAGGTTTGACATGGTAATAACCTTGGACATCCTATCAAGTATGCTGTTCAAAGATTTTGTCACCGACAGAGGAATTTCGTAGCAGCAAAGCGAAAGTGCCTGGATACACCCTCGAGATGTGAGACCCCAGGATCCAATAATTCCCAACATGAAGGCTCGAACGAGATCGTCCTCTTCACTTTTTGCAAAATGTTCGTGGTAGCTGACTAACATGCTCAGCGCATCGAAGATACAAGCAGCTACATCACTCTTCTTCAGTCCCGTCAACCCAGGAGGTTCATGAAATGTCTCATTCTTGACTTGGTCACACAAAATACTACGAAGTAGTTTGACCTGGGGAATGGAGCTGTTGAAAAGATCCTTGTTGCTGAGCTGAGGTCCAAGATGTGTTAGGACGTAACTGTAGACGTCCCAGTCTGTTTCCCGTTGAAGTAAGGCGATCACGATTTCAAGCCACATGTTCACGTTCAAAATACCAACATTCGCCGGGGTTTCATCCGGGCTATCTACCGGACTCTGTATCGGGCTCTGTACCCCTGGCTGTGTGAAGGCAAAGACAAGCTGACTTGACTCCCCTGGCGGTTGTTCCGGGAGAACTTGTGGCTGAACTGTCCAAACTGGAGGCGTCAACGTTGAAGCGCGAGAATTGATAAGCCCTCGTCCAGGAGCTGATTTTGATAGAACACCTGGGGGTATATTTTCAATTTGGGTATCTTTCGGGGGGCTATCACTGGGTACACGAGGTTGAGCACCAGCGTCGAGATTTCGGCCTAGGACATTCATCAAGAAATCAACTTCTGATGTGGACACAACTGTGATAGATCCCGCTGAATCGCATCTGAGTCGGAAAAGTAGTTTCAAAACGGTCAATCGAGCGTCAGTTGGCCGATCAGGAGACTGTACAATCTGTAAAAGTGCCTTGAAGATGATGACCGACTTGACCGCAGATTGATTCAAAGCGCGAAGCATCATTTTCACAAGACTGACAGCACACACATTTGCCAGACTTAGCTCCAGAACACTGGCAGAAGAAGTGCGACGCGGAGATGCTTGAGGTAGAGGAACCTCACGAGGTTCGTCTTTAATAAGATCATGCTCCATAGGTGCACTGATAGTGTCGACTAATCGCTGGAAGATGTCGTTGTCGCTGATAGACATGGCCGGTTCAGTGATGAGAGAAACTAGAGATTCCAAGAAAAGTTGATCTTCCTCTGCTGAGAGATCTTGTATCAATAATTCCAAGAGACCGTGCTCCTGAGCAAAGAACAAATGCTCATTTCCAGAAAAGGCCTCCCTCAACGTATCCAGAGCTAGAAGGCGGATGTCAGACATTTGCTTTCGAGGCTGGATGAAACGTTCAGTCAACTCTCGGGAATGGCGAACCCAGCTTAGATCATCAGAAGGGTGACACAGCCGGTCATCTCTCATCATGTTGATAATCAGTTCCGCCTGGGAAGGTTGAATATGTTGGTAGCTTATCGTCAAGAACCGAACTGCCTGTTGCCTTTGTTCTCTGTTAAGCTGTTCCCAGGTAGACTCCATAACAGATGCGATCCGAATAATGTTGGCCAGAATGTTTGACTTTGTGTCATCGTGAGTGCTTTTAAGTTGAGTTTGGTGCTGAGGGCTGATAGGCGAGACAACTGGTTCTTCAATCTCGCTGAAGACACTGCGAGAGCATTGAATCAGAAGGTTGACGAAGCCTGACCAGTCGCGTTCTAAGGCAAATTGGAGAAAATCTCCCTCTAGTATGTTCAAACACAAATCTAGGATATCAGCGTCAACTCTCGCGTCGTTTTTCTGATCTAAAATCATCAGTGAATCAACCAGCTGCTCAAAATCAATTTGAGGCATCCCATCATGACCGTGCGCGCGAATGAGATCAGTGAACACGAAGATTGTACCTCGAAGCACGTTCAAATTCCGTGGCGAGTCCTCTGCATAAGTACCATTCATCATGGCAAAAAGAGTATCCATCATCTCTGCCTGTCTTCGTGACTTTACAAGGCTACGGACGGCACGAGATGTGGGCCCAGAGAGCGACTTGACAGATGCGTGGATACTGCAAAGCACTTCCAAGAGAGAAAAGAAGCTCGCATCGGGAACATCGGCATAGAGAATGACAGCATCGAAAACACCAAGTGAGTTTTTAATATCATTAGCAACGCTGGTTTTCCTGCAGATGGTGAAGGTCTCTGTAAGAAGCAATTCGATATCATCTGCGCTTGGTGGGTTGCGTTGAAGAGTCACTAGATCAACAGCAAATTGGAATAGATCTCCCAGTACCGCTTCGTCATGGTCAAGGCTGTTTGGCCTAGCAACCCTCCCTTTTTTTGTCTTTGATCGCGCCACAGCAATGACTCCATAGAGGGGCACAATCCACGCCGATGCAACGGGAAGAATAGAAGAATTAGTGAAATCCGACTTTCTACCATGGTCGGACAAGGCAATCAATGCCTGAACTCGAGAAGGAATTACCTCGGGTTCAGTAGGGGAGACTATTGACTCAAAGATCAAACGTCTGGCTGGGGGAGATAGGTCCTGACGCGCTGCAATGGCTTCTAAGAGTCTAGCGCCGCTTGTCTGGGCCTCGACGGATGTTTCGTGGTGTAACAAGTACTCTGCCGTTTCCCACAAGGTCACCGACTGTTCCGGCGAGAACCATGAAAGCCTTTTTGACACAAGCTCTGCCTCATCGATGGCATGATTAAGGTTCTGCCCTTGCGTCAAATTGTGGAGAGACGTGTCATAATCAGGGCTACTCGGAGCGTCCGCCGAGGAACCTGAAACAACGCTACCGCGATGCATCAAGTCAAGGTTTAGTGTAAACCGGTTGTGTCCTCGTGTTTCAGTGAATAAAGAGTCGCTACTGTTATCTCGAAGCGAAAGAGGTGAGTGTATTTTTGGGCGAACAACACCTAACGTCTTGAAAACATCTGCGAAAGTAGATGAAGAGGGTTTATGTTGAGGGGAGATTGGATCATCGTCTGAAGACATCCGCCAAATGACGGTGGGCTGAACTTTAATATAGTACTAGCGCTTTCTATAAATTCAGGCAGAAGTGTCAGTTATGATGTTTTCATTCTTGAAGCTTCCGACACCGTGATCAGTAGCTTGAGGGCAGCCCTGACTCAAAGCCTCGGATAACCTGTCATACTCACACTGAATGCGCACGTAAAAAATAAATTTATAGATACCACATAGAGTAGCTCCTGAGAGATTGCACCATTCAGAGAAACAAGCGATGCCCACAGAGTTGCGACTAAAGTATTATTCGATGATCTGATTCAAAGCGAGACCGGTGCCCAGGTGCAGATTAGGGAACAATGAATTTGGTGGTTATACAAAAGCCACAACTGCAATATTGACAAGTGGGTCAGTACGACATGTATTTGAGTCACTTCCCAGACTGATAAAGGATGCAGCGACGGAGAGAGTGTCAAGAGTTGGAGTTGGAATCACAGGGCATGCATGAGGCTATTCAGCCTAAGGTCACCTGATAGAACTAGAGGGCGGTGAAGAGGGGCAGATCACCGATGCCAGCTGACCGCCGCTAGCCTTGTGATCTACAGGCTACAATCAGGTATTAATTAGCATTAACGTCCATACCTAGGTACCATGTTCCATTTATCAGCAAGACAGCTGATGCTTCTCACTGCTCGGAATCTAGCAGCTGTAAATTGACTTGGCTCGCCTACTTTTATTAGGCGGGTACAGGGCTAGACTCAAATCCCCGCTGTCGTCTTGTCACTGACAGTTCTTTAAAAAGCACACTAAGCCTAATCTGGGTACTGTGGCATCAAACTCTAATTAGATGAGATACAAATATCATAGATTTGAATCAGAAACTCATATTTCAGGTGAATGTAGGTGAAAATCACATAATTAAATCAGGTTTTTAATTAGCTATGGTGGGCGTCTGAGCGTCCACTCTGAATACATTATCTTCAATCTATAGTTCTTCCTCAATCTCATCAGGTTGGGTGAGGTCAAGTTCCCAGCTGCCAAACTCTAGATCCAAAATGTCCTCACTACCAGAAGCCTTACCAGAGCCAAAGCTCTTCAAGTTCCACTTCTCAACACCCTCAACATCCTTCAGATCATTCTGGAACTCAAGGAACAAGTCGGCACTCAAGCCTTCATACTCGGCATATTCCTTGGGCCATTCACCCAGACGCTGCACAGCGAGCTTGAGCAGCAGCAAGTGTTGGCGAACGTGCTCACCATCAGAGAGACTGTTGTCGTTGGCCTCAACATCAAAGTCCCCAAAGGTAGAGCCGTCAATGCTTGTACTGCTCTCGAGAACACCCTCAAATTCTGTCAGCTTAGGGTCGACAAATATGCGAAGCAAGTTTTCATGAATAATAGCACTCTTCTTGTAGTACTTGTTGGCCATGTTCTGACCGCTCTTCTCGGCTTGGTAGCGCTGGGCAATGGCAGTGTACAGCTGCGATAAGAGCGTGGACATTTCCAGGGTGCTGGGGTGGCGGGCACCATTAACACGGCGGCAGTTATAAACAATGTCCTCGGCCAGGCGGGAGGCCTTGAGAGCGTCACCAACCAGATATCGAGCTAAGATGTAGCGACGAGCCAGACCAAGGTTGACAACAGGATCCCAGTGCTGCTTGTTGCGATTATCCCACAGACCATTCAGGAGCCATGCCAGGTTCTTGTAGTCCTTCTGCTCGCCAAGAATGCCAATCAGGGCGTTCAAGTGCTCCAAGCCAATGGTGGCCAGGTTAATGTTCAATTCTTTTATGACACTGAGGACCTCCGTCATTATCTTGGTGGAAACACTGTGCAACTTCTTTTGAACGGCCTTTTCGGGCTGTGGAGTGATGGTGCGACCGCTGATGAAGATTCCGAGAGTGAAAGTAAATTTCACAATGGCAGTAGTGTGGAATTCATCGTGAGCACAGATGTAGCGGAAGCTAGCGAGTGCAAGATCACTAGCACTCTCGTATTGCTTGGCCCGGATCAACTCAATAACGCGAACGTTGCTGGCAATACCAACCGAACGAATGAAGTTCGTGGATTGGTGAGTGCTGAAATGATCCAAAATAGTCAGCAAGAAGATCGTCACCTGAGGTTTCTCGGTCAACTTGGTGCGCTTGCCATCGTTGGTAATGAAGTAAGCGAAGTAGTCGTTGAAGACGCGAGCGGATGCCTCCTTGCGATTACTCTTAACCAGGAAGTGCCAGAGACGAGAAGTGGAGATAGAGACTGAGTGAAATGAGGAGGTCTTGGACGAGATTTGATTACGGAATTCCTCGAAGTAGACATACTCCGTGGTAAGAGAAGCTAGAATCTCGGTGATGGTAGAAGTCTGTTTGCTCAGACTGTACTCGAGTTGCGCCAGGAAAACAAGGCTCTGGCGGCCCTTGGACGACAAATTGAACTGTGAAATCTCGACGTTTGTGGTATCCTTCATCACAATCTGGCGGTAGAGCTCCTGAGTCAGCTCAGTGGCCTTGGTGATCTGCTTGGTCGCCACATAGCTGCTAGCAATGGCAATAGCAGCAGAAACAAGTCTGGTGGAGGACGTCTCCTTTGACAGGATTTGTACAGTAGAATCCTTCAGCTCTTTAAGAACAGATTCAGACTCGTTGTGCTTTGAGTGGAAAGAAACAATCTCCTTCATCTTAGATAGCGACTCCTCGTGGGCCCAGCCGTGAGACTCGCGAACGGAAGTAATGCGCTTGCGCAATACCCTGGTAGCGCGCTCAATCTGGGTAGAAGAAACAGACTCAGACTTAGACGTGACAAGAAGGGTCTGTTCTTCATAGATACCATCCAGAGTGGCTGATATTTCCTCAAAGTCAATTTCTCCAGGTGCACATTTTATCTTGAGGAGCTCCTCGTAGAGAGCGATGGCCTCTAGCTCGTAACGCTTAGACTCCTGGCAGATTTTGGCAAGGGTCAGGGTAGCCTGGATAGTGATTGATGCAGTGGCACCAAAGACAACCTTGACCTTGGACTGGTAGTCCACAGCGATCTTGTGGATCATAGTATAATCAGTACGAACGAAGCGCAGGCAGTGGATGTAATGGCTGAAAATTTCCTGGACAAAAGTCGTGCTCTCAAAACGGGGCTGCTTGGGGTGACTTAGGAAAGTTGTGAAGAGCAACTTCAAGTAGGGCCCAGCATCAGAGTAACGAGTTTGAGTCCAGAGCTCAGTTGCAACTATTATAAGAGGCTCCAATGCTTCCGGTTTGCAGACACTCGAGTCCTTGTTTAGTGCCCGGATAATGCGCTGATAGTACTCAACAAATATGGGTTGGGGTCGAGTAATCTCAGCCAGGGTCCACAGAGTCTTGATGACAATGGGGTGTTCAGTACCATAATGATTGATGTAGTCATCCAAGATCTCTTGGCGAGTGGTAATGACCTTTTCGGTTTGTGATGAGTACTCAAAGAAACGGATGAGCTCTTCTGTGACGCACACTCTCAGCTTATCATCGACAGGGCGGTCAATATGAACAGCGCGGTATACGCGAATGCGAATGTTCTCCTCACGGGGGAAGCGACGACGGTAGTGATAGGACTGGCTTAGTCGTTGCGCAAGTTCAACGCACTTCTCGACGTGTTTAGAAGGAAGGACTACATCTTCAATGGAGGGAGCGAATAGTGATGGCCAAAGACCTTGCAAAACCGTTTTGACAACGCGGGTGGCATCCTTCCAGCGGTGTTGAGAGATGTAAAGCTCAATTAGAGTGGCAGTAGCAGTGAAGGAGCTCTGGTCAATCTTGGTGATAGATGAGGAAGCCTCGAAGACAATTTCTTCTAGGGTAGACTCAGACACAACGGAGTGAGAAGAACTAGCCTGTTTCATCACATGCTCGGATGTCTTGGTAATGCTCTTCTGAATCTCAGTATACTTGGAAGACTGAGTCCGATTGGTGCTCTGGTAGTAGTGAGCACACTGCTTGAAGATAGACAGAGCAGCAACAGAGAGTCCGACAGATTCCATGACTGTTGCGATCTCCTGGAAGTGGGAGCAGCTGGCCTCTGTAAGAGAGAGACTATTGTGGCGATACTCTTCCCATACACTAGATAGAATCGAACAGGCCTCATACTCGCGTTTCTCTGACTTGAGAAAACTGGAATATGCAACAACAGACTTCAACTTGATCTCTTCCCAGTAGGCAGAATGTTGAATGCGACACTCTCTACTTGCCCGCTGCCAAATTTCAACATATACACGCTCTGCTTCAATCACTCGTCGCTCGGCGTAGTACTGCTGCGCCAGCTTGACGAGCATCTCGAAGTCAAAGGATTCCGACTTGTCTAAGCATTCATCCTCTTCGATATCCAAGACAAAACGAGTACCAATATCACCGTCCCCGTGCCTGCCACCTCTCAAGTGAACGTGGAGATCACCGTGCTTGTCTTTGTCATATCCATTGTATTCGGAAGCAGTGATGCCTTGGATAATAATAGTGATCTCCTCGATCTTTTCTTCTTCCTTCGTGCGACTATAATGCTCAATAAGCGTCTTATATGTAGAGACAACCTGCTCAGAATTCTTGCCGTAGTGAACCTTGTAGCACTCAATCAGCAAGAGAAGAGTTTCTTCGCGCTTCACCATGATATCGGTCTTGCTGGTGGTGACCTGCTCATCGGTAAGTTCAAGGAACAAAGTGCTGATCTGCATAGTAATTAGGTGGCGAGTCGTAAGTAAGGTACGACTCAGGTTCATGATCTCGTAGAATAGAGGAATGGCCCGTGTAGTCTGGCAGGTCTCGCGTTGAAGAATTGCCAGCATAAGAATGGACTGTAGAGTGACCACATCACTGCTGGACAGGATTTGACGAAGAACATTGGTAACTGTGGTCTGATAAGACAGTAGGGTCGGAGTAGGAATGTTTTGCCAGACAGTCGTCTGGAGCAAGAGGAAAGTAATTGTGCATGGGAAGATCTTGCTGAACTCCTTGGCCGCGGGAACATCACCGCCATTGAGAAAGACAGAAGTTTGCTTCAAATGACGAGGCCAGTAGCGTATTGCAAAATCCAGAAGAGGATAACTTTGCAGCAGAATGGTAGTATCATGACGTCCAAGCGGGCTCATAGAGGGTTCATGAGGCTCAGTAGAGATATTCTTCAAATAGATGAACAGTCGGGTAATAAAGTCAGCGTGGCGGTCCTTGATGGTTGGGATCAACTTGCCCTTAGAAAATACATCTAGAAGAGCAGTACGAATCAGACCATGACGAAGATACACATGGCCATCCTGGAAGAAAACTAATGAATTCACAGGCCTCAAGATCTCCAGAGGGTTGACCTTACGGTCGGTAATGATCTGCTTTTGAGCATCAATGGAGGCCAGGATGGCCAGCTCTTTCAGCAAGAAAGGGCGTTCAGCGGTGGCAAGCCAAAGCAAAATCAGCCGGGCATCATCACTGACGCCCGAGGAAAGTACAGTGTAGAGCACGAAGTCGTTCACCATTGCTTTACTACTTATTATAGTCTCGACAGTCTTCAAAAAGCTTTCAGGGCTGTGCTCATGACGAACACGCTTGGTGCAGAGCTTAGCCCAGAGAAACGATCCACGAGAAGCCTCGGTGATTTGGTCAATAGCAATCTCCTGCTCCATCTCAGACATTTGCTGGAAAACCTTACTGCTTTCCAAGTTGCTTCGCACAACAATCGAGACATCATCGGCAATGCGCTCCTCACTGATGGGAACGTGTATCAGATCCTTAGTCTGAGTGGGCTTTTGACTACCAAAGGTGATCAACTTGACGCCGGTAGCATTGGTGGTAGCGGTGATCAGCTTCTGCAGCAGATTAGTCTCGCCACCAGTAGCCTCGTCGATGCCATCAACGATGATGACCAGCTCCTTCGCTCCACGCAAAGCAGATGACAAAGCACGCTCGAAGGTCGTCCAGAGAATTGCTTCATACTCGGCTTCGCTGACAGTCCTCTTGCTACGCTCGTAGGCATCACCAAGGATATTCAAGAGTGGGACGTTGCCGATGCGCTTCTCGAAGAGCTGAAACAGAATAGTCTTGATGATAGCGATGTAAGTAGTCTCCGCAGGGATCCGGGCGTCTATGAGCATATGAGTAGATGAAAAAATATGATAGAACTCATATGTGGGGATTTATTACTTATAGGCACAAAGATTGACTTGTAGCGAACACCACCGATAGCGTCCTGTAGACGGTCGACAATGACTGAAGCAAGGACAGTTTTTCCCGAACCAGGAGGACCAGTAAACGATAGAGTGCGCTTATCGTTTTTGAGCAAGTGAGACAAGTAGGGGCTCATCCAGAGACATGTCATCTCCTCGCGTTCGTGGGAAAGGTGGGATGTGTTCTCGGCCAGATCAGCGAGGACATGGTCCTCGGGGGCCAGCCAAGTGCGAACAGACCTCACAACTGATACTATAGTTTAAGTTAGTGATTTTTTCTACTATATTTGTTTCGGGTCAAGAAATGAAAGCTGCTTACGTCTTTCCGGGTCGGCGTTCGCATTGGAGAGCTGATGTCGCCACATGGCATCAGCAATCTTGCCGCAGCGCTCGCGGAAAGACTGTATTTGACCAGGAAAAGTGTTGTAAATGTTGACCGTGACGGAGGCAGTAGTCAAACCACAAATCGCTTGGTGGTAATGAGTGCCAACACTGGAAACCAGAGTGACTAGGTCAGCCAGAGCTAATATAAGCTGCTCTTTGATATCCTGTGAGACAGCAAACAATTCCGTGCGTTCGAGAAGGTTGACAAGTGTGGATGAAGTACTGTAGAAAAATCCAAACGAGATCATCAATGCGGCAGCATTTTCTTTGCCAAGCTGGAAAATAGACACATGTTAGTTGGAACTCCAAGTTGCTGGTCTTTATTTAGGGCTATGATTTACCTCGAGAAGCATACCACAATATCCATAGGAAAGCTGTGTGGCAAGATAGCTGTCACCGGCGAATTCAGCGATAGCTCTGTCAAAATGGTGCAATCGCTCAACGAAGAGTTGTGCCCAAGTTAGAACTTTGTCAAAGCTACTACCTTCAGGAGGCAAGTGGCTCATACGCTGAACACGAATCCACTCAATGAGGGAATAGTATGTGGTGTTCATGAGCTTGGAAGAGGTAGAAGCTCCAAGCTCATCACCACTGCGGCGGTATAGAGACTGCACCACACTGGTGATATTGGAATTTCCAGCGCCGTTTATCTTCTTCGTCATGGAGAACTCTCGACGAGTGGAATGGCCAGTATTTGAGATGTTGTCATTGTCAAAGTGAGTATGATTAGAGAAGGACGACACTTGTCTCGAAGAACCACCGCCGGGTAGGCCATTATAGAAGGAGGAGGAGAGGTTTCCTGGGACGGGAGAAGTGAGACCAGGCGCCATTTTGGCTTTTTGAGGCGTAGGTGATAGCTGATATATGACCCTTGTGAGGTTCTGCGGAATTGACACTTTCCCCTTCGAAATATTATTAGGGTTATGGGGAAGGGAAGTTTTGTAGCGTGGAGCAGGAGAAGGGTCAGAAGGAGGTTCTAAGGAGCAGCAGCAGCTCTTAAAGCAATTGAGAAGTCGATTCAAACCCGCAGATCATAAAATGAAATAATATTCAAAAGGGCAAGTGGAGAAATTGTCAAATGCAGGAAGATGCAGAATTAGACAGAGTGCATATTACAGATCTCATGACCATAGGGGATTTCCAACAGCTTTTATAGCAGCTTCTGCAGCTACGGCCAATTTTGAAACATCAAATGCTTCCAATTGGTTCAGATGGTAGGCATCGAAGCATTTTCAGAGACTATTGCGCTTTTTTTCCCTAGCACATGTTTGGGCTCGGATGGTCATGCAATCTCCACTTCTCGGCATTGTTCGCTTGCATGCACAATCCTCGCTTCAGACCCTGTATCAAGGCAGATGTGATCCAAAGAGGCAAAGATTTCCAAGAGCATGGGTGTTAGTAATCTTGACTTTGGTGTGCTCAAATTTGGAGCGTGCATAGTGGACCTGAACGGTCCAACGTAAGACGTCTTGCTCAGATATAGAATTCTGCATAGAGCTTCGAGGCTCCAATCAGCCCGTGTACTAGCCTGACGGGAGTGATCGTGGAGAATCGAAGTCGTGCAGATTCATAGAATCGTCATGATGTTGGCAATGATTGGTGATATTTTTCTCCACTCTCACTATGAAATGGATGCCTCATATTGGAACCGACTAGATAGCTGAATCTGAGGTCCACTCCAGACGCTGTCTTACGACAGGGGAGACCTTTCTGGTGTCAGCATAAGCCATGTTAGAAAGAGACTTTCCCAGCTGCATGCTTATCTACTTTCAGCGTTCAAGTACCCCACTGAAATTTTGAATTGGCAGGCAAACTGCATATGGAGAGACTACATGAGAACCACGACTGTGCAATTGGAATTTCATTCTATCAATGGATTTTTCGTCAGCTGGAAGTAGAGATTAATACAATGAAGTACCGTAAAGCTGGAATATGCCCTTCTTGCATCGTATTCGGCATTAGATCTTGATAGGTTCTATAAAGTGGGGCTTAAGGCTAAATCATGTACTCCATATATCGCCAATCAGTGACGAGGTTGTGCGAACTCCTCTGTACATAAGTACTGTGATGGATGATCGATCAAGGGATCCACCCAGATCATGTTCCACCTCACAGCCGTGCCCGTGCTCTACAGCCACATATACCACATTCAAAAAGATCATTATAATCAGGACTGGAACGGCTGTCATTTCGATTTCTAGGCTCTAACGCTTTAAATTTCTTTTAGTACTTACAAGCTTATCACACGGCCAGTTTGCACAGCCTGTGAGCGTTGCTTGAGGTCGAGGGTGGCTTGAGCTGAAACCCCTGGCCTCGGAGTGAGAGATAGGTCGCATTCCTCAATTAATTCTCTCAGCTTCCGGTGATCTCCGTCATAAGTGGATCCCCTCTTCGCTTCCAGACTGATAATTCCCTCTTATGTTAATCTGCATGTAATTGTGGTGGATATTGTGGGGGATGAAGAAACATGAAGAAATATGGGTCTGATCCCAGACTGCGGGTTAATGGATTTATTTACCCAAGAACACCTGTAGAGTCCTATCTACTTATTTCGTACTTTATACCCCATAAATATTTCAAGTAAATGTTATTTAATCAAAAGACTTTGGAACTATCTCAATCAAATATCCAAGGATTTGTTCTATACAATCTAGGTCAGCGGCAATATTTCAAGCGGACTACCTTGATAGATTAAATCCAGTACAGATTAATCTTTTGATGCTACAGAATACCCTGTATCCAGGTACCATCAACGTACTTCAGACATTAGATCCGATTACTACGTCCCAAAAGTACCGTATTCTGAAGTGCATCGCTAAATATTCCCTTCGCTGAAAAAGTGCCCAAGTGACAGGGATGTTTCCAAGACTCTTTATTTAGTAATGGATTGGTAAACGGGGTGATGGTAGTTATACTTCCAATAATCCAAAGGTTACAGCATACTCCAAATAGATACTCACTAATAGATACTCACTCAAGATTCCACCCACACGCATATCCTTTAATTGCATAATTTCTGACTCCATTTATGGAGCACGCTGAGTACTCCACAAATATTCCGAATGAACCTTGAAAAATTTGCTGCAGTCGGGTTCAACTGCATTATCTATCATATCGGGTGGAGACATCTACTGTGGAGCGAGCCAAGTCCTCAATATCTCTGAATTGATAATTTTAATTCTCCGATCAGTCACGAAAGCTGACCTCGAGAATTACTATTCTTCAATTGTTCCAGTCGTTGTTCGTATGCTCTCGTATGCCCAAGCGTATAGTTTGGTCTGTTCAATCCTTACTGGGCAGTGGGTCTAAATTGTGTATGTTGATTATCTCCAGGTCTCAAGGCCTAGTAGTCTCCAAGTATGCTCTAATTTATCTGAGTAAATTAGCTTCAGCAAAAATCTTGGAATGAACAGTCAGTAACTTGGAACCATGGACACGAAAAGTGCATGTTTGACTAGAATGCATTGCGGATGGACCTATGGATGCTAGTTGTACCTAGATAGGCAGGTAACCTTGGAACATGGATTACCGAGGTCTAAATATATCCATGGATGTCAAATGATCAATTTTTAGGGATAACATCTGAGCTAATCTTCCAATGTTCATATATCGAATATCATGCCATGTATGTTGGGGATAGTATAAGCTTTTAAGCATGTTACATAAAGCTGTCCATAATTAGATCCATACCTGCAGGTCAACTTGTGTGACCGTCGGCACATGTGTGGACTGATGGTCATTGATTACAGTGCATATGTAGTGGAGCTGAATCCAGCCCTGCAATGGATACCACTGATGAAATAGAGCGTGGAGGGTGTATCAGACGGACCTTTTCACGAATGACAAGCTCGAGCAAATCAGAATAAGCAAATAATTGAAAAAAAAATTGAAAAAATTGAAAAAAATTAAAGGATTTGTGGGAACCCATAGAGACTTCTCATTTGGACCTGTGGACGTTGTATGTAGCACCCAATATTGAAAGTGGAGCAAAACCATTGAAAATTTGGGAATATGAGAAGTTGGGCTTTCAATTTGCACATATGAATAGCCCATTTCCCTACTTCGCCCTCTTCCTTCCTCGATCATTACCACAGAATTAATACCAAAAGGCATCCTTCCCCTTATTTGTACATTAGAGGAATTAGGTAATCTCCATCCCGCATCTCATCAGATAGTCTAGTGAGGAAGAGATCATGAACAATTCCATCGATGGAATAGTACTGTTGATTCCAACATTTTCATGTAGTAGTGTATTACGCGTGGCTCTTGGCTGATATTGAATTTCGTCTTAGTTGTCATAAATATCAAGTTCTGAAAAACTTCATATCCTTCTATAATAAAGAAGCTAGCGAAATTGAGAGCAAATATATCAGTCTTTACATATGCGGTGTCTCAATCACGAGGCATATACGATTTTTGTGCACTACCGAGCAAGTCCATCTATTACAGTTTCGCTTTTGGATGACTTGCGCATACCCTAAGTCAGCAAGCGTAAATCAAGATTTGGATCAAATAGGAAACTGTTTACATTGATATTACAATCTAGCATGTTTCCCATGAATGAAACTGAATGTTGTAGCTTACTCACATCAGCATAGCTGTGTGTTGAAAGAAATTAAAGCCTGCAATGAGATGTAATTGTTAAAAATTCCATTTGATACGAGTTTTAGAGGCAAGACGTGTTCAGTTAGGCCTTTTGAAGCAATAGCTCGGGGGTGGCTTCCGACGTCACCTCAACATGAATACGTTTAGATTAGCTATTGTTAGGAATGCATAAATATTTTTAAACTTTGGAATCATAAGACTAATGATGCATATGCCACCGCACGTAGCAATCTCCGAAACCCTTGAAGAATGATACCGATGAATTTCGACAATCGTAATATGGGACGTATCCTGTTTCTCTGAGTCACCCCAAATTATTAGTTTAAATTGTCAGTTGGAATATAATATCCTTCCAAGGTTGGCAGTAAAAGAAATTATAACTAATAGTTGTTAAGTTTAGCGCGTCGGAAGCTTCTAGAGGTCAGTCTGTGAAGGGCTAAAGCTAATCTTAAATTCAGAACTAGCTAGGCACATGCTATTTACAAAATCCTTGAAGAACGTGAACAATTCGGGGTGGAATCGTGAGGTATGCGGTTGGTGGGTCACGTGGTACAACCACGTGATAGTTCACCAGGATTCAACCTGTTACAAGTCTCCCTTATAGATCTTGTTTTCATTCCCACCTTATATTTACTTACATACTCTCCAAACCCTCATACACTTTTTTTTAAAATTTTTTTTTTACCTGGGATAGTTTCAATTTTGAAGGCAAGATCTACTTAGTCAATATAACTAATATCTAGTTATTTAACTGTTATCTATTTATTTAAATAAGTATTTAGCTAGTTAGTTATTTAACATTCTGTGATGACTAATCTAATTTAAAGCCTTGATGCTAAGGCTATGAATACCGAAAGGGGTATAGCGTGTTATTTTCTACGCCAAGCCAATAAAGACTAGCGTTTGTTGACGCAGTGGGCTGTTCAATTATCACCGCTCTCATTATTTATTATTGTCATGAGCTCTTCTTCATCCTGATTTTTTTTCCCGTTGATCAGTGCTCCACCAACATCCGCGAGAGTATTCAATACTCTAATTCCACTTCCTTGGAGCTTTATTTCTGCTCTTTGATTAAATTTTACATTGCGCTCTTGTTGATACCCCCACCTACCGGCAAAAATGGCGGAGGCTCTTGGAGCTTGGTTGGAGGCAAGTTTGGATCCAAGACGGAATAAGGAAGGTAAATCTGAAACATAGCAATCATTGATTTTTTGGAGAAATATCTGACTCTTTCGCTTCGGTTATTTACAGCTGAGAGCGCCCTTCGTCAAGAAGAATCGAAGCCAGGCTTTTCGCTGCAGCTTCTTCAGATCACTGCCTCGGAGTCCTATCCCTCAAGTATTCGCCTTGCTAGTGCCCTATGCTTCAAAAACTTCATCAAGAGAAACTGGACCAATGAGGATGGAGAGTACAAGTTACCGCTCGATGAGGTTGCCACTATCAAGCGCGAGTTGATCTCCTTGATGATTTCTGTCCCTCCTGCCATTCGGACTCAGCTGGGTGAGGCTGTCAGTGTGATCGCCGATAGTGATTTCTGGGCGCGCTGGGATACTCTGGTGGATGTAAGTCATCCCCAACCTTGAAATTTGATCGATGGACATGCTGTTGACTTTTTTCCTTCTACCACTCAGGACCTTGTTTCAAAGCTGTCACCGTCCAACCCTACCGTCAATAATGGCGTTTTGCAGGTTGCGCACTCGATTTTTAAGCGCTGGCGACCTCTTTTCCAATCCAACGATCTTTATCTCGAGATCAATCACGTTCTCGAGAAATTTGGCACCCCGTTCCTAGCCCTCTTGGAGGTAATCTTTATACATTGGCACTACTCTAATTGATTCGAACTCCAGCTAATGATTGAAACTTGATGTAGGGACTTGATAACTATCTTGAGCAAAACAAGACCAACAAGGAGAACTTGACACAAGGCTTTACCCAGCTCAACCTGATGATCAAGTTGTTCTACGACCTATCCTGTCACGACCTTCCTCCGATGTTCGAAGAGAATATCCAGGCTATTGCCGCGCTTTGGCACAAGTACTTGATATATGACAACGAACTTCTTCATACCGATGACGATACCGAGGCTGGTCTATTGGAATATGTCCGTGCTGGTATATTCGAGGTCTTGACTCTGTACACGCAGAAGTACCTAGATGCTTTTGGGCCATATGTTAGTCAATATATCCAGAGCTCGTGGAACTTTTTGGCAACCATTGGCCAAGAAACCAAGTATGACTTGCTCGTGAGTCGGGCTCTTCATTTCTTGACGTCGGTGGCTAGCATGCCGGAGCATGCCGTGTCTTTCCAAGCCGAAGAAACCCTGGGTCAGATTATCGAGAAGGTCATTCTGCCCAACGTGAGTCTACGCGAGTCAGATGAGGAACTATTTGAGGACGAACCAATTGAGTTTATTCGACGCGACCTGGAAGGCTCCGATAGTGAAACTCGGCGTCGGGCTGCCACGGATTTCCTCCGCCGCCTGACGGAGAAGTTTGAAGCCCCCGTTACTAAAGTTGTTCTTAAGTACACCGAACACTACCTGGCCGAGTACAACAAGGACCCCTCGTCGAACTGGAAGTCAAAGGATACGGCGACATATCTTTTCTCTGCTGTTGCAGCCAAGGGAGTGTCGACCGCCTCTCACGGTGTGACGTCCATTAACACTCTGGTCAGCATCACGGACTTTTTCCAAAACCACCTGGCTGCGGATTTGGTAGCCACCGATGGCCACCCGCTTCTCAAGGTTGATGCTATCAAGTACCTCTACGTTTTCCGAAGCATCATTACTCCGGAACAATGGCAGCAAGTTGTTCCTGTTCTGGTGAACCACTTGGCCTCGTCCAACTACGTTGTCTACACGTACGCTGCGATTGCGGTGGAGCGGGCCCTCTTCCTTAAAGATGGCCAGGGACAGCCTGTTATCCCCCCAGTCGCAATCAAACCACTGGCTAACGAGCTACTGGAGCACATCTTCCAGCTGATCCAGCGTGATCCGGCTCCCGAAAAGATTCAGGAGAATGAGTTTTTGATGCGATGCGTGATGCGAGTCCTGGTTGTGATTCAGGATGGCGTTGTTCCTTTCGCCGACATTGTAATGAACCGCTTCATCACTATTACACAGATCATTAGCGCCAACCCCAGCAACCCGAGATTTTACCACTTCTTCTTCGAGGCCATCGGTGCTTTCATTCGATATGCCGCTCCTGCAAACCCCAGCAAGCTTGAGCAATCATTCTATGCTCCCTTCTCTGGTATTCTCCGAGGGGATGTGCAGGGTAAGTTGATTAATTTCAATGTTCCTTTTTTGAATTACACTAACAAGTATTCTTTACAGAATTCATGCCATACGTCTTCCAGCTCTTCGCCGCGCTTCTGGAGGCCAATCCATCCGGTGCTTTGCCCGAATACTACCATGAATTGGTCGCCCCCATACTTATGCCTGTCATGTGGGAGTCGCGAGGCAACACCCCTGCCCTTGTCCGGTTGCTCTCCTCTCTCATTCCTCGAGGCTCTCAATACATTGCCGAACACAACCAAATCATGCCTATCCTGGGTATTTTCCAGAAACTAGTGTCGACAAAGGCCAACGATTCCTACGGATTTGATCTGTTGGAGACTGTCTGTGCATCCTTCCAACCGTGAGTCTACCCTTTCTTTTCTCTAAAATTTGCATTCACTGATCTTATTTGTCTAGGGCTGCTTTGGAACCGTACTTTGTGGACATTATGCAGATCATCTTGCAGCGTCTGCACGGCTCCAAAACTGAGAGCTTATCGATCCGCTTTGTTCGGTTCTATCACTTTATCACGGCCCATGATGACAAGGGATATAACCCCGACTTTATCATGCAGGTGACAGAGAAGGTGCAAGAAAAGTAAGTTGCTTGACATGTGCCACATCATCGCTATATATACTTACCATTTATTCTAGGATCTTCACCCCTCTCTATCTTACTATCATCCTTGCAGACACTCAGAAGCTTGCCCGTCCGTTGGACCGTAAGACGGCTGTTGTCTCCCTCACTAAGACCCTTGCCAACTCTGAGGCATTTGCTACGCTCTATGCCAAGGGTTGGGGCTTCACCTGCAACACCCTTCTCAAGCTTCTTGAACTTCCCCCGGATGTCACCAACAAGGACGATATAACGGCTGAAGTTGACCTCGAGGAAATGTCCTTTGGTGTTGGCTTCACTCCTCTGAACACAATCAAGGTGCAACAAAAGGATCCCTGGCCCGAGACCGGTGTTGATCTCAAGGTCTGGGTGGGCAAGTATCTGAAGGAAGCCGATGTTAAGCATGGTGGCCGGATATCGCAGTTTGTCCAGACTCGTCTGGATGACCAGGCCAGGGAGTTCTCGCCAGCTACATGTCGTGAACGAGCTAGGTTGACCGTGGTTGAAACAACCAAACCAAAATTCCAAGGTCGAAATTGCAATTTCCCTTTTCTAAGAGCTAACTGACCACACCTCGGGGCGGCACACATGCAATAAAAGCATTCCATCCATATTGCATCAATTTGACTAGATTTTTACCTGTGTATTGGTTATGCCAAAATGAAATTCTCTCAAAGTCCATACATATCAACTGATGTAAAACGCCCCTTGAATGCTGAAAATGATAAACGAAGCTGTACAGATCCGGGGTTCTCTAATGTTTTCCAATGTCCTCTTTCTGTTCAGGTAGGTTATCACCTTCGATGTAAAGTTCTCCATTTTCATTTTTCTCCTCTTCCTTAGCCTTCTCCAGCGCCCGATACTTCCGCCTGGACTTCTTCATCTTACTAGCTTTCTTCTTTTGCGCAGCCTTAGCCTTCAGCGAAACACGACTCTCATCTCCCTTCTCCATGTGTTCCACCCGATCCGCTAGCAACGAACGCGCAATCTTCCTATTCTGAGCTTGCGACCGCGTAGCCTGACACTTGACCACCAAGCCGGAGGGCGCATGGGTGATTTGCACAGCAGAACTGGTTTTATTCTAATCAAGTCAGATTCCATCCTTAAAGGAGTCGGGTGTTGTGTCGTACAATCTTCTGACCTCCTGGGCCGGTGCCCTTGACGTATGATATGCTCACGTCGGCATCGTCGATTTTGAGCCGGGGTGGAAGCGGCTTTGCAGGGAGGACTGAGGTTCTTGTAAATGTGCGGATTAAAGGCGAGGCCGATGAGGTCAGCCTGTTGGCTTGACGTAGGCTGAACATATTGTGAAGTGAAGGAGTTGTGGATGATAAGATGGTCGTATCCGTATGTTTTAAGACTCTTTGATGAAGCTTGAATATGAACTCTGGGTTCGGGGGTTAATATTGGATTATATTGTATAAATGTTGAGATGATAGTGAATTTTTAATTCCCTAATATCTAGTAGAATTTAGGAATATCGTTTAAATACTTGTATTTTCAACGATGAAGACAAGAACGGATACAAGCGGTAAAGGGCGAATCGTGTGGCATCCCCATATAAAAAAGGGGACTCCTCTTCTTCACTGTTCACAGTCCCCTGTACATCTTAGTACTGCATTTTCTTCTTTTTTTTTTCTTTTTTACCTAAATATCACTCTAAGCCCGCAACCTATCATTCAGCCACTAGCCTCGATTAATTCAATTCTCGACGCTCTTTCTCAAATCAATCCTGAATCGTTTTCATACCAACTGATCTCCTCCCCCACCTTCCTAGTCTTGCACCAACTATAATACAACATTGAGATCAAGCGTATCTGACTCTTGCGCTAAGACAAGCCATCGTGTTCGAGGCAGAAAAATACCCGATCGACTAGCGGGACGAAGCGTGACTGCTTATTCTCTCAGGGGCCTCAACTGTACAATTGACTCCGTGAAGCCTGTGCGACAATTCCAACAATCACCACACACACATACTACGTCTCATACCGTCTCCCCTCTCAGTCATGTCTGTCCTTTGGGTCCTGAGCACTGTAGTGCGCTGGTTGCGCTTGAAGATCTACCAGTATGAGGTGACATTCGCCATCTACATGCTTACCCCAACGGAAAAGTTCATCTTCAGTACGTCGTGAATTCCTATAACTAGAGTGATCATGCTATGAGAATAAACGCACTAATTTCTTGTCGCTTCCAGACTCTATCATCCTCGCCCTACTCACTATGATCGCCACCGGAATTTACATCTACCTCCCAAATCACCTCCGCATCATCTATGGCCACCTGTACTACTACTGGGTCGGCGAACGCCCTTTCATCTCTTCAAACCTGACCTCAATGAGTTCTGTCTTCGGCGACGCCGCCACACAAGGTCTAGGAGCCGTTTACGAAGCAACCAAGAACGTGGCCGCCATGGCAACTGGAAAGCCACTGGCAGACTTATGATTGATACCTGCTTTCCTCGGTTGATTTCAGTCCTTCGGAGTTCAAAATCAAATCAGTCCTGCAGGTTGGAGTTTAATGTGACGTTGGACTAATGAAGTGTTTTATTCGCTGGCGGGGGACGATTTAGATAAAGTTCGGACAGTTTGGTCGCGTTGGCTCATTCTCTGCTTCTTTACCTGCAATTGGAGTCTCCACTCCCCGGCTTGTGCATCCTAGGCGTTTGCATATTATTATTTTCTTTCTTCTGTCTTTTTTCACAGGCCGTCGCCAGTCCAATGCACAGAGATGTGGACTGGTCGGAGATTGCGGTTACACCTCTAATATCCATAGCGTGTTATTCGCCCTTTCATCATTCGAGGTCGTTCGAGGACCTAATAGGTGCTGACTGTTCTAAAGTTATATCTTTAATTGATGCCAATTGACACGATTCGAAGGGAAAGCGATAGATGTACTATTTGCACATAAGCTCAGGACTGTATTATGGCCCATCTGATATACACATGAGAAGAATATGAAATTTGAAAGAAACGCCCAGAATAGACAAATCATTGGTGTAACCCCAATGCAATTGTTCTCGGACGTATACCGGCTCTTATACCCGGAGGGAAAATGTTAAGGAGTTTTCTCCAAGCCTTGATCTTAATTCATGTGCTTTGTGCCTCACCCTTGCCGGTCTGTGGTATTGTCCCAGCGCTTGGAGTATGTCTATGATATACACTTTATTGTGTGCTGCTCGACTCTGTCTGCTGAGCCTGAGCAGCAGTAGCAGCAGCCTCGCGCTCCCTCCGTTCACGGCGTATCCCATCAACCATGCGCATACGCGCTAGTTCAGCGTCAATCTCCTCCTTGTCGAGAGGGATCTTGTGCGATTGTTCAGCTGTAGGCCAGAAGCCCTTAGTTTGGAAGCGGTCTTCGAGGTTCAGGCCGAAGTAGTACATCCAGCCGATAGGGAACATGAGGTACACGCCGAACTAGACTGGTTAGTTCTATTATTCTTTTGCGGAAGGACCCGGCCCAGACTGCTTTGTGTAAGTCGACAACTAGACTTACTTTGAACACTTCCAGGTTTCCACCTGTCAGCTTGCGGAGAATTGCGGACATTATGTCGGTTTGTTTGAGCCTTTCGCCCGTATTTGGTAGTGTTGGAATTCGGACTCGTTTCTATGTCAAATTGTCTGATTATCGAAAAGTGGGCCCGGCGGTGATTACTCATCCGTTGATGGCCTTGTAGTCCAGGCGTGATTTTCAGTCACGTGATCTACCGCGGGCCTCGGTCGTGTGTTCCCCGCAAATAACTATTTGACGTTAGCTCGACTCGGTCCGAAGTATATATTCATGTCTTATTTACAGCTTTCCATAACACGCCCTTCCCCATTGGGAGATTCCACTAATTAACCTTCGATATCCGTTGCAATTGTTGAACTTCCAAAAATATCACTACTTGAAAAAATTCACCATGTCAAACGACCGGCTCGTTACTCTGAAATACCAAGATCGTGTTGCGATCGTCACGCTCAATCGCCCAGACAGATTGAACGCCCTAAACGGAGACTTATACTACCTCCTCGGCCAGCATCTACGCACGATAGACCAGCGCGAAGATATCTTCATAACAGTCCTAACAGGCACAGGCCGATTCTTCTCCTCGTACGCAAACAATCAAACATGAATAACAAAACAATACTAATATATAACACAGCGGCGCAGATATAACAAGCATCCGACCTGAAGAAGGACAAAGTGCAGATGTTCGCCGCGAGCTAGTCCGCGGCTTCATCTCCAACAATGTCGACGTAACCCGTACATTCTACAATCACTCCAAGATCCTAGTCGTCGCGCTAAACGGGCCGGCAGTCGGTCTCTCCGCTGCATTGATCGCCCATGCAGACTTCATCTATGCAGCCCCGCATACATTTATCCTAACCCCATTCTCGTCACTTGGACTCGTAGCCGAAGGCGGTGCAAGTCGCGCGTTCGTTGAGCGGCTGGGCATCGCCAAGGCGAACGAGGCGCTGCTTATGAGTAAGCGGATTTCATGCGACGAGCTCCTCGCTGCTGGGTTCGTGAATAAGGTTATTGAGTCTGCGTCTGGAAAGACGGATGATTCAGATGGATTCTTGAATAATGTTTTGGTTGAGGTTGAGGAGCGTCTTGGTACGCATCTTAATCAGACTAGTTTGTTAGGTATCAAGGAGTTGATTCGGAGGCCTGAGAGAGAGCTTCTGGATCGACAAAACGGGATTGAGGCGTTCATGGGTCTTGATCGGTTCTTGAAGGGGATTCCACAGGAGGAGTTTCGGAAGATAGCCTCTGGGGTGAAGAGGCATAAGCTTTGAGCTGACTTGCCAAGCCCGAGATTCTTCTATTGTAGCACTTCATACAGACAGAGCTGCTAGTTTGAGTGCACTAGAGCTTTGAATTGGAATTCAATTTAAACTCTCGGGTCTATCTACAAAGGAGCAGGCAAAGCCACGTACAGTTTAAGATTAGGAAAAACGATAGATATTTTTGTACTATCCTATTTGCATACATTGCATACATTCCAAGTCGTGATTAGCATTATAGTGTTAAAGCATTAGCTCATTTGTAAGGCTCAGGTGAGAAGACCTTGCGGAATCTGAAGCAAGACAGATCCTTGATAACCTGGGAGGTCTGCTTAAGGTTCTGCTTGACAATAACAGAAGTGGGTTGCTCGAAGAGGTCGTTAATTTCTTCTAGAGACTTGTTCTTTGTCTCAGGCATGAAGACAATCTGGTAGAACCAGCCAAGCACGGCGATACCACCGTAGAACCCGAGAGTTAGGCCAATACGGGTCATGGAGTCCATCATCCGTGTGAAGTTGTAGGTGACGATGAACGAGCACAGGAAGAGGTTGGCATCGGTGGTAGTCATGCCGTAGTGACGCAGGTAGGTGGGGAAGACCTCGGAGGGAACGACCCAGGTCAAGCAGGCGTAGGAGCCGAAGAAGCCCATGTATAGGACGATACCAGTCAGGTAGACACCCTCAGCCGCGGCAGGGTAGGTTTCGTAGTCGATGGTGTAACCCGCACCGACAAGAACGAGACCGATAAAGAAGCCAGGCAGCATGGCGTTAGCCCAGTAGCGGCGACCGAAGCGCTCCATGTACAAGACGGCGGGAATAGTTCCGATGAGCAGGGAGCCACCACCGACGAGAGACATGAAGACGGAGGTCTTCTTATCAAAGCCAATGGCTCCCATGAGGGTAGACATGTAGTACATAATGGCGTTGACACCAGTGAACTGGCCGAGGAAGATCATAATGTTGGCGTAAACAAGAGCACGACGGGCACGGGGGTTGGTGAAGAAGTCCATCCAGGGGTACTTCTTAGTCTGGGCCTGCTCTTCAGCCTCGGCTGTGACTGCCTGGCGCATACCCAGGAACTCATCCTTGGCGTCAATGTCGTCGAAGCCGCGGATGCGTTTCCATACACCGTAAGCGGCAATTTCCTTCTGCTTGAGCATCAGGTAACGGGGGCTCTCGGGCAGGAAAAACATGCCAACGAGCAGGATGGTGGAGAAGACGAGTGATGAACCGAGGATGTAGCGCCAGTTACCCTTGACATCGAAGAACATAGCGGCCACGGCATATCCAAGGACTTCTCCCAATGCAATATTGAGCTGGTATGCTGCGACCAGGTTGCCACGGATGCGACTAGGCACTGTTGAAGAAATTGTTAGCTTCCAATATTCAACCTTCCCAAATTGTTTCTTAAGATACAAGAAAGAAAAAAAAGAAAGAGAAGTCACTTACCACACTCAGCAACGTATACAGGGACAGTACCTCCCTCCAAGCCTACACCAACTCCTAACACTAGACGCCCAGCAAGGATCATTCCAAAGTTGATGGCACCAGCCTGCAAGCCAGCACCTATGGTGTAGAAGATACATGAAACAATGATAGACATGCGGCGACCTAGGTACTCGTTGCATGGAGAAAGGATGAGGGCACCGAGTACGGCACCGAGGGGCATACCGGCATCGACCAAACTGCTTTGCGAAGAAGAAAGGCCGAGGTCTGCTGGGAGATCGATATTTGCACCACTGATCAGCGACTGATCGATACCAGAGAGCAAACCTCCCATGGAAGCAAAGGCTACAAGGACATATGTGAATGCCTTAGGGCTAAAGATGTTGATATCGAAGCGGGACTTGGGCTGTAGTTGAAACTGTTCCTCGAGAACTACCAGCTCTGCGTCCATAGCAGCCTCGTTCAAAAGCCGGTCTTCTTTAGTATGAACACCAATGTCGTCAATATGATCGACAACCTCCTTGTGGGCAGCGCTCTGAGGTGCTTCAACATCTTTGAAGTCACCTGAATCCATGATGAGGTGTTTAGACTCAAGCCACTTTTATGAAAGTTTTGAAGAAAATATGCAAAAGGAAAAAAAGGGGGTATAGAAGAATGAGATGAGTTTATGGAGAGCAGGAAAAGAATGCTCAACACATGAAAGATAGAAATACACCGAGACGGAGGGAAAGAAAAGGGTATTTGAACATTTCCTACTACCCCATTTTTTGGATTGAGATGAACCGGAAATACACTTTTGCCCGACGTACAACCTGGAAATATTCTTAAAAGGGTAAGTGGAGAACATTAACCAGAAAAAAAGAAGTTAAAGAAAAAGTCTGAATCAAATCGAATGGAGAAGTGGGAGGTGGAGTAATCAATCAAATTCCCCCCATTTCACATTCCGGGGATGAGGAGGAAATGTGGGTGTTCACCGGACACACAAATCCGGCGAAACGTGGGGGAAACTGATATAACTTCCTGAAGCTAAATTATTTGATGTACTAATCACTTTTACTAACTTTTATGGAATAATAGAGAACTAAGAGTTTCTCGGCTTACCGTGTAATTCTTCCCGGGTTTAGAAGAATGCCGACCTGACGAAATCAAGCCGGACTCAGAGTAAAATAAACCTTCACTAAATCATATTTACGAGGTGCTTTACTTCTCGAAACCGGGTAAATGGAGAACCCGTAAAATGAGTGGGAAGACCGTATTCAGTAAAGTTCGGGTATGGGGTCCCCGTGGAGAGTAGGAGGTATCGGCGCAACTTCGGCAAAATACCAATATCTCGGGGTAAGCCTGGAACCCAGATTCTGAGTTCTCGCGTCTTGGAACACGGCATTGCTCTGGTCTCCCGAAAATGATTCCGTATTTTCCTCGCCAAGGTCAATTCTAGACGAATGGGCGTTGCGGCATTTAGCCGTCTCCAACCCGAGGGCGTTATTCGCTGGCTGGGAGAGCTTGTGGCTTTGAGAAGCGGATCCTGGGCTGAACTTTCCAAAGTACAGGAGTGCCAAATAGGCTAATGATCCTTATCCTAGTGAATATTCCTGGTCCTGTCTTGTCGTTACACGGTTCACTTAGGTACTGAGCGCTCAATGATTTTAAATGGACGGAAAGTCTAGGCCATCACTTGCCGTTCAATCTCGTTTCCTTCAGTCTTTGAATGAGTGACAGGAGATGTTTTGCAGGTGACCTTCAGTGTGAGGTCACGACTGGCTATTCGAATACGAAGCAGTGCACGGAGTATAGACATCTTAACTGTCTCAGTTGTGATACCTACCAGTAAGGAACACCGGGATGAGAGGACTAATGCCCCACAGGTATGTGATCTTTTCCTTTTTCGGCCAGTCCTCCGTATAATTGATCATCTCGGTGGCTAAATAACTTCGGTAGCCAGTCGGTTTCCCGTGACGTCGACACGCGTAGAAACTTAGGCCATGATCTTGTCTGCACAGTTATACTTCCAGAAGGACCATTACCTCAGGACAAATTATTGTGGTTATCCATGACGGGACCGACTTGGATCCGACAGTAATATGTACGATATAAGCCTTGGATGCCTTCGATTTCTTCTGTGACATGAAGTTAAGAGAAAATAAGCTATTAAGTACGTAAAAGCTTACTATTCGAAACGAGATGAAGTGGATCTCCGGCGAAAGTACCTCGTGACTCGATGTCACGCCTTCGATAAGGAATTTGGAACTCTAATTGTGCGCGGGTATTACGACGAAGTTGTAAACTAGCTGGGTAATTTACCTGAAACCATTCCCCGACGCTGAGACTAGATATGACACATATCATCTAACAGATTGATGTGTTCCGATATTGTTTTCAAGCGTATATTGTCATTGTTTTCTAGTAGAGATAAAAAGGCAAAAGTAAGGCAAAACTCCTGACACCATGCACCATGCTGTCGCCAATGCAATCAATCAATCCTGCATGGACTCTACCAAGCTCTTCCAGAAGACCCAACTGGCTTCCTCACACTGGGGTCAACATTGGGACTGGGGGAACGACCCCCATGTAATCGCGCGCGCAGTCTTTCCTGCGCCGATCCAGCTCTCTCAGGTCCACGTCCAGCTGGCGAACTTTGATAAGAGCCAGCTCGCTGGCTAGGCAGAGGTCGAGTCCCAGTTGGATGGAGACTGGGAGAATGAGAATTTGCCGACAGAAGCGGCGGCGGAGATGAAGCTGCAGAACCGGGTGGTGCGCTGGCCGTGAGCGTCGGCGGCGTCATGCCATTGCCATTTCGACCACGGCGAAGGCTTGCAGTCTGTGCTTGCGGTGCTGCAGATGCGCCGGAGTCACCCCATAGATCACCCAATCCGCCACCCCCACCCCGTCCGTAAGCGGCGGGGGAAGCCGGCTGTCCATGGGTAGTTGCGACCATACGGGATGGCGCCGCGACTGGTGCTTTCGGGTCAGGAGGCAGCCATGGAGGAAATGGCTGGCCTTTCTCTATATAGTAGGCTCTGAGGGCGTTGGAGATGTGTGAGCTGTCTTCGTTTTCTGGGTCGTCTCCTTCATCGCCGAGGGTAATAGCGCGGCGAAGACTGGTGAGGCGAGAGCCTAGCGCAGTGGATATAGAGGCAGATGAGGTAAAGGATGAAAAGTAAGAGCTCATTTCGCCTCTTCTTGTTGTAGTCGTGTGATCAAAAAGCGGCAGGGGTTGAGGACAGCTATGATGTGGGGTTGATGCGGAGCTAGTTTCCTGCAGGTACTCCGTACCCAATACGGGTAGATCTAGAAATAGGTGCAGGTAAGAAGTTGAAGGAGAGTAACCACAGATTATGGAGATGATTAAGCTGCTACTGGTATCCCACAAAAGAGCCGGCTTCTGTGGGGGTCAACTGACTTGAATGGTGGAAACATCAGAAAACCGAATGACCTTCAGGAGGAACTATATCACGTGACAGGGTCCGCTTTTCTATTCTTATCTCAGGCTCCATATTCAATCAACAAGGATCATCAAGAAATGAACAAAGTAGACAACGGTCAAGAGTGATAAAATCACAATTTTAGTTTAAAAACTATTCGGCCGCGAAATCAGCCAGATAGGTATAACTTATAGCTTTCAGTCAGCAATACTAATTTCAGATATATCTTCTCCAATGCATATGGATGTATGAAGAACAAAGAGGAATTAAAGTGGGAAGAATCCCGCACTTATAGGTCTACGGGGCACAGAGTAGCGACTAGTACGGCGACGACATCATGCAAGTGATAGCGTTCGAAGTTCATAAGGCTTTGAAAAGTGAATGAATACTTTCAACATTTGAAGGTTGACTTGGAAGGGTATGGCAGAATACTACTTCTTGAGGGCGGTAAACAGCTGCTGATATGGGATCCAGATGGATGGATTCAAGACTCGGCCACTGATAGATTCGAAGAAGTCCATCATGTGCAACGCTGGGTTGTATAAAACCTTGGAAACTTTACCCAGGTGGAAGAATTCAGAAGACTCGAAGCTGGTCGCAGGAACCTTGGAAGAGATGAAAGAGAAGACCAGAATAATTGTTGGGCCATTGACAATGTTCAAATCACTATCTGCGATGGCCAAGGTTGATGTCCGATCCGAGAAAATAGAAGTATATAAGAATTTCGACCGATAACGCCATGCAAGATCAGACCAACTTTTCCTACTAGAGCCAAATCTATGCCATAAGTTGCTCCTTGCCAGTCTCCTCTGTCTCGTACTCGATTTCGATACGAGCTCCCTTCTTCCGCGGCTTGACCTGAGGAGCAGGGGCCTTTCTCTTGGACCCGGGCTTGGGCTTTTTCTCATCCTCACTAGGAGGCTCGCTGTCATCGTCACTCTCATCGTCACTCTCCTCATCGTCATCGCTCGAGTCGGCAGAGTCACCACCAAGCCAGTCCTCGATATCCTCAAGATCCTCCTCCTCATCCAAATCACTGACGTACTCGACTTCACCAACACCCTCCTCCTCTTCATCCTCAATCATCTCTCCGTCATCCAGATCCTCGTCACGCTCACCCTCACCAGCACGCTCCAAGCCGCGGAGAACTTTCTTCCAAATGCCCTCCTCGACATTAAGCGGCTGTTCACCGTACGCACCACTGCGCAGACGTTCAATGAGCTCGCGCTCAATGGCACGCTCAACCTTAGCCGCAGAAAGGGCCTTTCGCTCGCGAGTCTCCTCACGTCGACGAATCTTCGGAGCCAGCTTCGGCACGATCTTTTCACCCAGTCTATCCTCTTCCTTGGCAATATTTCTGATGCGGATGCCGACTTGCGTCAGACGGGTAAGACGTTGCTTGCACTTGTGCACCAGGAATTTTGGCCAGTAGATAAGTCGCTCATCAACCTGCTCCAGCGCCTTAGCGTAGTTGGAGGAAAGACGAACACGCTCCCACCATTTGTTCGGCATGTGAGAGCGTTCAACTGTCTTCATGTATAGGTACATTGCGCCAGTCTCTGGGTCTGAGCGCACCGTTGCATACCGCGAGTTGGCGAGCGGGCAGGCTTGTCGGTTGCATAGACCTGTGACGTTGTATTCATTGCGGCAGAAATTGTTCCCCTTGGTAGTTCTAGAGAAGATTTGGTTAGTAAGAAAAAAAAAGGGTTTGCAGATTTGATGTGGAGTCTCAGCGAGATCAAAAATTGACGAGAAAACCTTTGGGGTTGCGAATTAGGATAGAAAACTCACTTCAACTTGTAGGAGCAGAATTGTTGGTTAATCACCTGCCAGACAATTTCGTCGGACATGATGGGCTGGGGTGTGAAGTTGATGTTTGCAAGACGGACTCGATTGCCAAGTTGATAGACGGAAAAAAAAAGTAGCGATCACGTGCTTGTTATCGATAAGGTCCAAGTCACAAGTAGTAACTAGAAGAACTATGGAAAGAAATGATTTACACGCGAAAATTTTGTGGAAGCTCCAATTATTGATTCAGAGATATTATCTGCTCTAAATCTTGACTCTCGGGTATGTGTATACTTGTTTCATAATATCATCTATCAAGCATAGCCTTCCATTTGCAAGGCTCCATCCCACTCCGTCCCTTGGTTGGTCAGGTCTGACTCCTCAACTGGCAGATCCTCACTAACACCCCAGCCCATGGACTCCAGTTCACGAACGAAGAAGTCACGTTCCTCTTCCATCATCGAGGTACCTTCTGGTCCACCCATAATATCCTTGTATTGACGTAGATGCCACCAGTGCGTTAGTCCACGAAGTGCTTGTTCCAATGGCAGCGCTTCGTCGACCTCAGCATCGATATCCATACCAGCAAGCCAATCGTCTCGAAGTTCCGGTTGGCAGTAGAGATAGATAGCGGTTATGACACGCATGTTTCCCTGCCGCCATTTCCGGCCACAGTATGGCACTTGCGACTTGAAAAGCTTGAGAGTGTAGTAGCGGAGATGGGGGTCTGGGATCTTCAGACCTTTTCGTAAGATTGTGCTGGATTTGTACTGAACTAGCAGCAGGCAGCGGTGTGATTTTTTATGAGTTATTTTCTGCATGATGTGGAGATAGTTGATGACTGAAAAGAAGTTGCGGAATGAAAACTCGGTAATTGGTTCTTTTGGTAGAGGGGCTGTGGGATAGCCCAACTCATCCACCTCTGGACGTATCGGACCTTCGATCAGACCCGCAATGGAATCCTCGGGTCTGCTAGTATGTCGGTGGCGGAGAATAGGCGGTGGGGCGGCTTCATCCTCGCTGTCGGTGCCAGCCATATCATTATGGTCGGCGCAAAAATAGAAGAAGCTAGATATGATTAATATAGGTGCATAGACTCGACAAGGAGGGACCTACGACAATTCTTCTCGGTCGTTTTTCTGTGCAACCACCTGGTCAACATCCTGATGAGCAAACATCTTCAGAATCAAGGGTAAGTAGTTTGAGTCGAGTAGAAGCTGCGTCATGTATTCAAACTTCAGAATATCTGTTATCTGTTAGTGTTAAGTTACGGACAATTGACTTGTCATATGCACTCACGAGATCTCTTAAACCACTTCACGAGGAGGAGCAAGGTGCCTGAAACAGCTTTCGAAGTGATCTCACGCAGTCGGATATTATCTAGATCCTCGAGGGAAGTGTCTGAGAATTCCGAAGAGCCATTGACACTATGGCTGTTACTAAACACCATTAGAAAGAGCATGCTTATCTAGACAACCTGTATACTTACCCCATACTTCGGGAGGCTTGAGATCCCTGGTTTGCCATGGCACTGACATTTGTCAGGATGATTTTCAAGAAAACGATTGTAATGGATTGGAGATGGGCCAGAATTTTGGCCTGTAGGAAATATCAAATTAGTATGCACTCCGAGAAAGCTAAAGGGCCAATTAAACTCACGTAGAAATCTTCAACGGCATCCAGTCTTCGTTGGACATCTGGGTCATCCGTCTCTTTTTTAGCTGGTTTGGGCTCCGGTTGACCTTGATCTGACAGATTCAACTGGTCAAATTCCAAACTGTCTGGAAAACCTGCATCGGGAACGCGCTGAGACTGATCTACGCTCCAGCCACGGTCATATCTCATGAAGTTTTCACGCTCCTCCCACAATTGCTGCATTGCCCTCGTCATCTTGACATGGCTGGAGAAAAGTTGACCGGCCTCGATGATTGATGCGGGAACATCACTTCCTTCCCATCGTTTTTCAACAAGCACATCTTGGCGTTCAGTAGAACCTTTCCCACCAATTCGGTTACTAGAATCATCCAAGGGGGGATACATGAGTGGAAAATTTTGGTTCGTTTGGTAGTTTTGCTTCTTTCCGGCTTTCCCACCGGGACCGATGGGGGACGGTGGCGGCGATGGGGCAGGTGTCGCTATGTGAACAGCTTGTTGAAAAATGGAGCCGTTCCCACCAGCAATCGGTGGACCAACTCCGCAGAACAGGCCACTTGACGAATGAGTCCTGCTGGGATGTTGTGGGGGAGGAGGTAGAATTGAATTGTGCTCAAGTTCAAGAGGAACGATTGGCGTCGGAGGGTTGTAGGCTGGATATTTTGAGGTAATTTCTTGGCGGAACAAATGGTAATCCAAAGGAGATGCGTGTAAGAACGGTCCGCGGCGGTTGACAGATTCGTCTTGAGGGGCTTTAGAGGGTTCCAAAACATCCTTGGCCTTCTTCAATTGATCACTGCCACCAAACATAAGCAGCAATGCCTTCCAGAGAAGGAGAATAATTCTGGTCAGGGGAATGTTGGCAGTCTCATCCCATCTTAGCCGTGCGATTATTTGAACAATTGAGACGAGTAGGCAATCATCTGATCGGGAAAATACATCACGTATGACAGTACACTTGGGATCCCGAGACTCTTGTCTTCGGCCAACCTCAACCGTGAAATAAAGTAATGTAAGAACCAGGTTCGCTTCCCGCTCAGCAGCCGGAATATCACCTGGGTTGAGTCGTTCGAATTCGTTTATATCGGAATCAGGTCCCAATGTAGAGCGATTGCGGTCTAGCAATTGGCACAATCTCTTGACCAAGACTGGAATGCCGGAGCATTGTTCAACCAGAGAAACATTCTTCTCAATCCAATGGACCTGCATGGATTTTGACTGAGGAAGGTCCGCCAGCGTCTTAGAATCTGGGTTGTAGGGGTAGTCTGGCGCCGTTAAACCTGCAGTGAGACCCCACGCACCGGTCACAAGGTAGCATATGTTCTCCAATGCTTCAAGCCGTACGGAAACATCGGCATTCTGTGTGCTTTCAAGGGATTGAGTCACAAAGGCTCTTTGTAGATCCTCAGAAGCATGCAGCCACAGCGGTTCCGAGGACGATATCGAATATTGTTGACAAAATTGAGGCCATTGACGATTGAAGGTAGACTTCATGCCCATCAACATCACACGGTCAAAATCATTGTACTGGAACCACTCGTCTAGTTCTTCCACAAATGGCTGGGTATCGGCATACTCGAATGCATAAGCTGGCTGCTCGAACTTGGGCATATCTCCCACTAATTTCCGTAACTGAGCCAAGCTCAGCGAATCAGTTGGCCGGTCACTGTTTTGCTGCACCGGGGCAGGCGGGGGTGGCTGAAGGGGTGGAGGGGGAGCCGAACTATCACGACGTAACTCAGGACGCCTGGCCATGATTTCAGACTGTGCCGTTGTAGATTTCTGTGTAAGCTCAGCTGGAGAGACATGCTCTTTCTCTTGTCGCAGCTCCTCGGCAACTTCCTCCATCAATTGGTCGTCTGAAACTGGGGAGATATCTGTCCCTGTCTGGTCGACTTCATCAGCTCTGACAATGTGTTGTTCCTGCATCGTTGCATCGGTAGACTCTGGGGTATCCATCGTAAAGCGTCTCACGCGGGGGTGTTCCGTCGCAAGTTAGGTTGTGGGTCAGAAAAAGGTCGTGTCGGCATTTATTATGGAAATGAGTCGGAGAGGGTAAGATAGGAGAAGTTTCCGGCGTTGGGCGAGCCTCAGACGGCTAAGTCATCTCGAAGTTCACGCTCTTCTTGACAGTGGCGCGTTGTTGTAGTGATGAAGTGGGGCCACGTGACTGATATTCAATAGATTTGCTTTAAGTACAAGTAGTAAACTACGAAATACGATTAAGGGAAACAAGATAGGGCAACGAAATGATCATAGAAGTTGAATGAATTTAATTCTAAATGCCCAAGGAATATATGTGATGCGATAATTTGTCCCTTCTCACTCAGTTTTGGGTGCTTCATTGCGGTGCTTCAACCTCCGTGTTTCCCAACGTTGCCAGCCAGCCTCGGCCAAGTCCTCACTTACAACGAGGTCACGAATACGCAATAAACGCACCACGGTCAAATCAATAGCCCAGTCAATCCACCCCCAGCGTCGAAGCAAGCCGGTGATTGCAAACCAACCAAAGGCGCATACGACTCCGGCGCTGCAACCTGCAAACACCTGCCGTGAGGTATGATAGCTCAAGTAGACGCGACTTGCTGCAACCCCAGATGCTATCACACATAACCCCAAAACCACAACAGCTCGTAGCAAGGTGCCAGTGAGAGGATAGGAGCTCGCATAGGCCGGAGTATGCCGAAACAGCAGGAACAAAGTAAGATACACGGCGAAGAATGACATGAACTGTGCATGTGACGATGGCATGCCATATCCCTTGCCAAACATTTCTACAGTATCAAGAAATTTTAGTATAAGTCATATCTCGAACCATCTACTTGGAGCTTACCCTTCGGACGTTCTTCCTTAATGATCCGTTTGAGGATAAAGTTCAAGCCCTCACAGCCCAGCTGGCCTGCAAACATCAAGACTACTTCCACTTCTCTGGTGGCCCATATTAAGGTCGCGTATGAGACGACAAGGGCCTGTGGGAGTAGGGCGAGCCATGCCGACAAGAAGGATAGGGGATCGTCGGGGTTCTGGGCGGGAAGTCAGTAATCATGACAGGTCAGATATTATAGAATAATCCTGACATAATGAACGTGCGTCAGAGACAACGAGGCCAATGGAGTGTCTTCCATGATGTTGCGGAGTTAAAGAACACGAGATACCACGAGGAAGGTTGGTGAGATCAGCTACTCCGATAAGAACAAACCCGATAAGAACACGGCAGAACGAAGAGCGGGAGGGGAAAAGAAAACCGACTGGCAACTAATTTCTAAGTCAGGCACCAAAGGGACGGACATCTTTCCTGAGCCTGTTCACTCGTCTTTTGCTCTTCTATTGCTCCCTAGAATTTTTCTCACACAACCTTTTCCCCAAACCATGACGCAGTTGTCTTCTTATACTCCTACTTTCTTGTTACTTCACTCGATAGACCCCTCTCACGTCCAGAGGACTCACTACGATCGTGCACGAATACTCCGCATCAGAGTACCTTGATACTTTGGTTGGTGGAATACAATGAGGAGCTCTCATTACAGTATTGCTGACTGGTGCATTCTATAGGAAAGGAAATAAAAAGGTCCATTTTTGCCCGTTTCTTAACTCCGTGTTGATTTCACTTTGAATTCACTATATTCAATCAATATACAGTATGCAACCCTGTTGGACAAGGCAAGATGATGCAATACGAAGTTATTCTGTGGAAACCTAGTCTATATATCATTATCGTGTTGAATATCCCACTTAACAATGATTTTTAGGAATTTGAATCGCCCAAGACGAGACATGGCCGACGAGGCGCTCGACGAGGAGGTCGAGGATGACCGCTCTGTTGAAATTTCCGCCATTGCTGCCATATTCCCGGAAATGGAGATTGACTCGGCATCGCCATTCAAGGCCACACTTGACCTTCCGGTGACACTTCCCTGCCCGACCCATATTTACTTCGAACAACCCGCAGATGTCGGACTCCCCACCGAACTGACACCCCCCACGTCTGTTGATTCATCCAAGGCCGATATAGGTCATGCTACTGTGAGAGATGTTCACTTAGTATCCCACCTACCGCCTCTAAGCCTGGAGATTGAATTGCCAGATGGATACCCGTCGGAGAAGTCCCCGGTTGTCAGACTAAGTATCCATCCGCAATGGTTGCCAGTTTCTGTTCTGGTGAAGCTTGCAAATGATTGCAAAAAACTATGGGAGGAATGCGGTCGAGATATGGTTGTCTTTACCTACATCGTCCATCTTCAACAATTGGCCGAAACTGCGTTTGGGATTCAAGATACTCCCGGCGGAGAGTTATTATTTTCGCGAGAACTGAAAATTGCCCTACTGGATTTCAACAGCAAGGCCGAAAAAGAGAAGTTTGAGCAAGGAACTTTCGAATGTGGGGTGTGCTTAGAGCCAAAGAAAGGTGCAAGTTGTTACCGGCTACTGCGATGCTCGCATGTATTTTGTATTGCCTGTCTCCAAGACTTTTACAATACCTGCATCGCTGAAGGTGATGTTGATAGTGTGAAATGCATTACTCCGGGGTGTGATAGAGACCAGAACCCAGTTCCCGCTCCAGGGGGCGAAGGCCAGACTCCGCGTCACAAGAAGCGCGACCGGACTCTTGGACCTAGCGAGCTCCTTCAGATCCCCCTAAAAACGGAGACAGTGCAGCGTTATGTCTTCTTGAAGCGCAAAAAGAAGATTGAGGCCGATAAAACGACAGTTTATTGCCCACGAGAATGGTGCCAGGGGGCTGCCCAATCCAAAAGGCACCCAAAGCCGGAAGACCCATTGGCAGATGTTGTCGATGTATCCGACGAGGAGGAAGAATTCGAATTTGACCCTCTTGGAGAGGAATCACAACTGCCCCCAGCATCGGAACGCTTAGCTATGTGTGAAGACTGCTCCTATGCTTTCTGTAGAGTCTGTAAGAAGGGCTGGCACGGCGAGCTCGTCCGTTGTTTCCCTCGTCGCCAAGCTGAGCAGACGGAGGAGGAGAAAGCCACCGAAGAGTATCTGCGGTTGTACACGTCCCCTTGTCCCACCTGCAACGTTCCCTGTCAAAAGCGCATGGGCTGCAACCACATGCGCTGCTTCCAATGTGACACTCACTTCTGCTACCTCTGTTCTGCATGGTTGTCAGCAGACAACCCTTACATGCACTTCAACGATCTCAAGAGTCAGTGTTATAACCGACTTTGGGATCTGGAGGGCGGTGATGGTCTCAATCCAGAAGGTGCCGAAGCTCTCCACCGCATCCCGGAAGACCTTTTTTTCGATGATGATGATGAGGAGGAGGAGGATGTCAATCATGATAATGATAATGGTGACTTTGTCAACGATGAAAATATTCGCCCCCTATGGGAGCTTGATACCAGCGATGATGATTTTGAAGAACTCTTTCACCTTCATCCTCCTCCCCCCGCACCAGTTCCACCTCAAATCGACGCTGCACGAGGCGCCGGTGCCGGTCCAGATAACCAAGGGTTGAATGGAAACGGACTTGACCCTGCCGCGCGTGCTGCTGCGCGTGAGCTTCGAGTACAAGCCCGCGCAATTGATGAAATCCGCGCATTGGTGGAAGAACGCCAAAATGACCCCGAATTTGCTGAGTTTGTGCGCCAACGTGATCAGTGGACACAACAGCGCGAACAGGAAGATTATGAGTGGTTTAGCGAACGCGAGGAAGAGCGTGTTAAGTGGTTCTTCCAACGTGAGCAGGAAGACAATGAGTGGTTCCGCCAACGTGGGGGAGACACTCCGCGTTTACGCGAACAAGAGGCCGAACACTTCCGCCTGCGCCAAGCAGAATCCCATGAGTTTGAAATTCAACGCGAAGAGGAATATCACGAGTATAAACGCCAACGCGAGGAGATAGACAATGAGTGGGACCTCCAACATCAAGAACACAATGCGTTTTTCCGTCAAGCCGAACGCAACGAGATCGAATTCGAATTCGAGATTGAGGACCATGATGATGATGATGATGAGAATGAGAATGAGGTTGAAGATCCTTTACGCCTGGATTTCATGCGCCAAATCCTGCGCTTGGTCGAGCGCGAACGCCATAACGAACCTTGAGTAGAAGAAGCTCTCATATACTGCTTGCTACCATAGGTGGATGAAATATCCTGCAAACAAAGCTTCATCATGAGAGATGACACTTGACGACCATTACGCCTCCATCATTTATTTTATTAAATTTGTCTTTTCATTTGCGGGACTTCGTGCTGGAATCTCAATCAAGATTTAGATTCTATGGCTTCTTTTCACTTGCTTTTGATGCATATTCAGTGTCCAAATTCGGTCAATAGAATGGCGCGTCCTTGGGTAGATATTAAACGGTCCTCGGAACATTGTAATCTTGAATAAAAAATGTAATGCCTTAGTCATATTATACATTTGTTTCGATTTGAAATCAATCTTCCTTGTTGGATATCAAAACTTCGCAGGTTTTGGCGCCCTGTTCACTTATCTTACCCAGTCATGCCAAAATTCGTACGTCATGACTGTATGATCACAGTACATGAGAAACAAGCGGTAGCGGCGAGATGGATGCGAGCCATGCCAATGCTCTGTAGGGCGATGATTAAGAGTAGCCTGCGCGTGGAGCTCTGGTACGGTATATCTTCGGCGAGGAGAGGAGTCATCAGTCCGTGCACGAGGTTGAGTTCCCATGACGCGATCATGAGATGCGGGAGATGGTGAGCGTTGCGTGTGTTGCGAAGTAGCTTCTTCGATAGGATTTGGTACAGAGAGCGGAGGTTGAGATTGATATGGGAATAAGGATGAAGATGAGGAGCAACCAGAATCCTCCGAGTCAAGCGTACGGTAATTAAAAGAAAGCCAGTCGTTTGGGTCGACGCCCTGAGGGATAAAAGGCACGTCTGGTGGAGTCTCAAAGCCCTGCATGGGGCAAACCGCAATACCCTGTAGAGGGGCTAAGGGTCTTTCTCCTTTTCTCTCCTGGGAAGCGAAAGGTGTGATCCAGTCAGTGCGAAAAGAATATCCAAAATCTTTATGCCAGGTAAGAGATATGATGGCTGCACGTCCTTTTTGGGTAGCTGCGACCACAATTCCAAGCTCCGGAATGCTTTTGACCATGTTAAAGCGATCCGAGTGTTCATTGACGAAAGCTCGAAATGGCCAATGATCTTGGTAAAGGGCCATACCACATGTAAGGCGATAAGGATGATCCAAGTACGGAATTAAGGTAATATTAGTCGCAGAAAAGTGCAACACAGGGAAACCTAGAAGAATCCGAGCTGAATAAGAATGAGGTTAGTATTCTGCATCGTAATAAAGATTCACTTATCCGGGGACAATACGGTGGAGAGGTTTCGTTTTGGAGTCGTTGTGTTCATGGGGGGCTGGTAAATTCAAGTTCCCATAGTCTTCATCGTACAGACTCCATCTATATCTAATCCTGCAAAGGATTTGATTCTCGGCTGTCATCTCACAATCATCTTCTGTCTCATCCTCATTACTGTTTTCGCCAGACTCGAGACCGCTATGGATATCGTCATTATTGGCTGACTGAGAAACTTGTGAATGAGGGCTTCGAGAAAAACCTTCGAGATTGTCAGGTTGCAACTCGTGATCTATACAGCACTCAGGTGAAAAAACATCGTCTGGGAGAGAAACAGGAAGAACAGAAGAGTTACTGACACTGGGGCCAGAGAACCAGTCAGGGTGTCTTTCTAACGATCTTCTTAGATTGACACGTGGAATGTTATCATCATCCGAACCACATGTGGCACCAGAGAATCCATGGGCATACGTTGTGAATCGATGGCGTTTGAATGTCCGAGGATCTAATGGTAATACTGTCCATCCCGGTGTAGTCCTTACGAGGGGATCAATTTCGACATCCGAATAAGGCTCGAGATCCTCCCAAACTTTCCACATCAGCATAATACCACGTATATCAGTGCTGACCATCCAAGTACCGCAAGGATCGAGGCCAAAATTAGCAAATGCCACTGAAGGTATATTTGTGAGATGACCGCGGTATGTGAGTCGTAGGTTTCGAGAGCGATAGTTGGATGGCATGAGCTCCCGAATATCACTAAGCTGCTCATTAGTTTCAACGTAAGTCCACGTCTGGCCTGAATAGTTATGTTGAGTCTGTTGCTCGTTACCATCCTCCATCGATGAAGACTCCACAAGAGCGAAGGCAAATACGGTGATAAGGCCCGTATTTGAGCTGACGGCGATGAGACGAGCAAACTTATGTACCGCCAAACCCCAAGCACTCATGATCACACTCTCAACAAAGAACGGGTTGACTTCTGCACTATCGAATGGCCGCATGTTCAAGTTCTTTTGGCATCGACTGATAGCAGAGAAAATTGTCTCCACATGATAGCCACAGACATTGCCGGAGTCGGTCACGAGAAGCAGGACTTCATCAAGACCCAAGTCATCAATTAACATGTTGTTGATGTTGTGAGGAGCTGTCCGGTCAATAAAGCCATCTGCTAGAGGATTTTTCATGACTGGACATATGATCATCTCTGGCTGGGATCCCAAAAGCTGGAAAGGTCCATTAGGGATCCAGACGTAAATCTCATGCCGATGTGCCGTGAAGACCAAGTTACGACGTTGCGAAGCAGCTACCTGTTCGTGCGAATCAGTAAAAGTAATTCCAAAAGTCTGCAATCTCAAACAATGTGCCTTACTAAGTTGCACCTCCAAGTAGCAATACTAGGTGCATCTCGGCTTCAATATGCATTAGTACTATCTAGGTTAAATCACAAATGTCATGCAACACCTACGCGGGAAACTGTTCATGTTAGTTTGACAGCATCTCACGGGTTATATAAGAGGGTATGCCCACTCGTTCGTCAATTTTCTCCACATTCAGTGCGTGGATCCGAGGTCGTATAGCATCAGAGTGCGTGATATCTGTAATGACAAATTTATCACGGTTGGAATAGAGAGAGTCAGTGGGCGAAGACATTTTCTCGAGATAAAGGTGTTTATTGCTACCAATGGCGTCGAAAAAAGGTGAGGGAATTGAATAAAGAGGGGTAGTTACATGGAACTGATTTTGTCATCTCCAGTATTCGAAAGGTAGGGTATAAAGAAAAGAACGAAAAGCAAGAAAGCACGAGCATGATAACGCTGGTTATCGGCCATTATCGTTATCGTTATCGTGTTTAGTGGGGATGTGGAGCCGCAATGATTACACCGCTTTCCCAACTCCAATCTTTAACCTCTCTCATAAAAATCAACTATTCTCCCAAAAACAATGGATCTGGTTGCAGGAGTACGCAAAGAAGGAAGCCGGTAGGCATTATCCTATCATATCCCACTGGTTATTGCTAGCTAAGACTTGTTTTCTTAGTGGCGGCCGCACCGAGTTCAAATGGTCCGATGTCAAGGACTCGACTCATCGTGAGAACTACCTAGGCCATTCTTTGATGGCCCCAGTAGGACGCTGGCAACAAGGTCGGGATCTTGGATGGTACGCTAAGGGAGATGAAGACGATGAGCAAGCAAAGGCTCGTAAGCAGCGCGAAGAACTACAGCGTGTTAAGCAAGCCGAGGATGAAGCTATGGCCCTTGCGCTGGGCCTGCCAATTCCTCAGAGTGCTGAAACAAACGCCAATCTTACCCCACTAGGAGGCAGTGCCGCAAAACAGGAAGATACAGTGATGAAAGATACAGAAAGAGAACATCGCGGAAGCCGAAGACACAGGGGAGATCGCAGTCGGAGCCCACGACGACGCAGAGATGACCGTGGTCGGGATAGGGAGCGAAGGCATCGCAAGGACCATAATGAGCGAGAACGTCATCACCGCAGCAATAGGCATCGAACACGGTCTCGTTCTCGTTCTCGGTCTGACTACCACCGTCGCAAGCGGTCAATCTCACGTTCTCGAAACCGAAATGATTGGAGGAATAATGGGAGAACCGATCCAAATCCTGATAAGAAGCCAAGCCGGAGAGAGAGCGATGACCATCACAAAAATGGGCGAAGAGAGCGCAGCTATTCACCCCCCGAACGCAGACGTGATTTGGACCGCCAAAGCGATCGAGAAGACTATGACCGCCGACGTTAGACTGAGTCTCAGACATAATCGATGGACTTAGATTTTTGATTTTTTATTCTCACAAAAAAGGGCAAAAAGCAAAAACAGAAGCTCACTATCTATCTAATATTCTACATCATACCAGTAATATGCATGCATTTACAGTTCGTCATGACCAGCCTGTGCATCCTCGGGCAGGTCTGGCATGGACATGATGTTCACCACCATACTGGTCCAGCCGGTGAAGTGCTGTGTTCGCTGTCCGTTGCCTGTCTCAGGGTTATACTGCTCCCAGGCAAATCCAGTCCTTTTCCACTCCTGGAAGACGTTCTCGACCAAGTTCTTCCGCAACTTGGAATACGTATCGCGAGACTTCTCCTGCTGAGGACCGGGCACCGTTGCGATAGCCTGTGAGGTCAATAATGTTAGTCTGATATCGAAAACAAAAATTTAGAGAACATCGCATACATGAAGATTTCTAAGGACCAGATAGTTGATCTGAACCCAAATAGGACTCCTCCAGTAATTTTCCTCTGTACCATAGTGCTTGTTCTTTTTGCTTAAGCTGCGAATACCGTAGTCACTCCAAAGCTCCTCTGGGTCACTGATTAAGTCCAAGATAGGCTTGAGACGGGGGCTGTCAGGGCCCAGCATGCCAGTCAGGAACGGGAAGATGGAGACGTAGCCCTTGTGACACACATGAACACTCTCTTCAAACTCATCGATTGTAGCGTCGCAGAAGGTCTGCTCTGTCTCATCCCAGTGCAAATCGTCAATGTTGCGGGTAATAGCGTTCTCGTGGACCGCGAAGTCCTCAGCATCATCTTCCTCGCCTAGGTTTTGGGCAATGCGGCGCAAAGTGCGGGTCATCATTCCCATCCAGCTAATCAGATCAACGTGCAGCTCACCAGGGTGCGGTGGCTGGGCTCGGGGATAGTCATCAAGGCCAGAGGTCAAGATGTGCTGCACAGAACGCCCGCGCCAGCGGTATCCCTCCTTGGTTGAGTAGGCTTCACGGTCGTATGACGTGATATCGCCCTGCTGTGTGCTGCGGTACCAAGCCCAGTGCTTCTTCATCAGAGGGTAAAACGAGCGCAGATAGGCATGGGCGATTTCCGGGTTACGCAGTGTGGCAGAGCGGAGCGCCTCAGTAGCGTCAGAATTGTCCAATGATTCAGTTTGAATGCTCTCATTGCTAGTCACTTTATCCATGAAGGCTTCCAGCGCCATGAACAGAGTGGGTGGGTTAGCATAATGAGGATACTGAACAGTAAACTCTGCAGGCACTTTGCTCCGAGCTTCCATTCCTAGAATCTGCTCTCGAGCAATCCACCCATCTTCATCCATAAGGTGGAACCAGCTCTTGATAATATCCAGACTAATCGTGTCAGCAGGTTTAGGACATAAGTGGATGAACTTGAGGAACTTACGCAACGTCGGAGTCGTATTCCAATACAGGCAACAAGTGGAAACCCTCATCCCAGAGAAATCCTCGTGGGAAGAATGGCCGGGATGGAACACAAGTAAAAAGGTCCTTGGGTCCCTCAAAAACAGGCTTCGCTGCAGCCCTTGCCTCTGCAGTCTCTTCCCAAAAGCCTTCATCCTCCTCTCTATACGCATCGTCGTTCGACCGGTCCACAACGTCATCACCGTGAAAGAATCCAATGCCACCAACTAGGTTGGAGAGCATAGCTTTAGAGAATTCGACGTACTCGGCCGAATCGAAAGGCGCTTGTGGCGCTAGAGCCTGATTGAATCTATCCGAGAACGAGAGCGATACTTGCTTGAGCTCCTTTGTAATAGTCTCTGCTGTAGAGGTGTCAATATCTCGGAATTCACATACACTCTATAGGGGTAGACTTACATGTCACGACCTTCGGGGCGGAGCCAGAGGAGAAAAGGACATCAAACTGGTACATATAAGTCAAGATATTCCGCAGCATCCGTAAATTCGGGGAGCCCTACCTCAAAGGAGCCAGTGAACACCTTCTGGACAAGATGCATGTTACCCTGGCCAGGGGCGTGCTTAATAGTAAAAAGCTGTGCTGGCGGTGGAGGGGCTGTTTCTCCATACTTCTGAATGCTCTCATCTACCTCTTTCTTCATTTCACTGAACATGATACCTAGATCGAAGTCAGGACAAATGACCGAGCATATCAGTTCCACAACACATACCTTTAGCCTGCCAAAGCTGATTTGGCGGGAAAGTAGCACTGAGTACAAGACCCTTGCCCAATGGTTTGTCATCGAAGCTAGGGTGATCATGCTCGAAATACGCGTTGCTTTCCGGGCCAGCTGTGACATCGATGGAGAAGTCGCCGAGCTCGGAAGTATAGCCTGTGAATTTCACATCTCCTTCGAGCGCAGGTTCATTCGAAATACTGTCAGGATCAACACCCACTTGGCCCAATCCTTCCAGACTCGTATAGAATACTATCGATATGGGCTGATCCGGGTCTGCGTCATCACGAGGGACACCCTTCACCCGGAAACCCCAACTTCCTCCATGTTGTCCACCGGGAACCTTGATAAAATCAATAGTGAGGTCCAGAGAGTTACCGGCATCGTGAATTGTTTGTCGTCCACCCTTTCGGATATCATACTCATCCCATCCATATCCAGCCATACCTTCATTTTGTTCGCAGGTGTGTCTAAAGTCTTGAGGTTCGTTAGCATCAGCATTGGCCTTCCAAGTACAATGGATGTTGCATACTCTGTTGAGCGGTGCCATAGTCATCAACTTTAGCCCACATCAATCCGGCTGTCAGGCTATTTGCGATTCTAGGACGCACTCCGAAGTATAGATTAGATTTGTAGGGGCCCCATAGCAGCGACTCGTTGTTGGTGCGCGCGGCCTCTTTAATTAAGACGGTGACATCGTTTGGATGCTGACTTGCAAGGATGCCAGTCACGTAAAAAAGCGATGTGAGAAGAGATATGATCCTAAAATGATGCATTATGGAATCCGCATCACTCAATTGTGGTGAACATGAGTTAGTTGTCAGTTCCAAGCTGGCGGAGCTGTTGTCCTCCGCAACTACGTGGCCCGAGCTCGGCACATATCCGTTACCTAATAGCGGGGAGCCCTATAGTTAGTAGCGGTAGAGCCGAGTTATCCCTTGACTGTCAAAATGGTAACCATTAGCGCCTTGGTGAAGCCTGAAACTACGATACCATTTATCTAGAAGTTGTTATAGTCACAGAATGGACACCTTCACACACCTCTTCACTTTTTGACTCCCTACTTTCTAAATTTTGCTTCCAAGAATAAATATTATTCCGGTTCAGATTCTTAGTTTTAATGACAGTTCAGGATCCGTATGTCCATGATCGTTGGTTTGAGACGTTGAGTGGTTGACAACGCTGCGTATATGAATTTTCTTGACTGTGGGAGTCCTCCTTTTTCAGTAGATTGTCATAGTTTAGAACTGTCAATAAATTATTGATGAATCAGTCAAGAGAATGCAACAAAATTGATTGATCAAATCCCTGATTCAAAGACCATTGACATGGACATAAGGCTGCTAAACTCCATCTATGTCCGAGACCGTCGATCCATCAACATTTCATGATTGTCCACCATTTAAATGATGGCCCTCTCTTCAATTTTCAACAAAGCAAAATGAGTCTTCACCGTAAACTGACCTGGTTGATAACTGGGGCCTCTTCTGGTCTGGGACAATGTCTTGCCATCGAAGCCCTCAAGGCTGGTCATGAGGTGATTGGCACGTCACGCAACATCGCCAATGCCGAGAAAAGCTGTCCAGAGTTTGCAAAAGGCGGGGGTAAGTGGCTTAGCCTAGACCCTGGCCAGGCTAGTGCGCAAGAAACTTTGTCAAAACTCTTGGAAGGTTACAGCATTGATGTTTTGGTAAACAACGCTGGGTACGCATTCATAGGAGGACTTGAAGATACCAGGTAAACTAGTCATATCCCCCTCATATCAGTTTAACGCATGATCTCATCGAGTCCTTTATATAGTGAAGAGGATGTTCGTTCTCAGATGGAGGTCAATTACTACGGCCCACTCCGCACTCTGCGCGCAGTGCTTCCTGGTATGCGTGCCAAAGGATCTGGTAATATCGTGCTTATTAGTAGTGGAGCTGGGTAAGTTTTCGTGTTGCCTGTCTCAATTCTATATAAGCAGGCTTTAATTTCTTACATGAACAGATTCATTGCAAGGCCAGCCCGTTCGACGTATTCCGCTAGCAAGTTTGCCATAGAAGCGGCCCACGAGTCACTTTCCCATGAGGTTCAACCCTTTGGCATCAAGGTGCTCATTGTGGAACCTGGTGCATTCAGAACTCCTTTCTCAAGTAGGATTCTCACCCCTCTTCAATATGAGAGTACTGGCGGAGTAAGCGAGGCTTATCGAGGCACTGCTGTCGAGCAGATGGTTCACGCAACGCGCACTATGGGGAATACCCCCGAAGCTCTGAAGGGAGATCCTGAAAAGGCTGCTAGAGCTATCTTAACTGCTGTATGCCACGGGCATGATTTTCTTAGATTGCCACTAGGTGAAGATTGCATTTCTGCATTGGAAATGAAGATAAACGACCTGAAAAAGGATCTGACTGCGACCAGGGAGATCGCGTTGTCTTCAAACTTTTGAGTCGTCTAGACCTTTTATTCAGTCAGAAAAGGTTGGAATGGATGTTGAAAACAGTGGAGATAAGATAATTTGAAACGTTGGCCTAAATCTGTGGACGTTCAGCTTTTAGCAGAATCTTAGGAGTTTACAGAGTCTAGACGGTACTGGGTAGCATGAAAGAGCTCATTATGTGGATAAATGGATCTCTACCTAAGTGGTCTATCTTCCAAAATTCAATTTCAATGTCGGATATTTCCTAAAAAGGCACCGATAGAGAAGTTTTACAGTTCCTGCTATGACTTCCTAATGCGGAGTCTGGTCTTAGGTGACAGGTGTGATATGAAATGACTAGATCAAGTAATTCCGGGCTGTAATTTTATTTTCACAGAATGTAATCCTTACAATTTTCGGCATTTGGTAATAATAATAACTTCATTGGCAAGCTAAACTGGCAATGTATGTAGTTTCATCAGAAGAGAGCTTGACTCTTTTCCCTTCTCTTTCTTTTCTTCTATATCCTAGATTTCCATTTCAGCTTCCACCTCTTTACTTCATTAGAGTAGGGTCTTTTAAAGATAGCTATATATCTGGTTCTGTGCTGACCCTTTCTTCTTTCTATCTTTTTAAGTATCGATATAATTCCACGAAAGACTCGAGCCATTCTTTCTCCATTTCGCTATGAGGCTCCCATAGATAGCACTCTTTCCGTTGGAAATTGCTTCTCACACATAATTCGGGAGTGAAGAAGGCGTCATCAGTAACAGCCGAAAAAAAATCGTCGTTTAGCCCAGGGCGTGTTTCCAGCTCGTTGAATCTTCTCACACTCATTCTTAAATCCAGTATACAAACTGCATAGTTCAACATCGGAACTATAGAAATAAGGAATCCCGCGGATAACAGTTTCGGCTAAATCTGTTACTAAAGCGGGAAAACCATATTTAGTGACCTTGTCCCCATCAAGTAAGCCCTTGGTTTTCATTAAATCTAAAATTCCCTCTAGCATAGAGTCGAAGGGAATTACTGGCATAAAAACGTATCGAAAGTGCTCACAAGCACCTAACCTCGCCTTTGGGAGTCGCATGAACCTTTCTGCATCACGTCGCATACGCGATACGATGTGTGCTGTATTAGGCCGACGCTTTTTCGCCGGATCCAAAGTACGTTTGAGTAAATCTAGATTGGCCTCTAAGATATCGGCTGGCCAACGTAGCTCTGAGGCTAACTTCCCAGAAATAGTGATTAGGGTAGTTTGCATATCTCCCCAATCTCTTTTCATTTCCTCAAAAAAGTATTCGCTCTGCCGAATACGCTTGACTGAGAACTGTTTGCTTTTTTATTCCCACAGGGGCAATAGCCAAACTAGCTGCAGAATCCCTCGGCTTTAGCCCAAGCCACTATAGTATGCTGCCGTGTCAACTCTTTTTGAAGGCGTGTATGCATGTCGCTATAGATTCGTCTTCTTCTCCTTATAGGAACATGATGGATGTTCAAATATAGTACCGAGTCTTTAGGGATAGGATGTTTCCGAATTTGTGAAAAGCAGTTCCTAAAGGATTCAGTCGCGAACCTGACCTTCGATTTGGTCTCCGGGTCGGACCCGATGAGGGTGCGGCAAACAGGATGAGACATGATGTATCTATCGATTCGGTCACTTCGGTAGCAGAGTAGCTTAAGGACATCCCATACTCGCAAATCATCGATGATCTTATGAGCGAGTTCAGTAGGTATTGCCTCTAAACTCTGGACGACCGAAACCAATAAGTTTGAGTGTATCATTTTTTGGATAGATATTCGGAGATAGAAGAGTGATATGGGTAAAATGAATTAAAAACGAGTAAGTCCAGTGTTTCCAAGGATCCTTTTTATTATGCTACTTCAGCTTACCAGGTCGTGTACAAGTGTGTGTCACAATGTTCTATTTAGCCTAGAAGGTCGTAGCCGGTGACAAACCTAGAGTAGGCAGCAAAGCGGATCTTGGGGCCATGACTGCCTTTCTTTACGACTGTTCCCGCAATATTACATTATTACTCGTCTACATGCCGGTCGAATCTCTTCAAAAAACTTTTTAAAGTCATGGCGTTTGTGGCTGACTGAACGGATCAAAGTGGCTCAGTTCTATTCAGCAAAAGCAGCGACGGAGCACTAATACGGAAGATGAACGCCAAGAACTGGCAGAAGGTACAAGCATATCCCCGTATACAGCACACTCTATGAAAAGTTTTTAAACTTGATTGACATTATCATGTTCTGCAGTAGCATGTAGTTCTTCATTTTAAAAAGAACATCTACTCAAAGTTGATCGCGAGGATCCAATGATTCGATCTTCGCGCTCTTAGCCTTGCCATCGAACACGAACTCACTCATAAGCTTGCCAGTTCCGGGGCCATTCTGAATACCCCAACAGGTGTGGCCGGCAGCAAGATAAAGACCCTTTGTGTGGGTTAATCCTACCAGTGGTCCTCCAGTTCCGATACAGTTGGGTAAATAGCAAGCCTGTCGGGTAAGAACTTCCCCGTCACGTAGCTCGTCCGAGATGCTACCCACTTGATCAATAATATCCTGGCAAAGCACTTCATTCACTTCAACTTCTGCAGAAGTGCTGGGTAGAGGAACGTTCTTATCTCCATCACCGCACGCATAAACCGTGTTATCCGGGCGCGTATAGATCTCTGGAGCCGCGACCGTCGGGCGAGACCTCTTGGAAGGATGGAAGTTCGCAGGGATCTCAATATTCGTAAACAGAGCATAAGAACTGACAGGTGTAGTTGGTTGGATGACCACACTATGAGCGCGCATACCTTCGATGGGGACTTCAGGAAGAATACGCTGGGTCCATGGGCCAGCAGCAACAATAACATCGGTGGCGGGGATTGTGTGTGACTCTCCTGAAGTTTTGTCGATATAAGTCACAGATTCAACCGATCCATTTGGACGAAGGATATCTGTAACCTGTCCAAGAATGGTCTTTGCTCCCTTCTCTTCTGCCAGGTTTGCCATTGAGGTCGTAAAGAGGTATGGGTGAACCTGAGCCGTCTCCCCAGGCCCGCTCATGCTCTCGTAAGCTCGCAAGAGATCTGGTTCAATCCAATCCAAATCTTCGGGGATCTTAGCAGCCTTGAGTTTGGACAGCGCAGCGGTGCTGCGTTTCTTTAGCGACTCGGAGTTACCGCTCTCTACCTTCTTCTCATTCTTTTCAGTCAAGGCACGACCTCGGACGACGAGCTGGCCACAATTGGTTTCTCGATAGCCCCATCTAGTCTTTCCATCATGCTCTTTCGCAAGCTCGGCGTGAAGCGAATAACTTAGGCCCACGAGGTTGCTGGGATAAGCCCATTGCGCAAGAAGTCCACCCGCTTTTCCTGACGCTCCGCCGGCAATATCTGAGGCCTCAAGCAGCGTTACCTTATGGCGAGCAGGATCATAGGAGGGATGCCTAGTAAGGAAGTATGCAGAACAGCATCCAATAATGCCACCTCCTGGTTTTTTAGAAATGTGGTTAACATCGTCGTTCCAGGGATGCAAGAGCGGGGTACCGAATTCGCGGCAGTTATAACTTATTCTTACCAATAATGACAATTTCGCGATGATCTCTAGTGGTTGGCATGTTTATTTTTACTCTCAAAATTGATAAAGTTGACAACAAAATGACACTGTTCAAGGTTGAAGATATAGCAAAGTACCGTCGCCGGTTTTGGTGAATAACTACGTCACCCGCTACTGAGTAGTTCCACCTAGACAAGTTCCACATCTCCAAATCAACCTAGATACAATATCAAAATGCTTATTGAATAGACGGAATGGGGTACTAAAAGATGTCATATTCGCTGTGGTATTTTGAGCTGTTGGAAATAAAAATGCAATAGAAGAGCCCGACTTGAAGACACCTCGTGAATCATAAGCGCAAAGCTGATGGATTACCGCTAATCCTTCCCGCCACTAGGACTCAGTGCGCGGTTGAAACCACCACTTCGGTTCATGTACTGGCGATACTGGAGCACCTTGGTCTTCCGTACATAGCCGACATTGTTTCCCGGGACCTTCATGTTGTGGGTGCTTCGAAATCTGGTGAATCCCATAACCTCACGCATAGTTGCCATCATTTCTTCGTCGATCTCGTCTTCGCTAGATTCATCTGGACTGGGCTCTTTTGCCTTGCGCTTACTAGTTTCGCTAGCGTCGACAGACTTGCCCTTGGGTTTCAACGCAGATTCCAATTGCTCTCGATGATCCTGGTATTTTTGGGGGTTTTCTTCTGTACGACGAGTGAGCGATGGTAAACTTTCCTAATTGGGTAGAACGTACTGCGTTTGGATATGTCGAATTTTTGGACCCGGAGTGGAGCGCGCTGCGACAGTGGCTTCGCTGACGGATTTGCTGATGAACCAGCCATGGCGGGCGTTTGAAAAATTGTGCTGAAGAATAATTAAAAGGGATGGTTCAAATGATACGTACGGACAAGAAACATTTCCGGGCGGTGTATAAAGCGGCGTACTAAATTAAGTAGGCGGTCAGAAAATATTTTTGGCAAAACAACTTCCTTATCAGATGAGGCTTAAAGCTTGGAATGATATATGCTATACACGGTACTAATCGGAAAATGAGGAATTATAAGCCTAAGTGTTGGTACTATCATCTCATGCTTATTATGGGATCACTCGCCGCTTATCGGGTGGGAAGCCACATGCTTATCATGTGACTTCCAGGTACCATATCCATAGCAGCAGTTTCATGATAATCAACCACTTCTTACAACTTACAACTACCGCACGTACTACACGCAAAAGTAGACTACTTGCAGCGTAAGCTGAATTCCAATAGCAAGCTATTGTAGATACTCACGACCTGAGTATCCCGACAGTAAGGAACTATCAAAGAGCGAGAAGGTGCTGAACAAATGGAAAGGAGTAAGGACTGAACCAAAACAAATAAACCTGAGGTCACTTGAAACCTCTTTTTCAGTGATTTGGTTCTTACTAGTCCATAAGTCAAGAGAAAGGGCAATTGTCTGGCTTGAAATAGCAAGATCTTCCTTCAACTTCGTACGTTGGAAGTCAAATTCTTCTTTCAGGCGACGCAGAAGTGTTGTCCGGGAGGTAAAAGGGAGTGAGACCCCCATCTCTTCAACCATTTCCCGAAATGAAGGCTCTTCAATAACAGTAAATGATTGCTTAGTCTTAACAACCTAACGAAGAAGTTTCGTCTCAATCCGCTGCTGATGGTCTAAGAGAGTCTCCTTTTTACTCCAATAGGAATAAAGAGAGGATACTGGTGCTATAGCCATAGAGTTATTCATCTCTTGGGTATAAGGGGCCCGAACATTATGGTCAACTTCCAAATGCCGTTGAACATTCGCAAAAGATCCATATCTTTTTGAATCAAGGGTGCACCAATTACATGAATTACCATTTTTAGTCTGGAGGGTACACCGAATCTCTCGATCATGAGCTACCTTTTCCTTAGTGTTTTTATTGATCTATTCTATCGGAAGCTCTTTAACCGAGAGATATTCAAACATCCAATCATGCTTTGATGGTCTTGATCTCTTAGATCTAGCAGTCACCTGGTATATAGACTCAGAAGGTGTAGGCCGAAGTGTAGAACATAAAGGCCCAGGCGTAGCGTAAATAGGTATGTCTGGAGCCAATTGGTCATCATGATCTATAAAACAAAACATCAATATCAAGTAGAGAGATATGGTGAGATTGATATTACCAATACGATCAGTGGGTTCAAGGATAGGGTCTTGCCAATCTTCATTTTCAAGCCCTCTATTTAGATTAAGTAGTTTTGACGATTACCGCGTGTTTCCATGACGTTGAACTGGATAGAACCATAGAATACAAGGCAAGGATTCATAACTATCATGTAATACTAAATATATTACAATCTAGTTAGACGATAACGCCCGTTATCGCCAGCCCAAAAAAGTCAGCGATAATTATCGCCATACTGAAAAAAGTCGGCGTTATCGGACCGTCAACGTTAACGGACCTTCATTATCGAACGATAAAAATATCGTGTGCACCCCTATTTTTCACCGGTATGTGATTTTTAATTCAAGTTTCTTGATGCAGCTGTCCTGGATCTCGTAACTGGTCTTGACCGAGGTCGAGATCGAGGCTGAGCATAATCTAAACTCCCAGCCCAACTCACTCGCTTACCAGTTCCATTGATTCTGTCCAATTATTATTCGCGGAGCTCCACAGTTGTGCGTATTGTAGGACTCGTTTTTCATCTTCATCAAGTGAAGCTTGAGTGATTCTTACGTAATATCCCATATGGGAAATAATTATAACAGATGGATAGGGTGTCTTCAGAATAGCCTATGAGATATTAGAAACACCATCCGCATTCTTTGCGCCGATATCTGCGAGTATTTATGTAATACTACATAGCAGAGGTGTCTTTTGCGCCAGTTTTCTAGGAGTGAAATCGCATGTCACTTAACCTCGACGTCGTCTGTTTTCCAAAGTTCATTTCTTCGGGGATCGGCTTTCATTATTCTTGTCCTATCCAAGACGTAGCATGTGGTATATACAGTTCAGAGTGACTTACAATTCTAAGGCTACATAGCGTCGGTACCCAAGGAACCTCGGGATCTAAGAGGAAGAAGGGAGACTAGAGGATAATTTTGCGTGATATAACCCCACCTAATGAGTACTATGAATCTTGTTATCTGTATCTAGGTATAGATATATAGCTCACAGCCACTACAACTACAATTGTCTATATCTGGTAATTAAATATGGGTCTCATATAAGAGTCCTGCATGCTCAAGGGCCATTTAGCTGTTCAAGTCTGAAGTTGTGAGTACCTGGGTATCTTTTAGAAAAGAAAGAAGATCAAATAGTGATTCTAAGTTTCTCCTATGAAAATATAGGCGGGTTTGTAGTTATAGACTAGTTGTTGAATGCGCTTAAGAGCGTGGTGCCATATTAAAATCCGGTTCTGTGAATTTAGCTTATCAGAGGAGGGGAAAGCAACCTTGGAATATTGAGAAATTGTGAAAGAGGATAAAAACTAGTGTCACGATCACGGTCACGGCCACGTCACGCTTAATTTCCTGGATACATCCATCTATACAGCTCGACCCGTAGACGCTCCCAAACAACAGCTCCCTAGCCCCGGAGACAATCTCGACCCAAGGACTTCTGTAAAAGCTGGTCTGTAACAGCAAAAAAAGAGTGCCACCCAAGGTTCATCAGAATTTCAATAAAACAAATAGTAGTAACGTTGATGATATCTGACCTTTTGAAATTGGAGCTTTGGAAGACCTTGGGAGATTATCTTTTTGCCTCTCCCGGATTTCTTAAGATTCTTCTGATACATTCTTATTCAATAGCTAAATACGATATATTTACTTATTTGATTAAAGAGTAAACCAAACTTCTTCGGGTCGGCCCGTTGAGCCTCAAACTATAATTTTCACTGCAAATTTTTCTCAACGCCCAGTTACCCCACTTCCACTTCGCCGTCTTCTTAGCCACAACCTAGGTGCTCCATCTCATCTAGCTATGGCTCCAATCAACTTGTCCCATCGACGGACACATAATCTACTCCTTATCTCCAAACTGCTAAGCCTACGGGACACAGCCTCACCGCTTACCCTCTTGTTGGACTCGTTGGAGCAACCCGCTACTACTCTCCTTAAGGAGTATATCAGGCGCGCCAAGGTATGTATCTCTGTGACTATAATTAGAAAAGTTATTCTTCAACAACAATTTGACCTATTTCAACCTTGGGGACGCATATCAAATTTGCTGACTCTTCGCGAAGCTCTCAAAAGTCCATATCACTCTTATTTCATTTGAAACATTGAAGCAACCAGACGGTGTTGATGCATTCATATCTGCGCGTCGCAAAACTCCTGCCGATATCATAAAGGAAGTCTCGCTTGCATATCAAGTTCCTGCCTCGGTTGGCGTGTCAAAAAGTGAGTGTTCTGCCTACAGTCAGTTACTCTGTGCCAGTGCTTATCACTTCAAGGACGCCTCATAATTATTGATGCTATCAACCCACTTCTGAATACTCGGAAAACTGACCCTGGGTTTCATCTTCCTTCCTTCCTTGGTTCCTTCATTGCTCCATCGAGCCCATCAGTACCCAAGGCCGAAGTATCACTAGTAGTGACATACCACAAAGATGTCCCTGATATTCCTGTGCCAAATCACTACTCACCATCACCACTTTCAATGCTCACATATCTTGCTACAAGTGTGATTACTCTACATTCCTTTTCTCATATTCTAGCGCAGAAGGCTGCTCGCGACCGCAGTCTGGCTGCTCCTGTTTTCGGCCTCGAAGAGGAACTTGATGGCATTCTTCTTGGTCGACTAGACAAACTAGTGGGCACAGGAGCTGTGGAAGGAATTGTACTTGAGCTAGAGCATCGCCGCAAGAGTGGGCGTGGCGTTCTGGAATGGTATCTTCTTCCGCCTGCATCACGCTATTCGCCACAACAGGTCAAAGAGGTCGTAACCCTTCTCGACGACAATACTTTGTACAACCCTCCTATGCTTGCTGACAATAGCCCCGACGATGAGGAGCCAAAATCGACATTCGAAATGGGCCTTACCGAGAGGCAGAGGCGAGAGAGAGAAGGAGTCGTGCTACCATATTTTGATGCCCAGCATGGAGATGGACCAGGCGAAGGAGGCCGCATTCTTTACGATATGGGCGAAGAAGACGACTTCGACGAAGAGGAAGATGAGATCTAAGCGCCCCTACAATCAATTATAAAATATTATGCAGTTCTCAATACATTTCTGCATTCCAAGGTTCTTGAATAGGTGGATTGTGTCCCGCAACCACCGGGAGGTATTAATAATGCATACATTCATACAAGAGAGCCCGACGCACAGCTCCTGACAAGCAAAAGATATCAAAAGAATCTCCACCAAAGCAAAAGAAGGATGACGAACCCGAGGCCGGCGAAAGGCCCATACTATAATACGGTCAGACACTGGATGTTGGATCTCCGATGTTGGATTGCGCAATCCTACCTGCTTCAACAGCAATTCCCAGTTGATGCGTACTGCTGCCCGCCGGTATTTTTTGCTGTCTTCGCGCAAACGGCCAGAAAGCTCACCCATACGTTCCAAACTGTCCCCACGGTACAGCAGGTCCTCGATGTTCTTCGTCATAACCTTAGTGACATCACGCAGCTCATCATTCAGTTTATCCAGATTCTGAGAGGCGCGGCCGTCTTGGTACAGCTTCTTTGTGCGTTGAATGAAGGTGTCGAATTCAACAAAGGCATATGGACGGAGATTTGGTGATTTGTACTGGGCTGGGCTGTAGGTAGTGGTGAATTCGGCGGCGATATCAGCGAGATAGGTGAAAGCGAGCTTGCGAGGATATGAGCGTTCGCATATGCAGAGGAAGCATACATCATCTTGAATAGTGTAACTTGAGTTTGATCAGCGCTTCCAACATCTCTATCAGTTAATTCATTTGAATGCTCACTGTAGATTGTATTGACCAGACTCAATGCTTGCCTGCAGAGCGGAGTTTCGATTCAATCGACGGAAGATCATCTTAGTTTGAGATTTGATCTCAGCAAGCGCCGACTCATCCTGTATTAAATGTCAGTCTGAAACTAGCATTTTCAAACTTCACTCCTGAATGCCTCACCTGTTCGTTATCCACTGAAGCGGCCAACATAAGGCCTAGGTGTCCGATATTAGCATTATTCTTTTTTGACCTTCTTGAACTCCCAATGAGATAAATATACCATCAAGCCTTCCGATCTGTGTTGATTTAACCATCTTGCCAGTTGCCAGTCCGCGTTAAAGCAGCTGAATTGCTCTTGTTTTGCCAGGTCAACTATTGTCACAAGCCCGCTGAGGAAAAGCGGTCTCGACTGGCAGAATCGTTGGCCGCCCGGAGTGAGCTAACAATCGATAACATTCATTCGTTTGCTAATTACTGACCTTTTGTAACGATGCCCTAGACGACGAACCAACTCCTCTACCAGAGTAGTGGGCGAAAGGGGCGTTGAAATTCCGCCCTCTGTCCATCCGACGATGGCTTCGCCAACAAAGCGCACACCCCGCAAGGCCGCACCCCAAAAAAAGTGGACCGAGGAGCACCTGCTGACAAGTGAGAAGTCCGTCTTGGTCGGCGCAGATCTTGTGGTATGAATTTTCACTCGCAGGACTTATAATTATTTCAAACTAATGATATGGGTATATATTGCAGAAACTATTGGCGAGCTCTGCAGCATGGAGCTGTTTGGAGGAAGATGAGAAACGCCAAATCTTAGCTCTCCTCCCCGAAAATACACACCCAATCACGGAATCTTCATCGGAGAATCCAAAGAAGATCATTCCACCTCTACCCGATTCTTTCGTTCGTTACTCCAACAATTGGCGAGATGGTATCCGCCAGTTCCAGCTTGATCTCCAAAATGGCCGCTATGACCCAGAATGGTTGTGCCAGGCTGAAGAGGCGCGAGACAAACGTGCAAATGGTGATTTCGATTCCTTTAAAAATGATGAATTCGAAGAGTTCTGGGGCCAGAAGCAGAAAGTCGACATGAATCTTGCATGTGGCGAGAGTGGACGCGTCAAGCTCAGAGATCTTATTGCGGACGGTGTAATCTTGATGGGTGACGTGTGGAGATTCCAATTCGTTTTCGGCAAGGGAGATGAACGGATTTTCATTGACAAGGAAGTTACGGTATGAAATAGCTCTGGTAGATGTTTTGTGATCACTACTTACCTTAATTATAGGTCCATAAGATTCATCCCGCAAAGTTGACCTTTATCATCCCTACCGGTCAACGTGTTTTCCTCCCAAGTGGCTCAGCAATAGTCCAAGCGACAGAACCACAGACTCAGGAAAGCGGGAATAGGAACGGGGACGTTAATGAATCCACTAAACAAGAAGGAAATGAAGAGGAGGGAAAATTATCTCCGAAATTGGATGATGATACTTATCTCGGCATCACAAAAGAGATAGCTACCACAGGAATCAAGAAAGAGACAATTGCGCCTACACAGGAGAATTGTCCAGAGCCGAAAGAAAAGCAAATCTGTCTAACTGGAGAAGCAAGTTCAAATGACAACGACAATGTTCAAGTTGTGGTTATGAGCTCTCACTCTGCAATTCAGTCAGTACCTGACGTCGTGCTGAAACGTCTAGTTCCTCAGTCTACTTCAGAACCATCACCAAAGCGAAAGCGCGGCCGACCGCGCAAACATCAACCCACTCCAGAATTATCACAAGATGTGGATGCATCAGACGTTTCTGGGGAGGCTCTCCAACAGAAACTTTTCAAGTCAGAGTCTGTTGAGCTAGAAATTGAGGTCCAGGTCCAGCAACCTAAATCTCTGGATCACAATTTCACTAACGACATTACGAATGCACCCGAGCAAAGCGAACCTGAAATCCCTACTAATCACCATACAATCACTCAATCTCCGACTTTTCATGAAACAGAAATGGACATTGACACAACCAACGACTCCACAGCCTTGACCACTGAATCGCAGATTAACCTAATTAAGCCTTCCCCTCAACCAACTTTCAGTGGTCCAGCTGCGATCATTGTCACCGTGGTTTCGCCTAACTCACTCGTTAAAGAAATTTTGAAAACAGACGGCCGCAGGCCAGATGGGCGATCAGCGAATGCCTGGAAAGAGATCCGCTGCTTCAGGAATAACCAGGATATGGGCTCACTCTTTGATGTGAGACACACTTGGTATCTTCAACAGCAAAAATAGGTGGCCTGTTTCCTTGTGGGGTTTCATGGGAATAGTGGTGATTTGCTCTCCAATGTCATTTGACTTGCAAACCCTTGGAATGTACATAGTGCAAGAGCTCATAACGATTCTCTATTGGGACGGGCCCGGGGATTTGATGGTCCAATCAATATCAGTATTGTAAACTTGGAACTTCGGGATCCAGCTATTAACATTTATCGAAAAGATGTGGTCTGTATACTGGTAATGAGTAGTCTTAACCTGGGCAGTGATTCCAAATTTTGGTTGCTGTTGACATGGGCATGGCGCGGGTGAAGGAGAGCCTGAGTTCAAGGTTCAAAGATACCTAAGGTAGGAAGAACCCGGGGCCGACATCAATTGATATGCAGGGTAGAACTTGAGGCACATAGAGAGGCACTTAAATGTGAGAAAAAGAGTAAATTAGAATTAAATACTTATTTCAAGCGTCGTTCTGCTCTCAAAGCAGAGCACTCATGACATCATTTACATGTACACATGGGGAATCCTGCGCTATGCATTCCAGGTTCCATACATCGTATCATTCTTCAAGAACCTCCATGGATGCATTTAGAAGTCCATTCGTAGAGCAATGCTGGGCGCAGCCTGTTGCATGTTATCTTCTGCCTCGTCCTCCTTGGACGATCCGGCACCAATACCCGCGCTGCGGAGAACCTCCTCCAACAGCGATTTTTGATCTGCATTCATATGAGCCACCAAATTTCGGAAGGTGACTTGGTCCACCTTTGCAAGTACCAAGAGAAGATCAGCTGATTCTTCATAAACTGTTTGGCCTTCGCGTTTAGCTCGTGCCAAGAAGGCGGATATGAAAAGAGAGACGGCAGTGGGGACTTCGGCCGCAGAGAAAGTCCCTGTGGTGACGCACGACACAAGGGTGCGGGCAATAACTGTGCGAGAATTTTCGGGATCATTGGGGATTTCTCCATTGTCTGCTGGACAGCCGACAAGGAAGGAGATTAGGCGAGGGATGAGATAACGAGAGATCACATCGTCAGTCATGAAGCGGGGACTGGGCTTGAGAATTATGGACCGGAGACAACTGGCCGCAACTGTAGCAAGCCCCACATCTTGAAGACAGTCAAGGAGCTCATTGAGAACCCGGTTAATGACTGGGTCTCGGGGTGGGAGGACATGTCCACCTGCAGTGAGGAGGAAGGTGATGGCCAAGAGAGTGTTCTTGGCACATGCCATAGAGGAATCTGCCTCCCGACGTTGTGCAATAGTGAGGATGGTCAACAGCCGGGTGAGACAGCCGCGGATCTGGAAGGCAACTACGTCGTTATCTTCTGGAGTTCCAGAAGAGTGGGTGATACTGTGAACGAACTGCCGAAAGACGGGTAGCGACTGGGGGACAACTTCAGTCTGGCAGATGCCCGTCGCAAAAATTGTAGTGAATATGTGTAGGATACAGGCGTGGAGATCATTGCGAATGATGGAGGGGAATACCGCGGCAACGTCGACAAGAGATCGAAGAGCAAGTCGAATAAGTGCAAGAGAATCGTCCGAGGTGACGTTGAAACGTGCCAGAGGTGTTGATTCCCGAAGATTGGGAAGCATGCCAGCAAGAACAAGGATAATGCTTCGGGTCAGCTCAAAGAGTTGCTCAATATCATCGGAGAGGTGATCACTTCGTTCCTGGTCACTCTTTGCTGCTGGATGATCCAGTGACAAATTTTGGGCAATCTCAACAATAACAGTCTGGATTGGGATACTCTCAGTAAGAACGAGCCTGTCGAAGGTATCCATCGTCTCAGTAAAGATTGCGTCTTGGTAGATGGCGTTACCAGAGATAATTGGCCGTAAGATTCTCTTCAGGGCCTGGAGGATCTCTAGACGATGCGAGGAAGAGGTTCCTTGATCAACCAGTGACTCAAAAGCAAGCCCGAACAAAACAAAGAAGAATGCAACAGGCTCTTCACGATAGTTGATGTCGTGGCCTTTACCTTTGAGATCAACATTCACTTGGTCTTCATTCTTTTCCTTTGCCTCATCCACATCACTAGAATCTTGAGGCAACTGAAGTTTACCATCTAAAGCATCAAACACAAAGTCGATGTCTTTTTCAACCAAACCAGCAATGGCATCCACAATATTGAGCCATGTGTCTTGGTAGAACTTCAGCAGCGTTTCGCGATTCAAGGCAGCGTAAACTTCATCTAGGTTGTCACTCTGGGTGCTTGTTCCTAGAGCACCTGATATATCCGGCTCAAAGCGCAACCGCGCATATTCCTGAAGGGAGGATAACCAAAGAGGAGTTAACCGAGCAAGGTAAGGCTGAACTACCTTGTTAAGATACTCGTGCTCAATACTCGCGATTTGCAGCCTGGCCCACGCAGAAAACAGCGCCAATTTGACCATAACTCGAGCATTGGAGTTTAAGCCCTTGAGGTCGCCAATTTCCGTGGTCTCGGGGTTTTCTATCATTTGTCAGTACGTGGCCAAGGATTTGTAGTAGGTAATGGCATAAGTACATACTTGAAAAGTTCTCTAGGCCGAGGACGAGAAGCTTCAAAATTCTGCCCATACGATCAACATTTGTCACGATGCCCGTTGCAATGAAAGTAGCTGAAACGTTGATGGCCTCGGACGCAAGTTCCGCTGAAGAGTCCACTGCAAAAGCTGGTGTGAGAGCAGAACTAATTTGAGCTTGGTACTGCTCAAGTAGAGACGCTTCTGCGAAATCCGGGTCTGGAGTTTTGCCAAACATCTATGTATGGTTAGAACGTTGACCTATCAGTATAAAAGGCAACTTACAGTCAAAACTTGATCGATAATCTTTAAACCCCAAACGCGCAGTTCAATCACATTGGCGGTGGATGCGGAAAATGCCATCCTCACAATATCTCCGACCTTAGATTGGAGAGCTAATTCAGCGGGGATAGTTTGATCTGGTAGGATAGCCTCTTGGACAGTTTCCAGAAGCTCGGATAGACAGCTCATGGCAAAGTTGCGAGTTTGCCACTTCAGTAGTTCTTGGCCAGATATAGCTCCATTTGCAACATCACCCTGGCCGTCGCCGGCGACAGCGGAGGCAAATCCAGCCACCTCATCGTCAGGGATATCGGCCGCGGTATTGTGAGTCGCGGTTAGAGGGGGTATTTCCGCCTTTCTGCGGGTCTTGGTCATAATATTTTGACAGCGTTGGATCCAGAATTCAGTCTCAGTGAGTGCCGTCTGCTGCAACCATTCTTGGATCATAGTCTTGAGAGGTGAGTCGTCCGGTGCATCATCGAATGCGAGCCAGATATCATCCTCAAGTGTATCGGATGCGGCACCTACTACAGAAGCCGCATCCCGTTTCATGAGATTGCTAAGCCCGCGGACTGCAACTTCTCGCATCATCGGACTACTAGCACGGAGCTCAGTTTGCAAACGCTTTACATATCCCGTGAAGTCCACAAATTTGGAAGCATACAGAGAGAAATGATCTAGACACTTGGAGCTCTCTGTGACTAGAGATGGGTTCTCCTCCAGCTGGAACTGGCGAAGCAGGGTAAGGATAAGGTTGCGAGTTTTGGCAACATCTTGTAGATCAGGTCCCAGCACATTGATAAGTGAGTCCACACAGCGACTGATGACTACGGGAGTCATGAACGCCATCTCGATGTTAGAAGTAGCCAAGGCTGCTGCTTCCTCGTTGTGAGTATCGGCATTGTAGAGCTGGGCGAGCATTCCCAAAGAGCTAGAGGTAAATGGCGAAAATGTGAGTCCAGCAGAATTAGCGACTCGTTCCAAGCCACCCAAGGCCCAGAAATGAACGACCGGATGAGGATCATTACAGAGAGACATTAGCACCCCAACGATAGTTTTGAGATGCAAACCAGCTGCCATGCCGCCGACTTGAGAATGTATACATCCCAATGCAGCGGCGCAACCGGCCCGAGCATTGGGCTCGCGGTTCTCAATGATGGTGTCCACCAGCCAGTTAACCTGTGTATTGGTGCAAGAGTTCCCGGCGCTGTCACAGAGACGGCCCAAAGCCTCCACTCCAATGGTTCGGACAATTGGGTCTGTGTCAATGACGAATTTTTGAACAAGCTCCTGCAAGATTTTGTCGGTTGATGTGCTCAACTTTCCTGCAGCAAAGTCGGTTTCCTTAACAGCAACTTTGAGAGCATGCAGAAGGGCCACGGCGATATTGACGCCCAGTGCTGCCTTTCTGCCAGGGTTTCGTTGAAGACTTGGCGAAGTTAAAAACGTGGCAATCGACTCCACGCTACTTTCTTGGATTTTTGGTGAGTGAAGAGCAATAGCAACAGCAAACAAGTCAATTGCGGAGTTAATGACACCGGTAGTAGGCGGGTCAAAAGAGAGAGCATTTCCAGGTTGAAGCCCATACAGAAACATCGAATCATGTTCTTTCGCTCCACAGATAGGGAAATTCAACTGGTAAATCTTAGCTTCACATGTCTAAGCATTGAGAAAAGAGCATTACTCACCACATCGTCAACATGTTGATCAACCGAGTCAATCCCAGACCAAGAGGGGGCATGTTCACTACCAGTCGATCCAGAAAATGCAACATGAATGTATTCTCGAGCGAGTCCAGTGACACCATACCCAAAATTATCGCAGAGGTCCCAGAGACCGTCAAATTGTCCCGTTGAGGCAGCAATAGAGCTTTCTAAGGACCGATACTGTGCATCCGGGTCCGCAAATGAAGAGATAGCGAGACTCAAAAGGCTCGATTGAGATATAATGTCACCGTGACTGGGATGGTGAACATGAACCAATTTCGAAAAACATTGAAGAATTCGACGGCGCACCATGGTGATGAAATCGTGCAATTGCATTGAAGGATGAAGGCGCTGTGAGATTTCTTCCGCCGTCTTGGGACGGGGCAGGTCATCCAAAAACTCGACAGAATTCTGCAGCATGACACCTATTCTTTTCGCACTGTCTGCTGTAATAAGTCTGCTATTAAATTCCATAAAGACAAGCAAAGCACTGAGAGAACATTCCCGAACATGAGCCAAGAAACTGATTTCCAAAGTGCCTCGCTTGGCAGAGTTCTCTTTGCCCAAATGCTTAGGCAGAGAGTTCTTCCAGAGAAGCATCAATTGAGAGAGGTGAATCTTGACAAAACTGGGCCCTAATGGCATAAGACCACCGATCAAGATCCATGCCACTTGAATTTGTGTGCTTGCGATTCGTAGTTCGGAGGTGCTACTGGTCTTGAGAAGGTCAGTCGCCCGGGAAAAGATGCGTGCAAACAAGTCCACAGAGCCATAGAGCGGCTGTAGCCGAGAAGTACTGAGCATTGCAGAGAGTCCGTTTGCAAAGCCGACACAGCGTCGAGGCGAATGACGGGGAGCGGACAGCTGTCCAATCTCTCGATTGAGACTGTTCATGCAAATTGTAACGCATGACAGAAGCTGATTGGGGCAAGCAAGAACAAAGCTGCGGAAACAGTGGGCTGCATGTATCTGTACGGTGTAGCTTGGGTGAGGAAGAACTTGCAGTAACGCATCACGACAATTATCTGCATGAACCGCGAAAGCAGAGCCAAGAGAGTCAATCAATGATGACAAAGCACTCATAGCACAAGTCAATGTATACTTGCTGGGCTCTCGGCGCTCTTGAATGACTTGGGGGTAATCTTTTAGTATATTGTTGATAAGCCATTGGGCGCCGTTGAGCTGACTGCTCTCCTGGAGCATCTCATGCCCAATTGTGTCTTCGAGGATACTCTTGACGAACTTGCGGGTCATAAGCAGGCGGAAGCGGTTGTATGTGACCGTAGAGTGATTCAAAAGCTCATTCAGTAAATTGGAAGCAATCTGTCCATAGCGATCTTCGACAATCTTATCACCTAAATTGCGGATGACGTACTTGTAACATATACAAATGCCAGCGCGCGTGCGGTTAGAGGTTGTACTCTTCAAGTACTGTGCTGACAGCTGGCACAGCAAGTCCGGAAGAAGGAAAAACAAGCGCGAATCAGCCTTCTTTGGAGCAGAAGGCTCAGGCGAAACCTCTTCCTCTTCATCATCTCCTGGTCGAGCCCCAGGCTTCTTGGACATTCTCTTGGATTTCTTAGTCTTCGGTTTCGGAGCCGCTAGGATAAGGGCTTCGGTTGCATGTAACTTAACCAGTGCCCGACCAAGACAAGCAGCTGCAGCATGTCTAACTGGCGAAGACGGACTATCAATCACCTTCCAGATAAGAATCTTCAGATTTTCAAAATCATTGATATTATCAAAGAAAGGTGTCATATTAATCATCTGCTCCAAACAGCGACAGGCTTGAATCTGCACAAAAGTAGACTTGTCGCTGCTGGCTGCATTGCGGGCCTGTTTCCAAATATCCCGCGCAGTTGTTTCATCGATAGGAACTCCGATACCGACCAGTATCTTGCGTAGGACAGAGAATATCACCCCACGGAAGCCAGTATGATTGCTTGCAGGTTTAAGCAGCTTAATCATGCTGCTTGTGGCCACATTAGACTGCATAAATGCGCTCTCGCCAGCTGTAGCAAATACCTCTCCCAGGCAATGCGCCGCTGCGAACTTTGTCTTGAGCTCAGCCTCGCTTTTGCTCGCGTTCAATATTCCGAGAAGATCGTTGATTGTCTCAAATAGGATCCCACGATCCCCTTTCGTCAGAATTGCGCCGAAGCATCTTCCTAGGTTGTTGCGCAGGACTCGAGTGATGGTTGGGGAGGAGAGTGTAATAATTTTGAAGAGCTCTTTTTTCAATGCTTTTTGTTGAGCTGATACCTGTGCAGGGTCGAGACCGGAAATAAATTGAACTAGATCGGAAGTGAAGGTGAGCAGGTAAAGGTCCTGTTGTTCGGAGGGGGAGTGCATGAAGCTTGGGAACGTCAAGCTCTTGAGCCGCATTTTCAGGGATTGTAGGTGCGGGGACAGCTTCTGAGGAAGACATTGGGGATGTTTATTGAAGCTAAATGAATCCCCATGAGATTTAAAGAGACCGGGAAGTAGAGTAGTAACAAGTTGCATCATCCCTCCTTATCGAGTTGTACCCCGTCCACGGAGATCGGAGAAACAGACGGCCCGGCCTTGAGAATGTATACAGCCGCCGCAATTCTCCAATGTTTTGAGGGGGAAAAGTTGGAAGAGACAAGAATAAGAGATGGCCCTTCGACTGCACAGACTCTTACCGAAAATTCGAGAGGCTCCTCCTGTCTGCGATTTTTGTCGTGGCTTTAGTACATCTCCAGTCGTCTTCTCCGGACATAGCAAGTGGGCAACCATCAAGCATGACAAGGCCAAGAACGACAGCGCAAAGGGCAAGGAGCGTCAAATGTTGAGCAAGGAAATTAGCGGCGCAACACAATGTAAGCAAGGTCTCCAATTGGCTGTGGATATCCACTAACCCTGATGTCTCTTTAGTATGGGGTCCTGATCCGAAATATAATCCACGTCTGACGCTGGCGCTATCGAATGCGAAAAGAGCCTCTCTTCCCAAAACCATTATTGAAGCGGCCATCCTACGAGGTCAGGGACTGAGTACCACCGGACAAAAATTGGAGTCTGTGACAATTGAGGCCATGCTTCTTGGATCAGTAGCTGTGGTCATTGAGTGTCAAACGGACCAGAAAGCTCGTCTGTTGCAAGATATTCGACATTTGATCAAGGACTATGGAGGAACAGTAACACCCACCACTTTTCTTTTTGAAAAGAAAGGAAGAGTGGTCATGGAGCAAAGGGAAGGTCTCGACGCGGATGAATACTTGGATCAAGCAATCGAGTCCGGTGCGACAGACATTATCACCGACGATAAAGACCGCTTGATCGTATATACCGAACCTTTCGAAACGAAACGTGTGGGCGAGGCATTTTCGAAATCATCTGGACTGACAATCGATGAACTGGGCATGTTCTGGGACCCGAATCCAGACACGCTTGTCGAGATGAAGGATGAAGAGCAAATAAAAGATCTTCAAGACCTCCTGAGTGACCTGCGGGAGGATAATAGCGTTCAGGATATCTACTTGAACGCTACAGAGAAATTTTGAAAATGGAAATCAGGCCTCCAGGGCTGTACATTAGCCTTGGAGCACCACTTGAGCAACATTGGAAAATATTGTACCATATACCTTGAACATACCTATTACCTACTGGCCACGACCGGCATCTTATTTGAGCGTTTCATTTTGACAGTCTATTCCAAGGTTGAACGTCAGAATCTCTCCGCAAAATGAAGATATTTGGTTGATCAACATCTAAATATCCAAGGACAACCAATACCAATAATTAAAAATACTCATACGGGATACGGACTCCGGACTCCGGAGTAGAGGCCGAACAATTTCTAAAGACGAGGAGAAATTCTGCATAGTGATTTCGCGTTGGACATCCTTCTTGCCAGTGTGAGCGAAACCGTCAGAACATGAAGCAGCTTGGCGTCAGTCCTCTTCCTATAGTCAGTTGCCGTTAACGTGGTTTACTTCTGCAAGTTTTTAATAGTACTCCTCATAAGTTCAGTTGTGCCCCGAGTGCCAACAGCATCCAGCCAGTTCAGCATTTGCACTCGATATTCTTGCCATGTGATTTTGGCGCCACCTTCCTGCTCCAAAGCCTGCAAGGCCTTCTGAGTGACGGGCTTTCTGAGCCGAGACTGTTGACCAGAGATTTTTTGGTCTTCTTCAATATCTTCAAAGCACGCAGCAGAGAAATTGCAAAATGCAGCGTGGTGGCTGAGCGAAAATATTGTAGAAATTGTAACATTGAAGGCTGTTTCCCGGTCATAGTGCCGGGCCACCTCATACACTTGACGAACGTGTTGAGTTAAAGCCGTGACACTTGATGCTGGTATGAGACACCCATGAGCATTATCATCTTCTGGGTTCAAAGCGCGGTTTCGCCATAGAAGATTACAAACATCCATGACATAGCCATTGAGTTGATTCGCGATTTTTGGGTCGTATGATGGCCTAGGAATGAGTTGGGAGGCGCGGGACGTCTCAAACGCCAACTTGTAGCCTGCCAGGATGGAGTTCAGGGTGGATATGGTGAAAATGTTCGGTATGAAGACAAGCGTGTAGATTGTTGTCGGCGGAGGGACGGCAAGACGGATACTACCAATCTTTGATGCGTGCAAGAAAATATTGACGAGACATTTGTAGAATCGGAGAATGGATGAAACGACCGGTTCGTGTGCCTTCATGTGGTCAAGGGGTACAAGTTCCGAAATTGTGGCGGCCAATAACTCTGCATGCTTGATAACTTTACTTAAAGGAATTGATTCCTCAGATATCGAGGGTTGAGTTCGAAGTTCCACACTCCATTCGTAAATCAATGATGAGTAAAAGTCAAGCAAGTCCGTTCTTGAGCTGAGATGAACATCTAGCAGAGCAGACTCCATTGGCAAAAACACGTTGCGACGAAGAGAATCGTAAGATTCGATTGGGATGAACTGGAGCAACCGAAGCACCTGCTCGCGATTATCTCGCCCATTCCAAATTTTTAGATATGATTCTAAAAAAGATCTCACAGGCGGTAAAAGTTTCTATTTTGCCGTCATCAGCCTAATTGAGCGAATATGGGGAATTGTCAATCTGACCTTTGTATAAATAGAATAGCCTAAAACAAGGCTTAAGATATAAGACAAAACTTCTGGTTCGTCTTCTTGGCCATCATGGATTTGCTCAAGCTGATCCTTCAAAAAAGTTTTCAGCCATTCGTCCAGGCGGTGATTTGCATCTTTTGATTGCACCAAGTGGAGATACTTCTGCGCCATGCCATTTTCAAGCATCGAGATAAGCTGATTTGGCAACTCAATCTTGTCAATATTTTCGACGAAATAACTTATGTCACGAATTTCTTCCAGTGAGGCGTGCTTCTTCGACACTCGAGATGTTTGTAAAACTGGGACCACAACTTCGATCTTGCTTCTTTTAATTGCGCCCCGGTGGAGGACTTGGAAGCTAGATCCCTGCGTTGCTTGTACTCTCTCCATATTTTGGGACTGCAACATCCTTGCATGACTTGACCAGTCGAGGTCGGGATGCTTGAAGAACAAGGAACTTCTTCTAGAACCACTCACATCCCCCGTAATGATATCGGGGTAGTAATTCTTGTAAGTGCTCAGCAGGCTAATGATTTCTTTTTCATCGCCAATATTCCTTTGAACCAGGTCCATCAAGGCTTGTATGCGGAATGGCTTGACATGTTTTCGGCGGGTAATCATGGAGAGTACATGACACAGTGACTTGCGCAGGCTGATCATATCTAAATGATTGAACAGAACAGCATATAACTTGCCGAGATGTGTTCTATCTTGCAAGAGATCATATGCAAGTATCAACCAGCGTACAAGTAGAGCCTGGGTTGCTGGACTTGGTTTGAACTTGCTGGGTCCCAGACAGCAAACAATATGGTTGACATGTTCGGACGCGACTCTCTCTTGCGGGTACAAATTCTTGATTAGAATTGTGATCGTACCCTGGTCAAGGTTGTTTTTCACTGTCAAGATCTTCAAAATTCGGCCTAGCATATTCTGTGGAATGCCATTTTCATACGCGACCGACGCAATTGTGTTGACCAATTTCCCAACATCTGTGTATCGTTGTTTGGCCGGAACAAATGCAGCTGTTATCAGTCAGTCAGTTATTCATCCTTCAAATACCTGCTTTTTTTGATTGTCATACTGGCTTCCAAATGCTCAATTGCATCAGTCAAGCTGCTATCCATTTCGAAGTGCCAATGCCGATGTCAAGATTATAATCGCAACGGCTGAACCTTGAACCCGCGGACGCGTTCAGTGTCAACACACAGTTATGAGAAACACAGGCCTTGAATTGGCATCAAACGTGATACATATCAGTGATTCATCACTCAATAGGAGTCCCGATGAGCTTATTCCAAGTAAATGAGAATTGAGCAGTAATCTAGCATTGAGTTGGGATGTTGGAGTCCTGTGATAGAAAGAGGTAGATTTCGGCAGAAATTGGCTTTAACCCGATTGGGTGACATCAACACCATCCAGTACATTATCACTTCAAGTATTCCATAGTTATAATAAAATTAAATGTATCCCATATCATCATTCAGATGTTAGGTTATCATAAATGGTATACGTAAGTGGCTCCTGATGTCCATGGCTAAGTGTTAACCTTTAAAATATCCCACGCTATAAGCAGTGCTTAGGTGGTACTTGATATCATCACTCAGAGAATTGAATCAGATCAAGAATCAAAATATTACTAGCTGATACATCCTCTCATCTAATGTTAGGAAAGCAAAAGTTTCATTTAATGCATCAATATCAACAGAGTAGAAACTTGCAGAGTCTCACTAAGCAAAGAATCATATCCTAAAATTTCGCGCTTACTGCGCAGGTGGGTAGAAAATTCCGGCTCAAGAATACTATTTTAGCGGGAAGAGAAAGAAAAAGCTGCTCATTTTCTCTTGCGGGTCGACTTGGAGGTGACCTTGGACGAAGATTGAGTGGCGGTGTCCTGCTGTTCAGATTCAACAACAGGGATAGGCTTCTCCTCAGAGTCCTCTTTCTCATTCTCCTCATCACTGTCACCTCCCTGGCCAAATTCGTTGACACGTTTGAAGTCAACCTTGTATTTCCAGCTCTGGTAAACCCAGATGAAGAAGATGACATCGTCACGAAGAGTGGCCAGTCGGTGCAGCCAAGGCATCTTCACAGTGAAAGCAAAGAGGTCGTCAATAAAGGTGTTGAAGAACTTGTAGGTCAATGCTTTGCCGGGCATGTGGGCAACAGACTAATTTGATCATGTCAGTTTACGGCTTTCAATGGAGACCTTAAGCGAAACTCACCTTCAAACGATAGTTGATATACAAACTTGGGACCATCATGAGGAATCCATATGCGTAGACACTTCCCACAAGGGTCTCAATGATAAAGGAGTACCAAGACTTGTGAGAGTTGTAGACGAGGCTGTATGCGGCGTATGCGAGAAGAAGAGGCACGGCAACGATGTACAGGTATCGGAAAGCAATAGCATCGTACTCTTTGGTCTTCTCTTCGGTCTCCGTGAGCTTGTGCTTGTCTTCAAACACAATTACATAAGGCAGGAATGAGAAGAATGAGTCGGCAGGAGGAGGACGCAGGCGAACATCGACCGTCTTGGTGACCTTCCAGGCTTCAAGCACGATACCGAAGCCCTGACTGGCCAGAATCATCCAGGATGTGTTCTCGTTATTGTCCATGAGGTAAAGGAAGATTATAAGTTGCATCAAGACATTGGCCAAAATGGTTCGAACCGAAGTGCCGACAGAGTCCTTCTTCTTGCGCCAGTGGGACTAAAAGACGGTTAGTCAAAGCTCTAGGATGTACCGAATTCCCACTTACAATATCACTCTTGAAAGCCAGCGTCTCGAAGATCATGTGAAGGATGGTGACCACGCCAGTTGTTCCCAGGAGGTAGATGTTAGTGTCCAACAGGATCTCCTTCACCATTTCCCACTCAGTACCATCACCGCCACCTGGAACAGGGCCACCAAGAGCAGCCTGCTGAGCACTCTGTTTTGAACCATCGTCGACGCTGGAGATTAGGCTGAACTTCCAATTGGCCATGTTGTTAAGAGTGATCCGCAAAGGCACGGTCTCAACAGTGGAGTTAAGCTCAGTCATATGGGTCCGCAACTGCCAAAAAGTGTTCAAAAATACGATTGGGTAATACCAGCCATTCTTGCCACTGGCATCACGAGCACCGCTGCGTTCCAGTTGCACAAACTTGCGAACAGACGGGTGCATCTGGCCGAAATTCTGAGATCCGGAGTCGGGGACCAGAGATACGGTGAAATTTGGGTGGTAGTACGAAGCAATCGAGACTTGCGGGGTATTGTCCTCCTCCTCTTCGACCTGTCCTTCCTCTTGAGTAGCAAGGAGATTCTTGAGCTTTCTAACTTTTTTCTTGGCAAGAAACTGGTTGAGAGGGCGCTGGAAGTGAACGGCATTATCAGTGCTGTATCCTTTGGCATAAGGGTCTAGTTGATATCCAGTACGAGCCAAGAAGAAATGAGCCCAGAGAGTTCCATTCTGCTGGACCTGCTTGGGGACATTGATGACCGTGTCAATTTCCCTGACATCGCTGTAGTTTCCAATCGTGAAGTTCTTCTCTTGTAGTACAAGTGTAGCATCAGGGGAAACTTTGAAAGAAGGAGGAACCACAGAGGGGGTCACATAGATGTTGATATCAATTGGGCTGTCGGCAGGCCAGATGGGAGCGATGAGATCCGGCAGAATGCTGGGTTCGACCACTTCACTAGGTTGAGGTCGATCCGCAAACGCCGGCATAGCACCCGGCGCACTCTCGAGACTAGATTTATCCTTGTTGTTGAACCATTGACTGATAAAAAATTGCGCGAAGAGGAATATCGCTAGGCCTTGAAGAGCGCCCTTGAAGCCAGACTATAGATAAATGCCAGTTAGTAAAGTAATAGAACGTAGAATCTCCTCTCTCAGGAAACCTACGCCAGACTCTGGCTCCCTTCTGGGTTGCCTCTGTTCAGGCATTATTGAGTGAGGGATCGGTGGAAGAGAGAAAGAGGCGATGTAGCTCTTGATAAGTAGGGAGTGGGCTTGGCGCTTTTCCCCTCCGAAAGATCAACTTAAACTCCGCAATTGTCCTAATCAATCGCGCCTTCGCTACGACTTTCCAACTTTCTACCTTTCCAGCTCCTAGTTCCTTAGCCCTTGTCACCGATTATTCTTGATCGCGCGATGGGTAGCGCGCTTCAGTGCCCGCGCTGATACATGGATAACCACCCTTCCCCCGATTTCCGCTCGCAGCAGTTCCCTTCGCATAGCGAGCCACGGGTATGGCTTATTACGGCCGGAGATTCGCCCATTGGTATATCGGTGGCAAGGCAGATTCTTGCACATGGTGATTATGCGCTACTTGGTCTAGCGCATTCAGTCTTGGATCGCGACCAACGCCGCAGGGATGGTTATGATGCCTTTCTGGCCGAGGTGGAGGAGCACCGCGACGAGGGATGGAAACAGCGACTGAAATCAATTCCTTTGGATATAAGGTATCAACCACTCCAATAAACGGGGCATTGAGGCAATCTGTTCTATGTTATTTTCCGCCGGAAAGCAAGAAGCAAAGACTAATATGCTCTCGCCACCAGAATGATGGGAGAATGCCAATCGGTTTTTGCCGAAGCTGTCACAACTTATGGTCGTGTCGATATGCTCTTGTGCTGTACTAGTCAAGGTATAGATGATTTTGCCCTTACCATCCGGAAACTGAGTATTCATTGACATCCTTTATAGCTCTAATTGGAACGGTTGAAGAATTGTCCGCTTCTCCACATACACTGAACCTAGTCCGCGATCAATTCGAGGTCAACTATTTCGGACCTCTCAATATAATCAAGGCTGCATTGCCTCACATGAGGAGAGAGCATGCAGGCCATATTATGATATTGTCTGGAATTAGTAAGATCATCAGATAGCATATTTGTTCAACGCATCTAACGAGATATAGTGGCACATATCGGCACTCCAGGACTTGGGATGTACTGCGCAGCTGGCTGGGCTCTTGAAGGATTCTGTGATGTGAGAGCCCCAAACTAAGCACTGGTTACCGCAATATCTACTAAATCATCTATAGAGTTTGGCATATGAGATTGCTCCGTTCAACGTCAAACTCACCATCCTTCAATGCAGCATTGAGATTGGTATCCTCACCAACCTAGTCATCAGTGTCCCTCCAATCTTCCCTGCCTATTCCCCTGCAAACAACAGCGCGCCACTTTTCAGGGGTATCTTAAACCACCTAGTTCCCAGACTTCCAGAAGCTCAATCAGAGGGAGTCATTGGTAATGCCACCTCATCCAGCTGGCCAACTGATCAAAATGAGAACGAAAGAGTCAGTTCCATCGAGAGCGGGCCTTTCTCTGTTCCAGAAATTGTCGCGATGCATCCTCCTATAAGCTCCGCACACCTTGAAGTTCTAGTATCTGAAACAGTCTATGCTATTACCTCTATTGGTGGCCATGAGAATCCTCCATCTCGCCATATAGTTGGGCAAGAAGGTGTCGCAAGTGTAAAAGAGAAGTTGAAGACGGTCAGTGAGGAACTGGAAGATTTTATCCAAGCTAGTTTTGCTGTTGATGTGGCAGCTGATTCGGACCCTCCCCCGATAAACTAGTTCAGACAACTTACCCTTATATCTCTGTGCATTATCACTGCTAACTCTCCGTAATTAATCCAACTGTAAATACTTCAATCAAGTTTACCATGGATGTTTCAGGTTGACATTTACTTCCTTCAGTTTACTACTGCAAGTGAAACCACTTAGCAGGCCTTATAAGTACATTTTTAAATCGAGATATTGATCTATTAGACTCTGCAGTAACCATGACATGTCTCTTTTACCAAAGAATAAGGATTTGATTTTGGATATGGACTAAGGCTTTCTCTGCTGGCAAGACTTCTCCGAACTTTCTATTACGGCAATACTTCTTAGCAGGTATAGAAGGAGCAACAGAAGTAGCCTGACGGCTGGCATCTGCCACCAAAGTGGCTCGTCGGTAATGCAATGGATGATGAGAGGAATTGTGAGAGAAGTTGAATAGAAGAATTGGGATTGATGGAAAAAATTTGTCATGGATACTTCCAGGTTCCTTTTTCTTTGGAACCTTCTAGTTCCTTTCTCTTCTCAAGCTTGGAAGGTTCCTTCCTAGAATTCAGAATGAGAGTGAGGATGGGAGTGGATCTCAACCTCGGAATGTGCCTGCCTAGGTAATGAGAAATCAATAAATCTTCTAATGTTGCCAGAACAGGTGTACGGTGTTAGTTTCCAGGAGAAGAAAGAGCTAATAGATATCTAGGTTAAAATAATAAAAAAATGCTATGGGAGTAGATGCATTTAGCCACCAGATACTGCAATGGTGCTTCATTCGGGATCCTGGTAGGCCTTGGTCTAACATTACATCCTCTCAAAATAAGCTATTTATTGTGATTTGGATATATATGGTGTATCTTTCATTCTCCACAAGTAGAGGTATATTGGTCAAAGACATCGCCACACCAATTATCTCTGAAATATATGGGATTACAGCATTTTCAACAAACCATGCGGTTTTTCCATGTTTCTGATCCTGATCCTAAGGCTTTTACCTACGAGGCTTTACGACTATATTTAAAGCCAAATCAGATGTGGTGGTGTAAGCTAGAGCCATTTGCTTCCCAGATTCGAGAAGCATGTTTAAAATATGGGGAGCCATCAAATACAGTTGCCGTCGACGAATCTATAATTATTGGTTTTGGACGTTCTCAACATACGTTCAAGACGCCTAATAAACCAATTCCCCAAGGTTGTAAGCTATTTACTATAACTGACCAGGGATATACATAATATTAGATTTGGGCAAGCTGGCAGAAGTCTCCGGTGGAGGTAAAAAAGCTTTCAAACCTGACTCTGACAGGCTCTATGGTTAGATCTCTCTTTCTCTATCTCTCTAATTCTCTCTCTGTAGGCGCTAATTCAGGTTTTTCCAACAGTCAAGGGGATTCTCACTTGGAAAAGATTTACCCCTTACTTGCGCCTTACCTCTTATAAAATACAAATGACACTATCGGTGGCAGAATATCCTACAGGTACAGATTTCCAAATCTTACAGATATTATCTGTTGCCGACCACTATCGTAGGGAAAATTCTTGCTCTATTTAGCCCAATAAGTACCTTGAAATCTTTTCAGGTCCTTAATGTTGATTGAAGCTTCTTGGGTTCACAGTAGGGCTAAGAATTTTAGGGAATTATAAAAATATTGGTAAGCTTTGGGATGAGAAACATGGTTGCAGTAGATCTCATCGGGCTGCATGTACGATCATGTACGATCATGTACGATGATGGAGCCGCTCTAGATGTTAGATGTAATTGAGAGATAATTTTTTCTATCACCAAAAAGCTTACAGCTCCGAAAAATTAGCTGAATTATTCTATTTACTGAGAAAAATTGACCCGTTTAAATATAGACAGCTCATCTGTTAAATCTCATTCGATTCTCCTACTCTTGAAGGTCGACTTTAACAAGCATGACCACTTTAACTGGGGCGACGGCGCACGCCGCCCTTCGACGATCAATTTTGGGCCAGAAGGTTACGATTCCGAGTATTTACAAGACTTTTCCGGAATGGAAACCTCAACAGCATCAAGATTACAAAAGAGCACGAGATGAGGTTCTTAACCCATGGATTGAAAAGTGAGTCTAAATATTTTTTGTTCGTCCATTTACATGAGCATTGGAAAGTTTCTGATAGTATACAAGGTGGGTGACCGACAAGCGCACCAATAAAGCGCTTAAAACAGCTGATTTCGGTGTCTTCGCTGCCGTCTGGTGCCCTGATGCCTCGTTTGATATTCTCTGTACAGCGGCGAAGTATTTTGCCTGGGTTTGTGTCTCGTTGATTTCTTTCAATTCATAGCTGACTATCTCTTTTTATAGTATTTTGTGTACGACGATAGTATGCTTTCTCACTCGTTGCTCTTAGGTTTTTCTGACTAACTGACGATGGAAATTATGCGCGAAACAGTATTTGATTGTGGCACTCTGAAGCATGATGAAGTCCACGCTAGCGAGTACAGAGTAGCAAGCCTTCAGTATTTCAGATTTTGTCTCCTTGGTGAAGGCGTAGCGCCAGATCTAAGTTGCTTTGACATAGATCTCCGAAACGGTCTGCAATGCTGGGACGAGATCGGTGAGCACATTTGTCAAGTTTCCTCCAGATGTAAGCTACTAGATCCAAGATGCATTTTCAAGCACAAGCGCTAACTTAAATAAAGCCACTCGCGAAGTGCTATGTGATGAGATGCTACGATACATCGGCAGCCTTAACAATGTGGACACTATTTTCGCAGCCCATGAAATTCCCACAATCGAGGAATACTGGGAACGACGCGAGGCTACTGCTGCAGCCTACTGTGTAATTGCTACACTTCCGTATGTCCATTATGATCAACTTAACCGCGAACATTGATTAACTAGCTAGATTCATTTATGGAGTGGATATTGATAGAACAGATGTACAAGATCAATCCATGCAAAAGCTATGGAGGCATACTTCGTATTTCGTTCATATGTCAGTCCTTCAATATATTGTCCAAAGTTTCTTTCAAGGCTTCTGACGAAGGATACAGAACCAACGACATGCTCTCCTTCCGAAAAGAGGTGGTGGGTACCTTTACCCTATGTCAAGAGGAATTGTGAGCTAAAAGATGCATATTAGAATGACAATCAGATTGAAAACCTGATTCCTGTGTTGATGTTAAACCGTCAAATTGAGTGCAACACGGCAATGAGCCAAGCATACCACCTGCTTCAGTTTGAAGCAGGTGGCTTCTATGACGCGGAAGCACAGCTAGCTCAAAAACATCAAGGAAAATCGAAATTCATCTCGGATGTCTTTAGAGAAGGATGTCTAAATGTGGCTATGGGTCTTGCTCACTGGAGGTAAGTTTTGCTAAAGTTATATTGACCTCACTGATAGTGTTATAGTTATCTTGGTGATCGATATTTCAAGGTCTGGGAACATGATAGAGACAATGTGGTACAATTCACCGTCGGGCCGCCTAAACTCGAGAAAAAAAAAGCGATTAAGCAAGTCAAATAGCCGAAGGAATCATTCAATGATGCCTCTCTGTCACAGTCTTCACTGTGATATGTGATTTATACCGCATTCAGTTTAGTCCCTTCATCATGATGATTATTGTGGTTTTGTTACGACCACTGAGGGTCTTTTTCCCTCCTCAGAGAAGATGACCAATAATTAGAGTGTTGTGGTTATGCAGGAGAGAGTTACTTGCGGGCAATTTAGAATATAGACTCAGACTATCAGACAAGGGAAACATTACAACAACATAGAAACCCTTAGTCTTCAAAAAGTAGATCGAAAGAGTCAAAATTAGCTTCTTTCAATATATTCCCTATCAAGCATGATAGCTGTATGCGCCGCATCCCACCAACGCCCATAGAATAGAGTCGGTCAAACATATACTCGATGAAGTCTAAACCTTTGCGTCCCTGAGCGGCATTAATTTCGGGGGGGGGACATTAATTTCGAGAAATGAGTCGCTTGTTTGGAGCTTTCTGGTGTCCCAACTGGCTTCTCGCGCAGATCCCAGATCTGATGATTCTCGCTTTCTTTTTTTGTTTTGGTTCGTCCCGAATCATAGTTCTCATTTGAATTAGACTTAACTAAATGATGACCTCAAACATGAGAAGCTATCTGCGTTATCCGTTACTTACGCATACTCGTCCTTCCCTCTCTGAGGGCCGGCATGCTGCAGGAACTCTCTGAAATGTCTCAGCCATACGGGCTCTGTTCAGAGTCAAGTCAATTGTTGGGCTATGGTGAGGATCGACCTTATTGGTCAGTGTTAACACGCCCCGATTGGTTAGAACTAAAATGGGGCACATGGTTTACTTAGTTGTATTCTCGGACTAGATTAATAGAATATCCTACAACCACTTTACTGCAACTGCACTTTCATTGATAAAGGCATATGAAACGTAGTATTCTCTCTATCATGACAGGCTCAAAGCCAAGGCTACAAAGAAATACGAGGAGAATAAAAAAGGAGGTGCGAGCTTTGTAATTATTCAATGTGTCCACGAAGAATTATTCATTTGTTAAACCTGCCAATAAAACAGCTATATACGGCTTTTGTATTTATGCGTGGATTGGTACCCCTGTATGCAATACTAGATCGCACCAGAGCTGCGCAGATTTTACTTCTTGGTATAGTAGTATTTGAAATCAGATTTACCTCTAGACTCTTCGACTTTCATTCCTGAACCCTAATTTGAAGCACAATAATCCACACGTGCTGCTCCTGTCGATCAACCAGGTCCTAGGGAAGACGTGCGCATCGCGAGTATCGGCCCCGAAACGATGAACAAAAGAGGTAGAAAAGTAAAGTGGAAGAAAAGCAATACCCACAACCTCTCCAGGGCTGACACTTACGCCGGGGACACGTTCTCAGAGGCCATGGAAAACAATACATACTGACATTCTTGCTCAATTAAAAAAACATACTCACTTTTTTCGTCTCTCATATCGCTCTATCTGAATTCAATTGGGTGTTCAGTATTTTCCCAGTATTGCTTTGATTCGCAGGTCTAAACTCGATTTTTTCGGCTCTGATATGTTACCATCTCATTATCGTCTTGACGTGACAAGCCTACCTAGGTGTGGATGGCAAATAAAACAGGAAAAACAGTTTCGTTTTTTATAAAGATGTATGGATGCTAGTCACGTTCGAAAATGATTTTTTAGCTGTTAGGGAAATTCTCATTGTGTGCGGAAAAGATTTTCGATTTTGCTGGAATGGCTGAAGGTTTTCCAGCCAGATGAAGTATTTGAAGCACGAATCCAGTAGCCTCCCGTGCCATTCTTTTCGATGATGATCATTGGTCCAACCGTAAGGTTGAATGGAATTGTGACCGCTGGATTGACAAATATGACCGTTGCCTTTTGTCCCTGGAGACTAGCGCCAGAGAAGTCCAGATCTGTATAGTTGAAAGTCGTCCACTGGGAAAGTCCAACCAGGGCTAGATTTCCACCACGACGAGCACTTAGTGCAAGAGCCCTGGTTGAGTGATTTTCGGAAAATCGAAGGTACTGTTCAACGGAAGCGGGGGAAGCGTAAAGCAATGTCTGTCGGCGTATATCCCGGGCAATGGTTGTGATTGACTCTCTTTGCAACTGATGGACTGAGAATTTACAGCGAATCACACCAACACTGTTGTGGATATAGTATGTCCCAGCCTTAGGAGGGCTGATAAAGGGACGGTAGTTGATGGGTCCATAATAATCTACCGAATGCTGAGACGAGTTCTGAGGGGAATAAATGGTCTTCAAGTACCATGCGGCAAGAATGTCGTTTCGCGTGATCTCAATGTCCGTGGAACTTTGATGCAATTCTACCTGCGATTTGGCCCGCAATTCGTCCACCCATGAGCCTGGGACATGGATAAACTTAGTGGTTAGCCTCTCGGCTAACATAAGCTTTTCGGCAATATTTGTTAAAAGTACACGCCATAAAAGTCTTCCAAGCTTGAAAATCCCACTATCTAGGTTTTCTGCATGATTCTTGTAATAGATGTTGGACTCTTCTTCAGTACATTTGGCTTTGACTGTCATCGTGTGCGATAGAAGGATATCTTCTGCATCAGGCGGAAGAACAAACCGAGGGATTGGTTTGTTGGAGAGTAGGTTACAAAATGCTTGAACCACTTCGTAACAATCGGTGCCGTCACAGAGATGATGTGTAATTCCAAAACAGAGCAATGTAGTATCTGTGAGGGTAGTGACCCGAAGTTTGAAGATTGTAGTAGAGTTGAAACAAATGTCGAATATAAACTTCTTGTCTACTTCAGACGGCTCTTCAGTTTGCAGTATAGTCGGTTCATTCTTATATTCCCAATCGAGTGAAAGATAGGAACTTAATGATTGATCAACGGTCCTGGCTGCGAAATCAACAGTGGCGCCACAAGTGAACGACCAGGGCTTTGTCTGAAGAATCATTAGCAATGTTTAGAAGAAAGGAGAACTGACAAATTCACCTACATTTTTTAGCAAGATACCACCAAGGACGGGCCATGCAGCAACCAATTCAGCAGCTTTCTCACCCAGTATAGCTGAATCTAGCACACAATCAACAACTAATCCCACATAAATGGTACTGTAGTTTGTCAAAGAATTGGCACTTCGGCAAGTGTATACAGGAGAGTTGAAATCCACGGTCCCCATTTTTAGTAAAGCAGGGTTTCCAAGACTGCGACTATCTAGTATCTCGCGAATAATTTTAGGAAGTATGATCACGGTAGGGATGGCCTCGGAGAGTGAAATGATATGAAAACTGATATCTTGTCTTTGACGAACGTAAGCACCGTATTTGGAGTTATCGAGGATATATATGTGCACCTTGCTGGTGCGATCAATCATAGTCACATGAAACAAAAAAAATTAATCTTACTATATTGCTGTAGGTTTCAGCAACATACAGCCTACGAAACTCTTAGATGTAAGGGAGTTCAGATTATTAGCCATATTCGGACATAGGGGGTTACTGGAATGCACATTCGGGATATGGTTTCAGCAGCCAATCAAAGGTGGGAGAAAAGGTGGAGAAAAGGTGGAGAAAGTGAGTACATTCCAGCAAGTTTTATTGCTCTTGTAGATAAAGTCTTGAGTATTAGCATGGCTTCGAAACCTAGGATATAAGACCCACATAAGGTAATACGGTACAAAGTTCCAAAAACCACCTTAGTCGCTAGCATTCCAGCATCCCCAGATATGGCTCATTTCAAAGTCATTATAGCTGGTGGTAGCCTTGCAGGGCTCACTCCGTCAAAAGAGAATTAACTCCTTTCACCAAATCCCTATTTCATGGGAATTGGTGGGATGCGGTGCATACCAGGAAATTAGGGTTTCTTCACTATGGGAGAGCCGGATCGTATCCTAGTAAATTTCAACCCCCGCATCCCATTTAGCATTCAGCTTCGCATCTTTTTCAAATTTTGTCAGTTTTTAGATTACTGATTCCTAAAACCTATGGAGGTTATTTTAATGCGGATGATTATACTCCTCGCCAGCTATACTGCCGTCAATATTCTGACCGCTCCTTGTACCGCCTTCCTAGACCATATACTAAGGGAGTACTCCTTCCCACTACACTAGGTAGCTTGTATCACCATCATGCTGAAGATATTCCGCAGCCTTTTGTCCTCCACGGTCAACTTTCAACCCATAGGAACTTGTGGAAGGGATGGGAGAAGAGGGAACATGGCCCTTACATCTGTTATTGGGAGTCATCAAGCAAGACATTCACCTTCAGGACAAGACACAGTGGATCCCTTAATTGCCACTATTGGTTGTGAGCGCCTGGAAGCTGCAGAATTCCTTGGTTTCTGCGAGTCTGTGACCAATCACCTTCGATTGTCGATTTCTCCCGCCAATATCACTTGACCTCGAAGCACCAAATGAAGAAAGGTGCTGCAGACGAATTGATCGAGGACCAAGACAGAGCAACAGACTGAACACGATTTCCATCAACTAGTACAATAATTCATAGAGCACTTCTGGTCTTTTAAGCTTCCAAGGTTGTCAGACCATTTAAAACGAGCCGAATGTTCAGAAATAAATTATGTGGTAAATGCTTAGGTCGTCGGGTTTGTTGGTGACTTTGACTTCGGGGAGGCATTTGTTAGGGCCAGTCTTTGCGTTCTTCTCCACTTTGAAAGACCCAGCTCGTTCATCAGGCGCCAAAGTGACTGCCGATTGATTTTGTGATCCACAGCTGCAAGTAGTTCTTCAGTTGTGACAGACGGGTTTTCTTGTATGAGCTCATAAATGTGGTCGCGATCATCCTCTGACAGCTTCCTTGGCTGTCCAAGGCGCGGCAGAGAAGATTGATTTTTTTGCCTTCTTCGCTCTTGTGTGAGCGTGTAGTTGATTGTTGAAACAGGGATATTTGGGAATCGATGCTTCTGGATCAAAGTAGCGCCCCATTTGTTAGTGCGATGAAGCTCGCATATTTGGGACCTCGTCGTACTGTCCAGTTCAGGACCTCTTTTTCTTCGTTCCACATGTGAATGCGATTCAGCAGGTAAACCAGGGGACATTATGAGGAAACATTGAAGAGGATAGAACTAGAGATAGAAAGGCATATTATGAGAGGACCTCTGGAGGCGGTGTAATGACACGTGTCCAAATATTAAAGAGACCCTCCGTCAAATATTGAAATCGACATCGATATCATACCTGACTATTATGTTACCATCCCAAAATTACATGAATACTTATTTGAATCCGGGTTCTTCTGCCTTCAGAGATTTATACGAATAATAGTAGGTGTCATTGTGCTAGTACCGTGATAAGAAATAGTTCAACGTTCCGCCAATAACCCAAACAGCAGCTCAGTCCGCTTCCAATATTCCGCAGCATCTTTCTGGATACTCTTGACAGCCTCTGTGCTGGCGTCCGCACTCTTTTGAACCCGATTCACGACACTAGCCAGCTTTGTCGAGTCAACTAGCATGTTTGACAGGTAGACGGCATCAAAAAAGAGCTGGATTTTCCAATCACGCAGGTCGTTCTCAGGAGTAGCATCGGTAGCATCATTGCTTGAGCTCCATTTTTCAACCTTATCAAGTGTAGACCCTACGATGGTGTCGATTTGCTTTCTTAGTTCTTCCTTCAGGATGCGCAGTGTGGATGGATCCCAAAGATCTAGCCCACTCTCATCCATGGTTGATGTCAGCTGGCGCAGATACTTGAAGGCTCCCGGCGATGGCTGAACCGGAAGAGCTGGTGTACCTTCCCAAAGTGAGCGACCTGGCACAATCTTCAACTTGTTTTGACCATCATGCGCTTTAGAGGGAACAAGAGACAGAGGTCCTGTTTTTGCAGTGGTCTCCACAGCTAGTAGAATTTGAAGCTCAGGGACAACATCATTTGAAAACAAGAAATCCTTGGCGACGAATCCCGCGGGAATTTGCCGGCGTATCAATCGGATGAGACGAAGTAGGAAAGTGGCTTTCTGGCTCGAATGAGAGGTTCTGCAGACTTTAGAGGCGGCACTGAATGAACCTTGAAGACTATCGAAAGCCTGTCTAATTGAGGCATGAATGGCTTTTGATAGAATACTAGGATCGTCATTGTTAAGAATGGATACGATGTCAATATCCTCGTCTTCCGCTTCACTGCCCACAAGAACATCAGTCCATTTGAGGCTGCGGAGTGAGTCGATAGATTCCTTAGTTTCTTTTATAGAGGCGAGCCAGTATTGATACTTTCTCAACACTATAGATACATCATCGTTCCGACCGAGAAGGCAGTCTGTGACGGTCTGTTTGAAAGATAATGCACCATTTGAGTAGCCCGCAGAAATGAGATCTGAGTCCCAAAGAGAACCGATGGAGCAATGCTCTGCGGTATCCCAATCTAAGATCATAGACGAGATCAGATTGGAAATCTCGGAAATCGCTTTTACTTGCGTGACCAGGACTCGCTTGAGATTGTCGTTGAAGATATTACGAAGACGTTGCAAAATGTCTTCGGAGCTGTGTGTGATGGTTGAGCCCCAAGATGAGAGCCAGAGTTCTAGGGTCTCAGCCCGCAAAGAAAGAATCTCAGAGAAGTCGTTGCTGTGGGAGAGCGCCTTTTGACACGCTTCGCAGAACTTCTCAAAAGCTTGCTTGGACCATTGTTTAATCGAGTCCACGCCCTCTGTTCTACTTAGTTCGCTCAACTTGATCCAAGGTGTGAAGTTGTTCACTTCGGGTGCCGCCCAGCGGCCAAGAACTTCAATCTCAAGCCCATCCAAACTGCGGATCTCTGGGTCTGACAGGATGGCCCTGGATTTTAATTCGGAAAGGACATCGGAGAGTTGGCGGGATCGTAGCGTCTTTGAAGTTTGAAGTGTGCGGATGAACAAGCGGAGTGCTCTGGGGATATTCTCGCGAGAGAGGTCCAACTGGGAAGTGATAACATCCAGGCGAACTTGGTGGAATTTATGAATAGCGTCATCGGAAGAAGAACTTGTCGCAAGGCAATAGGCAGCAAGGGACTCGATTGTACTGTCTTCTGTAGCATTGATGGATGACAGGCGTTTGTCGATCCGTTTCAACAGTGCCCGGCGCAATGATGCTAGTTGATTTCGAAGGTCATCAAGGAATGGCGGACTGAATTGGTGTTGTGAAAGTGTCTTGTGAAGCAACCGAGAGACAGCCAGTATCTTAGCAACTAGTAATAAAGACGCTCGTTTGCGCAAAAGCCGTGCAATGGAAGTTGTACAACGATGAAGGAGGGCAAGCTGCGCCCCGAATGCATGCTTTTCTGCGTCTGCGGTTCCATTAACAGATGTCGAATTTTGTTTACTGCATATAACCGCATACCGTTTCCCACGCTATTACTCTTAATATGACGCGTGTGGATATGCTTCCTCTCAATCAGCCGAGGATTACAGCGACGTCCAACATCAGCCAAGAGAGCTTCGACCTCCTGCATCTCAGTATTCATAGCAACAATTGTCTCAGCTGCTCCAACAAGCTCTCGGTATCTTGTCCTATAGATGATCGCATCCATATCAGTACACTTGCTACAACGATTTACCGGGACTTATCTTACCCCACGAGAGCTCGGAGCTTCTCCTTATTGCTCTCGATATACCGACACAATTCCTGTTCCACACGGCGTACTGTAGGAATTGGATACTCGAAGGCATCGTGCCATGACTTTAGACTCTGGGGATCTGGAGCCTCAGGAGCCATGTTGGCGATGCTGGGAGTGTACGCCTCTTTGAATGGCCAACTGGACCAATTGGAAGCCCTCAGACCTAAGGTGTCCAGCGGGCCAAGATATATGCTTATGTCATCTATCGTGTTTCCTTTATCAGCTCGTGACTTTGAAATAAAAGAAATGGGCCCCGCAATACTCTTTAGTCATAATTCTTTCTTCGATTTTGAACGATATAAAGACTCAATATGTCGGTGATGGCGCCAGAAGCACCACTAGAAGATGGGCCAATCACTGAATTCAGTGATATGCCCGCTCGTCTGCCATTTCCGCCTATCACTTACTCCCACATCTTGCATTGCTCCTATCATAACTGGCACCCTCGGTATATATATTCAATAGATACTAAATTTTCTTTCGATTTACCTAACTTTCTAAAAGCTATCGTGCTCTGACCCCGAAATCCCGACTTATTCCCCTTTCCCCGCAATTCGTCTCCTACCTCCGCGCTGACGGCATTGTTCTTCCCTCTGAACCTACTCTAACAAATGACAATGACGAGCTTGACACATACTCAGACTCAGGCGAAGAGGAGGCTGACCCATCGTCAGAGTGGCAAGAAGTGCATACGCAGATCAAGAATATTATTGCTGAGCTCGGTACGGTTGCGCCAAAACTGAACTGGAGCGCCCCGAAAGATGCAACTTTCATGTCCGCCACGAACGATCTGAAATGCCATACTGCCAACGATATATATCTCCTTTTGAAAAGCAGTGACTTCATCACACACGACTTGGAACATCCGTTCGATGACTGTGTCTCCGATTTCACAGCCAATGCCAACAATGATGTTAATTGCGATGACCATAAGGTGCTACCAGAAGTTCCCTACCATCTTGTATTGCGCAAATACGTCAACTTCAACCCATCACTCGAGTTCCGGTGTTTTGTACGCAATCGTAAATTGCTTTGCATGTGCCAGCGTGACCAGAACCACTTCGATTTCCTGTTCGGTATGCGCGACTTGTTTAGATCTCGTATCCAGTCGTTCTTTGATGATAAACTTCGCGATACATTCCCTGATCCAAACTTTGTCTTCGACGTCTACGTTCCAGCCCCTCATCAGCGCGTGTGGCTGATTGATATCAATCCTTGGGCTCAACGAACAGACCCGCTCCTGTTCAGTTGGCTCGAGATCCTGCGCATGAAGGACCCAATTGGGTTCGAAGAAGATTCAGCGGATGATATAAGCGGGACCGAAGGTTTTGTGCGGATTTCCTTGCGGGATGGTACTGTTATGAGTTCCTCGGATTTGGACGAGAGTGGCGAGGAATCCGAATCGTCTGAGGAGGAAGTTGAGGCTGAAGACGCAGATAATGCTGCTGCATGTGATGATTTCGCCCTTTTCTTGCCAGAAGTGCGTCTTATAAAAAAAAATGATCCCGAAGCGTACCAGTTCTCTACTCCGCAATACTCAGCTCATAAGGTACCGAAAGATTTGGTTGATGCATCACTTGCTGGGCCCGGTGGCATGAGTGAATTTATGGGCAAGTGGCAGGACATTTTACAAAATCAAATGCGCGAAGAGCAGCAAGCTAGTGATTCTGACTAGAACTTGGCTGCCTTCCACTCTTTCTGGCGATTTTGGATGAATGCTGTGGCGTTGGAACATGTCGTTTATATTGAACAAAATTACGCTGCTAAATGGGGAGTTCATCTTGTTATTATCTATACGACAGTCATGGAACATTGGAGATGAATATCACAATCTTTCTTGATATTATTTAACCTTGGAACCCGTGCCATATGGCGAGGATCTATATTATGTAGCTAGATCCTCAGGATCCTGCCTGCTTGAGGTCGCCTGTAATATAAACGAGTGTAACTAGCTCTGTATGGAATGTGAACCTTGGAAAATACATAAGTCACGTGGGCTTACACGTTGCACTACTCAAGCAATTGTAGGTGGTTCGGCAATTGAAAACACCCTAACTAGACCTAGCCCAGTACTGCGCAACTGAACCTTAGAAGAGTTGATAGACCTGTCATGATACCTAGCTTGCGGCATGTCAGAGAGAACTTTGGAAAGAGTTTAGTCCTATCATATTAGCCCACATTCCCATAACTTACTGCTTGAACTTGATATGCTGGTTCATTAGGAAATCTTTATTTGCCGAGGCATTAGGTGCTAGACAAGTGCCGAAGCCCTAACAACTCCCCGCAACCTTGAGCGTTCCCCCGCGTTTTCCAATTACCCGGAGCCCCGCATCCGGAAATGTCAACGTCATGACTTCGGCTTCAGCATCAGATCATTCATCTAAGCGAGATTTGTGCTTTAAATAACTGCGGTAGAACCCTCATCCCTCCCGTTCCTCGGCGCATCGTCGGAGCTTGACAACCATCCTGCCTCCTTTATTTCCCAGTAGGCCCACTTACGGGAGATAGGTGGCAAAACAATGCCGATGATGGATGAGATCTTCAAGGGGTACGTACGGAGAACGGAGTGCATTGAGGTAATCTTGCATGATAAAACAATTATTTAACATGTCACCCCCTGTGACTCGTTCAGGGCTTCAAGCCGCTTCATCTTTCGCCCTTGGTTTTGGCTCATGATCGGCATGGTTTCTATTTTCGCATTCCGTTTGCTGGCATTAGGCTCGGTAGCATTTGCTAGTCAAAGTCGAAGTGACTTTCAAAGCAAATGTACCCAATTTGCCGATAAAATCCATATTCCCAATGCCAAAGTCAACTTCGTTGAGTTCGTGGCAGGAGGGACGAATCTTTCGATTCCAGACTACCCATCTAGCTGTTCCTACGGGCCATATCAAGAGATCACAGTTGATATTTGCCGAGTTGCAATGGCTGTGACCACTTCCAATAGTAGTGAGCTCACTCTAGAGGCTTGGTTCCCGCGGGAATACAAAGGTCGCTTCTCCAGCACTGGAAACGGTGGTATTTCGGGATGTATGTGTCCAATTAGCCTTGTGTCTTACTTCCTCTAACTCCTCTAATAGGTATTCAATATTATGACCTTGCATATACTGCTCAGTTGGGCTTTGCTACAGTTGGTGCGAACAACGGCCACAACGGAACTTCGGGCGAGTCTTTCTATCACAATACAGAGGTGGTGAAAGACTTTGCTTACCGATCTCTTCATACCGGTGTGGTAATTGGCAAGGAGCTTACCAAAGCTTTCTATGAAGAGGGTTTTAACAAGAGTTACTATCTTGGTTGCTCCACTGGAGGTCGACAAGGATGGAAGGCAATTCAAAAATATCCAAATGACTTCGATGGCGTTGTTGCAGGCGCCCCTGCTATCAACTTCATCAATCTCCTCTCCTGGAGCGGTCATTTCTATCCGATTATTGGTTCTACATCCTCAGACACCTATCTCACTCCCGTAGAGTGGGAACTTGTGCACAAGGAAACTATTCGGCAATGTGACGCAATCGACGGGGCAGAGGATGGGATCATTGAAGACCCTGATCTGTGTGTCCCTGTTCTCTCACCCTTGATCTGCCCTCAAGGTGTATCGAATAGCAGTTCCTGCCTGACAAGCACTAAGGTTAATACAGCTCAGCAAGTCCTGTTGCCGTTCTACGGAAAGGATGGCACCCTACTCTACCCCCGCATGCAGCCTGGCTCGGAGATTTATGCTTCATCAATCATGTACAACGGCCAACCCTTTTCGTATAGTCAGGACTGGTTCCGGTATGTGGTCTACAACGATTCATCTTGGAGTGGTGAGAACTTCTCAGTAGCCGACGCTGCCGTCGCTCTTGCTCAGAACCCATATAACATTCAAACCTGGGATGGTGACCTGTCCCCCTTCAACAAGGCCGGTGGAAAGGTCCTCCACTACCATGGCATGCAAGATCATCTGATCAGCTCCGATGATTCAAAGTTGTATTACTCCCACGTGGCAAATACAATGGACTTGCCACCTGCGATATTAGACGAGTTCTACCGTTTCTTCACAGTGAGTGGTATGTCTCACTGCTCCAACGGAGACGGTGCCTCGAATATTGGTCAGGGTCTCCAAACATACGCTGGTAATGATCCTCAGGATAATGTGCTCATGGCCATGGTGAAATGGGTGGAAGAGGGCGTGCCGCCTGAGACCATTCGTGGAACAAAGTTCTCCGACACGGATAGCTCAGTGGTTGAATATAGACGGAAACACTGTCGGTGGCCTCGACGGAATGTTTTCAAAGGTCCCGGAAACTATACTGATGAAGATTCGTGGAAATGTACTTAGGTCATTACCTTGACTCTAATTACCCAGAGCCCTCGCATGTAAAACTAAGCTTCATTAAGGTTAGCAGGATCCACTCTGTCAAGTATGAAACCTTGGGATTCATTCAATTCTATAATTTCTCTATTTCATCAAAAGAATTAGAGGTAAAAACTGGTCCGAGAACAATAAAATATTCAATCACTTGGACACACGCTACTAACGCCAGACGCGCTTAGCAAAGAAACAAGATGCTTGGGGTGGATATACATGATGACAACAGTTTCTGCTGGAGCCATAAAGGGAAACAGTGCAAATAGAAAACAAGATGGAAATGGTCGAGTCGAGAAGAGGCCCAAATAGACTACAGATCAACATCCTACATGTGAAGAAGAAAAGATTATCCGCGGACCTTGCGATAACTTGGGGGACTCCATGATTGCTTGATGAGTTTGCCAGCCCACACGGGCACCAGCGCAACAGCCAAGATGACCAGGACACGCCAAAGGAAATCAAGTGTGATCACATAGCGGAGGTCGTAGTATTCGCCCAGGAATGGAACACTACCAGCGTACACTAGGACAGTACCGACCAGAGCGAAGATCATCACAGGGTGCCAGGTTGTTACTGAGATAGCAACCATACCCAATTCGGTGAGAACAAGTGCAGTGAAAGACACACTTACCAGGCGCGGTCCGGTGATGGTGTCAAGCAATATTTGAGACAAGCCTTGGATAACCGCACCCTGATAAACCGAAATGAAAACCCACGCGAAGAAGGAGCGGTAGCTCAGGCTTTTTCCCGTTTTCAATTCCTTGTACAGTTCAGGGTAAAGGTTAGCAAGCCGCTCGTCCACGTCTTGATCGAGTACAAGAGTGAAGACTGGCGCATTGGTGTAGACAGAAGCGTAACCAATCATGAGCCAGTTGATAAAAAGACCCTTCGGATCGAAGTGACTAGCAATACTGAACACGGTTTGACATATGCTGATAATCAAACCACGATGCATAATGAATTGTGCCAACTTGGCAGACCTTTTGTATGAGTTTCGGCCGTGCCAAACCAAGAGTTTGGTCAGATGGTGGAACTGGGTGATACTGAAATCTGCTGCTAGAGAGGCTTGACGACCCTCCTTTCCAACTATTCCGATTCCGACATCAGCAGCCTGGATCATCGACACATCGTTACCACCGTCACCAATGCAACAGACTCGTTTTTTCGTATACTGGCGAATCAGAAGAGCAATTTCGGCTTTCTGCGTTGGAGAACAACGGCATGCAATCACAGCAGGCAAAAGTACCGCAACTGAGATGAATGCAGAGCGGAATTGGCCTAGCATCAAATTTAATGATTCACCATCAATGAGCAGACAACAGTCAGTCTTATTCCGTAGAAAGTCCAAAGCTTCCTGGGCTGCAGATGGATCTGTCACCTTGGATACTGTGTGAATATACTGGCCACGAGAAACTAGTTTGGCCGAAATGGCAACACATCGTGCTGTTTCCACTTTGTCTCCAGTTAACATCCAGATCTTTATTCCCGCATTGCGCATCAGTTCCAAGGATGACTTAACATCGCGCTGGAGGCGGTCTTCAACTCCAGTGACTCCAAGCAGCTCAAGATCCTTCTCGAGGTAATCGCTCACAACCTTGGCCATGCCTATGTCTCGTTCTTGGAGGGACAGAGAAGCTTGCTTAAACTTGACGGAAAATTCTTGATACTGCGGGAGGGAAAGATGTTTTCGTCCCACGACCAGTGTTCGCAGACCTTCGCGGGCCATGTTTGCCGTTTCTTCATCAAGCCAGTCGTTCGCTACAACGATCGACGACATAACGCTGTCAGCTCCCTTCTGATAGAACCAAAGCTCAGGCTCGGCCTTGCTGTCAGCATCGAGCACATTTCCATCTTGCTGGAACTGAACAATAATCCCCATGCGTTTGCTATCGGATGTAAAGGGGAAGATGTCAAGAATCTTAACGCGAACAACAACTTGTTTAGAGTCTGTTGATTCGAGAACCACAGTCTGGCGGTCGCGGTACGAAAGTTTCAGCCCAACCTCTTCGGTATAACGAACGATGGCGATTTCATCCGGAGAAGACGCTTGATAAGTCGTGATTTTCTCTCCGGTCTCGTTTTCGACGGTTGGGGTAACATTGTGACAGAGAGCTAAGGCTAGGATGATGTCCCGAACTCGAGAGCCGATCTCTCTTCTGGTACGTGGTGCAGCACCCTGACCAGCTTGCGTCCCGAAAAAAGTCGATGGTGTTGTCAAGGCACTGCCAGTAAAGCCCTGGCGAATGAAAGACGCGACTTCATCCATTGCCTCGTTAGCATACGAGACAGTACCAACATGAATCTTTTTCAATTCCATCTCTTAAGTCATCTGTTAGTATGGGGGGTTTTCAGACATAATTTGTCAAAAGATAGCTCACCATTTTGAGTCAGCGTTCCGGTTTTATCGGACAACAAGTACTCGATTCTTCCCAAGTCCTCCGGGATCGTACTCGTTCGAACTACAGTGTCTGGAATGTCCTTGTCTCGCTCAATAAATCGGGCATACACGGACTTGGCCATGTCCAGATTGACTCGAAGACTCATAGGAATGATGGTCGAGAATAAAATGAGATATATCATGATTGAAGTATACCACTCTTTGTCATTTGTTGGCTCGAACCCTTCCAAGGCTACCAACACAATCGACAATGCGAGGGTCAAGATACAGAGAATTTTGGTGAGATTATTGATTTCATATTCTAACAGACCAACTTTGGATCTGGAAGGAGATGTTGAAAGAGCCGCCCGGGTTTGCGATCCAGTGTAGATGATGACGGCGTATGTGGTTGTGTTAGATGCAAGAACGGTATTAGCCCAAGCTGTGTTCTCAATGGTTAACGGAGCCGAGTTTGAGATCTGACTCTCACTATCTTCCAGAATTCCGTCTGGTGTCGATTGAGATACCTTATCGACGTGGGCATCATAAAAACCAGTAGGAGGGCCCAATTGGATTGTACCCAGAAATTCGTTGACCCTTTGATCTGGTGCACTTGCGGTGACCTTGAGTCGAGTGAAGTCACTGTTTGGAAGAGTCTGAGATAAAACTGAAGGAATACGCAGCTTCCAATCTGTTTCACCGTCAAGCTGATCAGTCCGAATAAACGTGTCGCTGGCAGATTGGTCTTCTGCTTCGTGTAGAAGACCAGATTCAGATGGTCCTTGTTCCGATTCGAGTAGGTTTGCGGATACAACAGGTAAAGATTCTTCCACCGAATTTCCACGAGAAGCGTTAGCGTCGTTTGAGATACTTTTGAGGATCACAACATCAGCCGGCAGGCGCTGGTTTTTGTGGATCTTCAACACATCCCCGACTTTCAAGTCACGAGATTTCTTCTTCATTTCCAAGGGATTGGACCTTTCAAAAGATAAAACAGTAAACTCCTCGGCATTCGCTTCCCCATCTCTCCGTCGTCGTGCAATATCGTCGAGTGCCTCTTTCCCCAAAGATACCGAGACTACAAAGGCTAACGGTGCAATGTATGATGACATATAACCAATGCGTAGTATCGGGATGATTTGTGAAAGTGCCACAAGTAGAAAGTAAATGTTGAAAAAAAGGAGAACTCGTTGTACAGCGTGCAGGGAAGGAAGCTCCAGGGGGTGTATTTGGCGTTCGAAATGACATTGGGCGGGTATTTGTTTGATTGGTATTGTCCAACAAGGATATCTCGGGGAGGTTTATTTGCATCTTCGTCATTATTCCTCTGTAATCGATTCGATGCGAGTTTTAAGAAACTGGGACGGGAAAAAGTCGGCAGAAGAGATCGGAGGCCCTTTTTGGTGGGCTCATCGTCGAGGAATTCACGCGTTGAGCCTCGGCGATCAAGAAGTGGCACATCATCATCTGTTTGATTTCGATCGCTAGCATTTGACCGTCGTAACCCGCCCTGGCCTCGGTCATCTAGCAGCGCTTCTGTGTCCTCCTCAGTTTCTCCGTGCGAGGATGCATTGCGCCCCCATCGACTTGCTACTCCGACACGCAAATTCCTTAGAGCAATTCCAGGGGCATAATTTCGTGATCGACCTGCGTAGTCTCGAGAGGCCCGCGAAGGCTGAGATGGTGCGATATTGGGATCCAGCTCCTGAAGGTCCAAGTCATCGTCAGAGCCAGAGAAGTCGTCATCATCTGGCCGGGTAAGAGGGTGTAAATAGTCGGGCGAAGACGACATGTTGGGTAAAAGGAATTTCACTTGATCATTAAATAATGGGGGGACTCTATACTTGTCGGTGAAATAAAGATCATTTATGCAGTCAAGGTGCTTTGAGGTTCCGCGGCAGCATAATAGAGGAAACGACTGTGGGATTTAGGTATTTGAATAAGAAAAGAGGCAGCCAATAGCGAAGATAAACAAATCCGTCTCCACAGTCTAGTAAGTTCTTGCTCTGCGAAGGACAGAAATATAATGACTAAATTATACTGCCTAAGCTCCGCGATGCCACGACAATCACATGATTGGCACATAACACGGGTTATGTCATTTGCTGACATCAGCAAGCATACCATGTCGTACGGAATAAATATTCTCCATTATTCATCAGTATGCTGAGTCATCAGTATCATCAAATCGGGTTCAATCTGGGGAGGGTCTTTAGATAAGTCGACTCGGGGTTCTTTATTTCATTTTGGCAGATGCATTGGGCTTTTACTTATCTCTCACCTAATTCTTGTTTCTTTGCCTCGGTCATCATACGACATTTAATGGATTGCTGAATTCACATCCCTAAGCCTTTGTTCCTGATATTGTTGACCCTGAACGTCACTGCCTACGTGTCAGGTTGCTTCAGAGTACTTTCGAGCCACGTGTTGATAAATTGAGGACGGCGCGCATATAATGGCTCAAACAACATCCTTAGCCGAAGGTATCGGTGCCTGGAATCCTGCTCTCCGACCAGAAAGCCACTCATCCCTAAGTCGCGAAGAATCAATAATTACGACCGATCTGAACCAGTCACATAATGATGAGAATAGCGATTCATGGGAGAAAGGCTCGGTCGAGCATGTCGATTCCGAAGGAGAAGAATTTTCCGGTCAGCTGAAAACCCAAACCAAGCCAATATTCGCGCCCTCAGAGGCAGACTCCAGATTTGAAGAAGGTGTCCCGTTGCTGGATGAGTCTAATCCTTCTTCACCCGAACGCCTCACCTCGAAACATGAACCTTCAGCTAGCGACCCCTTATCGAATGATAATGACAACCCGGACGGGCTTCTTAGCTCTGTTAAGAATGAGGCGCATAACGAGCCGCATTTAACTCGAAAGAGCACATCGCAGGTTATTGAATCCTTGGTGGACGATTCTATTCCGTCTTCGCCCGAGCAAGCCACAGCGGATGAACCCTCAGTTAGCGACCCCTTCTCAAATGATAATGATGATACGGATGGATTTTTTGGTTCTATGCCAAATGAGTCGCACAATGAGCCGCAAGTTATCAAATCTATCACGGACGATACTTTCCCTGTTGCGTCTGATGAAATCACAATAGGGAATGAACCTTCAACTAGTGACCCATTTTCGAACGATAACGATGATGCGGATGGGTTCTTTAGCTCCGTGAAGAATGAGTCTCACAGCGAGCCACAAGTCATCGAATCCGTGGTCGATTCTATCCCAATTTCGCCCGAACAAGTCACATCGGAGCATGTAATTTTGGCTAGCGACCCGTTTTCGAATGATAATGATGATGTGGATGGATTTTTTAGCTCTGTGCAGAATCAGTCACACAGCGAGCCGCAAGTTCTGGAATCCGTTGTGGACGATTATATTCCAGCATCGTCCGAGAACATCACAGTGGAGCATGAGTCTTCAGCTAATGACCCCTTCTTAAACGATATTGATGATGCGGATGAGTTTTTTAGCTCCATAAAGAAAGAGTCTCAAACAGAACCGCAACTTATCGAATCCTTGGGGTTCGAAATTGACGCCTCGGTCAGTGATACAACAGCTGCTGCGGAGCTAGAAGATGTCCTCAGGGCTGCACCTTCCGAACTTCAAGCTCCCCAGGTACAGACCGAGACCGCTGAGCCTTCTGAGGAGGAACTGGCTGCTCGATGGGAGGCTGAATTGAGTGATACTGGGGAAGATGACCTTGCAGCCTGGGAGGCTGCATTGGATGACGATGACATGTTACTTGAAGAAGATTTCATTGAGCCTTCGGCTAGTGAGAATCAAGCTACACCGCAAACCCATGTTGCCAATGGCTTGAATAGTCCCTTTGAAACCCCACAATTAAACCAGACACGATGTCAACCGATCCCTGGTGTTTATACGCCGCATCAACCATCTACATCTGATTTGCTTTCTGGGGTCCCAATCCCAGGGGCTTCTTCGTCGATAAATCCAGCTGCCACTTCATACTTCCCACAACAGCCACAAAGGCCTGTAACTACTCGGGGAGAGAGCTTCGCTGAGCAATCTAAACAAGGGTACAAATCTCCTTATGATCTCCCGGAGGACCTATCTCGCGGACCGCGAAAAGTGATCACCCACAAAGCTAGCATCCCGATGCTTCAACCGCTTCCTCCTCGCAATGATGGTTCGATGCAACAGCCCAGTGCCCCTGTTGTACCCCCCCATTCCCGTTGCTCCTCCCCACGCAAAGAACTTCTATGAAGAGTTACCTCCTCCTCCTCCAAAATCTAGACAAGGAAGCTCAGGTCGATATACTCCTAGTCCAGCTCTAGCTCCTACTGAAACGCCGTTTGTTCCTTCTCAGGTTTCGTATACTCCTGCTGCTGCTGCAATGAATGTGCCTTCAGCCCAAACCATGCTCCAGCCGCCTGAGCGCTTGGACCCTTACGCTCCTGTATTGGCTTCAAGTGCGCCTGCTGCTTCAATTGCCACCTCTAGGTATTCTCCTCAGCCACCCAGCCTGCAACCTTCAACGAAGGCTCCAGCGAGATATTCACCTGCACCACCACCCTCGACATCGACTGCTCGTACTCGCTATGCATCCCAGCCTTTGGCTGTACCCGGTCAGACAAACGCATTGCCATTCCAGCCACGTACATCCAGTCCTTTGGCATACCACGAGAAGACTTCAAATCAACCAGAAGGCGTACAGCATCAAATGCCGCCGTCTCTCCAGCCCTCGGTTGATTTCTTGCCACCACACCCACATCAGCCCAGCATTGACCAAGGGTTACCGTACGCCCCTCCGTTGCCAAATGGGGCAGTCAATATCGTGAACCAAGGAGCTTCGATGCCTCCAGTTCCTCGACAGCAGACACCTCCCGCGACTCGTTATGCGCCCCTCGAGTATATCAACGATTTTACTCAGCGTATTACATCGAACCCTTCCATAGCCCCTGCAGCTCCTCAAGCTGGCGTGCTTCAGGTCTCTCCGCCTCCGCCTCGAAGGTCTCAAACTCAGTCTCCCGGTCAATATATGATTAATCCCCGAGGTTATGTGCCGAGTATCGATACTCTTCCTCGCCCTGCTTCTGTGCACGGCTCCGGCTCACCAACCAAAACCACCAATCCATATGCATTTGCACAGCCCCCTGCACATAACCGCGGTGTTTCCCAGAAGCTTGATTTTATCGCCCCTGTCGATGGCCAAGAACTTGATCCACTTGAGCGTTGGAAGGGTGCTCCCATTTTCAAATTCGGGTTTGGTGGGGCTGTGGTTTCATGCTTCCCTAAACTTATTCCCCGGTATTCGGCTGCTCAGGTGGCTCCGATGATCAAACCAACTCCAGGAGAGACCAAGTCTTCTCAACTAACGACTTGGCTGCCCTCCAACGAAATAATCACCCAACACCCCGGTCCTCTGAAGACCAAATCCAAGAAAAAGGATGTATTAGCCTGGCTTTCTAGCAAGATTGCATTGTTTGAAAATGAAATCGTTCAGGATTACAACCTATCTTCTCCTGATGTCCGGAAGCGCCATGAAGAGAAGATCTTGCTATGGAAGGTCACTAAAATATTGGTCGAAAATGATGGTGTTCTGGAAGGCACTTCGGCAATCCAACAGCAACTCAGGGAGATAATCTTCCCGGGCCTTCCTGTTACCAACCCCGATGTTTCGTATGGAGGCGCTTTTCCAACATTAAGCGACTACAAACCCCTGTCACTGCCATCTCAGCCTGATGCTATCGATCCTGAATGGATCGAAGAACTCCGCAACCATCTTATTCAAGGGGAGCGGGAGAAGGCGATTTGGAGCGCAGTCGATCGCCGTCTTTGGGGACATGCAATGCTCCTAGCGTCTACCCTAGATAAATCTATTTGGAAGCAAGTGGCCCAGGAGTTTGTCCGACGTGATGTTCGATCCTCAACTGCCAAGACTGAGTCAATTGCGGCTCTTTATGATATATTCGCTGGTAATGTCGAGGAAAGTATCGATGAGCTTGTACCTCCATCTGCGCGTGCCGGTCATCATTTGATCAGCAAGGTAGATGGTCAAGATACAACGAAGAACGCCCTCGACGGCCTTGAAAGCTGGAGAGATACCCTTGGACTAGTTCTGAGCAACCGGAGTTCCGAAGATCACTTGTCATTGTTGGCCCTCGGCCGTTTGCTTGCATCGTATGGGCGCATTGAGGCCGCACATATTTGCTTCATTGTCTCTCGAAGCTCTGTTTTCGGTGGCGCTGATGACCCGCAGGCTAACATTGTGCTCATTGGTGCTGATCACCAACGATTCCCCTCGGCTCTTCTAGATGAGGATTCCTTTCTTCTAACTGAAGTCTATGAATTCGCTACATCTGTTCTGGCCGGTTCTTCCACGACCAACTTTTCGTATCTGACAGCTTTCAAGGTCCTCTATGCCAAGCATCTGGCTGATAGAGGACGCAAATCAGAAGCCCAGAGCTACTGTGATGGAGTAGCATCCGCTCTCAAATCGACCACTCGCCCTTCACCTTACTATCACCAGACTTTGTTTGCTGAAGTGGAAGAGCTATGTGCTCGACTGCGGCAAACTAACAGCGATGGTTCTTCATCTTGGATTTCAAAACCCAGTATGGAGAAGGTGTCTGGGAGTATGTGGGCTAGGTTCAATAGCTTCGTTGTTGGTGATGACAGCGACGCAGCATCGACTGGCTCTGGAAAGGCAGGCGAGACAGCAGATTTTGGGCCATTCGCCAATGTCGCTGGAACCCCAATTGTCAGCCGATCCCCATCTGTTTCCGATATCTATGGCTCTTACCCTGGGTCAGGGGCGCAGCCAATTCCGGCTGGTGTCCCTTCGAGATACCTTCCAAATCAATACGCACCCAATGCATCACCAGAACAATTCCGTAGCCGATCGTCTCTTGATTCCCAGCGGTCTTTTTCTGGTGGTGTTCCTTTTGGACAGCGCCGAAGTTCGCAGGACCCTACCTCGCCAATTGAATCTCATGGTTTCCCAGCAGCGCAGATATACAGCTCGCCGGGTGTATCTGGGTATCAGTCAACCCCTCCTCAATCCTCCTACATGCCTCTTGCTCCAGTCGAGGAAGATTCGAGTCAGTCACCGGCGGAAGTTGCACCCCCAGTCCAGCCCGTGGTTAATGGCCTTTTCTACCAGCCACCAGGGCAAGACCCTGCTCCTGTTGAACCATCGCCTTATTATCAAGGGCCGCCTGGTATGCCTCAGTCTGAAAGTCCCAGTTATCTACCTCCTGCTTCCAGCAACTCTTATGAGCCCCCTTCATACTCCCTGGGAATGAACACGTCCCCAGAGGTGGCCGAAGAGTCCCCTGAGGTTGCCGAACCAAACCCAAAGAAGAAGTCGTTCATGGATGATGATGACGACGACGACGACTTGGCTTCTCGAGCTGCAGCTATTCAGAAATCTCAGAAGGCCGAGAATGACCGCAAGGCGGATGAAGCATTCAGGAAAGCCGCCGAAGAAGATGGTAAGTTTTGTTCGCAGTGTACGATCACTTCTGTTCTAACAGATTGTAGCCAAGCGAGACTCGCAGCAACCCGGAAAGAAGGGCTGGTTCGGTGGATGGTTTGGTGGCAAGAAAGAGACAGATAATAAACCTGCCGGTAGCGGCCCTATCAGAGCCAAACTTGGCGACGATAGTTCGTTCTATTACGACAAGGAGTTGAAGAAATGGGTTAACAAAAAGGATCCCGACTCTGCTGCTCCCGTGCGTGCCACGCCGCCACCTCCGCGAGCCTCAGCTCCTCCCAGTCGGACGAACTCGGGAATTCTCCATCCCCCTGCTGCTCCCATGTCCGCCCCGCCGGGCAGCCGGCCTCAATCTTCCTCTAGCGACATTCCGCTTCTATTCCCATCGAGCCCTGCCGGTCTCGGTGTGCCTCCTCCTACACCTCCCACACTTGGCAATATGCCTCGGTCAGTCTCAACCAGCGCTTCTATGCCACCTCCAAATAGTTTAGGTGTCCCACCTCCACCTCGGCCTCTATCTTCTCTCAGCAATGCCCAATCCATTGATGACCTTATAGGTGCTCCTCAGGCGCGTAAAGGAAACGTCTCTCGGAACAAGAAGAAGGGTCGCTATGTTGATGTCATGGCAAAATGATCCTCGAGCCCTGGCCAAGCATAGCGGTTTATTTAATTTTTCCTTTGTTTTATTACGTCCTCAAAGTTTTCTCCCCTAATGTTTTTTAACTATAGCTGCCCGATGTTTCCCCTTCCCATAATAGATTTCCAGCTGCCAGGTTAATCACTCAACCCGTCATTGTATGTCTCTTGTCTTACGACATGACAGACATCCTACTCATCTCCCAGCGTCTTTGTACAATGAATTCAACGAAAATACATGCACATAGCTTATTCCATGCTTGCCTTGTCTCTCTACGAAACTAGCTCTTCGCCCCGCAAAGTGAGCGAGATTATTTTTTATCAACATTGTGTATATCATACATATTATCCTTGCAGGTATACATTGCTCTAAAGTCGAGTGATCTACTCGTGCTTAATTTGAAGCCTCTCCGATGTCCATTATGCGTTTGATATCAAGTTGTAAATGAATTGATGTAGTACTAGAAACGATGTTAGACACACTTTTGCGTCCAAGGTATGTTAAGAATATAATATTGGATGTATGGGCTTACCGTTAGACATGATTCTTCGCCATTCCAGCTACCCGGCAGGTAGACGTATAGCACAAGTGCCATCTCATTGATAAAACCTGCTCATATGAAAAGCCATATCAGTCATAGAGTCGAGAACGATTTCAGTATCAGAATAGGCATAACTCACAAGCAACTACCTTTGGACTTAGTCTGCCAACACTCAATACGCGACTCCAATCTTTACCATCAATGCGCACTTTGGCCCAGCCAGACTCATCATCTTCACCTGCCTCTCGCATTCGCTCACTGGGAAGTTGCGAGTACTGGTCCTGTCTGATGTGCGCGGGGTCTAAGGGCGGATTAACAAGACCAGACCAAACACTAGCTATGCGCAATTCATCAGTGGCGATTGCCAATCGTAGCTTCCCATGCATATTGGCTGATAGTTCCAATTTAGGTGATGAATTGGTGCTAGTGCTGGAGGCATTGAAGGATGTGTGCGAATTTGCAGCCACAGCCACAGCATTGGGTTCTCGGCTCTTTGTATCTGAAGAGGCTAGCTTCGTAAATCGGTCGGAAATACTCTTCAACTGTGCTAAACCTGGCAGAATAATGTGTACCTCTGGATCGGGACAATGTGGCTCGTGCAGACCCTCCACGCTGGATTCATGAAGAATTTTGATGGGGATCTCTTGGGTAATCCATGTTTCGCGCTCTCTAGCCCTGCGATCCCCAACCACATCGCTCGTGGTTGGGTCTCGTTGAGTGTCGGTAGCAAGGGCCATATTGCCTTCTGTCCATTCAGTTGCAAGCACTGTTAGAGCGAGAAGGGGCATTTTATCTTTCTTAGTTAAGCGCAATTGAGCTGATGAGGCTCCAAATGCGGAGCGGAGGGCACGGTTCAAGACACTCATATTGATTTCGATGTTGATGGCATCTGAGTTGGACTCTAATTCGTATGTAGATTCATCAAATATTGTGTCCTTAATGGATGGTCAGCTTGAATGTTCCAATGAAGCATAATGCAGGATATCTGGCACGTACAACCGGGATCTGTGCCCATACTTGGGTGCCTTGGTCCGGGATGACGGTGAAGCGCACCACGTCTTGTTCGAGGCGCATCCAACATATCTTGCCCAGAGACGAGAGCGAAGCAGTTAATTCTAGATCACTTAGCTAGGATCAGCAAAGAGAGTATGTAATACTCACTGGAAAATGTCTTTGTATTTTTTAATTGTGCTCTGAAACGCATCGTGTCCTACTGATGTGTTGAAGAAGGTTGCAGAGTTCTTATCGCTATCGTTATAAGCATCGCGTCCAACGCGCAATGGTGGTTCTTAATCTAGTACATCCACTCCACCGCCCGCTATTTTTCAATACTGATTTTATTTATCCTTCACTGTCAGAGCTGCAACAACAGCCGCTCTAAGCATGATTCATCTTTAACTGAGTTGAGTGAAATTAACTCCAGTTCTTCGGGCGGTCAATACCTTGGGCAGCTCGGCCCTTCAAATTCTACTCTCATCTTGTCGATAATTTGGGTGAATTCTATTTCTGCAACTGGTAAGAAGCCTCAAGTGGAAGCTCCTGTCTCAGACGCGTGATACCTAGGTATCCTAACCACTGAGAGCTTGCCTTGTTTGTACTGTTTAATGAGAATGAGTCGCAGTATCTTTCCGATATATATGTTGGATACCATCTTCCCACGTCAGGCTGGATGGATACTTTAGCTACCTGATAATCGAAGGGTGTCAGGGGTAATATTTGACGACGATTGTCGAATGCGCCATACTCAGTGTTGATGGCGTCGTCTGGCAGTCCGAGATACTTTAACTTAGCAACAAATCGGCATTTCTCCATGTTGTGCTGAAGAAACTTCCGACTTTTCCGGGTGGATCAAGATAATTCGAGAGCGTTCCGGTTGTATCGCTGACGAGGGCAACAATTCGCAGCAGTTCCTGCATTTGATTTATCGAAGTCAATTCTCTTTGGTCTTCCTGAATGCTCACATTTCTATCAATTGCTTCATGTAGCTGGGCAACAACATCAGATCCTATCACCCCCAAGATCTTGGAATGTTTTGCCGGGGTAATGACCCTGGTGTTAGCATATATGAAGCCGGGTGCAGGTACAATTTACGTGACACCCACTATATCACCCCCTTCGGCTGTGAACAAGTCTTCAATTTCATTCATATGGTGGGTCGAATGTTCCTGTATAGACTCCAGGATCTCCGACCGATAGCGAAATCCTGTAGAAGCCTTTGCTTGTGGGTATATTTCGGTTCGTATTAATTTCCGTTCAGATTGGGAAAAAAGGCCCTAGCCTGGAGTCCACTATATTTATAGATTTGCCCCCTTTGCGGCCACCCAGGCACACCACTATGACCACATTGTGACTATGATGCTGAACAATATGGTATCAGAATTGATAGGAGCAGAGGTTCCGTTTTAGTTCCATGGCTCAGCAGTTCAACTCATTTATTAAAACTAAAAAACGTGTAGGTAGCTTCTTTTAAGGTTCTAGCTATATCAAACGTATGATAGCTACCTAGATTAGTGAACTACTAGTGAAGACTAGCTACCTAGGTGTACGTCGATAATTAGCCCTACCTAGGTAGAGTGTAGAAAGAACGACATCTCGTCTTCAGGCTTCTTATTTAAAATGGAATACTAGGTAATCTGAAACCATCCTAAGAAGATAAGTTCTCCTATCACAACCGTGCAGACGCCCCTATAAATCGAGCTCGACAAATAGCATGGCGGATCGCCGGATGAACAGGTCCACTTTAATCCGTGCCCCTTTTGTCTCCACCATATCTCCAAATAGCTTCTAGCATTTATTCCGACTATTTCCATATTCCTTTTCTTTCCAGTCTTTCATTTTATATTTTATTTTGATTTCAATTCACTCCTTTTATTTTCCCCACGTCATTTGGCATCTCCGCTTCTCCACGTACTTTAGTGGGACACTGGCGCCCGACTCCGTGTTTCCACACGCTTGCAGCCTCACTATTGGAGAAATTTGATACGTCCCAGGGTGCTCCCACTTCAAAATTTCCTACTGGCTTCTTGTCTCAGCATGTGGACTCAACTGTCCCTTCGTCCGTTTCCAGTTTTGAAAATAACCTCATGCTACTCGGATTCTGTGGAAGGTCATCCATCCCTGTGAAGCTGATCTGAGCAAAAAAAAAAAAATATAGAGCATCATTCGGGATGGCAAACAGTCAAATAAACCGAATCAACCCTCTTCGCCCCTCCATTCGCCTTTCTCCCGCACATTCTCGTACTAATTCTCGATCTACTTCTCCGGAACGCAAAAATGGTTTTTTATTCGAGAAAATCGACCCTTTACTCGGCAATCTTTCCGCCGAATCGACCTTAAAAGCCCTTACATCCATCGATGCCGTAACATCCAACGAAAAACTCTCCCATGATATTCTATCCAAAAGCATTGCTGAGGTTTCGCCTTCTGAACGCGCATTAGGAATTAGAGCGGCTATAGCTGGTCGCAACCTGAACTATTGGTTGAAGGAAGTGCAATCTTGGACATGGCCAAACAAGACCGAGGCGAAGGAAGGTAAGGGCTTCGTACCACCGACAGATCCAGAGTGTGGTGAACAGTCTGGAAAATCAAACCACTTGTTGCCACCAGGCAGCAACGAAATCGAATATTATGGAAGCTTGCCAGCAACGCTGGTGGAGGAGTATGAGAAGAGGATCGAAGAAATTCGGGATGAAATGGATAAGTTAGATGTGGAGGGGCTGAAAGAACATGTTTTGAACGCCCACATTCCATCTAGGTCTCGCCCTTCCTCCTCAACCAGTGACATGTCTACGCCTCCGCCACTCAGTTACGTGCAGCTCAGCGACTTTACTGCCGTCATCACCGCTATCATCTTACATGCGCTACCATTCTTATCCAGACTGGCTAGTCTTTTGACAACTTGGGATGTTCGACTACTGGTTTTGCGCCAAATACCTGGTCTGCTACGAGAGTTGAAAGCGCTACGCTTAGCCCTAAATTCCTCACTCAGCGCAATACGAGATATACAAGATTCCAAATTGGCCGAAGACGGGCAACCGATTTTCTCAAAGGCATATCTGCAGGATGAACATGTCAAGCTCGAGTCGGCCGTCTTTGCAGTTGGCAGACGCATGGATAGTGCTTTGGATGCTTTGGAAGGACGCCCAGATTCACTGCCTGAAAATTGGATCGACGATCTCGAGCGTATTGAGTCCGACTTTGCGGAATGGGTAGTGGAAGTCGAGAGATACAATCTCGATACAGAGTGGCTGATTGCGAAGGAACAGGCGAAAGCTCTGGAAGCTCGCGATAATGCTGAAAAGCAGCTGCAAGATTCAACTGAAGGGTCTTCAGATTTCTTACAAACTGAAACAGCGGATTTGGATACTATTGAAGAAGAGCCCAGGTGCGAAGCGAAGATTGTACGGGAGAGAACCACTGCAGAATCAGAACCTGGGAACGATTCTTTAGTGTTTTCTCAAGAGAGCGACTCGATAATCCTGATAGGTGACGCTTCGCTCAGCACTGATAATAACAACGATCGGGAGCCCAAAGTTTTAGCCAAAGAAATCGGAGAAGTTACCGAGAGCCAGCCAGAAATTGAGGCTCCTCGGGACTTGAAAACTCCAACGCAATCTCATCATCCACAGAACTCACCAGTTGAAACTCCACTGCGGCCATTACGGCTTTCCACGCCCGAGCCGCCAAAAATCGAGTATCAAGAAACCTTATCTCCAAATTCTTTTGTCGATCAGGCACCTAGCCTCGACTCAACAGCAAAACTACCTACAATGGATATCATCGACGACCCGTTTGTTGCGGAAACCTTTATTGGCAGCGATGCGAAACTTGAGCACACATCGCAACTCGATGATCCTATCGATTTCTTTTCCCCAAGCGCCACTAGCCAAGAAAGTTTGAAACCCAGCAAAGTGGCTGCAATGATTGAGAAGTTTTCTCTATCACCCAGCCCGAGAACAATTCTGGCAACGACACCAACTCCTGAAGCTGCTCGCTCCATTCCCGGCAGGTCAAGGCAGTCTAGCATCCCTCGGATGCTCGGCCTCCAGTCCCCGGCAAGCGATGCTTCGGCCAAAAAGCCCGATCTGCATGGTTCTAGATGGGAAACACTGACAAAGTCATCCGCTCATCAACCAGCTTCGATCAAGTCTACATCTTCGGACGCCGTTCGTGCCACATCTGATTTGACCAAAGAGAACACACAAGAGTTGCCAGTCCGTCGCAAAAGGAAGCCATTGCAAAGTCCAATAAAGCTTTCCAAAACACGCCCAGCAAAGCTGAAAATTGAGAATGTTGCACCAATACCTCGACCACGTCGGTCAACTATGGGGTCTGTAGGTTCGGACTCGGACAACAACCCTCTCGTATTTAGTCCTGAGAATCCCGAGCCCCTGACCAGTTCATCGAATGACACGATGCCTCTGACGCCCTCTCTTTTGAAGTTCCGCCAACCGACATCCATTAAATCACATGGCGATCATACGCTTCGAGAAGACCGTCTCCGCCGATTGGAGAGCGCCAAAACTTCGGATCAAGCATCCTTCAATCTTCACTCAAATCGCTCTGTGAGCCTGCCTCTCGAAAGGTTCATTAATGAGAATATGAGATTGGATTCGGTCGATCGATCCCCGGATACACCGACCTATGAGCCATCTATGAAACCACCAGGCGTGGCAAAATCACATCGCGGTTCCTCTTCTATCAATTCTTCGCATGTCCTGCGTCCTCCTAGCCGCCTCCATGGACTGACCCGCCAAAAGTCTGTGACAGACTTGAAAGATGGCCGGCAAACTTCAAGGCCTGCGGATCACGATGCAAAGATATTCGGCAGCAACACTGCACGTCGAGCTATGCAGCACCATGATCAGCCAAAATCTGCTCGCTTGCGCCAGCGCCTGACCCCTCACCGTAGCCTCGAAAGCTTGGGGATGAAGAGACAGGAACTTGCATATGTTGAAGAGGAACGTACAGATAATGGCTCTGGCTCGCGCGTCTCCTCGCCGTACAAGCAGCCTAGAAAACCAAGAGATCACATTGATGAGAAAATCAGCTCCATCCTGAGCACTCTTCAAGGCCAGATCCATCTCGTCGACCCTCACAACTACCCTGATACATCTTCTTCCTCTTCTTCTGATCGAAAAATGCGGGAAATAAACTCTGGGTCGCCGCGTCCGCCATCCCGCAGCTTCACGCCTGCACCTTCCCTAACTCTCACCGCCGCCTCTCCACGGCGGTACTCACACACTCACAAGATGGAAGATAGCTATGTCAAGCTGTATCATCTCCACCATGGCGGAGAGTCAGCACCTACGAAACTTTTTGTGCGCACGGTAGGAGAAGATAATCAGCGCGTGATGGTCCGTGTCGGTGGTGGATGGGCTGATCTGGCCGAATATTTACGTGAGTACGTCATCCATCATGGCCGCCGTAAGATCTCAGAAACACCTCGTGTCGAGATCCAAGGCCTGGCATCTCGGTCACCAAGCTACTCTTCCCCAGTCACTCACACATCTGGCCGAGCTACCCCCTCTCAGCCTCCATCTCGAGCTGTATCCCGGGCTGCATCTCGGGCCGCCTCGGTAATGAGTGTCCGCCCACCTTCATCTCTCGCCATTCGCAAGGGGAGACGTGGGTCCAATATATCCGACGTAGTGGTTCCGAGATCAGTCACGACGGGAACTTTCAACTCCGCCTCAACACCATCAATGGCTCCCAAGGGTCGACGTCTCTCCGTCCCATCAGGCTCATCTCCCTTTATCCACGCGCAATCTCCCTCCTACACTCATACATCTCACGAGTCCCAACCCACCCCTCTGGGTCTAGCCGGGCCCAAACCACGTTCGCGACGACTGTCAATGAGCCCAGAGGGCGAGAAGTGGGTAGCAGATGTTCTTGAGAAAACACGTCTCTCTACCAGACCTTTTGCACTCAGCTCGCCACCCGCCAACGACGACGTGAACCCGTATGATCTTGACTACTCTCTCCGCGGCCATTCCCTCCCCAAAGTCCGCAGCATCGGAGATATTCGATACAACTCCGGAAGCACAAGAGTCTCGCTGAAGGGCCTCGGTAATCACCGCTAGAAAACGCCACTTCTTCTCATCTTCCTAAAACCTACATTTGTTCAATTCTTCAAAAGTTTCACGATATAGCGCATTCTGATATGCACCTTTCGGGCTTTTTATCTGTTCTACTTTCTTGACATTTTGTTCTTTTTAGGAGAATTCTAGAAAGATTATTTGCATCAGCGTGGCGAATTTCTTTTTTATGAATCGGCCAATCTTTGTCTTAGCTATATTTTTGTTGTTTTTCTTTTTGATATCCTCATATCCATCCATGGATATTTTCATTTCGTGGTTGCGTGTTTTACATAGCTCTGCCTTTTGGTCGATATTTTGTCGATATTTCAATCTATACATGTGCATACCTTTTGAATATACGAAATGGTGCTGATCTTGTGGCTGTAGGCGTGCTTTCCCAACGGCTCCTCTAACTATATCACTTCCATGGTTCCCTCGATAAGGTTTTCCATGTGGTTTTGATAATCCTGACTTTGTTCACTACAAGGATGATAGCTCTATTCGGCTCACATTCGCGCCTGAATCTGCTCTTTCTTTCGCCCTTGCCTTCACTATAACATTCCCAAGATTTCCTTTACGTTCTCCTTCACTTTCTCATTCAACCTCCTTCACCCTCATGGACTGTTCCATCCTTCGATGATTATTGTCACTTTACATTCATTCATTCCTCTCGAGAATTGAAATATTCATTCCTTGCTGCTTGTACTCGAATGCTTCAACTTCTGAATGCCCTGAGCTGCTTCAAAAAGGGATATTGCAGGTATTCAGGTCCAAGTCCAACCATTGCAGGCTGATATATTTCCCCAATCAATTACTCTTCGATTTTAATAGAATATCTGAATGAGTGAATCATCCGCCACTCTCTCCCACGGCGCACATGGTCCCAGGTGCACCGTGACATGATAACTACTGTGTACTAAAATTCCAAGCTATATTCAGCTTATTATTCCACCTGACTTTGGCCTTATGCAACGAACAATGACGCAGTTATCAGAGACAAAAAAAAATGAAAGTGAGTCTTCAGAAAGATTCATCTATGTCTGCGGACTAAGAAGACTCAGATATGGAGGATTATAAATGGACCTCGGTATCGAAAATTTAACTCCACCATACTGCACAACCTCTCTTCTCTACCCATAGCCAACAAGGGCTATCAAGAAAGTAATGAAAAAAGTGTGAAAGTGATAAAATCACAACTTTGGAATTAAACATTCCCCAGCCACCTAAGATGGCAGCTAGAGATAAGCTGACTGATAGTTTTCAGTCACCAGCCTGATCATCTCAGAGTCCTCTTCATTGATATTCAGAGAATTTCAGCATGGATAGAGCCCGATTAGGGCTTATCAAGCCGATGCGTAAGGATGAAAAAGAAAGAAAGAAAGAGGAAAGAAAGAGGAAAGAAAGTGCAGAGGTTTTCCCACTTATATCCCGGCGGGGCACAGCGTAAAGACCGACACGGCGATAATCTTGATGACCCGTGAACGACATCATGCGTTCAAAGTTCAAGGAGGTCATATATGATGTATATGGCATTGATGTGGTAAAAGTTAGCCTTGGTTCAGTATGAGATGACTTGGTAGATTCATCTATATGTCGCAGCTCAATGTTGTATCTCAGATATCATATGTGGAGAAGGCTGCATGCAATAAGCAGGGTCAATGGGGAAGTGCCAGCAGGATTTCAGAAGCGTAAGAAACCCCTAATTGATTTATATTCATCGGAAAAAAGAGTATTAAAAAGGTGCACAGTCGGTTTCGAACGCCGGACCCCCATGTTCAGCAAAAAGGAAATAACCTCTTAACACTCTAATTAAGGCCGTTTAGTAAAAAAAAAAAATTGTAGCTTCTCTTTGATTGAGCGTGTCATCCTTAGTGCAGGGGCCATGCTAATCTTCTCTGTTTTTGCTCATCTGACCGGGTGTCTCTAAAGACATAAGTTGAGTCGAACTTGTGGATTATATACCCTCTTAATGTTCTGCTATATGATACCGCTTTGAAGGGCGGTGGTGAATTCCTGATTTACAGACTGAAAGCGGTGTCTGTTTTACTTCATCTCACTACATCTACGTCTACAATGTGAACCTTCAGGTGGAACCTATATGATAGTTAAGCTGAAAGTAAAGTCTGCTCAAGTAGAATTTATAATATATTCCATTCCCTGTCCTAGCGTAGAATTCGTGCATGTCTTCTTTGAGTGCTGCAATCTTTGGTATGTTGCTACTAGTCTACAACAAGGTTTTGGCAAACCCCAGAAGGTCCATGAGTTATATACCTATAAAAGCTAAGTGCCAGCATTGTTACAGCCAGCCTGAGCCAGGTAAGGAATATTGAAGCCTTGGTCCTTGAAATGAAGAGTGAAATTATCAATTTAGGCACCAATAAATAACGAAGTACCAGGATGACTAGGCATGTAAATATCTACCTAAATGTATGTACTTCTGTTCCCGAGGCCATACAACCTTGGAACATCGAAGAAATAGTTAAAGGGACACTGTCATAAATTCTGTCTGAGATATCTAGATAACAAAAACAAAAACCAAGCAATCGCTGGAAACATAAAATCTCAGCTGAACACAAGAACGCTCGTCAAATCCTCGCTCCTTCCAACATTCAAAGGAAGGGGCCCAGCCCAAACAGCCTAAGAAATATAGCATAATAAATGAGTGAACAGTACAATACAGGAGAAAACTATCAGAACCACGACAAAAAGCTAACTTATGCCTGCAATTGGCGCCATTGAAAAGCCAGTGTCAGTACCACTAAAAGATGAGGTATTTCAAGATGGAGTCTGGCGCTTCCATGGAATATCCTTTCTTAAAAGCCCCCGTAGCTCTGGGGAAATAACCTTTGGTTTATCAGCATCGAGGATTTTCTGTAAAGCTGAGGAACCGGTGTTCACGCCAGTGCTGGCACCGACTGTGGCTTGCTGTGGAGCCTTTCCCTTTCCAGTGCCAGAGTCAGAGCTTGTACCACGAGTTGGGTGGCGTTGCATCGCAGTTGGTGCTGCGGGGAAATTATCCTTCTTGTCAATCGCCTGCACAGAGCGCTCGAAGCGGTGAAAGAGAGATTCAGCTCGAGTAAGAATGGGTACCAGCTCCATTGTGTTCGATAGCTCATTAACTAGCACCAAGTCAGTATAGAAACCCTCAAAACAAAATGTAAAACTTACTGTATTTCAATACTTCGTCAAAATGCTTCAAATGATCCATAATGACATCACGATGCTTCTCAAGAATGGCGAGGGCAATAAACAAATGGAAACTGCTAGAGAAGTAGTCTGTCCACAATGTTTCCCAAAGACGGAGAACGTCGGTCCACTCAAACTCGCGCTTGTACCAAACTAGCAGCATGCGGAAAAAGAAAAAGAAGTTCGTGCTGTCAGCCGACTGAAGATGCAGATACAGTTGGGGATCCATTAGCTGGACAAGGTGGTCCAGGGCCTGGAGTTGTGAGCGCATCCCGGACTGATCACGGAGGAAATTTTGCTCCTAGTATAAATAATTAGCGCTAGCTTACTCCAGATATCAAATCAGAGACTCACCATTCGATCCATGAATCCAACGAATCCCCAGAAAGCCACCGCATCATCCTGCATGACAGCGTATAGAGGAGCCAAAAGATCGCTCATGCCTTGCACGTAACCCAAATCTGGGTTATACTCATTGTATGTCAGAAGCATGTCTTTCATCTGTTCAAGATGCACATTTGTGCCAACATCTGCAAATGGGGAGTCTGGATCTGGATGAGGAGTATCTTCTCCGGCAAACAGCGGAATTGTACGATCGGTGCGGTGAACATCCTTCTCTGTGTGGGGGTTAGTTGGCGACCATCAGGAGGGGAGCATTTGTGATTCTGACCTATCCGATTGCGCTGCTCTTTCCAGTTTTCGTGCTCCTCTGCCGTCGAATTTCCCTCGACTAGTCGTTCCCACCAGCCTGCTTTCAAGCGAATATACTCATCCCGTTTGGAATTCATCATGGCTTGGCGTTCTTCACGACTGCTATCCCAGGGATACACACCAAGAAGAAATAGCCAAGCCTCTTTTCGTGCACCATCATTCGGGTCTAGGCCTCCGTGGAAAATGCGCTCCTTGACCTCTTCAACCGTTACTTGCAGTCTTCCCGATATCGGGTCAAAAAAGCCCTCCCACTCCGACATTGTAACGATACGCCGCCGCTCTTGAATGCCAAGATTCCCAGATTCGAGCTCTAGGATCTCAAAATCCCCCACAGAACTATTTTCAGACTCGAGAACATCTTGCGCCGTCCAAATGCGCTGATTTCGCTCTTTCTCGCTTTGCTCAGCGATGCTCATGGCCCACCGTGCAAGGTATATTCTGGCACTGTCGAACTCGTCTTGAAGAGTCTGGATCTCAGGGTTCTTCATCAGACGTCGCATTTGTGGTGGAATTATTGGGTTTTCGGCAATATCGTTGGCGGTCTTTCTCGTGAACGTCGTGATCTTGCTCAACTGCTCAAGGACTTTCCACCTTGTCTCTTTGAGTGTCTTCATGAAGGGATCCATAGTGGCATCCCCACTCCCGTGTGGCCCTGCAGATGCAGTTTCGGGCTGTGTTTTATTCACGGTCGTGTTTCCTGCACCAAAGGACAAGGAATCTTCCTCTGAAGGGTTGATCAGATAGACATTTGTGTCAACCGCTGATCGTTGTACTTCGACGTAACTTCGCAGCCACCGTAGTACTTCGTCGCCACCCCAGAATAAACCGCCTTCAGTACCGAAAGGGTCAAAGCCTTTTATTAACTTTTTCTTCTGTAGTATTGTAGATTCACACTCGCTATCGTGGAAGAACAATGCGGGGAAACTATCACCTGCACGAGTGTTGATCACGACACTTCCGAACCACCACCCCAAGCTTGGAGGACGCACTAAGAGAGAATATATTTCCGATACTGGGATAGCGAATGAGTATAGACCAACAGGATCGCGGTAGGTGGTGGTTGTCGGAAGCGGCGGAACAAGATATCTCTGCTTTGGTGTAAATGAATCATCCGCAAGATCAACTTTCACGTAGGTACTATAGGCCTCGCCGAGTGATGCTTCGGGTACCCAGGCAAGGTGGTATGATGATGCGTCATTGCGGGAAGCTGATGGGGGCGCTGAGCCGTTAGGTGGAGGCTTCTGTTGAATGAGGGCGATAAAACCAGGGATATTATCCTTTGCTGATGGGGTAGGATGGACGTAAACCTTTGTTCTCTGTCAGTTTCTAGTGCTTTTCAGCTTGCTGCCGAGGTCTGCAGCTTACTTTGCTTTTGGTATAAAGCAATTTCACGCCACGGCCTGAGCTTGCATGAGCGATGGTGTTATACTCGTCTTCATCGTCATCACTCAGGTCATAGAATGAAGCTGTTGGTGATGGAGGAGAGGGAGGAGGTGTGTACTTGGCAGAGCCCGCCATGATGGATGTTGGTGAAAAAGAAATGAAGAGTGAGGCGTTGAAGACGTAATGATCTGTGATAAGATAAGGACCCCTCTTCCCACTTACACTTACTCTCTTAGTCTCAACTTTAGTTCAACTTCGTTTAGTTCGGTATTGTTTTTGGTCGTTGTTGCGTTACTCTACTGAGTCTATTACTTATCTTCTTGATACTTGTATTTTGTTTCAAATCATTTTATCCGGCGGCCTTTTCTTACCGGTGCGGTTGGCTATACGCCTAACGCCTTCCGTATATATTCGCCACTATGGACTCCAGGCAGCAACAAATAGACGGAATGGAAAACCAAGTATACCTTATCATCTAGGCGGTATTTTACTTAGCACATAAGTATCTCCAAATATAGTATAATCATGCCATTCCCGAGTCCAGAGTGGTCCACTAGTGTGTGGGCATAGGTGGTTATAGTTGACAGCGTTTTCGCCCCCATAATCAGGTGTCCATATAACTCTGGGGAACATCACCTAATTTAGGTCATTTCTAAAGTTATATCTACATCAAAATACCGACTCTATCTATTTTCCTACTTAGATAGGTACTGTTCCACTTAATCCACTTGAGATTAAGAGTCCTGGAGTGAAGTAAATTAAGGTGATTATGTAAAATTGATATAGTTCAAAACATGATGTCGTTTGAATCTCAACAGAAAACACGCGTTGATATGATAATTACGTCTTCCAGTAGAATCTTCTCATCATTATTTGCTCTCCACATAATATCTTCTTTTCATAAAAGCCATAAGCAAATTATTGAGACGGGAAACCATCATGGAAATTCAGCAAGAAATGAATCTAGGAAGCGTCCCTAGCTCTATCAATATCAACATACATCATCGCAATCCAAGTCAAAAAGTATGTGGAAAGGAAATAAATGTAAGGAGAGGATAACATCAAGGTGAGCATTCATACTCGAGTGTAGTAAAAGGCGCGTAATAGACGAACTATACGGATACTCCGTACTGATGATCAAATATACGCAAATACGCTGTCATTTGTTTTCTTTCCTTTCGCATACACCCTCTCCCAAGGTCTCCCTTCAATAAGGAGTCAGAATGCTTCCATTCGTGGGTGAGATACTAATTGAAAGTCTCCCACGGGCTTTGAATATTCTGATCTGCCTAGGAGGAGATGGAAATCTGCTTAGTGCTGATGTTTTCCCTTCAACAGCAATGAGGGAGCCTGTGGAGCTCACTTTTCCACTGATGGTTCTCGCCTTTACCCATTATTTTATTTCGAGCTTGGTTAGTTTCTACTCGAGTTCTTCCTCTATTGATTGAGTCAACTGACTAGGATTTATTTTGAACCAGGTTCGCTATCTTCTTGGAAATATAGCAGTGACACTTTTGATTCTCTGGATTGCTCGAATGGATGGGTCTCTCGAAGGCGAACCCAAAGGTACTGTGGAATTTCGACACGTCTTCAGGACCATACGCCATTTGTATGATAGTCATACCCTTTACACGCTCACTCGAGCATTTGTATTGGCTACGATTTATCACTTTCTTCATCTCGAGATCAGAGCTTTTCTAGAAGAAGACTTATTCAATCAGCACATGCTACTGAGACCGTTCGCATTCGCCGGCTCCTCAGTCCTTCTATGCGAGCTCCATATGTTCTGGACTTGTGCTACAATTTCAGCATCTCGACTTCCACACCCGATCTTTACCAAGGCCTGGTACAATCTAGCAACTCCTAGCTTTCTGTACGGAATGTCCCAGTTCTTGATGTACCAGATGCAGACTTCGATGGAGCTCAGCGCATACATGAACAAGCCCGCCCTCGTTACGATTGTGAGAGTGATAATTCTGCTTGTACTCCGTGTGTTTGCTTTACTTCCAACGACCATTGCCGTCATAGTTACCGAAACAAGCCTTTTGCCAGAGAACTTGGTTACTATCATTCCGTCTCGGACCAAGCCACGTGGAATCACAGTCGCAGAGCTGTTTGGAGGAACCAGAATCCCTCGAGGCTTTGATGCGTTCAGTAATGCATCAAAAGCTTTTGGCAAAAATCAGTATCTCTGGTTGATGGAGCTCCACCTGAAGAAATGCTTCATTCAGTCTATTATCGAGTTAGTCACTGGTCTGCCAATGATGGCGTTTGGTGTTTTCTATTCTCGAAATTGAGAATTTTGGGTAATGTTGGATCTGAGGGTCTTCCTTAAGGCTGCAGCAGCTGATTTATGAAGCCCTCGTCGATGTAACAGTCTACAATCGTTATTCATTCATTGGTTCTTCCTAATATCAATACCAATTAGTGACTACATGTAATCGTCGAGTTTCATTGGAAAATTAAGATTTTGTATATTTGGGTTTTCAACTTCGTAGCATCTATGGCATTGAGGAATGAACCACTTCCTCTCATGCGAGAATTGTAAAATATTAAAACACATTTATTCGAACAGGTCAATCATCGGGTTGAGTTCTTCGGGGAGAAAAAAGATCATACAATAGGAAAGAGAAAATGAGAATGGATATACTCAGCTTTCTTAGCAGATCCTCGTAAACAGTTAGTTAATTAAAAAAAATATATCAAATGCAAGGCTCGAGCGGAGCCTTTCATTGAGTCGTCACGTCGTATGCATGCATTAATGGATCTCAGCAAGACCAATTTATCAAGAATTAGTCTCTTCGTCATCTGATTTGAGAGCCTCGTCGTCCCCATTGCCCCAACCCCCAGTCGACTGCCAGCCCTCGGCTTCAAGTGACCGGCCACGAATTCCAAAGCTCATGAGGAAACCAATCAACGAGATGATGGCAAAAAGTCCAAATGCCAATGCTTCTCCCTTCGGCTGAATTTTAGATGTCAAGGAGAACAGACCACCAGAAAGGAAAGGACCGACAGCACGACCAGCGGCGGACAGGGTCTGTGCGAGACCATTTAAAGCGCCCAACACGGCATGGTTGGGAGCGGTGTTGGTGATCTATGAATTATTAGCCTAGATATTTCTCGAGTGTAGAGCATGAGATCTCACCAGAAGTAGAGCACTAGTCAAGCCACCGACGGAAGCAATAGTCTTGACCAATAGCACAAAGCAGATTTCCGCAGCCATGAGCGCTGACTTGCGGGTCATCCCATCTTCTGACTCGCTCTTGTAGCCCACAAAGGGCACGAGAAGAAACGAGATGATAAAACCAAAAAGACCTGCACGGTATGACCACTTGTTTCCCATCTTGTCACGCAGACGATTGAAGACACAAATCTGGAAAATGATTGTGACCACCCCAGCGAATCCCTGAGCCAAGCCGATCTCGGATGGTGTAAGATTGCGTCCGGCAGGAGGGCTTGCTTGTGCAAAGATTGGGAAAAGAGAATTGAACGAGACATTGCATAGAGCAAAGATCAAATAGGTCAGGAGAAGGAAAATGGTGTCACGAGTAAAGATGTCATCCCATGTGAGTTCATCTGCACTATTGTATCGTGTATTTGATACTTCGGATGCAGAGTCTAGGTCACTGTCGTGATCATCGTCCTCGGTGTTATGGTGTTGGAAGGAAGCAGAGAACGGGCTTACCTGCGGTGCACGCACGTAAGTGGGTTGTCTCGCAAGGCCAGTGAATTGCCACAGCCAAGTGAAGAGACTGCGAACCTTCTTTCCAATATCTGGGAGAGTAGCTGCATCTTCCAAGCTTTCTTCTAGAAACATAGCAGTCAAGGCGAAGTCCACCAAGAGAATCACGGCAGAGATGATATTTGGTGCAAGATACGGGTATGTGCTTTTATTTCCAGTGAATGGATTGCGCTGGAAGACAAATAGACCACCCAGAAGTGGACCCGTAATACCTCCTATGCCATAGAGAACAGGCAGGTATGTAAAGGCCTTAGACTGGTTGCTGCGGTCAGTAATCTCGCCTAGACAGGTAGAGACCAAGCCTTGGTTTCCATTGACCATACCCATCAGTGCCTGTACCAGAATAGCTTGCCAGAGTGTATGGCAGAAACCAAAGGCAACGAAACACAGAGCGGTCAAAAGGGTACCGAGCAAGATCACAGGCTTGCGACCGACCTGGTCTGACAACCAGCCCCAAAAATAGTTTGTTGCCAGCTGAGCTAGTGCAAATGCCGATGCAATAGTTCCCACGTATACACCTACTTCGCTTGACTTTACTTCAGGAAAGGTCGATGCCATGTCCGGGAGGTACGGGCTAATAGAGTTCAGAGCCGTCTGCTCAGCCAAGGCAATGATTGCCAATACAGCCATCTGCTTCTTTGGCAATGGGGAGGAAACGTGAGACGATTGGTCATTCAGGTCATCATAAGAAAGATCAGCTGATGATTCTGACTGGCCAGTGTTCGGGCGCCCACGCGACTTGGGAGGCGGAGTATCAAATGTTTGATAGTGTTGAGTGGACGACCGGCGACTCAGGCGACGCCGATCTTGTGCCATTTTGACGGCACACCACGAATATAAAGTCTGGAATTTTTTGTTGAGATGTAAGCTCAATGATTGACAACCCCGGTTGTAGGTGGTGTCGTATCCGCGGGTCGTGTACGAGCTTGTGGGGAGGAAGCTTAAAGCTTGCGAGAACCTGGAACTTATAGGAACCTGTAAGCGAAGTCACGGGATACAGTGAAACAGTGAATGAATGAGGTAAGCCCAAGCAGTTGATAAACCTGGTAAAGAAATTTGTAGAGAAGTCACAACCTTCGAGGAGAGTGTACTGCAAGTATAGATAAGGAATCGCAAGGACAGAAATGAGGTGCCTAGGCCGGGATGGTCCGGAATAACTAACTTCCGAGGGTTGAGCCTCACAAGGTGGCTAACCTACCTACTCTGTAGTAGTTAACAAAGGTTAGCAGAAGCTTGAAGCTTCCGAGGTACTTTTGAGCCTATCATAATTCAAATAACAGATATTATACTCCGTGCGTGTGTACTATTTTTTTTCAATTTCCAGGGCATAATAATTCTCATCCTATCGAATGGAAAATAAGCAGTGGCCATAGCGGCATATGACGTCACATCACATCAACACTACAGATTGGACATTTATACCCTTACCACTTACCTATTGTAGTGGAGACTAGGTCACCTAATATTAGTAGAGATTGTGTATTTAAGCATTCAGTTGATAGATGAGACCACCAGACCACCTTTACCTCTTGAGCTACCCCTTGGTTCTCCTTCCTTTCTCCCACACAGCCCCTAGAGGATGGACCCTGACTGCATCTACCATACTCCATGATTTGGCTAGGTTCGCAGACTAGCTAGGACGTCCCCATTCCCCGTATCACTATATAGGTGACTCATGACGTAATTTAATATATGTATTGGGCTCGCTTGGAGAATATTGAACGCTCGGCCTTTTCGGGCGAGGATTGGAAAATAGTGCGAAAAGCCCGAGCACCCTTCTCCCATCTAAAGAATACGGGAAATTGTTTATATACAAATAACGATTCTGTGAAGGAGATTCAATAGACATATAAATCTAGTTTTTTCTTCAAAACAAAAGCAAGCCAACCCTTAAGAGTATATTACATTCTGTGCTCAGTCAACTCTTAAAATGTCTACTCAACAAGTCTCGACCGGCAGGGCTCTGCCCAATTACTCCGAAGGACCAGATCGACTCGAAGTTGAAAAAGCAACTACAGAATTCCCAGAAGGTGGCACTAGGGCTTGGATGGTGGTTATAGGGGCATTCTGTGTATCTTTCTCAACTTTTGGATACATGAACGCTTTTGGGTGAGTTATAGACTGCTCAGCCCTATTTTTTGATTGATACGGAAATCTAATAGATGTATGACACAGAGTGTACCAGGATTACTATTCTGATCATTTTCTCTTCAACGAAACTGCATCCAGCATTTCTTGGATTGGGTCTGTGCAGGTCTGCTTTCTCTTTTCTGGTAGTTTTATTGGTGGGCCATTGTTCGACCGATACGGCGCTTCGGTAAGGACTTGAAATATTTACTGTTAGCAACAAAGATCATTTACTGAACATATTTTCCATGTTAGATCATTCACGTACCCGCAGTTGCCATCGTGCTGTCAGTAATGATGACATCTTTGTGTAAAAAGTATTATCAATTCATGCTTGCCCAAGGGGTTTTGGGTGGGATTGCTTCTGGCATGCTATTCGCCCCAGTCATGACATGTGTAAGCCACTACTTTCATAATCGACGTGCTGCAGCTCTTGGTATTACAGTCTCTGGATCTTCCATTGGGGGAGTTATATTTCCCATTGCCTTGAGCAAGATGCTCAGGAATAAATCCTTAGGATTTGGATGGTCAGTTCGAATTGTGGGGTTCATCATCTTATTTATGGTATTGATAGCGATGGCAACTGTAAAAGAGCGACTTCCTCCTCGTCGTGGTAAAGTTCTTTTGCCAGCAGCTTTTACCCATGCTCCTTACACTCTCTGTACCCTCGGTGTCCTCTTCATGATGTGGGGACTATTCACGCCATTTTTCTATCTCCCGCAATATGCACAGTCTCATGGCATGGAATCGGACCTTTCTTCTTACCTTTTGTCTATCCTCAATGCTGCCTCGTTTTTTGGCAGAATAATACCAGGAATGGCTGCGGATAAGATTGGTCGCTTCAACATCTTGATCATCAACGGTATCTGCACAGGGACTCTACTTTTGTGCTGGATAGCGATAACTTCAAATGCGTCAATTTTTGTCTTTGCAGGGCTCTATGGCTATTTCTCTGGTGGTATCGTGTCGCTGATGTCTCCTTGCATTGCTCAAGTGACCCCAAGTCCGGACCAGATTGGTACCCATCTGGGCATGTCGATGGCCATTATTGGCCTTGCTGGTTTGACCGGAACTCCGATATGTGGCGCATTGCTAGAAAGATACGGAATGTATACTCAGGCAGCAGTTTTCAGCGGTGTGGTAATGTTGTTCGGATCCGTTCTCGTCGCCGTGGCGAGGTTGCATCTACAGGCAAAGCTCTTGGAAATTTTGTGATCACATGTCGAGTTGCTTTTTATTTGATCTGTATTTGTTTACCAGTACTGACACCAGAATCTTGAAGTTATATCATGCTTTTAGGTGTGACATACTTGAGCAAAGATGATCAAGCAAGGAAGAAGGCAAAATCAGTACTATCACCCATGAAATCCAAATCCTCTGAAAACTATTCAATATTCGTCAGTGGGTGCCACAGAATTGAGATCATAGAAACCAATGACATACCATTGAACTGAGTAATTCAGTTGTGCCGTTGGGAATTATAGAGCTTGCATCCTCTGGTAAGTTAAGGCCACGTAGGCTTCCATTATCACTACGGCCAATCAATACGGATTTTGACGGCGCTTGTGGTGGAATACTCACACTGAGTCTAATACAGAACACTCTGACTGAGCGACAGCCCGCCGAGTCTGCATTATTGTGCAGATTCGGATCACTCTAATTGCTGCCTCCTTGTCGGATGTTGCGCATGACTCTGGCCACAGCTTGGATTTGACTAAACCAATTATCATACTGAGTATGTAATATTCATTTAAACCGTGAAATGTCACAATGATTCTCTTTTCCAAAATCTGTAGGACCTGCTCGACAGTGGTCAAGAAAAATGTGGAAACTTGGGGAAATATTGTGATAGTAGCTAAGTGGTTTAAAGCTTTCGATTGATTAGTTGAAATCGCTTCTTTCATGCACGAAAAGTTACAAGTGAAAAAGCGGGATTGTGTTTTTGCTTACCCTTAGGTTCAGAATTTGTGTAAATTTCATGGCAGATATTCAGTGCAGCAAGTACCAATCCAGTCCTGCAAGCTTGTTCCGGTACTTTCTCATCCTGTACAAGCCTGTGGTGATGGTCAAGAACCTTCAAGGATGCCCCTAACCTTGCACGTCGGCAGATTGTAGATTTGAATGAAGGAGGGTTTTGGATTGCAAGCTGGATATGCAACAAGAGTACATACTGGTGCAGGTAAATTTCCAGTGATCTCTTGACATACATAATAGTCTGCTGCTGTCGTGGATTATCTTGGAGATTACGCCATTCTGGAATGACCCGGAATGCCTCTTCCAGCTCCTCTTCAAGTTGCAAGACTCGGTCAAAATCACTTTTCTCACTTTTCTCGCGAGATCCATTGACAAACGCACATATTTTCAATCTGACAGTCAAAGAATGGTATAAAAGGGCCTGGAAAGAAGTGTTTGTCAATGTAGTGAGCGGCATACCTTTCAGGGGATCTTCGCCCAACTCCTGGAGATTGGCATCGTCGATATTCAGCGGTGACATTATGTTGAAATCCTCTGTTCTGACGCTTGGGGGCATCCCCCGTTCTATTGAGGCCTGGATATCGAGTTCAACGATCGTCATCCATAGCCGTCGACGCAACTCCCGATAGTATGGTGATATTCTCGCCGTTGAGTCAGGTTCACGGTGATATCCCGCTGCCATAGCCCACCGGACTAGTGACCCAGTGTACGTCCAGAAGGAACTCTCTTGAATGTAGTTTGCACGCTTCGCAATGAGCAGGAGACAATGAGTCGCCAATGTGTCCCAGGATTGAGGAGGCTGACTAGCCGAGGAATTGAGCCATGATTCCGCGGCCTTTAGCCAATCAAGTGTAAGGTCATGGACGGTTTGTTGGCTCATAACATCAATGTTTATTTCGGGATGAAAGCTTACAGCAGTTGCTGCCACCAAAAGGAACTTCACTAGAAAGGAAGCGGGCGTATAAAGTGGACTGACCCAGTGGTGATTGTAATCAGCCATAAAAGCCGATATATTGAGCACTCGATGTATGATCTCAAATCTATCAATATACGTCTGGACTAATAAGTCTGCGACCGGCTTTATGGGAATGAGTTGTCTTAAGGTGTCTTCAAACAAAGAATCATGTGCCAGCGGACGAAGCCGATATTCATCATTGGCCAGAGGATAAATCTCGTCACGAAGAGTATTGATGGCAGGATTTTTAGTCTTGATTTTAACGATATAGGACGGAAGTTCGGTAAACTATCACTATTTAGGGGATGCTTCATATCTGCTGAATGAGAAGGTATGGCGTACCTGTTGGTAAAAGTTCAGAGGATAGCTATAGCCATAAAATTTAGTGGTAGCCTCTTGTCCTTTCAAATGGGTCATTTTCGCATCACGGTGGGAAAAGGCCGGATGTCTTTCCGGCGTCTCTGGTAACGAGACGGGTGTCCGTAACGACGTTGTTATGGCACCAGTGCTCGCCGAATTGTCATCGCTGAGCATTCCATTCAAAGACGACGATACTGTTAGGTTTCCACGGTAGGTACACCGGTCGATATTTCCTGTCTTCGCGCAGCGGCTGCAGGAAGGAAACTCTCTTCCACATTTCAGTTTACGCTGATAGCACTGGAGACAGGCCAATGGGGGCCGTCTCTTCTTGACGCTTGGTTTGACTATGCGCTGTGAGCTGGTTGTTGCACGGTCCATCTTTTGGCTATAGATTGCTTCTGAAATTATTGGGGAGTTAACATGAGAAATCGCCGAACAGGAGCTTGATGCTGGTTATGCGTGCGGCGATTTAAGTGGTTCGGCAATTTCGGGCTCGGCAATTTCGGGCTCGGCAATTTAGACCGATTGAAGGCTTGGCGTTAATGTACGGAGAGTAAATACTGTAAATTTGAGCAACCTTATATCAACCAACACCAAGTGGTCTAGTGGAACTGGACTGTCTCATCTTCCTTGGTCTAGTGGTCATGATTTCCGCTTGTCATTAGCACCGATAAGCGCGGGAGACCGGGGTTCGATTCCCCGAGGGAGAGATTTCTTTTTTGTTCTTTTTCTTGTATCTCAATCAGCCTTACACTGCACACCTAGAGCGATATCGAAGTCCTAGGATATATAATTTCTACAATTTTTTTCCTTTTTTTTTCCAAACACACCCACTTAATTTTATACCAGAATCTTCCTTCCTCACGTCCTTAGATCCTTAGCAATCTGTGGTTTCCGTCAAGGTTTGTGTTTATAATTTGGCTCCACCTTCAAATTAAGCTCGGTTACCCAATTAGGAAGTGTGGAGCCGGAAGAAAATTTCTTTATTTGATGTCATAAGATGGTTCTCTTAATATATACCAGGCCTGCTGGCCCAATGGCAAGGCGCTTGACTACGAATCAAGAGATTGCAGGTTCGACCCCTGCGTAGGTCAATTTTTTGAAGTTTTTTTGGTCTTTTGGGTTTTTATCAGCTTTCTTTTTTGCTTCAGGAACCCTCGATAGGTAATAAGTGCAAAGGCCATCGTAGCTTTTTAATATGCAGGAAAAAGAAGATCGAGGTTGGAACAGTATGGCAAGTTTTTGAGTATGAATATTCAATGTAATCGATCATATGGATGCAAGGTAGTAGGTAAGAAATGCCTTCTCTGATGACCAGAACAGATTTATCAATTGATAGCAAAGAGCTGGTTAGAGGTCTAATTTTATTTCAAATCATCACTTCATCAAAAGGCTAACAGCCCATGGGACACTCAGTCCACGCAAGTCACCATAGTGTTGACCGACACCCAAGAAAACAATAGGTATACCGGTAGCATGAACCATGCTGACCAATGTGCCCACCATGTCACCCACAGTGTCACACTTGCTGATAATAAATCCGTCTAAATTTCTGCCCGAACCAAATGCCTGGTTGAAGTTGCGCGCCTGCATGACACTGTCTGTGCCAACCAGAGCCTCGCCAACCATGAAGATCTTATCCGGCTGAGCGAACTTGGCGAACTTCTCCAGCGAAGACATGAGTCGCTGGTCATTGTGGCGACGGCCGGCAGTATCGATTAGAACCACGTCGAATTTCTTGGCTGCAGCATATTCGACTGCATCTTTGGCGACATTGGCGGCGTCCTTGCCATAGCCCTTCTCATATAACTCGACCTCACCCACACTCTCACGGGAGCTGAGCTCGGTCAGATTGCGAGCGTGGACGCGAAGTTGCTCTACTGCACCAGAACGGAATGTATCACAGGCCGCGATGAGAACTCGGTAGTTGTTCTGGAGAAGGAAGAAGCAGATTTTGCTCAGGTTGGTTGACTTGCCAACTCCGTTGACACCAACAATAGACATAACATAGGGCCGCGAAACTTGCTGCTTAGTGGTCGGGGCTGTAACGGCATTGATCTCGCGTAGGAGATCCAAAGATGAGGTTGGAGTGAGAATCTTGCGCAAGGAGGATTCCATCGCAATCTGGAGAGCAGCATCAACGCTCTGGAAATTAGCCGTCTTTTTTCCAATCAATTCACGCTCTACTCCTTCGCAGAGACGGACGGCAGCCTCGCGAGCCACGTTTTTCTTCAGAAGATGATCCTCCATAGCCTTAAGTGGCTTCTGAAGATCGGCTGACGTAAGGACCTTGCCGCCGACAATGTTGCGGAGGAAGCCACCGATGGCATTGAAGCCCGAACCAACAACGCCAGAAGCAGCAGCGTCCTTGCTCTTGTCGGCGTCCGCATTATCCAGAATGTTGTGGACCTCATCGCCCAAGTTCTTCAGGACAAATTGGCCCTTTCCAGTCTTGTGGCCCCAATCTTCCTGAGAAATGGCATCTACTACAGGAGCGGCAGCGCTGGTATCATCAGCTGGGGCAGAGTAATCTAGTACCTCCCCGTTGTCCTCATCAGCATAGCCGTCAGCATCCCACTTGCGCATCTTTTTCGTGGGGGTCTTGGAAGCTTTTCCTTTGCGAGGGCTATCATCTCCAGACGAGGCATTGGTACTCGCATTTACGGCCTTGCGCGCACGACGTGAGCCGCGGCCACCAGGCCCAGTTTTTCCGGTGAGGAGGTGGTTTGTGACTGGGGTTGAAGATCTAGAAATATCAGGAGTTGCGGGTGGCGTGGCCTCATCAGAGGTTGCCCCGGCTAGCGCAGCTTGGTGCTGCGCTGTAATATTATTAGCATATGTTTGAAATTCAAGGCGAGTTGTGTGTCCTACGCTTCATAAGGCCAGGGACCGGCGGCGGCGGTGGGCCTCCATTGTCCGACAGCACAAGCGGGTCTTTCTTTTCGCTGATGTCTGCGATATGAATCTCTCCGACACTGCCAGTGTTGTCTTCAAGCTCCCGCACTTGTTGCTCGAAGTAAGGATCAAACTTGTATGCGGTGATTCTCGCGCGGCTTCCGTTCAATTGATCTTTGTATATGTCGATGAAGATGGTCGAGATGTTTTCCAGAAGCTTGTCGATCCAGCCCAGATGAAGTAGAGATTGATAAACAGCCTAAAAATATCGTGGTGAGTTTTGCGACACCCCACCCCACTGACCTGCGACAAACTTACCACAAATATCAAATTCAAATCCTTGACTCTCTTCCATTTGAGAGTGTATTTCTCCTTTTTGTAAACCGGCGACACCCCAGTCCCCGACATACTCTGTGGTACAACTTTCTCCTCGATAAAAACGTCGTTGATCAAACCATTAATCACATGGGTCCCCACTGGTGCGTACGACTTAGACCACAGCACCACACCAGAGGTAGTGAGAATTTCGAAAGCTTCCAGCATACTGTAATGTGATTGATGTAAAGGCGAAATCAAGTAATTGGGGATATCCTTGTTGGAGAAAGGGGTGGACTGTAGAGAAGTGGGTGGTGGCGGTTCGGGCGACAAGCGATGTTGGAGCTCGGAGGGCCAGAGCGGATCTCCGTCAGCCACGTATAAACGCCGTCCTAGATTCTCCTTCCACCTCTTACCTCACACCGAATTCTCGCCCCTTCTCCAGCTCCTAGTCCCCGACTACTCTAGCGCTCACTTCCCCTTTATCACCTGCTCCCTCAGGCACACTATGTATCGGGGATCCTTCGCACCACCACCCGCGCAGTCGCCGCCTCTACACCATCCCGTCCCACAGCATGTCTCGACTGTCCCTATGATGCGCTCCCCTCCTCCTCCTTCGCAACAAACACCAAATGCCGGCTATGGAGGAAATCCATACCAGCCATCACCTGCTCAGGCTGGTAATTCAAACTATGGTACTCCCGGGTTTGGCGGATTCATGAACGAACCCACAGCACAGATGGGGTTCCAGGTTGGCAAGAGTGCAATGATGGCTGGGCAAGAATATATGGAACAAAACGTACGGACCAATTCAAAACCACCTGAATTGAGAGACTCCCGATTTCTAATTCACAATAGTTTAACCGTTATGTGTCCATACCGGCCTTGAAACACTACTTCAATGTCTCGAACTCCTATGTTCTCAGCAAGCTTGCTCTTGTTCTCTTTCCCTGGCGACACAAGCCCTGGTCTCGCCAACAGGCTCGGATGGTAGCTACACCTGGACCGAATGGTCAAATCGTCCAGCAACAATATTCATCAATGTTCCTACCGCCGCGAGACGATCTCAACTCGCCCGATATGTACATTCCCGTTATGGCTATAGTCACCTACATCCTGTTGTCGGTGCTGCTCGCTGGATTTCGGGGTAATTTCCATCCCGAACTTCTAGGGTCGATCACCACTACTGCCATCGCAGTGATTGTCTTTGAGATTCTGTGCTTGAAGATCGCCACGTACATCTTGACAATCAACAACGACTCTCAATTGCTAGACCTGGTAGCCTACTCCGGCTACAAGTTCGTTGGTATCATCGTCACGCTGCTCGCATCCGAGATATTGACTCCCGGACGTGGAACAGGAGGCTGGGTTGGCTGGACAGTTTTCGTGTACACATTTTTGGCTAATGCCTTCTTTTTGGTAAGATTCAACCTGTAATCAATGAATTTCTTCTGCTAACCTGCGTTTTATTAGCTTCGCTCATTGAAGTACGTTCTGCTTCCAGATTCAACTGATTCCACCATGCAGACTGGCGCCATGCATACCGTGGCCCGCTCTCAACGCAACCGCCGAACTCAGTTCCTGTTCGTCTACTCCTACATTATTCAATTTTTCTTCATGTGGGTGCTCAGTCGGGAAGGACCGTCAGTGGCAGCCAAGGCAAGCTCCTAATGGCCTAAGCAATACGGGGCATCTGTACGATGATAGACTGGGAGGTATCGAATATGGACGAAAGGAGGTAATCAGAAACGGATCTCAACATGTTAACTTATGGGCGTCTACGGTAACGATATAGTACGACTTCCTATATTACTGTAATCAAAATACTATGTTCGAATACTGGCTACTATAGGGGCATTTAACCTCAGATTTCTAGAAGTGTAATACATAACGTCGATAAAGAGTGTAGATTACATATAAGTCATAAATAGTATTGTATTTGGTCCATATAATATAGAAGCTATCGGTGTCGAAAATAAATCTGTTGAATCTTGATAACAGTTAGAAAAAATCCAATCAAAGAATTCAAGTAGAAAGAATGCAAAATGTGTAATGGTTCTCAGAGATCTTGGTGTATGGGTAATATCAGTTGCAGAAGCATCAATTACTATCTAGGCGTGATAAAGTTTCTAATCATTGGACCAGAGGATGAGGATGAGGCAGAAACCAACGACACATACCTTGTATGAGAAATCGAAAGTGTAAGACCTTGGTAGGTTGAGATATTTTAAGTAGCTAAAAGTCTTCAAATACAGTTAGCAAAAGTGCTATTGTAACGAGAGATTGCATAACAGGGGCAGTTGGAGGAAAGATATCAGAATATGTAAGAAAATTGAATATCATCCAGCAGAGCCGTATCGACACCCCGGCGAGGGCATCACGGACACTGGGTCAATCGCAAATTACCTCATCATTGAGAGATAAAGGGGGGGAAAAGACGAACATGACATACCATAGTCAGTGTAGCATGCATGATGGCATAAAAGTTAGTGACAGTCGATCTGTTGGAAAGAAAGAAACATCATCTTCGTGAAAACATCAACAGGAGTTGGATTCCAAGGTGACATGGAAGAAAAAAATTGAAGAAAAGCAAATTATGGAATAATTATAATCCGGAATGCCGATATGGCTGACATAATAAAACCCTAGACCAGCCAAGAGTGGCCCGCTAAGCGAGAAGATTGTGGGCACATCCCGAATTTCGCATCGGCATCTTGAACTAACCGACTTCTTTCGACATCAACCCTCTCGACTAATCCCAACCCCCGGTTGTCGACCGTGAGTCTCATCGTATGCGCCTCTTGAGAAAACACCCGCTGAATTTTTGATCGAACAGAAATACGCCATGGCCGATATCGATGTCAAGCTCGCTTCCTGGAAGTTGGTCGAGGTTGGCCGCCTCGTCCTGATCCGCCGTGGCCCCTACGCTGGCAAGCTCGCTGTCATCGTTGAGATTGTCGACCACCGACGTGTACGTTACATTCCACCTTGAAATCCGCCCCCGATAAGTCCGAAAACGACAGGGGAAGATCGAACATTGAAGACGCGGCTAGAAATGCGAAACAGTATGATTGACATTTGATTTGTGTGCAGGTCCTGGTCGACGGTCCCTCCACTGAGGAGCAGAAGATCGTCCCCCGTCACGTTCTTGCTCTTGCCCACGCCACCCTCACTCCCTTCACCATCCCCCAGCTTCCCCGTGCTGCCGGTACTGGTCCCGTCAAGAAGCTTTGGGCCAAGAACGAGATCGATGGCAAGTGGGCCAAGTCCGGTTTCGCCCAGAAGACCGACAAGGCTGAGCGACGGAAGAACCTGACCGACTTCGAGCGCTTCAAGGTCCTGCGTCTCCGCAAGCAGGTACGATAAACACCGATTTGTGGGGAGGGGGAGAAGAGTCAGGGCCCAGGTGGTTTGCGTCTTGTCCCTGGTTTCTTCTTCGTCCCCAAACACAATTACTCCGCATATTGAAGTATCATATCTAACTTGTTCTACTAGGCCCGCTTCGAGGTCCAGAAGTCCTATGCCAAGGTCCGCGCTGCCACCAAGGCATAAATGATTACGAGGGTTCGGTGCATAGGATGAAAGAGGTGTACTGGGACGGGTTTCCATAGCTGGTAATTGTTCCCAGCAAAATCGCTGTATACATTTTATTCATCTACAGCAAAAATGATTCAAAATCCTTGATATCCCAACAATGTCTAGTCATTGTTCTGAGTTCTAGGCCTGGGTTTCTGTTGCCATAGAATCAGGTGCCCTGCCTTTTCCTTACATCCAAAATTTGAGGGAAACAATTATTGTAGAACCAAAAGCCAACAAAAAAAAATAACGATTCAATTTTTCCTATAGAATTTAAATTGTAACTTGTAGGGTGTTCATTGACAATTGCGTAGTTTCATAGTATAGGGCAATGTGTGGAAGTCTGGGGTGGGCGTAACCGCCTCGCTAACGATTTTCAGCCACGGCCTGCGCACAGCTGTCTACACTCTTGATCTTCACGACAAAAAATCTACGCTTTCCCCCAACAGCTCGATCTCTGTTTACAAGGTATGTTAATTCACCGAATCAATGGGCTAATTGAAATCCTGTGCTCTGAAATTTTCATTTTTCAATTTCCCATTCCAGCTTTTCGCCGGGTTCCTCTTTCCCCTCCCACTTCGAGCTCGGCATCAAAAGCTAACCCGCAACCTTTTGCATTCGTCACTCAGATCCCTTCACATCACATTCACAATGGCCGATCCCCGTATTGAAGAAATCGTCGATGACGAGGTCCCCAAGACCGTCGAGGAGGGCAGTGACTCCGAGTCCGAGGCTGGTGAGACCATTCCCAGCGGCGCCTCCGTCACCATCCATTCTCGCAATGAGAAGAAGGCTCGCAAGGCCATCGCAAAGCTCGGCCTTAAGCACGTTCCTGGCATCACCCGTGTTACTCTCCGCCGCCCCAAGAACGTAGGTCACCCTGAAGGTGAAACGGCTGTCAGCACGAATATTGTCGCTGCACGCAATCATCGATGATATGGTGACTATTCGTGGAGGCTTATACTATTTAACAGGTTCTCTTCGTCATCAACAACCCCGACGTCTACCGCTCCAGCAGCAACGCTTGGATGTAAGATCATACCAAACACCCAGATTGAGTGCGAATACTAACCCATCCATCAGTATCTTCGGTGAGGCCAAGATCGAAGACTTGAACCAGACTGCTCAGGCTTCCGCTGCCCAGCAGCTTGCTGCCGCTGAGGCTGCTGAGCACGAGGGTCACGACCATGACCACGATCACGAGGGTCACGATCACGACCACGACCACGACCACGGAAAGGGCAAGGCCCCCGAGACCAAGGAGGACGAGGAGGATGATGGTGAGGAGGTTGACGAGAGCGGCCTCGAGGCCAAGGACATCGAGCTCGTCATGGCACAGGCTAGTGTGCCCCGCAAGAAGGCCGTCAAGGCTCTTCGGGAGAATGGCGAAGATATTGTCAACGCAATCATGTCTCTCAGTCTATAGATATTCTCTCCTACATATTGATGAGACCAGGTTGAGTTCTCCGACTTGAGTCTAATAAAAGGACCCGTGGGTAGATAACCTCCATCCATGACTTGACTTAATGGTTCGTCCATTAAGTATCCAATTCCACATGAACCAACTACCAAGTTTTGCTTGGAAAAGTGTGTAGTCTATATAATATGCAGTCACCGTAAATACATTATTCTTGGCATTTTGTCTAATTCACGACTTATCTCACTCTCTTCTTCCGACAACTCTCAAACTACAGACCGAATATCAACTTTTTTTTTTTGGTGTATATTTGAGAAAGCCCTTTATACCCAATACGGCCAGTCATTCCAACCCTTGGAAATTACCTATCAACAAATGCAACATCGAAGGCCACCCGTCAAGACATAGCACACACAGCATCTATAGAATAACCCAGGTAGTTGCAATATTGCATCAGATTGGGTTTAAGGGAACTACTTCAATTATAAATGGGTACTTACGAAGCAGAAATTCCTATGTATCCAAAGTGAGGCTTGGAAATAAAGTCAAACTATAAGAAATCAATAGTTTCAGAAAGCATAGACTTCTCTTCTGGTGTATAAATGTTGTGGCTGATATGCCGACATAGTCCGGATCATCACGTGACTGTGCATCCAAACCTTTCCGAATCAAACTCGCCCGGCACCTCCCTGCACATTGAACTCCCCTCTCTTTTCCCCACCTCTTCACTCCTGCTTCTCTCTCGTCGCAATGGCCACCGTACGTGCTACTCTTTATGTCAGCTAGTGCAGATTGACACGCCTCTCACCCGAATACTCCCGCTAACTCCCCTTACCCGAACAGCGCAGCGCCGCCCTCAAGATTGACTGGACCAAGGTGTCGAGCTCGCTCGGCCTCCGCGGCCAGACCGCCGCTTCCCTGCAATCCTTCAAGAAGCGCAACGACGATGCTCGCCGCAAGATCCAGTTGCTCTCCGAGCAGCCCCAGACCGTTGACTTCGCCCACTACCGCGGTATTCTCAAGAACCAGGCCATCGTCAACGAGATCGAGAACCACTTCAAGACCTTCAAGCCTGCCAGCTACGATGTCAACCGCCAGTTGAAGGCCATTGACGCATTCGAGGCCCAGGCTGTCCAGAACGCCGAGCAGACCAAGGGCAAGGTCGAGGCCGAGCTCGCCAACCTCAAGAAGACCCTCGACAACATTGAGACTGCCCGTCCATTCGAGGACCTCACTGTGGTGCGTATTTGTGGAGGAATTGGTTAGTTTGGAATGATATCTGATTGCTTTTGGTTTGTAGGACGAGGTTGCCGCCGCCCAGCCCGAGATCGACGAGAAGACCGCCTCCCTCGTCTCCAAGGGCAAATGGATGCCCCCCGGATACAAGGTACGTGGATCCATGATATCCGTTTTCTCTTCCTTGGTTCGAGACTTACCAATTACTCTTTTTACAGGAGCGTTTCGGCGATCTGTCCGCTGTCTAAAATCTGGGCTTATTGTCCATCTCCGCCTGTTATCCCCCGTTTCATCGCACTATAAGCTGTATTTTTTTCGTTAAGCATATGGCCCTTCCGCTTGGGTACGGTTAGAAACTTCCCGTCCAAGATGTGCTGGGGCGGTTGGGATGTGTATAGAACCAAATCAATTCAGATTGTTTCCTTGTTTCACTAGAATGGGACTTTCTTTTCCGACAATGCTCGCAATTGCTATGGACCTCGGGAGCTAGTATCCATGCTTGGCTGATTGGCCCTAACCAGACAGTAGAGAGCTAGTATTTGGCACGGCCTACTATATGCGTAGGTATAAAGATCTGTCGGACTTATACCCTAGTAAGTGTCCAGGTGGGCATCTGCAGTAACTTGGAATCTTCAAGATTGCTCATACCTACATTCCGAGGTTGGAATGGCCTGTCCAATTGATTTAAATGCAGTTCCAGGTGAATGGACGGATATCTCGCAACTCCCGGTAGGCTCAGCATAGGTATTAACCAACTTTTCTCTGCCTATCTTGTCGGGTACTTCTTAATCTTGGGATAATGTAATGAATGTATATTTTCCGTCCATTGATGTCTACAAATCTTATGATGATGAATTATTGAGGTGTGCCGAGATACCTAAGCACTCCGTACTTTTGGAGAGTTCGAGTATTTGCAAGCCTGGGAGTATATAATGCGGGATCGTAGGAGAGCCGATAATGATATGTCGTACACCTGCCCATATAGTGAACATTTGAATTGATGGATCGATCATCGTATTAAGATCCAACAGATTCCGTAAAGACACATGTACTTTCTTGAGTGGTAAATTCCCCGACTTCAGTCGAATGTTGTGTGCTAATGCTGAGGACGCCAATCTTACCCTCAAACCCCACCCCCACAACACGCTAAATAAGACTGACAGAAAAGACTAGGACCCAAGGCTTGTCAATACTTCCAAGAGTCGTTACATCATAATTATCAACTGCGTCTCAAGTGCTCACTGCCACCTGGGCAGCTGGGAATTCCAAATGCCTCGACCCCAGCCGGTCTACTCTCGCCTGGAGTCACTTCCCGTCGAAATATTGCAATTGATTTTCCTCTACAGCCTCGAGATCAACCTCCCTCGCGCCTCACTATATCTCGGCCGAGTTCTCTCTAATGAACTGGTGTATTCATGGCTGATTAGGCTGGTCTTCAGCAGCGCCAACCCAGGATCGCGAGATGGGTTCTTCACTTCAGACTTCTTGCCGCCGCAGCTAGATTTCTGGGCATTATCAAAGGAACAACGCCAGCTCTTACAAACCACATTACTCTCTTGTCAGTGGTGTACGCTATCGCTAATGCAAAAGTGCCAGCGGGAATATATCGAACATACAATACGTCGCAAAACTGCTGGTCTGATCATCCGACAAGAAGACCAGGACAAGTTGTCGAACTTGGGTCCGTACTTCGAGAAGAGCCTAATAGAAAGGTACGACCGATCCGAAGAAGGTAATAACAGGGGGAAAGGAGATCTAGTGATCTCAGCTCAACTCGCAGAGTCACCATCATCACGCGTCTTCTTCAAAATAGCAATATGGTTTCAATCAGGGGCAGTCCACATCCGAACAGCGCAAGATTTCCTATCTATATCATCATTTGCCGATCACAATGATCTTTTTAGACTTCCTTGCTCCCCAGCCCATACACCAGCTCGCATCCCAGACAAACTGCTAAGATCGCCATGGTCAGAAACCCAGCTGGATTTCTTGCAGCTATTATCCTCAGGAGGATTCTATCTCGACGAGGACGAATATTCTAGAGACCGGTCTGCTGAAATCACGACGCGGTTGATTCGGAAACATCGTGTCGAGCCCTTGCATCGTCTACTCGGCATGTATATTCGCTCAGCGAATTGCCGTGTCCCGATTCGCTGGCCCTTGCAGCTGTCCGACTATAATCTGGCATGTCGATATGGCCAGGGGGCTGGTGATCCTATGGTCTTGCTTATGCTCAGTGAACGCTGGTATGAGATGTCTTTCTCGACCAAGCAGAATCTAATACGCCACGTGGAGATGTCCGAGGAAGATATCTTGCCATTGATATGGTCCAATGGGGTAGTTTAGGAAATGCATGGATGTCACAAGCTATTACATCATATATATATGTTTAAAATTTATATTACGAGGGACGAGAATATGAACATTTGAAGAACTGTAAAGCATATTATTGAAATTTGGTGATGTTACTAGTTGATACGCCTGGGTATGTAACGGTAAAGCGAGCCAAATTGCTCAAAGCACGAAATCCGTAACCAAAAGAAATCAGAGTAGAAGCAGAGGAGTAAGAAGCAAGAAAGAAGCAGGAAAGAAGCAGGAGGGAGAGCGTGGAGTACTCGTCTCATATCGGGCCGGAAATATCGAGAAATCATAAGTCATAAATCACGGAGGTTGTTTCCTTGTCAATCGTTGAAATCACCTCCGCATTATATGGTAGATCGATGCCGACGACGACGGCCACCACCTGAGCAACCACGGCAGGTCAGGCAGCCGATGATGGCATCAAAGATAGCGACGACTCCGCTGATGATAGCTGTGCAGACAGCACCGATGGCGTTGACAATGGCCATTAGGCAAGAGCCGATGCTCTGAAAGATGCCTCGGATCTGTGAGAAGGACAGGTCAGCTCAACATCTTGTTTTTGATAATGCAAGGGTTGTGCATACACAAGAGACGACGGCACCCATCTTGAAGGTATGGTCAGTAGAAGTACTGAGGGTATGAGTAGGTAAAAGTTTTATGGTTTTGGCTTGGTGGTGATCGAAGCTGAGCTGGATGAAGCAGTGGTGTGTGTAGAAGAATCACTGAAAGGACGCATTATGATAAGAAATGAAGTGGTTGGGAAGGTTCCTTTAAATGGGAAAAACGTCTTTAAGGCACTAGGCAGTTTGCAGCTGCAGGCACGTCAGAATTGGGCAAGACCAAAATTTTGAGCGAGACACACTTGGGTGATGGCTGGTGATACGTAAGAGTTCGTCTCAATGCGGACAATGATAGACCAGAATCCTGCAGGGCGAACAAGCTTAATACCAATTGAGGGCAAAAGTGACGGAATGTCCCAAGGTAACCAGGGCTGTGACGTAGGTATGAGAATTTTGATAAGAACTTTTGTAAGGAGAACTAGGTATTTTTAGCTGTGCTGAAGAATGAAAGAGAAATTCTGCATTCAAATTTGAGATCAACTAAACTAAACCATGGGGTTTCAGGGTTCAAAACTTGGGCCTGTGCGCCTATATCGTCATAGCTACATTGGACCGGTTTCTGCAGTCGATCTTGGATTTTCGATTACAAGCTGATTTCTGAGTGGTAAGCTGGGCTGGGCTTACAGAGTACACATGTCAGCTTTACTTTGGTAATAAGAACTCTCAAAATTTACGCTGCTTTATCCTGCTCTTTTCTGATTGCTGATCGCATATAAAGTCGAGATTGAAGTTCGATCTGTCTTGACGTCATTTTGATATCACCTGACAAGGGTACCTAAATAGGCAATAAAGTCACATGACAGAACTCTAAGGCTGTTAGTCATCACATTTGCTTGCATTTCCCTGTCACATGACTCTAACTTCAGAATAAAAAGTCCCGAAATACGCTAATCCTAATTAGGCTGTTTAATACTGTTAGAATTTGAACCAATCAGCGCCTTGAATAAAAATGGGGTCTTTTCGGTATAACTTTCTACAAAGTAGAATCACTTTTGACTCTTTACTGATGGAGGCCAATAGCGCCCACAAGGAGGCACATCCCCTAGGGACATATAATTTCTTTGGCAGGTGTTCATCACTTCATGTATAATTATTATGAACGACCGCCCTCCCCAGAATGTCACTTCCCATCCCGCCAGCAAAATCACCAAGCATGCGTCCAGGGCGAAACGCCGTCCCGGTCGGCCATTTAAGATAAAGAGAGACATCTCGTTGAAATATGAGTCTTCATCATCTCAAATTTCTTCTCCTACCTCCACTGCCATCTCAATCATGGCGACACCACCACCCCGCGTCTTGTCGAAGCTCGAGTCCTTGCCCAATGAGGTGATCGAGAAAATATTTCTCTATTCCCTTAACCCGAATCTCCCACGTGCCTCGCCCTATTTGGCTGCTGCAGTCACTAGCGATAGAATATATGGCCTCCTTATCGCCCTCGCTTTCTGGTCTGATTCGGCTGAAACCGATTCTTACAGCTCGGAGATCTCCCGCATATTGTCACCAATGGACTATACAGTCCCTCTTAAACGGCATGAGCGCAGAGTCCTACAAAAAGCGATATTTGGGTGCAAATGGTGTACAATGGCCCGAGTGCGTGACCAGATTCCTAAGATGATTATCCTCGCCATCTACCGCTTGTGGCTCGGCAGTGGCGTTGACATGCAGCTGGAGGAAAGGGCCAACTTGCAAAAGTTCCTAGACCGTGAGCAAGACACGCAGCTTTCTTTCACCAACAGTGATGGTACACTTGAATTACACATCATCCCAATGTCGTGTATTGTAATCCGTTCAAACCCGTTGAATTTCAACCACCATTACCCAGCCATCGACTTGATCGACTTTCCGGAAGATCAGCTCCGAGGAAGCAGTACTGGATTTACCGTGCACGACATTGCGTACCTTGAGATGCTACGCACTGCCTCATACAATTGGGTATATTCAGGGAAGAAAGAATGGCGTTATTCTCAATCTGAAGATCATAGACAAACAATGGTCAATAGGACTGCCTTACACCAGGGAGTGTCCAACGCCATTCGCACGCAGAATCTTGATGCCGTCTTCACCCTCCTGAGAATCGACCAGTTTTGGTTCCAGTTTTACCCCCACACCCAAAGGGACCATATATACCTAATACCTAGAGACCACTTTATCGCTGTCACCAAGTACGGCCTTGATAATCTAGCACGCAGCCGGAAAATATTTATTGCCCTCTTCCGTGCCAGTGCCGAATCCATGCCGCCCAAGTCGCCAGAGATTTCGCAATGGATCCGAGATAACAACCGCCAGATTTGTATGGACAATCCCACTTTAAAAGATTGGCTTCAACTTGACTTCTTGGGATTTGTGTCGGACTTCGCACTGCTGTTGCCGAATCATTTAGAGTGGATGGAGCACCATGTCGATGCAACATTGTTCTGGTTCGGCCAATTAAACAACAAGCATCTGGGTGAAACTTTTCCAGCTGAGATTTTACCGGACATTTCCCCGTACAAAAGTTACATGGAAATGACCTTGTTCAACACTAGTGGCCTTTGGGTCAATAAGCCCTGATTTATGAGCGGCTGGTCGAGAAGTGTACGTACATCAACTTTGGAAGATATGAAACAAAAATTATATTACAACAAAGGATTATTTGAAAGATTCAAACCGCAATCCTAACAAGGAATTGCCCAGGTGAGTCCACTCCAAATATCTAGGTATAACGCTAGACAAGAAAAGAGATCATTACATATTCCCCAATAAACGCAGAATACCAGCAATGCGTCCAGCAATAGTAAGCTGATATCCCGTCTCAACAACACCCTTAGTCATATCCCAAGCAGACTGACCATGCGTACTCCCCTGAACACCCTTAGTTTTCTGAATCGGATAATCCACTCGCGGCGGAATAGAAGTAAACATCAACTTAGGGAATCGATCTCGACAAATAGCCTTGGTATTACACAAGCCGCGCAGACCTTCTTCGCCCGCAAACCGACCATACCCAGATCCCTTGACACCGCCAAAGGGTAGCTGGACGGCATAATACGCACCAAAGTCATTGATAGAGACCATGCCGGCTTCGATGCCACGCACACAAGCCTGTACATCAGACTCGTTGTGGCCGAAAACACTGGCGCCGAGAGCGTAGGCGGTTGAGTTTGCGATTTTGATTGCGTCGGGCACGGACTCGGCGCGCAAGACCAGGAAGACAGGTGCGAAGAGCTCTTCTTGCGCAATACTCATAGAAGGTGTGACATCAACGAGCAGAGTGGGTGTGAAGTAATGGCCTTGGGGATATTTCGGGTGCTGGTGGCGAGTTCCGCCGGCTAAGAGGCGGGCGCCGTTTGAGACGGCGTCTGCAATGAGAGCTTCCAATTTGTCGAAAGAGGCTGGCGAAATCATGGCGCCCATGTCTGGGGTCAAGGCGGCTTGGTCAGTTGATGGGTCGTCGAGGAGGATGGAGCCGAGGCGGAGGGCGTTGATGCGCGGCGTGACCAGTTCGATGAGTTTCTCATAGCTGCCTGGGAGGGCGATGATGCGCTCTACGCCGATGCAGTTCTGGCCGGCGGATTGGAATACGCCGCGCATGAGTAGGGAGGCAATGGTAGGGATGTTGCGAACTGTACGAGCGTCATTGAGTATGACAGCTGGGTCTTTGCCGCCCAATTCGACAACTACTGGTGTGAGGGACTTGGCGGCTGAGGCGCATACTTTATGCGCCACAGGCCTGGAGCCGATGAAGGTGAGGTGGGCGATATCGGGATGCGAGGTGAGAGCATCTGCAACGGATGGAAGACAAATGAGAGATTGGACGAGGTCGCGCGAGTGGCCACAGCTGGACAGGGCACCACGAATAATGTCTAGAAAGAAGGCCGAACACCAGGCTGTCTGCTCAGATGGCTTGACGACAATAGCATTACCAGTGAATAGAGCACTGATAACGGGACCGATGAAGTTGTGGAATGGGTAATTCCAAGACACGCAGGCTGACACTACACCAAGGGGCTCATAGGTGACCATATTTTTCTTGTACATCATGAGGAAGTTGGTTGGCCGGCGCGATGGTAGCAAGGCCTTTTCGCCATGATCCAGAGTCCATTTAAGCTTCTCAGCCGTGACAAGGATCTCTCCAAAACAAGCGTCCACCTTTGTCTTTCCTGAATCGAGGCAGCACGCAGTCACGATATCGTCTTGGTGTTCGAGAACGTATCTTTAGCATGAAATAGTTAGTCCATGTGTCTGCGAGGAACAGCGAAAGGTGTAATTGAGGATGCCCTACTTCAACAGTGTTCGAAGAACCTTTTTGCGCTCTGCAAATGTCGTTTTAGCCCATTCGCGCTGCGCAGCATGAGCTGCACGCACAGCTTCATTAATATCCTCGACAGTCGCAGGCTTGATTCCAGTACCCAGCACACGTCCATCGGCAGGACAGTAGCTCATAACCAATTGATCGTTCCATTTCTATAGGAAATAAAGACGTCAATTCCATGTACAATTGCAGAAAAATGAAATCCAAAGTTATCTCAGGAGCTATGGTATGTCAACACTCACTCCGCGAATCTGATCCTCGAGTATGCGCTTCTCCTCCCCTCGAAGGTCATCCCGGTTCTTCTCAAAGGTACTACTGCGCACCTCCTGTGGCAATGGCACATTGAAGGCAACAGCGGCTTCCCTATGGCATTTGACGAAAAGGTATCCCACGTACACGGCGATTAGGGAGATCGCCGTAGCTCCAATCCACGGGACATAGGAGGTATATTCCTCTACGAGAGCTCGCGGCCCCAGCAGAATGTGGGAAAGCAGACAGGCCATGCTGCAGGGGATTATTGGTGGAATTGGCGTGACCCCTTGAGCAGGTGTTGTTGGGGAATCTTTTTTCCCGATAGGCGATAACCACGCCACGCGGAACAACCAGCTACTTGAACAGTAGGTACACTCCATTCCAAACTTGGCTTAGGGGATTACTCCTTTTCTCAGTACTGATAGCTTAATTGTAAATAAGGTAGGGGCAAGAATATAAATAGTTAATGATACTTAGTTATATAATTTCTTAGTTTAGCCATACAAGTTGCAGATATTGTTCACTTTCCATAATGAAAGAGGTCAAAAGAAATAGCAAAATATATCTCAGGGCAAACGACCAAAAAGGATATGAGACAGCAATATTGTACCCAATATAGAGTACCCTCGTATGATAATAGCACAAAGAGATAGAGGAAAGATCGTGTTTTTTTAGTTGTTAATCTTTCATCTCAGTCCATTTCAGGAAACATTGAATCTGAAAGGTCAGAGAGATACGTCCGATTCCTCCCCTTCATTGTGGTCTGATTCTTCAAGATCTGAGCTCAAAGAGGTCACTTTCTTGAGGGCCTTCTTAGGAACAGTCTTTTTGGTAGTTTTAGTCGTCTTCCTCCGGGTAGTATTCTTTTTCTTAGGAGTGGCTTCCTCTTTATCAGAATCAACTTGCTCTCTCTTGACACCTTTCTGGAATCCAGTGCGTTTGATTAGGTGTTCAATGACGCACCCTTCATCCCAGCCTTCACTGGATTCTCTAGTTATGGCGCGGCATCGAGGACAATACTTCCCATGTTGAATGAACAGCTGATGAAGCGAGTACTTGAGATGGTCAGGAATACGCACTTCTAAGTGTTTGAATGCAGTAATCTCATTCGGAGCAGGTTTGAGCGGCAGCCAGCCAAGCCACTTGCAGAGGCGAAAGATATGGGTATCCACTGCAAAACACGGACGTTGCAGACAGAACAGAATCACACAAGCTGCGGTCTTGGGTCCGATACCCGGATATTTCGTCAACTCATTCATGGCGTCATCCGTTGAGAGATTGTGGAGGCGATTCAGAGAGAGGAAATGCTCATCGACACAGGTAATTTCAAACAGCTTGTCTTTCTCAATTTTCTCAGGGAACATATTGTTTGTTTCTTCATTGGCTGTCTTGGACTCATCTGACAGATGGAAGTTATGACGTTCGCGGTTTTCCTCATGGACCATGTCCAGAATGCCCTTCAAATGTTTGCTTTTTGTAGTGGCCAAGCCACCGCTCTTGATTGCTTCAAAAACATCTTTCAGTGAGGCTTGTCGAACAGCTTCCCAGTTCACACTTCCCTTGCCGATTCCACTTTCTAAGGTGCCGAACCGCTTCACAAGCCCAGCAAATGCTCTGGCAGAGTTTCCGCTGGTTGTGGCACCACTCAAGAGTGTGCGAATGAGTGCATCCAGCACTGATGGAACTTCCCCACAGCCAGTGACCGTCAAAGAGGGTTCGGGGATAGTCTTAGGTGCAACAAACTCTCCATGAAGGTCTGTAAGAATTGTATTGACAACTTCACATTCTGCGACTGTAGGATGAGGCCAATCTGGGAAAGGAGTTTCACCTGGAGTCAATCGATATTGCTTCCCCTTCCCCTTGCGTTTCTTTATGTCTGTAGCTTCATTTGTTGCGTTGTTAAGAGGTGTATCGCTACTCTCGCCCTCTTTCTTGATTTGGTTATCCTTAGACCTCTCTACGAAGACTGGTTGAGAAGTTGTATCTTGAGGAGTGACAATAACTGTAATGAGTTCAGACTGAGGCAACAGGACTGGTAATTTACCAAGATTGTGAGGAAGCTCATCATTGGGGGGCCGCACAGGGCTTGCCTTCGGTGCTTTTGATGTACGTGATTTCTTTTTTGGAGCCAATTGTGCAGTTGCTTTACTTTGAACTTCATTTTTGAGGGGATTTGATGTTTTTAAGTCCTTAGAGAAGGCTCTCTTGTTCTTGGCGAGGGTTCTCTTTTGAGCCGAAGATGAGCCCTCTGCCTGAGGATCAGGACCAGGACCTGGCTGTGTTGGACTCAATGTCAATAATCCCGATGCACGAGATGCAGCCCGCGTAACTGGTCTTTCCATTGTGTTCAAAGCGGTTGTGTTTTTGGTTGTGATGGTGAAAGCTCGGAAGCTTTGAGTCGATGCAGAAACAAGAATAGAGCTGATCGGGATGACGTCAATTTTATTATACTACGTACAGGCCTGACCTGCGGAGGAACCCAAATCAATATAGCTCGTTCTCAGATGCGATTGCTTTTTTTTTTTTGGCTAGTAAAGAAGCTTGTAGATGGGAAGATGAATGTCATGAAAAAGGTGAGTCTCATTGAGGGAGTGGTTAACTAACACTCGTGTACGTCATGTGATACTAATCGATTGAATAAGAATCATCAATTGAATTGATTTTTTTTTTCAATTGGTATCTCAGCTTGATATGAAATCAGGATTCGTATTTTATAGTATTCATGTTTCGTCACTTGGACGTTAAGATCGAAAGCAGATCATCCACCACGTCTTTATATTTAAAGTATGCCCACCCAAAACGAACTCCCAGGACTCCAAATGCAAATTAAATGGTCAAAGAAAACAGCTTAAGATCATCATCACCCATCATGGTGATCAGCAAGGTTGTGAATGCTTATGTCCATTCGGTCGTCAATTTTGTCATGAGATTGATGATCAGGCTTGGGCCGAGTTTCTGGCTCTTGTCGCTCGGCCGGGATGATTTGGCCATTGGTATCCATGGTGACTCCATTGGTAGCAATTTGGTAATCTGTGATACTGGCGAATCCATGTGCAACAGCTTCTTTGGCCTTGTCTAGAGCCTTGATCTTACGACCTTCTCCACGGAGTTGCTCCAGGTGGTCGAAGTAGTTTTGAGGGACAGGAGTCACGTAGTTACCGCAGAACACACCGACCTCGAAGTTCTGAGGTTCATCTTGTCCATTCTCATGAGCAATCTCAGCGCAAGCGCCCTTGAGATCATCCAGAGTCTGGAAGACAACATTATCAGCTCCGATGTGGCTGGCAATGGCCGCGGCATTTCGGTTGTGAGCGACCAGCTCCTGGGGAGAGGCCAAATCAATACCATAGATGTGGGCATTTCTATAGGGAGAGTTAGTTGTTTCTGTCTTGAGTCAGGATTTCGCAAACTTACGTGATTTCAGGGGCACAGCTGGCCAAGTAGACCTTCTTAGCACCGGCTTCACGGGCCATGTTGACAATCTCGCGACTGGTAGTACCACGCACAATACTGTCATCCACAAGCAGCACATTGCGGTCCTTGAACTCGGCCTTCATAGCATTCAACTTGCGGCGAACCCCCTTTTGACGGGTCTTCTGCTCAGGCATGATGAATGTTCGGAAGACGTAGCGGTTCTTGACGAAGCCCTGGCAGTAAGGCTTGTTCAGATATGAAGCGACGTGAGTAGCAGATGTGGTAGAAGTTTCAGGAATGGGAATAACCACGTCGATGTTCTTCACAATATCGGGACCAAGAACGTCGAGGATACGGGCACCAAGGCGCTCACCCATACGCTGACGACTACGATACACACTGATACCGTCCATGACAGAATCAGGACGGGCAAAGTACACATACTCGAAGATATCGGGGGCGTATGCCTTTTTCGGGGCGACCTGGCGGAAGACCGGCTCACCACCCTTCTCAATGATAACAGCCTCACCGGGCAAGATGTCACGGTGGTTGCTGAAACCAAGCTGGTCAAGAGCAACAGACTCAGAGGCCATCATGTAATCAGTGCCTTCACCATCCAGAGAAGGGCGAGAGCCAAGAACCAATGGTCGAATACCGTAGGAGTCACGGAAACCCAACACACCAAAACCTAAGTAAGTTGTTAGTGGGCATTTAGATGATACGAATTGAGCAATTTAAGACTAACCTGCAAGCATGGCAGTGCAGGCCCATCCACCCTCGCAGCGTTCATACATGCGGCTCAAGCTGGCAAAGAGATCCTCGGAGTTGACACGAGCCTTCTTTGTCTCGCTGAGCTCATCAGCAAATATGTTCAACATGAGCTCACTATCACTATCAGTGTTGATGTGACGGTGGGCCTCCAAATCCAGGTACTTCTTGAGCTCAGGGGCATTGATGAGGTTGCCGTTATGGGCAAGGCAGATACCATAAGGGCTGTTGACATAGAACGGTTGAGCTTCAGCATTCGCACTGCTACCTGCAGTGGGATACCGCAGGTGACCAATACCCATGGATCCAGGCAAGTTGGCAATCTTAGCTCCATCCTGGAAAACCTTGGCAGCCATACCATTGGCCTTCAACTGGTAAATTCGGCCACCAGAAGCGCAGGTCGCAATTCCAGCTGCATCTTGACCACGATCTAAGATTCACAACCTTAGTCTCTCTTGGCTCAGGTCTATAAAAGCAAGTCACCACTCACGTTGGAGAAGATACAAAGCCTCGTGGAGGTCCACCGCAGCAGCGGCGGTTTGGTTGGCCAGGATCAAAGCGATAATGCCACACATTATGGGCGGGGTTAGGATTCCTGGTTAGGCAGCAAAACCAGTCAGCAAAGAATTTCACCAACGGAATATATATAGCTGCAACAATGGATGGCGGGGTGTGTCAAATCAGAATGGGATGTTCTCCGCAAAAGAATTAGGAAGTCTAACATCTATAAAAATACCGAAATTCATCATAGAAGACAAGGACGCATGAAAAAGAAGGCAACAAAAACGACTTACCAAAAGAAGGGAGGATTTTATTGAGCAATGGTCATCTGGACCCCCAGAAGCACGGAATGGAGAAAGGAAGAAAATCTCCATCACCATTTATTCCCGTGGTTCGTCTCCACTACTAATTTTTTTTTCACGCGCCGACCTCGGGACACCGCCCTAGCTGAGTCAGGAGAAGATGACTGTGCAGGATCTAACTACTTACTGATTGGTGGGGGGCGGGATCTTGGATGAGTAATCTTGAAACAACCCTAGCTAATTTAAGTCAAGTGGCATTTAGAAATTGTAGCTGATCTAGCTATCAGTCTCTTATTTTGCAAGTTCGAAAAATCGAGACTTTCTGAAAATATGGCCATCTGATTTTATTAACAGATCTAAAATTATGAAATGCAGAGAGTTCACCCAAACTTGGGAGAGACTTAGTTGTGATCGACCAAACTAACTATCCCAAGGTTGCCGACAATAATGAGGATGCACGCACACTCAAACGTATACCTAGGTATTGTGGCGCAGGGGTGGCTTCCAACTTTCATGGTTTTCTAGAGCAGCCAGTTTCTAATCTTGCTGGGCAATCGACATAGCTAGTCTCGTATATGAAGACACAAGTCGCTCGGATTGGTCATACCTAGGCACCGCAAATAAATATGTAATTTCTGTGCCATGTAACTAGGTTTCTAGGCTACCTATAGGCTCAGTTAATGCTGCGTATACCAAGCTGGCAGGTATTGTAACTACCGAGATAGAATCTATAGGTAAGACTGAGTGTTGGAAGTATCAAGGTTGACATCGTGGCTGTGATTTCTGAGCTAATTGTTTAGACTGTCTTCTACCTAGGTATAGATGCGGTCGATTCTAAATCTGCTGAGCCGAAATTTTTAAATATTGATCCATGGCCAACGCCGTAGACTCCAATTTAGACCCAGCACTAGATTGATGTTGCCGCTTCCCGATGTTATTTAGAATGCAAAAATTAGTCAATTGGAGGCTTCTGTAAGTAGGATCTAGATTATTATCTCCAAATGAACCTTCGAAGTGTATTCTAAGATTTCTCTCAACTTTCAATTCTATGACGCTGTACTTCTTATTAAATCCCATAGACCGTTCTTAAGATGAGTTCACTTACCTAGGTAGATCTCACCTTGGCACATGAGGAAACCTTGGAAGTATAATCAAGAGTCATTTCTGTTAAATTTATAGCGTTATATAGAGTGAGAGTAGAAAAACTCGGAGGGCCGCAGGACCCCCGCGACCCTCCGACCCCTCCGACCTGTATAACGAAATATGTAGATTTTGCTTAATGAACTGCCTGATCCAACCCAACCCAATACCCCATGTCTTGGAGTAATTTATCGATCAAGTGCAAGATAATCTATAAGAGTATCCTAATCCAGGATCCTCTTTCTCTTCTTAAGTTTATTCTTCTTGAACAACATCGGATCCCCACAGCGTGTTTCTGTATTCATCTTGTAATACTAGCTCCTGCACCACAGACGCAATTTTGGCCATATACATCTCCGTCCACTTAAGATCCCTGAATTCCACAAGCTTACATATCTTTAACTCCCCTTCAACCTCCTGTGTGAAGGTAAAACAGAAGCTAAATTCTCCTTTTTCTATAGCATCAGTACCCTTAAGTTTAGGGTAGTAAACAATCCTTGAATTAGCTTTTAACGCATGCTCATCAATCACAACATCCTTTAGTATAATAGAGCAATATTCCATCGCAGCCAACTCGGGTGCCATCAAGGCTCTATATTGAGCATTTGAAAAGCCGAATTCCGGCGCTCCCAGTGCACCAGCGGGTACGATCAATCGGACGCAATTTGGTGTCAACATAGACGAATAAAGGATCGTGGATTGGTGTCTGATGGCGTATAGGTAATGACGAAAGAAAGCCTCAACAGCGTGTTGGATTGACTGATAGACGGCCATGATCGGTATCAAGAACGATGAGAATAGTCGCTAACCAGCTTTAAGCCTCAATAGCTGGGGGTGTTGCAAAAGTAACTAGAGTTTTAATCAATCAGCTTTTCACTCTCAATATAAGGGCTGAGGCACAAAGGGATCATACGAAAGATGATATTTGATAAGACCCGTGGCTATTATTATGGGCATGATTAAAGACGCATCATTGAGGGATTTTCGGGTACCTTATATACCTGGATCTGGGGGTTATCTTGTCAGCCACATTTTCGGGCTCGGATCTAAGTCAATTCCCAGCCATAAGGCTAGACCAAGAATAGTCAAAAATATCCTGTAAAACTAATTGATTAGTCTTCATTGTTTAGTTTGCATTAGTTTAGCTCCTTTCTTGGAAATTCCCAATTCCCAATTCCTATAACCAATCAATCAATAATCAATCAATTACACCATAACTATATTTTGTCGGCTTATTCAGCATTTAGTTCAACATGAGCAGCTCCGTGAGCCTGAGCCTAGACTGAAATTCACTCACTAAGCCTGATCCTAAGCGCTCTCACAAAAGCAGAGGAACCTGAAATATGAAAGCCCCACCTGGCATAGAAAAAAAACGGTACGTAAAGCTACCTAGGTATCCTTTGTTCTTGAAACAGGCTCACTAAGTGCGGATGTGATTCTGTCTTAGCTTACAGCAAACCGTGGAAGCGAAGTATGTGTTCTATCTACTCTATAGCGTTTTCCAACTAAATAGCACCGTTTTACTTTATGAAATAAGAGCATTATATCTCAAAAGTAATACAAAATTCGTTTTCTGTATTTTGTGGCGTTATACTACTAATTGGCCTAAAGCTACAATATATCGTACTTGAAATCGTTTGGGGTTCACTCGGCACGAGAGGTGATTATACTGTAAGAAATAATTAAATTGAGGTGTAATCACGAGTCTGTCCGTGTAGATCATTCTTCGCCTTATTTCTTCCTTCTGCACGTGAAAGATAGTACCCTACGCATCGGAGTAAGTTCATTGGTCTGGTGGGATCAAAGGGCTGACTTTTAGAACAAAGGATCATAAGCACTGCTTTATCACCACTTTCATCGACCATCTTTCTAGCGCAGGTACCGTTCTATTTCTATAAATCCTGTTCTTCCACTCTTAAAATCCTTTTTCTCATTGACAACCCACTACTGCCTGATACTCGAAGCTAATCCAGACTCAAGGATATAAAGCCCTAATGGCGAACGCCATAGATTTGATTGCTGGAGATGACGACACAATGAGGGTTGATGAAGAATGGGGTACTTCTACCCCAGCTATTTCACTGGATGACGATTTCTTATTCCCACACTTTGAAACCAATGCCAGTCACGGTTACCATTACCCAGAGCGTATCAGCCGACTGAGGAATTCGATGGTCGATTTGACAGAGGATGACCCGGCCACTACTCATGCTATTAATCAAGTGACGAACAAACTCATGGACCGAGTACGACTGAGCACATCTCCTCTTATCAATGATGTATGGACAGCCAACATCAACAATTACATTGGTTTGACTGTCGATGCCCCAGGTGGAACAGCTACATTAGCGCCTGTGCCCACAGATATCTTACCAAATGACTACCATACTGAGCTGCTCGAGCGATATCGGATTCCCTTGCGGCATCCAGAAGCTCGCAGCATCCAAAAGTGTTATGTAAACCACAATTGGTATCGGGTGGGGGAATCAGTTGAGCTGTACCCTTATCAGGGACATGGAAGCTCCCACTACTTCCGAATTGATATCATCATTCAGAAAAATCACAAGTATCGTTTTTTTGGCCGGCATCTCTGTGAATCATATCCACCTTCGCCACGTGGGTGTGAAGTATATGACGTCTCGCCTGTGGCATCATTCTTCCCTAAAGTTCGTGGCGAGCTGGTATGGATGTTTGATGAAATTGAACCTGTTAAGCCGTCCCAGATTGTGCGACACTCAAAGATTTGGTTCTTAAACAGCCGCGCGAAAAGGTTTGGAGACCATGAAACCCAGCTGGTATGTCGAGTGCGATACTCCTGCCAAGTGGAAGCTTCAGTCAACACTATGTCAAAAGTTCACCTGATTCGATACCTGAATGCCGATGAATGTGATGCTCGGCGTGCGCTCACTTCAAAATGTCTTCGTGACATTTGGAGAGGACCGGAACCGACACGCCCATTTGGCTCGGGTCGGCCCCTCAGAGGATCGGACTTCGGATTGATTGATCTTACCATACCATATTATGAGAAACATGAGCGTGGGTACACTCTTGGAGATGCTTATTGTGGCGCAGGCGGTGTTTCGTGTGGTGCAAGAGCAGCCGGATTCGAACCGAAATGGGCAGTTGATATTGCTACACACGCCTGTGAAACATATCGTATGAATTTTGACTGTATCGTCGAGAACTCACCCTTCGATACTTTCATCACCAACAAGCCTGCGGAACTACGTGTCGATGTCTGTCATGCGTCACCTCCATGCCAGCCATTTTCTCCGGCTCACACCATCTCAAATGAGGTCAGGGACGAGCAAAACTCCGCCTGCATCTTCACCGCGTTAAATTTGCTGGAGAAGGTCAAGCCTAGAATCCTCACCATGGAGGAGACGGCGGGTTTACCGTCACGACACCCTGAGATCCTGAGTCGTATGATAATGGACATGGTTGAACTCGGATACTCTGTTCGCTGGACCGTTTTGGATGCAATTATCTATGGTGTCCCTCAAAATCGGAAGCGGCTTCTCATAATTGCAGCTGGGTAGGCAAAACCATTGTTTCCACATACCTCATCGCTAGCTCTGATTAACAATATATAGGCCTGGAGATCTCGTTCCTGAATTTCCTAAGGCCACCCATGGCAGACTTGGACTTCCCCGTGTTCCCGGCGTGAATGATTGTATCGACAATATTCCGCCCAATGCAGCAGACCATGATATTGAAGCAGAGCTGGCCCGGTGCCTTTTGTCTTACAAGGAACCATACGACGGAAGCCAGCCGGCCAAAACCATTACCTGCTCTGGGGGCCAGGCAAATCACCATCCATCCGGAAAGCGAGGCTTCACGCTACGTGAATTTGCTTGTCTACAAACTTTCCCGGTCGACTTCCAATTTGGTGATCGCAACGTGAAGAGAATGATCGGCAACGCAGTACCACCCAGACTCTCCGAAGTCATCTACACTGAGATTCGAAAGTCTTTGCAGGCCACGGATGCATTGGAGTTACAGGGAGCAGTTCTGTGAACAGTGATGAATCGCGGGTGAGTAAGTGAAGTGGCTAGAGTAGCAGCCTTTCCTTATTCATGCGAACGATCGAATATAGTGATCTTACTTGCGTGGGCATCTATCTACTGAAACGGGCAACGCTCTAGGTAGCACGGTCGGAACGTGCAGGTCGGTTCAGCCAAGAAAAACCAAACATAACCCCAAAAGAAAGCTCAATGAAAGTAGGGAGTCAAAAAGTGAAGAGGTGTGTAAAGGTGTCCATTCTGTAACTATCACGACTTCGGTATCCCCTTGACTGTTGAAGTAACCTCTCAAACTGGTGGCTCTGGTCCTCAAGAATTAGAGGGATAGAGAAAGAGAGATCTTACCATAGAGCCTGTCAGAGTCAGGGTTGAAGGCTTTTTTACCTCTACCAGAGACTTCTGCTGGTTTGCCCAAATCCGATATAATGTATATCCCTAGTCAGCTATAGTAAATAGCTTATCACCTTGGGGAATTGGTTTACTAGGTATCTTGAACGTATGTTGAGAACGTCAAAAATAAAGAACCATAGATTCGTCGACGGCAGCTGTATTTCATGGCTCCCAATATTCCAAACATGCCTCTCGAATCTGGGAAGCAAATGGCTCTAGCTCATATCACCACATCTGATTTGGCTTTAAATATAGTCGCAAAGCCTCTTGGGTAACAAGCCTTGGAATCAAGATCAGAAACATAGAAAAGAGGCTCCAAAAACGCGTTTTCAGGAAGCATATCAGCTAGTTGAGGCGATATAATAGGTGATCCAGCTACAGATGAGCTAAGGATTGTGTCGTCCATATCCATTATGACTCGAAAACGCGTCCAAAAACACGTCTAAAAACAGTAAACAACAAGGGGTAACTCGGTTCTGCCGCCGCAGACCGCCTTTCTGATTCACTACCTGCTCCCTGCTTACTCAGGGATCGTCCATCTAACGTGCGTCACGGTTGACCGAGCGTCCCGGTTGATCGAGCGACGCATTTGGAACTTAAAAAATCTAAGATTTTCAACATCAACTTTTAACACCAAAACATGAATTAATTATCTATTTAACGCGTGTAGGACACTGGGTATATATATGGCCTTTGGTTCCACAACCTGAACAGGTGACGAGTCGCCTAATAGTAGGTAAAGTAGGCAATGGAACATCTTCTATAGGTTGTCCAGGAGCATCCTCTAGGGATATATATTCAACTCTACCATTCTCCTGAGCAACCACGCTTTGCTACAATTCCTCCAAACTCCGAAGACTCCCTTCATGGCCTCTGTGCTTCTTGCTAGCCGCTCTCTTTTTTATCTTTCTCTTCGCAGTATTCTCCAATCGCTGAATACGGTCTTCCATCATCATCATCCGAATCGCCATCTGAGTATGCGCATCTTGCGACCGATAAATTTGTCGTTTTAGAGGTGAAGTTAAAGCTCCTGAGGAAGATTCGAGTTCTTTCTTGATAGCAGAATTCGATTTTTGGACTTTTGAGTAGCTCCAAGGCCGATTTGAGTCACTGCTGCTTGAAGAAGTAGGGCGTTGAGGGTGGTCGTGAGGGGGGTCTTAAGGGGGGTCTTGAGGGTGGTTTTCGACCATGATATTCAGCTTTTCTAAAACATGATTAGCATCCAGGGGTACTAAACCAGCGCCCCTGAAGCTATTCACTATAGTAGATGCTTTAAATGTTGCTTTACATATATAAGGATAGATTTGGAGGAAATCATCCTTATCAATAGAATCCACTCCATTCTGTATTTCAGCACTAATCAGGCCTCCATATACCTTTTTAAGCACCGAAAAACATCCTACATCAAGAGGTTGTAATAGATGGGATGAATAAGCTGGCATACATAGACAAATAATATCGTTGTCCGCGCATAGTTGGTCGAATTCTGGCGTACGATGCGAAGAATGACCATCTAAAACCAACAGAATATATCTCCCTTTCTGGACCAAATTAGGTATAAAGTGGCTTTTCAGCCAATCTAGACCCATTAGATTTGTAGTCCAACCAGTTAGGCTAGTGTTTAGTGACCATTTAGGGGGTAGATGGTCAAACCAACGCTCCATAAAATGTTTCCCTTTTAGGATGATATAGGGCGGAAGCGCAACACCTTGGGCGTTGATAGTCTCAATAATAGTAACCCACTCTCGATTTCCAGCTTAAAGAAGCCTTCGTTTACCATAGTAATCTGAGGAGCATATAATATACTCTGAAGATATAACACCCATCGCAAATCCAGTCTCATCGAAGTTATAGATATCCTCTGAAAGGATACCATATTTTGTGACTATATTCTGGACGAGATTAAACCACCCTTGGATGACTTATGGATCTTCTGTCTGCGCCCTCTGGATATCAAGCGCCCGAGATTTTCGCGTATGAAGAGATTCGGTGCGTTGAAGGAATCCTGTCACCCAGTTTTTGCCAACTTTAGGGGGGGGTGTCGGAGGGGACAATTTCGCGGGTGCGGAGGAGCAGATTCGCCATATTTCGGCACATTTCATGCGAAAAAGCGAATCCTCTAGCGTCCATATTAAGGAGCCATTTTTCCATCGATTTCTCCTCACCTTTAGAGAATTTATGGCGAGAATGGCGAGTTATGGCCTTCGATTTGCGACCTTGGATTCGCGCTTTCAAAGTTGAGACAGGAACTGAAAAGGCGCGAGCAGCGGCAGCAGCAGAGGAGTATCGTTCATCTTTAATAGCCTGAATTACTAATAAGACTTTACTCTCCTGCTGCTCCAAATCTTTCGATTTTTGAGTGCGAATTGGAGGCATTGTTGGTGTTAGAAAAAGGAGGGTCGATTTCGGGGTAAATATTTTGAGGTGTCGCTCGGCCAACCGGGACGCTCGGTCAACCGTGACGCACGTTAGTTATAAAAATATCTTAGTAATATATGATAGCCAATTATAGTTTCAGGATTCGCCAAGGCGCTAATGGTTGCCATTTTGACAGTCAAGGGGATAGTTAAGTACTGAATTTAGAACTATTTCTGATGGTTGGATTTTTAATCTTTCCCTCCATATACAGAAAAGATGATGCAAAAATTTGGATGGGTCCACGTCGTTCATCATGAAGTGAGTTACCTAGGCACAACTAGACATATATAGGTTGAAGTGAAACCCTTCTCTAAAACATCATAACTTCTTTTCATTTTCTCATACATATACTGAGGTCGTCTTGATTTCATTTATTAGTTCCTTTTCACTCAGTCACTCATAGGCCAGAGACAGTATTATGGTCAACGAGACCATGTCACAAAAGAGAAACACTACAAACGATTATAGGAAAGTGGCGTGTAAGTCAATCACATTCTCTGTATACGAGTAATTGATTTTTGACTCAATGTAGCTGGATGGTATTATAAGCAAAGAAATCGAGTACAGCACCATAGAAAAGATGACAGAAGTCTATTTGAGCGTATCGGCGTCCTTGTCGACGAGCCCAATAATTTGATTGACAACGCGCGTAGATTATCGATTTTTGAGCGACTCGCCGCCTCCGACGCAAAGCACGCCGAGCACGAAAAGGAGATTGCAGCACCCAAGCTGCAGAATAACTGCTTGCAAAACGCAAGCTTCGCGATACGCAGCAACATCTTTGGATCAAAAATTGGCTACAATCTGGTGATGAGATGTTGGCCAAGGATACAGAACGCGTGCAAAAGTTGCTGCGGTAATTTTTATTTTATTTTTGTCTTTTTATTTTCATTCTTATTGGTTTGATACCCCTTCTTTTATTCTTCTTTTATTCGATACCCCTTACCTCTACGGAGACGCATTTCAAAAGTTGTTATTGCTTTGCTTTTTTTTTTCTTTTTTGGTATTTTTTAATATTATTAGCGCTGTTTTGGTCTATACGCAATCATTTCTTCCTTACCCTCATTCTATTCTATTCTCAGGTTTTGCTCATATTTACCTTTGTCAAAATGGGGAAATATGATATTGCTACGCGTTCATTTATTATTACTATGCAAGCACTTGGGATAGAACCTCCTCAAATCTCTGCGATGATTGCAAACTATTAAGTTGATCAGGAATAAAGCTATTGAGCTTTGATAGTTACTGATATGTAATTGCGTATGTTGCTGATGCTAGTCGTTCTGGTCGACTAAAGAAGCAGACAACTGAGGTTATAGCTTCATTACTAGCTAAAGTGCGTCTTGATCGACATGGACGGGAGAGATGACTTCTACTCAGGTGAACGAATTAGATATAACCGACACTAGCCGATATGGCCTCGGTACGGATTAAGTGAACTTCCCTTTACTCTGCATTCTTGTACTCCATCTTCGTCTTTCCTCTTTCTCTTCCTTTTCCTCTCCCGACTTCAGGCTTCCAACTTCTTTTTTTGTATTTGCATTTCTGCCCCGCGATCTTCTGAGATCAACCAATTCCTTCCTCCCCAACAGTGATGTTCCTTCCCGCCGTCAAACGGTTGACCCACTCGCCTCCCCGCACTTTGGCCCACTTCCCCATCTTCACTAAATTTACTTGTTCACCTACTCTCGTTCGCGCTTCACCATTTTCTATTATGGCCGCTCGTCAAACTGTGTCGGCTCCTGTCGACAAGTCCTATGATCCTGAGATCCAGGACATGGCAGATTATATCCACAAGTACAGCGTGGAGTCGGATCTGGCGGTAAGTTACAAGTGAATAAATCAGCTGATTGAAGGGAGAAAAGCTAAACGAGAATATTTTCTCCCAGTTTGATACTGCTCGTCTGGTATTTCTAGATACTCTCGGCTGTGGCCTGGAGGCTCTCAAGTTCAAGGAATGCACTAAGCTACTTGGCCCCACTGTAGAGGGCACTATAGTCCCTAACGGTACCCGCGTACCGGGAACTCCATATCAGTTGGACCCTATAAATGGCGCTTTCAATATTGGGGCAATGATCCGTTGGCTGGACTATAATGATTGCTGGCTTGCTGCTGAGTGGGGTCATCCCTCTGACAATCTAGGAGGAATTCTTGCCGTAGCTGATTGGATCTCCCGCACAAATCGCGCGGGTGGTAACCTTGGTAACGGCAAGGTCTTGAAGATTCGAGATGTTCTAGAGGCTATGATTAAAGCTCATGAAATCCAGGGTGTTTTGGCCCTTGAAAACTCCTTTAACAAGGTTGGCTTGGATCATGTTGTGCTGGTCAAGGTCGCTACCACCGCTGTGGTCTCCAAGTTGTTGGACCTTAGTGAGAAGCAGACTGCTGATGCCATTACCCAGGCTTGGGTCGATGGCCAGAGTCTTCGAACGTACCGCCACACACCGAATACTATGTCTCGCAAGTCCTGGGCGGCTGGTGACGCCTGCCAGCGAGCAGTGAACTTGGTCCTCAAAGTACAGAAGGGTGAGGGTGGTCTTCACACTGTACTGTCTGCTCCTGTTTGGGGTTTTTACGATGTTCTCTTCAAGGGAAAGAAATTTGACTATCAGCGTTCGTATGGTAGCTACGTCATGGAGAATGTCCTCTTCAAGGTTTCCTATCCTGGTAAGTGCCAGGTTTCATTCGCTTGAATGGAATAGTTTGCTAAACGTGATTAGCCGAGTTCCACTCCCAGACCGCCATTGAGGCTGCACAGATTGTGAACAAGAAACTTGCAGCATTGGGCAAGAGTGCTAAGGATATCAAGGAAATCACAAACCGCACTCACGAGGCCTGTATTCGTATCATTGACAAACAGTTCAAGGCTATGGATAACTTTGCCGACCGAGACCACTGCGTCCAAGTGAGTACCACAAGCATGAGTGTATTGATTTCTCTCTAATCATCTCATTTTAGTACATGGTTGCCAATATGCTGGTTTTCAACCGTCTGACCGCTAATGACTATGCTGATGGCTCCGAGGCAGCCACTTCCTCCCTTTTAGAAGACCTTCGCCAGCGAATCCGCTGTGTCGAAGACGAGCAATTTACCAAAGACTACCATGACCCAACCAAGCGCACCATTCCCAACGCTTTAACTGTCACCCTCAATGACGGCACTGTACTTGATGAAGTCGTAGTAGAGGCTCCACTTGGCCACCGTCTGCGCCGTGAGGAAGCCAAGCCCGAGATTCTGGCCAAGTACAAGCGCCACCTACAGGCGCACTTTGACCAAGCACGCATCGAGGAGCTATTGAAGGTAGGCTGGGACCGCCAGCAACTAGAAAATTACGATGTCGACAAGTATGTCGATCTCTACGTTAAGGACAGGGTTATCTCTCCTTCCTCATAGAGCGCTATCTTTTGAGATAGATGATTTTGAGCATTTATACTCGGAGATGGTTACAGATCGTCTTTAACACTTTTAGAAAGATATCTATCATCACAGAATTGATGTATAAACAATCGATTCGAAGTCGTTCTAAGATTCAAAGAATTACCTACTGTAACAACTCGAAGCCTTGCTTGTAACACCTAGGTAGGCTAACTTGGCTAAGCTTCATCACAAAAGATCTTACGACATAGTTTCCTCAAAATCAGCGACTTGTTCCATGAAAAAGGAAAAAACATTCAAGCACGCGCAAACAAGTTTGTAATTACATAGTCCAAGTTACTCATCCATCGCCCATCTAACAAAGGTAAGTCGTAGCCAAGGACCAATGACTATAATGGCCAACATCGGCTTCGTTGAGATATAGACTCTTTCTCATCCCTTTTCACATTCAATCCAAGCTGCTTGTTCGCCGCTCTTAGCTTTTTCTGAAGGCTTTTAGCCTCGGATTTCAACTCAGCAATTCGGTCTTTCAACTTTTTCTTCTGTATTTTGATCTCCGATTCTAATTTGGCAATTTTGGCATTCAAATCCTTTGTCTGGACCTCTTGCGCTTTGATCTGATTCATTTGATTTCCAATCATCTCATTTTTATTCCGGACAAGAGCTTCAGACATGCTTTTGTTGTAACGAAGATCGACTACTTCAAGTTCTTCAAGGTTCAAATTTTCCTTGAGCTCTTCCATCTGGGAATCTTTGGCTTAAAGCACGTTGTAGACATCATGAAGTTCCTCGGACATCTTCCTCTGGGTCTCCTCAAGTACTCTGATTCGCTCATCGGCTTGCGTTTTGGTTCTGGTTTTCTCATTCAGATCCCGCAAGATAAGGTCATAGTCTTTTTTAAATTGCTCAATCTGGTAAGAGAGGTCTTGTTTCTCGAGTTCCAGTTTGAGTGTAGCATCCCTAATCCGCTCTGATTCACCAGCTGCACCACTTTCCATGGCCTCACGAAGCCTAAGACATCCTTCTTCAAGGAGAGAGCGCTCTTCCGGCGAGGCCGGTGGTGTAAAATTGTTGCCATTCATTATAGGGTCCACCAAGGCTTGAGATCTATTCGTATAGAAATATAATACTAGCTCAGATGCAAAAGACCTGTCATAACATACTTAAAACATACTTAAATACCTTAGGGTGCGGTTCACTATGCCGATATATTTTAGAAAAACTGGAGAGAGGTGGCGGGGTAAAGCAGTCAACAAAGTCCACCGCATTCTAAGTGTCCGCCTCATTGGCTGGGTATGTCATAGCGAGTAGTATATTAAGAGCTTGCTCAACTGAGCAAAACGCTAGCTAAGAACACACGGTCACTAACTCTCTTAACAATGACTACTTAGAAGAGATCTGAGTTCAAATAGATATTACACGGGCCCAGGTGTTATACTAATTAAACATGTGGCTAAAGGTGACATTGAGAATGCGCCTTATAAAGTTGAAATAAAAATTTCTTATTTACGATACGATTTTGGCGTGGAGATGTCACGACCATTTTTAATCGTGCGTTCGATGCAGCTGCGTCAGCCATCTAAGGCCTGATTACTGACTGGATCCCGGAATGAACATTATATGATATTCAGCGCCTCCTGATGTAGTTCTCCAGACTGTAGAAGGCCGTATATCGCATGACAAAAACAAGAGATAGCTAAATGCTCATCTGATAGCTCGTCCAACCTAGACGAAACACAACTCAACAACTCAAATAGCCTCGTACCGTAGCGCCCCTCCAGGTCTTTTGATCTCTGATCTGAGCCCATTCTCTGCAACACCAACATCGTCCGTACGATATGGCCCTGAGACTACCTCTCTCTTAACTACAATTTTCCATTATATGATACTGCCGCTCAACAGGAGCTTTTACGTTTCATCAATCAGATGTATTAATATGATATACCGATGATCGTGATAAGAGGTGTAGAACGATAGGAGAAATTTCTACGAGAAATAATACGTCTGCGATTTCACATCTACCATTAGTTGGTACTTTTTTATCACCCCGCATTCTAATTCTGCCGTAGACCACACAGCATAGCGACAAATGGCTTCATTTTTCCAAAGCAAGAAAAAAGAAAAGACTGGCTCTATTTTTCAAATTGGCAAATATTGACACACCCTCAAGAACCGGGCCTCAAGGACAAGAGCTATAACTGTGCAATCCTCCACGCCACATTTCAGGGACCAAGCCTATGCGAAGCATCCCTCCCAGAAATTTCATAAACGGAGGCTGAGCTATGGGTGTGCGCGTATGCAGTGTCACTCGATCATGTCACCGGTGATAATAGTCTTGTCAACATTATGAAATATATAGGTCTAAGGCATTCAGGCCAACATTTATTGGCTTACCTGATCAACCCACTTCTCAAGATCCAATTACAATAGAAAGAAGTCTGAAACTATCTGCACCTAGATCTGTATGTGAAATAGGTTTAAACTTACTGACAATCACTTAGGTATAGCTTCACTTTCAAGATTCAAAATGACCAAAGCAATAAATTTATCATTGTATACTAACACAATCCATTTTTATCGAAAATATGCGAGATAACAGGTGGTTGATCTAATCAAGATACGCGTTGATACGTTGGCTCTGATCGATCCTGGGGTAAAAATGGGCCTCGGGAGATATTTAACTTTTCTTCACTAGCAATCCCCGTGCAAGTCCCCTCCCTTGAACCGATGAACCACTGCGCGTCTCCCCATTGCCAGTCACGATTCGATATGACTTCTCCAACGGGAATCGATACTGGAGAGCTACAATCGAACCCTCGGTATCTCATTCGCCAACCGCGCGCCCTGCAATGGTTCGAGAACGGGCGACTGGTTAAGCGCCATGACGAAGAAAGACAAGCAGGTTAGATGGCAAGGAGGTAGATATAGTCGTAGACTCTAGAATACTCATGCGACACTACTATAGGCCGATTCGAGCTCTTTCTGGACCTTCTATACGTCGCGATACTTTCTAACTTTGCCGATACGCTTGCCGAGGACATTTCGGGCGCAAAACTTGTCAAGTACATTGTAAGTTTGCATATGACCAAGTAGAGATCAAGAAAAATTGACCGCGATTTCTATAGCTCATCTTAGCTCCATCATGGCATGTATGGAGCGACTTGCGCGAACTGATGAACTCCTTCTACAACGACGACCTGCTGCAGCGTATACTCATCTTATGGGTAATGGCCACGATGGTCGTATATGGCAATAACGCACCTCTAGTCGATGAAGATATTGGTGCGATGCGCTCAGCAGTTGGTGCCTACATGGTCGCACGGCTCTCCTGTGCCTCCGCCCACCTACTATATTCCTATTCGAGCTACCAGCACCGACCGCAGCAACGTCTCTGGTTCGGTGTCTCAATAATAACCCTATCCATATATATCCCGCTATACTTCGAGTCGGTCTCTATTCGTGGCAAAATTGCTGCTGCGGCGGTCGCGGTCCTGATTGAAGATGCCTCTTGGGTCTTCTGCTACTCCCCCATCGCGAAAAAGCTCATGCGTGTCAAATACTCGACTGCTGTCGATATTCCTCATGAGGTTGATCGATTTGCAGCCTTTTATATTATTGCGCTGGGTGAATTCCTATACTTGATTATTGTCGGGTCGCATGCGGCTGTTGGACTTAATGAGCGCCTTCTTCGCGCTATCTGGACGTTGATCATTGCCTTCTGCTTGAATTGGCTATATGTCCACGCTGACGGCTCTTTGAATACTACTCATCCTCTCCGCCATAGTATATACACAGCTTTCGCGTTCAGTATTTTGCATGTCCCGCTTATTGGCAGCCTTTTAGCCGGTGGGCACGTTGCGGCTATCTCAGTTCAAGAGGAGGATTTCGAGGAACCGCAGAAGTGGCTTCTTTGTGGTGGACTTGGTACTGGAATGATCTGTCTGTGGTTCTTTGCGCTTCTTCACGGTTCCCAAGATGCGCCTGGGACCCTGTGTCTTGGAAAGGTATGTAGCTCCATTTGTCATTCTTTGATTCCTACGATCGATGATGCTTACATCTAACTAGACTATTCGCTTGTTAATGCGCCCGACTACTGGCATAATCACTATTCTGCTGCCTCTTGCTCATCACCTTGGGGCTACATCTATCTTGTCAATTATCATGGCATTATTTAGTTTGTGTGTCCTCTGGGAGAGCGTTACTTCGCTCAAAAGTGGCGCCCATTTATGGGAGAAATGGACTGATACCGAATACCCCGAAGATGGGCAATCACAAGAAAATCTCAATACTGAGCCTTGATCGCCTGATATAAATCCGTCATATTGTTTATGGACCTACAAATCTTGGAACCAGAACCGTCTCACCTTGGATACTTACAATACTTAGTTTGCTTTTAATATGAACATTATATTTCCATAACTTGACAATTCACATAATTTTGATAATTTTCAACAATAATATTGTTATCAAGTAAAAAGCAATTGCCAAAATAATCTACTGCGATGTCAATAATACTCAAACGATACCAGCTGAGCTATTCTTATAACCAGTACTTTCGGGGTCCTGCCACGCCTGCTCATTACCACTACCACTAGTCATCAGTGTATCTGATCGGCTAATGACAGTATGGCGCCTATCCTTAAGCCCATGATGCTCCTCACGAGGCACTTCCTCCTCTTTCCGAGCCTTATACGCCTGACGTCGGAAGTATACCCTCTTGCCCCACTTCCAAGTTTCAATTCCTAGGAAGAAAAGCACAGTCTCAACAAACACAATTCCCCATTCCCACGAGATAGCGGTGTGCTTGAAGACACTATGATTGATGACAGGGATATACAGAATGGGAAAGGCAAGCACAAAACCAGCCATGATGCCCCAGAAGAGAAACTGGTTGCGCCAGACATCATGCATCCACTGTGTGAAGTGTTTCTTCGAGTCGGGTTGCATTTTGAAAAAGCTTCTTCGTAGGTCAATCATCTCCCACGCTAGGAAGAGAGCGAACCAGGTCATGCAGGTGAAGGTCGTTGCACGGGCACGAAAGACTGTATCGCAGTTGTAATCGGTGGAAGGGTCGTTGTATTGTGTGTTGCAGCCCTGGGATAAATCGCCATCACCCCAGTAGAACATGACGAGTGCAAATGCGGATAGACAAAGTCCTGCCATCCAGATTCCATAGACAAGGGTGTCGATTATGACTTCCCAGGTGAAGATTCCTTGTTTCTATCATACACAATTAGTATCTTGAATTATCACAAGGGGCAAGGAGACTTACGCTTTGAGGCGGTCGGTCCATCACATCTGGGGCTGCTATTTCCATACCCAAACCCATATCAGGCAGACCTGAAGTAATCATGATGATCCAGATAATTTCAACCGGCGAAATAGGGAACACAGATTGATTGCTATCGTCTTTGAAAGCCAGACCAATAAGCAAGGTCAGGGCCAGTGCGACATTTTCTGCCAGCAGATGTAGAACGAATTTCTGGATATTGTCAAAGATACGGCGTCCTTCTTCGATTCCATTGATAATGGAAGCGAAGTTGTCATCTGATAACACCAGTTCTGATGCATCTTTCGCCACATCTGAGCCATTCTGGCCCATTGCAATACCGACATCAGCGCGTTTTAACGACGGGGAGTCGTTTACTCCATCACCTGTCATCGCAACATAGCGACCGCGTCGGTGCAAGGCTTCAATCATGCGGACCTTCGTATTCGGTGCGCAGCGGGCGATAACCAGTGGGAGAGTAGGCAATTCGTCGATGTCCTCTTCAGACAGCTTATCAAATTCGCTAGCGGTCATCACCATTGCTTCTGCCACATCTTTTGCGACTGAATCCATGTTCGGAGGTATTATTCCAACCTGTGCTGCTATTGCGCGTGCAGTACCTGGGTGGTCACCGGTCACCATATGAACGGAAATTCCAGCCCTGTAGCACTCGCTAATTGCACCAGCTGTTTCAGGACGAGGAGGGTCGTATAGTCCAATAAGGCCGTAGAAAACCAGATTTTTCTCAACTTCCTCCCGCACAAGGGGGATATCGCCTTCTTTTGAATTCGGGAAATGCTCACGTCCAGCTAAGGCCAGAACTCGAAGGCCCTCCTTTGCCAGGGCTTCCATGTTCTCCAGAATGTGCTCCTTGATCTCTTCATCTAGTGGTACAGAATCCGAGCCAGACTTCCAGGTGACTGTCGTACAGGCTTCCAGAACACGTTCCACCGCGCCTTTTGTGAATATCATATCAGGATATCTCTCCGAGTCTCCAGATTTTGAGAAGATCACTGACATTTTCTTCACGCTGGAATCGAAGGGAAATTCCGCTTTTTGGTGCCAGATTGGCTTTTCTCCTTTGGTCCAGCGGTCAAGGCCCCAATTGAAACGTGATGCAAATACCTGAATCGCGATATCTGTAGGCTCGCCACGGGCTTTCCATTCATCGTTCGAGGTCTTGTGAAGATGGGCAAGATTTGCCATGGAGGCGACATTGAGGAAGGACTTCAAATGTTCGTTATCTTTCAGCAGATTCTCTGGTTTGGCAGGACTTGTATCTTCTGAATTTGGTTCTAGCTTCATCGGGGGTTCAGCAGTAAGACTGAGATCTCCTTCGTAGGGATTCAAAGGGTCATTTGATGATCCAACGGAGTATGTACCAACGGACGGAATCCAAGCTCTCTTGGCGACCATACGGCCTTGAGTTAGGGTGCCAGTCTTATCAGAGCAAATGTTAGTGACAGCACCCAGGGCCTCCAATGAGTCCAGTTTCCGAACGATGACATGTCTCTGCACCATCTGCTTTGTTCCGACTGCCATGGTGATAGTGAGAACTACAACCAAACAAGCAGGTATCATAGCTAAACCAGTTGCGACAGCATAGATGATAACTTCCTTATCACCCCTCCAGTCGTTGGCAGCTGCAACAACAACTGCAAAGATAACAGCAATTCCAAAAAGGAGCAGGGCAAGCTTCGACAATTTGCGCTGTAAAGGAGTACCGATATTGATGCCAAGAAAGCGACCAATTGCATCCGTAGTGGTCAGGGTCCACGCCTGGATGTACCATAGCTTTTTCGTTTCGCCCTCAGGCCCACGCTTGACGGTGCGTCGTTTGGAATCTCCTCCGCGAAGAGCAGCGGCAATGGCACCAATCTCTGTTTTCATTCCTGTTCCGATGGTTACGCCTCGAGCGCGTCCTCGGGTCACAGTGGAAGAACTATAAGCAATGTTCAGACGATCTCCAGGGCCGGTACCTGTGTCGAAGATTGACTCTGCATCTTTCAGTACTGGAAGAGATTCACCAGTTAGAAGTGCTTCGTCAGTTTCAAAGTTGAACGCTTCAACCAATCTATACCCATGTTAGAAATCTATAATTGTTCTTATAGGGGGGTTATCACATACCTTAGATCTGCAGGAACAGTGTCTCCGACCTTCAGCTCAACCATATCCCCCGGTACTATCTCGTTGGCAGGAACTGTGATGGTTTTTCCATCTCGAGTAACCACACCAGTAGGAGAGCTCAATGACCGCAGGGAATCCATGGTCTTTTCGGCAGCAAAATCCTGGTAGACGCCAACGGTGATATTCAGGATAATCACTGCAGTGATGAATCCACCTTCAATCCATGACTGGATGCCGAAGCTAACTGCCATCGCAATAATGAGGATCTAGATTCGTATCTGTCAGCTACTTTATTCTTCCTCTTACTCTCCCAGTACTCACCAGCATCATCGCATTGGCTATTTGTCGGATGAAAATCTCCGCGAAGGAGACGCCCTCGTCGCCTTCAAGCATGTTCTCTCCATACTTGTCGAGATTCTGCTTCGCCTCTTCTGAAGTAAGTCCATCCTCTGAGTTTGTGCCTAGCTCATTGATGACATTCTCGAAGGTTAGGCTATGCGCCGGCTGGGACAAGTATTCAAGTGAATCCACGGCCTGGGATCCTTGACCTTGTCCTTTCTCTTGAGACATGACCATAGAATACGTGGAGACTGTATATTCGTTTGCTCACTATAAGATTTTTTTGTTGAAGATGATGATTGTACTTCTATGACCTTTTTTCAAGGAGGTGTCGAATAGAAGGTATCGTCAATGGAGTGTGAGTCCATGTAAAGTATGTGCCTAGGTATGACTCGAGACTTGCTTGAATTCTAAGTACACATATGATTCTCCTTTGACTTGTATATTTTTCAAACAGGGGGGAATTGGCTGAACTTAAATACTTCTGACACTCTGATGGCGAATTCGACCTTTATGCCAATAAACGGAACAAGGTCCGAATATGATGCAGCGGGGTTCTTTAAATCTGGGGACGACCACCGCCAACAACGAATTAGAATTTTGAATCGCATCTTGGTATGGAGCCGAGGTGATAAATGACGCAAACGACTGGTCTCGGCGCTGGCTCGGCTGCGGTTAAACGATGATTGATGATTGGTGGCGGTGATAGTTGCCAAGAGCGGGATTCCTTAGCCCCGCTATATCTATTGAACATCTCCAACTTTCCCAATACGAAGCGGAATATGTCACACTTGGCATCTCCTGGGCAATTCTTGGCGAGGTTTCATTGGAGAGGTCTGAGAGGTCTAAGAGCTCGCAGTTTTGGTTCAAATCCACCCGTCTTTCCACCTTTTCCCACTCATTCACATTTGCAAAAACATTGAGTACTTTCTTCTCGGTGGCAAATATTTAACGTCACTGACCACCCACCCATGTGAACGAACAACATCCAGGCGCCATTTTTCTAAGAGAACGTTCAAAATATTTCAAGGCATCTTCCAGGCTGAGCCTTCATTCAAGTTTCAGAGTCACACTCTCACCCTCTCCAAGGGTAAGAATAACTGTATCATAACAGTTTCTGGTGAGCTTCATTCCCTAACCGTCGTATTCGGAATCGTATTTCCTAGACCCACCATTTAGTCCATGTTTTTGCAGATATGGCAGACAACAACTCCATGTCCTCGGGGAGGTAATTGGAATCGTGATCGGAGCTATCGTGCTCTTTGGGCTTATCAGTATTGTTCCGATGTGAGTTCACTAGCACCGATTTGTCTTGGCTCTACCAATTTCCATGACTATCTCATTATAAAGAATTACCTATATACCTTACGTATACTTACATCCCTCTAGTGTCATCATGTGGTGTCAACGTCAGCATGCTGCTACACGAAGCGCCAGGGAAATTCAAAACCTCACCTCGTCAATGCAACAGATATCTGTTGGCAGATGGTTGGAAGAGCAGAATATCGCCAGTGAAACACACCTCTACGCCCAAGACACTTGGTATGTTTATTTTCTTGCCAGCTAAAAAAAGATTCGTTTCATGGTATCCGATCTTATCTTACTATATTGGCTCTGGGGGCTCGACCATGTATTTCGGCTAGCGCCTAGGCTTGGCCATTATTGCTTTACCCTATAAGGAGTTTCTCATTTTCTTGGCTACTTGATTTGCTGTACATCCTCGTATCGCGTGCTTCTTCTTGGCCTTTAACCATGCTTGGCCAACGCTCATACCGCGCCTACTAACCCTTTTCTTTAGTCCTATATGTCTATCTCACTTATCATCGACCCCATATCTACAGCCCCCCGAACCTGCTGCTCATCAACACAATCCGAGACCATATCCATTTTCAACTTCAAAGACAACTTCTGACCAAGGGAACTGTATCATTATTCTTAACCGCTGCCATCATGCCTTTCATCTCACTTGTCTGACGTCTTGGTTTGAGTACCGGCACTATAAGTGCCCACTCTGCCAAGCTTCGTATTCTCCTGTCGAAACCGCATGATTTGTTTCCAATGTATTATTCATATGATAATTAGGATTTATTATAAACCCGCTAACACAGTATTACTTTTTAAATTATAATTTATAAAAGTTGTAAGTCTGGGATTGTGAGAGTTTAAATGGAGAACGTCACTTTCGTAATTTGATATGATATGGCAGTACGTAGTGTAGTGAGGGTGTCAAAGGGCCGATATTAACGTGCGTCACGGTTGACCGAGCGTCCCGGTTGGCCGAGCGACACCTCAAAATATTTACCCCGAAATCGACCCTCCTTTTTCTAACACCAACAATGCCTCCAATTCGCACTCAAAAATCGAAAGATTTGGAGCAGCAGGAGAGTAAAGTCTTATTAGCAATTCAGGCTATTAAAGATGAACGATACTCCTCTGCTGCTGCCGCTGCTCGCGCCTTTTCAGTTCCTGTCTCAACTTTGAAAGCGCGAATCCAAGGTCGCAAATCGAAGGCCATAACTCGCCATTCTCGCCATAAATTCTCTAAAGGTGAGGAGAAATCGATGGAAAAATGGCTCCTTGATATGGACGCTAGAGGATTCGCTTTTTCGCATGAAATGTGCCGAAATATGGCGAATCTGCTCCTCCGCACCCGCGAAATTGTCCCCTCCGACACCCCCCTAAAGTTGGCAAAAACTGGGTGACAGGATTCCTTCAACGCACCGAATCTCTTCATACGCGAAAATCTCGGGCGCTTGATATCCAGAGGGCGCAGACAGAAGATCCATAAGTCATCCAAGGGTGGTTTAATCTCGTCCAGAATATAGTCACAAAATATGGTATCCTTTCAGAGGATATCTATAACTTCGATGAGACTGGATTTGCGATGGGTGTTATATCTTCAGAGTATATTATATGCTCCTCAGATTACCATGGTAAACGAAGGCTTCTTCAAGCTGGAAATCGAGAGTGGGTTACTGTTATTGAGACTATCAACGCCCAAGGTGTTGCGCTTCCGCCCTATATCATCCTAAAAGGGAAACATTTTATGGAGTGTTGGTTTGACCATCTACCCCCTAAATGGTCACTAAACACTAGCCTAACTGGTTGGACTATAAATCTAATGGGTCTAGATTGGCTGAAAAGCCACTTTATACCTAATTTGGTCCAGAAAGGGAGATATATTCTGTTGGTTTTAGATGGTCATTCTTCGCATCGTACGCCAGAATTCGACCAACTATGCGCGGACAACGATATTATTTGTCTATGTATGCTAGCTCATTCATCCCATCTATTACAACCTCTTGATGTAGGATGTTTTTCGGTGCTTAAAAAGGTATATGGAGGCCTGATTAGTGCTGAAATACAGAATGGAGTGGATTCTATTGATAAGGATGATTTCCTCCAAATCTATCCTTATACACGTAAAGCAACATTTAAAGCATCTACTATAGTGAATAGCTTCAGGGGCGCTGGTTTAGTACCCCTGGATGCTAATCATGTTTTAGAAAAGCTGAATATCATGGTCGAAAACCACCCTCAAGACCCCCCTCAAGACCCCCCTCACGACCACCCTCAACGCCCTACTTCTTCAAGCAGCAGTGACTCAAATCGGCCTTGGAGCTACTCGAAAGTCCAAAAATCGAATTCTGCTATCAAGAAAGAACTCGAATCTTCCTCAGGAGCTTTAACTTCACCTCTAAAACGACAAATTTATCGGTCGCAAGATGCGCATACTCAGATGGCGATTCGGATGATGATGATGGAAGACCGTATTCAGCGATTGGAGAATACTGCGAAGAGAAAGATAAAAAAGAGAGCAGCTAGCAAGAAGCACAGAGGCCATGAAGGGAGTCTTCGGAGTTTGGAGGAATTGCAGCAAAGCGTGGTTGCTCAGGAGAATGGTAGAGTTGAATATATATCCCTAGAGGATGCTCCTGGACAACCTATAGAAGATGTTCCATTGCCTACTTTACCTACTATTAGGCGACTCGTCACCTGTTCAGGTTGTGGAACCAAAGGCCATATATATACCTAGTGTCCTACACGCGTTAAATAGATAATTAATTCATGTTTTGGTGTTAAAAGTTGATGTTGAAAATCTTAGATTTTTTAAGTTCCAAATGCGTCGCTCGATCAACCGGGACGCTCGGTCAACCGTGACGCACGTTAAGGGGTGTGCTGCGTATGTCAGCAGGACCCATAATGTGTGTATTTAAGCGGGTTTCATCCCTAGATAGACAATCCAGTTTCGTCAACCATTTCTGGTTGGACGGTCAATTTCTCATTTGACAGAGGGACTAGGTCACCTGACATTAGTGGAGATGGTGTATTTAAGCATTCAGTTGAGAGATGAGACCATCCGACTACCTTTACCTTCTTGAGCCACCCCTTTGTTCTCCTTCCTTTCTCCCACACAGCCCCTAGAGAACGGACTCTGACTGCATCTACCATACTCCATGATTTAGCTAGGTTCGCAGACTAACTAGGACGTCCCTGTTCCCCGTGACAGTAGGTAGCTTTATGTACCATCTTTTCCATGTCAGGTGGGGCTTTCCTATTTCATGTGCCGCTGCTTTTATGAAAGCGCTCAGGGTCAGGCTCAGTGAGTAAATTTTAGTCTGGGCTCAGGCTCACTGGGCTGCTTATTATCATTACGTGATAGATCAGTGATTATGATTCTCACTGATTGCTCAGAGACATCTATTAAGCACTTAATCCACGCTCAGCCTATACCTAAAGGAGCCCTCGGCCTTAAAACACCGTTGAATCATTTTATGAACTACTTTTTGAGGGCCCTAGCCACGCCTCCGTTTCTGAAGTTGCTTTATTCTTATTCGTGTACCCCTCAAAAATATGTCGCCGAGAACGAGATCACTCAAAAATGGAAGGCATATGTTTTATTTTTAAGCAATGGCGCCGGCGAAATGTCCTTTTAATTCCTTGTTTAGCGATGCATATATGTAGAAGCCCAGATATAAGTTGAGACTATATCCCCTTCCTACAATAAATTAATTAGCTTTTATCCCTCCTTCTATTACTTTGGTTTTTAAATTCCATCTTAGAATTTTCTTTCGTACTTGCTCAGTCATAGATAGGAAATACTTCTTTGCTCAATAGGATGGAATCGCCAAATGGAAGAGATCGCTAAAGAGAAACGCTGTAAGCAATTGAAAAAACGGTTATGTTTTCGGAACATATACACATGATGATGCGATTCGAGATGGATCCCTACTACCTAAAGGATGTACCAGCAACACGCAAAACTATGGAAGGAGTAAGGGCTCACTTTATTGCGATACAAGTAGCCCTAAGTGGAAAGTAAAACTGACCTGCTTCTAGGTTTATTGAACAAAACGGGGTACAAAGCTACGAAATGGATCTAGGTTCCAATCCTCCGAGTTATGAGCTTATCAATAATTATATCCATTGATATATTGCTTCCGTGTGAGGCCGACTTAGTAAAAGTGAACGACCAGTGATGAAATAAGTTATGTCGTTCGCGGAGCGGTTTTCGGTGGGCTTGAAGAGGACATGTAAGTTAGCATTGTGCTAGAGGATCGGAAAGAAGTATTTAGCGTGAGTCTGGCTTTCCTTCTTCCGTTCTATAGCATAAGTCAAAAGTTACAGCAAGGCAGTGGATTAAGAGGTCATTGATAGCAGAATGAACTATTGAAACTATTGAGTTCCTAAATCATAGCGATAGTACGTAGGGTTCAGATATGCTCAGATCTGGGCTCTTTCTCATGGTCAGCTAAGTCCCATATATACATCTGCTTAGCCTTGTCCAGACTAACTTTCTCTAGGAATAGATTGCCCATATTATAATAGTGTCAAGTGTTAACAGATAGGTTGGTCTCAGCTCTTTTCTTCTAGCTATACAGGCGGCGGGGTGGCAGGGTCGACCCTAACTGCCCCATCTTCTGCTGTCCGACCAATCAGAATTAATTTTGATTCAATAGTCTCAACACGAAGGCACTGCCAATATCCACTAAGAATAATAATAGTTCTCTATTAGTGTATATGTCCGGGGTGGATTATTTTCCAGCTGAAATTCAGCTCAAGCCACAGTATACTAATAAGAAATAATTCACGATGCTTCGGATTATCCGTGGAATTTTTCCGACAAACTTCTTATTTATAACACACATCCTCCTATAAAAAAGTAATTCCATCAATTGTGGTTTCATCCTTCTACAAGAGAACTTTACAAAAGTATACAATATACATTAAAACGGCAGCCTTCTCCTTGTGGCGAACATTCCTTTATACTTTATTGAATTATCGCTCTGAAGGTAAAATCTACGTATGCCCTAGAAATTTACAGGTTATCTAATTAAGTAACCTCTGTTAGTCCATTACGATGAGCGACCGTGAAAATGGACTTGTGGTGTAATACGGGCACCGGCCAAATACGAGGGGGTTCCTCTCACCAAGAGCATCACTTTAGCATTTCAGATGTTATGCTAACTGATTCAGCCGTTATTCCTAGAACGGGACAGAGTCTCCTTCGAAGTTAAGGATGATCGGGCGGTTGAAATTCTTGTACTTCGGTGATTGCATATTTTGGTTGTGGACTCCTGCTCTCATTCCATACTTCCTGATGTCAACACTTGCGATTGTAGACCATTCCCTTGAGCCAAAGGCTATAATAAACTTCCGAACGGAAGATTATGCGCAAGTTCCATATATATATATACCAACCTTGTAGAATACTGAATTGAGCATAATGGCGGTCGCATCTCCGTACACCGTTACAATTATCTCCTCCTCTCTGAGGGACGCGTCCCCGTGTTCTAATTCATAAGGATGGTAGCCCACGTTCTGGATACTCACGCATTCCATCCCGGAAGTACGTGAATCCGTGGGGAGCTGACTCAGAGGGCCACCTTGACCATAGTGTACCCCTACTAACTAGTTCCGAGAAGAGAGTTCTCTTTCCCTTTCTTTTCTCTTTCTTCAATCTTTCAATTGAAGTCTCATTTCTTTCGTTACACTTCAGCTCAGGATGACCGAAGATTCAACGGAGGTCAAACTTTATTCTCCAAAGAAAATACAAGCCACAGCAACAACAGGTGAAGATGAAGATGTTAAACCGGATTTTTTCGAAAACTTACCCAACGCAATCAGATACATCGGATCTACCCCGTCCGGCATCAAACGAATCCTTAACAGGGAAATGAAGTCTTTAAAAATGACCAAATTTGTCACATTTATAAATGTGAACCCAATTCTTTTGGAAAAGACCTCATCAAAAATGCTCCCCAAGTCCTCAAAGATCAGCTACAATCATGAAACTCGTCAGATGATAGTGAAGCTCGCAGGTCCTGCACACTCATGTCATATGCTCTTTCCTCTTCCCTCCAACCAATGGGGGATGGCAAAATTAAGGGCAATCTTATCTCCAAAGAACCAGACTGGTCTATCCGACCCGATGAAAACTTGCTCCCCCCAGGCCGTGATTCGCTTTGGCCGGAACTCGTTTTAGAGACAGGAGTATCGGAGAGCCTAAGTGAACTCATGAAAGACGCTAGGTTTTGGCTATCAAACAGCATTGGTGACATGAAGATGGTCCTAGTCATATCAGTGAACTCAAAAGTCCCACACATCAGATATCGATGTGTGGTGGTTTCGAGCACATCCGTCGGCCGCAATGGGTGTGTTCAATATGTTTATTCAACGCGACACGAGATGGAGCAGACTAGGGATGCCACTGGAGCTGTTGTAACTACGAATGGCCCAATCACCATTCATTTCGACGAACTTTTTCTCCGGCCACCCGTTGCTCCCGAAGCGGATATCACTTTGGACTCCGTGAATTTGGATCGTATGGCGCGCAGCATCTGGAACAGTGTCCTCAAGATTTAATTTTTTTTCTTTCTCTTTTTTTTCCCCCTTCCTTCTTCGGCTCTTCTTATATTGATACCCAATAGTCTTATCAAATCCAGACTCGCCATCTCGTTTACGAAGACATCTTATAACTAAAGGTCTCTACATAATAAACACGTTCTTTTGATAAGTTAGAGTGGGGAATTGATTAAGTGTTGATCAGTGGGGGCTCAGTGGAGATTTAGGACTGCATATGTCCTCTAGCTGGCCATTATTAATTATGCTCTTTCTACTAACTGATGATGTTATAAATATCTTTTTATTCTTCGATATGATACAATTCTTATCTATAGCTTTTTAACACTTTTTAGAGGGTATTGGTGGCATGGTGGGTGTTGAAAACAGAGGTTTACTATAGGGATTGAAGTTTGATATGGTGGAACAACCGGGATTTACGTTTATAAGCAACGTGCTCCTCTCTTGTCTGGCTAAGTTGGTTGTCCGAATTCTAGCCACCTGCTACGGCTCCTGCTTCCTAACTTCAAGAAAAGAATGGAAGAAGTAAAAAGGGGAAAAGGCATTAAGAAAACTCAAGCTGAAACTCGGACTACCGAGCATTTTTGTTCCATGTTTGGCGATCAATCTATTTTATAAAGCTCAATGGGAAATATAACGGATTGAATACGTCAATCCGTCAATCCGTTACAATCCCTAAACGGTACAAAGGTATTATTTGGGCGCTCCCCGAGGTCCAAATTCAATACGAGCCCCGGCCTGTGTCTCCTCATAGATTTGATTTAATTTGGACTGAGTTGAGATCTAGCCATGACTGGATATTTTGGACTAAACCATCAATCTCTGTCTTTGTATTGCCAGCATGCATACACACCCGCACTCGTTCTGTTCCCTCTGGGACCGTGGGCGACATGATAGCACGGACAATATATCCCTCTTTCTGGCAGGCAGCTGCCAGCTGACGCGGGTGTGAAGTCAGCAATGAGATGATGGGGGAGGTAGGAAAATGGGCCACCTTAAAGACCGTCGATTGGGTGATCTGGAGACTATCCAGGCGTTGACGTAGATAGCCAATGAGTTCTTGCACTCTATCCTGCAACTGTGGTATGTTAGTGAGAACGATGAACTTTATGTTCAACAGGCCATACCTTCGTCATTTCTCCGGACGATAAAAGCTCGTAGGCAGTGCGGATGGATGCAAGAAATGGAAATCCCAACGCAGTCGTGTAGATAAGGCTGCGGGCATAATTGATCAGGTAGTCTCTGATTTCAGGTCCACATAGTACCATTGCTGAAATTGATCTCATTAGTCATATTCATTATTTGAGAAAGGTGGGGGATGTACCTCCATGGCAAGCTAGAGCTTTACCAAATGTATGGACTCTTATGAGCATGCGGTCTTGAATTCCAAGTTCTTGTACCACACCAGCACCCCGGGGACCAAGAACACCGGTTGCATGCGCCTCGTCAACAATGAAATAGCCATTTCCACAGGGAAGAAGATCATCTACGATCTGAACAAATTCCCTGATGGGAGCGATATCTCCGTCCATACTATATATGGACTCGATAACAATGAGGACATTGCGCGTTCCATCCGCAATTTTAGGATCACTGGAGACTTGTCTCAACAGAACTTCCCGGAACCCATTTGGACAGCTATGGGGAAACTTTTTCGTCGTGCCTGCCCTGGAGAGCCGCATCCCCTCATGAGAACTAGCATGAATAAACTCATCATACAAAATTACATCGCCAGGTTGAGGGATACTAGACAGTATTCCTACGTTAGCGTCGTATCCAGAGTTGAACAAAAGCGCTGTGGGCGCTTCGTGGAATTTAGCCACGAAACGCTCCAGTTCCTCTGTATAGGCTGAATTGCCATCCAAGAGCCGCGACCCGCCACTGGCAAAGGGGAAAGACTCTGGCGCATTGTTCACATGGGATAAGAACTTGCCCCGAAAGACAGGAGACTGAGAGAGAGAAAGAAAGTCATTGGAGGAGAAGTCAATGGCTGTCTTAGGCAGAATAGTGAGCTTGCGGCGGGCAGACTTAGCTTCGCGCCGAGTCAGAGCGGCCGATAGCGAGCTTACAAGTTTCCCCGATGACCTCGATGCAGGAGGAGATTGTTTTGGAGAATTCATTGAAAAGAGTGGTCACAGATGCATCTGCAGAGGGGAAGTAGAGATGGGTTGTGGTCTAGGCTAGACAAGGATCCACAATTTTAATCTCGTTTAGCCCCAGCCTGACGTAGTGAGCCCGGGGTAGAAAGACATAAAAATCTTCAACATGTATAATTAACGAGCCATTCGCGAAGAGAGAATAGATACTGACGATCTTCAACACAAGGAAGCCCTATATAATCGAGTATCTATTGGGATTCAACGGGAAATTCAACGAAGAAAAGAAAATAAAAAATATTGTGGGGTTGCGGGGGAAGCTGTGATTAGTCAATTGTGATTCCTGAACCGCGTCTGCGGAATCCGATAGATGCAACCGTGACAAAATGAATGGTATTGTAATCCAAAAGTGCCATCTTACCGTCCGTAACGGAATTACCCTTTTGGCCCTCTTTTATTGTTAGCGGTGGGTTTACTCGCAGTAGTTCTCCTGCAGGGGACCGTACAAAAGGCGAGTGAAACATACAAATGGAGGAGGAAAAGGAGGAAAGGGATCTATTAGAACGAAGGATATCCCACATAGAACTTCCCTCCTCAAGTTGATTAATGATATTCACCGATACCTGCCCTCTTTCGTTAGAAGTGCACCAGTACCCTTACAAGAAGAATCGAGTGATGTTGGTTGCAACTTGGCTCTAGATCTCATTGGTTTTCATGTATGCTCGTTTATTTTTTAAGTATTTGCTTTAAAAGTGCTCTCATCAATGCAATTGAGTATGTTATTTTACCTTATTACTTGTAAATTGTAGTAGAGTTGGAGTTGGACTTGGACTTGGACTTGGTCGAATTTCAAGGTTGAGATGACTTACGATACAGGTAATAAAACATTCTGCCGAGTGTAAAATACGTATTTTGTTTTCCGTTTTATGGGTTTTGTCGCGATTGCATCTATCGGATTCCGTAATCGGATTCCGTACCGCGTCAAAGCCCTGGCTTGTTCTCTTCTCTATTTCTACCTCTACAATATACTTCATCATGGGCCCTGTGAGCGCTGGACTCTGGCGCAAATTGCGTGCGCATCAGGTTCATGGTGCCAATACGGATGTGGGTAAAACCATCGTGTCAACAGTCCTTTGTAATGCCGTCCAAAGACAAAAACAACGGGCTGCGTTCCTGAAACCTGTCTCCACTGGAGCTCTGGACGATGCCGATGACCGGTAGGGCTTTCATTAAAACTAAGTGGAGGGTCGTATCAATATTAATTGGACTCATAGCCATTTAAAGCGTTTCGGGGCAGGAACTTTGACCAAATGCCTATATCAGTTCGATGAGCCCGTTAGTCCTCATCTCGCTGCAAAAACAAAGATTGTAGGTGGTATAGCCAGGAAATTACAGACATTTCTAATTGAACCAGATTCCACAAGATGATGAGTTGTTGGAATCCATTCACAAGACTCTCTTTGACTGGTCTCAATCGAATGTTGACTTTGCCTTGGTCGAAACTGCCGGAGGAGTTCACTCCCCTGGCCCCAATGGTAACTCCCAAGCGGATTTGTACCGTCCCCTTCGATTGCCCATCGTGCTTGTTGCAGACTCACGGCTAGGAGGTATCTCTGCGTCAATTTCGGCCTATGAGTCCTTGCTGCTCCGCGGATATGATGTTCAATCCGTGTTGTTATTCCGTGATGAATATTATCAGAACCATGAGTATCTGCGTGACTATTTCCGCAAAAAAAGTATTCCCTTGGTATCGCTACCTGCACCGCCAGCAAGACCTTCGCAGGAGGACGCAGATGCTCGATCAAGGGATGAGGAAGCTATGTCATCCTACTATGGGCAAGTCTCTCAAGAATCAGCTATCTTCCGTCTACTCGAGGAGATGACTATTAAAAACAAGAGCCGAATCGAGCGACTCGAAGAGATGGCTGGACGAGCCCATGACTTGATTTGGTATCCTTTTACTCAGCACCACGGCATGGAAGCCAAAGAAATCACGATCATCGACTCAGCCTATGATGATTATTTCCAGACCTTTGGCTCTAGTAAGCTTTCCCAGCCGGAAAGTGAATTACGCCCGACATTTGATGGCTCGGCTTCGTGGTGGACCCAAGGACTGGGTCACGGAAATCCTGCGCTGGCTCTTTCCGCTGCATATGCGGCCGGTCGCTATGGACATGTCATGTTCGCAGGGGCTGTGCATGAGCCAGCACTCTCCCTTGCCGAACTCCTGTTGAAGACCCTTGACAATCCGCGCTTTAGCAAAGTGTTCTATACTGATAACGGTAGCACTGGAATGGAGGTTGCAATCAAGATGGGTCTTCGAGTGGCATGTGATCGATACGGCTGGGACGCTAGTAAGGAGCAGATTAAAATTCTGGGACTCAAGGGTAGTTATCACGGCGACACTATCGGAGTAATGGATTGTTCTGATCCTTCAACATATAACCAGAAAGTCGAGTGGTACCGTGGTCGGGGCCATTGGTTTGACTTTCCGCTGGTGAAGATGGTCAATGGTACATGGAGGGTCGAGTTTCCAGATGAAATCAAGGCAGATCTTGGCTCGGACAGGGAGTTTGATTCTCTGGGCTCGGTATTTGATGTTAACAAACGCCTCAGCTCCGATGAAGGTCAGCGATATAAGGATTACATCCGCCGTACCATTGAGGATCTTGTGAAGAATCAGGGAATGAAGTTTGGCGCTCTGATTATGGAGCCTATCATTCTGGGTGCTGGCGGAATGCTTTTTTGGTGGGACTGACTATTTCCTTTTTAATATTCATTATTAACAGTCAAATCCTAGTGACCCATTGTTCCAACGTTGTCTGACCGACGTCGTCCGGGACCATCCAGAGCTATTTTCTCCTAAAAATAACATCCCAAAAGCAGCACCATCATGGTCAGGCTTGCCTATTATCTTTGATGAAGTATTTACTGGTCTCTGGCGTCTTGGACGCTCGAACTCGGCATCATTTTTGGATGTTTACCCCGACATCGCTGTGAACGCAAAACTTCTGACCGGTGGCCTGATTCCTCTTTGCACAACCACTGCCAGCCAAGAAATTTTCGATACGTTCTCGAGTCCTGAGAAAAGTGATGCTCTTCTCCATGGTCATAGTTACACTGCCCATGCAGTTGGGTGTACCGTGGCGAATGATTCACTGAAGACGATGATTGATATTGAGAACAATGGATCTTGGAATGGATTCCGTGCGGACTGGAACACTGAGCAGTCTGAGTCAGCAAATTCATCTACGCCGGAAGTGTGGAGCGTCTGGTCGTATGGGCTGTTGCATGACTTGTCTTGCGCCGAATCGGTGGAGAGCGTATTTGCTATCGGAACAGTTCTGAGTATCTCGCTTCGAGATGAACAAGGTGGTGGTAAGTTTCCGGGATCATGACAACTCTCTCATTGAATTTTATGCTAAATTGGTATAGGCTACACTTCAAATGTGGCCAAGGGATTGCAGCAGAAGCTGGCTGCTGGTGGTGACCAGTTTAATGTTCACTCTCGAGTTCTGGGTAACGTGCTCTACTTGATGTCTAGCGTGACCTCAAAACCAGATTCACTGCAGGAAATGGAGAGAATGCTTCGTTCTTCTCTCTTAGAAAATTAGCCAGGTGTTTTGTGGCCTGGTTTTTTCGATTTAATATCGTCATATCGTTATATGCTAGGTACATTTGCTTTTCGATAATTATTAACGCAACAGAAAATCCAGTCATTTTAGGTATTCGTATTGGAAGCTCAATTTCATCAAAAAGAAAGGACCGAATTCCTTGGAACCTGCAACCGAGATGTGACATGAAGTCTAGCGATGTGTCCAGGCAATATCTTCTAAAAACCCCGTGTCATGACGGCCTCTGAATATAGCAGATACCGAAAATAAGAGGAAAATTCTTTCTTTAATTGAGAAGTTGAAAATTTATGTTGGCCATATGATGCGAAGTTGCCATTCGAGCAGCTATTTATGAAAAATACTATTTCAACACCAACATTGATAGACTACGCAAGAAACGCGTCCAATATCTCGTAGTCCACAGATGCAGTTGAGAAAGCTCTTATTGGCAAATAGATCAAAATTGAGAAGAGCTTGGATACCGTATCTAGCCCAAGTCAGCTTGGTTTAGTTGGATATTCCACTTATCAAGTAATACAAACAACAACTAAGCACAGCCCCTTCCCACAGGCGAGCTTTTTGATACCTTCTTGCACGCAAGCCGTAGCACTGACTGGGGATAAACCTTCCACTCGTTATGAAAGGAAGCTAATGTTAAAGGAGTCCAACACTCCTTAGCTGTCCTCCCATGGAATGGCCTTCTCCAAGTGGGGCTATCAAGCACACTTTGCTCCTTATGTTAAACAAGATAGTGTCGGGGAAAAGTCAGTTATGATCAAAAAGGAAATTGCTTAGGAGGTACACTAAGTCTCTGACACCCAAAAGCAATCACACATCGTCATGCTTTGAGATACGCCTTCATCCTCAACGCATGGTTATGATACCCCGGAGTTCTTCGTTTTACTGAGATGAGAGCTTAATTATGAGTAATTAGCAAACTCTACCTGAGTTTCTTGGTCTACTAAATGGGTGAAATTTGAGCTTGCATGAAACCAGGTGATGAGCAACTCAGAAGGAAATCTTAGGTGGGCTGCTTCCTCACATCTATAAATTCGCAAAAACAAGACCCGGTGTAGTTTTTTCAAATCTTGAAAAGCCTCTCATTTCCCCGGAGATATTATTGTGGCATGAGAGAAAGAAGCCCATTAGGTTCATCTGCCATTTCTCTTTCAGGAAAGAGGCTGCTATTTTCCATCTTCTATTATATTTTGATATCTATCTCTTTTAACAAGACATCACTTTTATGTTCAATTGCAAATTTCGAAGACAAGCTTATCATTTCACTAACATCGAGAGTATTTGCCTCCAGGGCTCTATTGAAAATAGGAACTCCGTGAGTTGATCTCCCAGTGCATCCGTTTTACGTTCCCTCTTCAACGTGGGAAGCACGATGATGTTAGAATCCGAAGCAGTGCGGCAGCCGCATGAGACATTTACTGTTGAGGCGCACCCAAATCAGGTATAGCTTGCTCGAATAACTTAAGACTACATGACCACTATATAAATTAATTCTATATATCAATAACTAACTAGCTGCCTAGAATTCGCTGTTCCGCTCGAGTTTTGAATAAAGAATTGGACTTTTTATTATCAATCCTTTTTTAAATACACTGTAGAGCTTACTGACAGATAATTGGTGAGACCATCCAGGCAAGTGAGATAATAGCGAGCTTGAAAGCACTTGAACACTTTGCATCCGATAAGAAGGTCAAGTAACGGTGAGACCCGAAGCTGATTTGAGATGATTTGATTACGCAGCTGGCCATTTTATACAACTAATATCCACTTGAAAAAGCCCTCTGCAGAAAAGGAATAGCTTAAATCCACGGCTTCGGCTCAAAGGCAAGATTCGCACCAGCACTGGCCACGTCATCTTTGTACGACCCTCGGAAGAGCATGGGGGCTGCATAGATCAGCTTTATATAGTGCCATCCACCTTGGACCACAATCGGATTCAGGGAAGGGGATCGTACCGAACGTGTGTCGCAAACACTGCAAGCATCCGTCAAGAACTAGTCGAAAATAAGACCGACTTTCATAGTTGACCAAGGCAGCAGTGACGGCACATCTCATTGTCGTGAAATTGTTGTTGGTCTAAAGCCCCAATGCTCTCTGAGGTCATGACAGGGTCAGTGCTCTGGGCAGATATGCAATAGGCCCGATTGGAACCAGACAGGGATGAATCAATGTCCAAAAGATGAAACCCTCAGGAGACTGCTATGGGAGATTTCCATTCAGACTAAGAGGGTGAAAGTCCAATTGTAGCAGTGCTCTCATTGTACTGTGTACACTCGTGAGAGCCGAGGCGTTAACTGATGCTGATCAATTCTATACCTCAAGGTTCCAAGGTTCCAAGGTTCCCCGCAAATTGACATTTTCTGGGGAAATGATTGGCGGAAAAAGACCATTAGCTATGGATATGTCAATTCTTTTATGAATTAATTGTGGAGAGATTCAGTTGTGCCGAGGAACTTTACTTTCGGTCGGTTGACGGTTATACTGCACTGCTATAAGGCACCCAGTCCAAGAATTTATTTACGACAAAAATGTAAAAGTGGGCTTGGAGAGGTTTTTAACTCATTAGCAGACTCTTCGGCAATATAGTTTGACATTGCTATCATACGATTCAAAGCCTTATATATTCAATTACATATTGAGACAAGAAGTTGATCATTTAGACTCTGAGAGCTAAGCTTGGACGTCCAGTACTACTAGTATGGATCTAGGTATGGGCATTGAGTCGTTCATAGGTTCGTCCTTTTAACATAGAACAGGTACTGCTGCAGCAGCTATCGCTGGAGGGGCGACTGTGGCAGCCTATCTCAATGCCAAATTCCATCTCCAAAAAGATGTATCCACTCTGCGAAGTATGAGAAAGGGTGATCGCAACTATGTACGAGCTTGTAAGTGTGTGGAAACTCCAGGAAAAACGCATGAACACTCATCATTCCCAGTTGAAAGAGGACGCGGAAATCCATGGTTTGTGTTCATGGAGACCGCAAAGAAATTCCCAAATATGACATGCTTATGGACCCGGGACTGTTCACTCAAATATCGAGAGCTGCAAGCGCAGGTTTGCCAATATGCCCACTACTTTCTATCCATGGGAGTGAAGAAAGGCGACTTGGTTGGATTCTATCTTCAAAACTGCTCCGAATTTATCATTGCGTGGATTGCTCTTTGGAGCATTGGGTGTGCGCCTGCAGCAATCAACTATAACCTTTCCGGGGATGCTCTTGTGCACTGTTTGAGAATCAGTGGTGCCAGATTCACCTTGGTAGATGAGGATCCGACCTGCTGCGCTCGGATAGATGAATGTCAAGCTACTCTGACTAGAGAGCTGGGAATGACGCTGTCAGTGATAGACGATTCTCTCAGAGCGCAAATCAGCACCTTTCCTACCACTTTACCACCCAAGCATCTCGCTCTAAATGTGACTGGTGATTTCCCAGCCATATTGCTGTATACATCCGGAACAACTGGTATGCCCAAAGGCTGTGCGTTTACCATGGCTCGGATTTACACAAATCTGACCCTTCGCCATGATTCAATGCGCGATAAGATTGGACCAGATGGGGACCGCTGGTATAGTTGCATGCCGCTATATCACGGTACTGCTGCCATAAGCATGATCTGCTGCATGGTTAAAGGTGTGAGTATTGCCTTGGCCCCAAAGTTTAGTGTGCGTAACTTTTGGAAGGATATCCGCGACTCCGAGTCAACAGTCTTCGTCTACGTTGGAGAAACCGCTCGTTACCTTCTCGCGCCTCCTCCCAGTGCGCTGGATCGAGTCCATAAGATTCGTTGCATGTACGGGAATGGCCTCCGTCCCGATGTCTGGGAACAATTTCGTGAACGGTTCAATGTTCCAGAGGTGGGAGAATTCTTCAACAGCACCGAAGGAGTCTTTGGGTTATTCAATTATAATAGTGGTCCCTTCACCTCTGGTTGTGTTGGGCACCATGGGTTGTTGATACGAGGCCTGCTACATAACAAGTTTGTCCCCGTCGTTATCGACCCAGAAACCAGTGATGTTCTCCGAGACCCAAAGACTGGTTTTGTTGTTCGCGCCACGTATGAACAGGGCGGCGAGATACTGGTGAAAATTCCAGCTGAAAGAGCATTCCAAGGATACTGGTGTAACGAGGATGCCACTGAGAAGAAGTTCTTGCGCGATGTCTTTTGCAAGGGTGACTTGTATTACCGGTCTGGTGATGCACTGCGCCGTCAAAGCGATGGTCGTTGGTACTTTCTAGACCGTCTCGGAGACACATTTCGTTGGAAAAGTGAGAACGTGTGAGTGCCATATTGCCATCAGAAAACTAGAAGTTCACTAATCAGTTATCTTTTCCTTAGTGCAACCGCAGAGGTATCAGAAGTCATCGGTAAGTTCCCAGGTATCCAGGAAGCCAACGTGTACGGTGTCCGCATTCCCAACCACGAGGGTCGTGCAGGTTGTGCAGCCCTCCAGATCAGCCCTGAAGCGCACCAGTCCTTCGATTATACAGCTCTGGCGCGTTTCGCTCGATATAAGCTTCCACGGTATGCTGTACCAATCTTCCTTCGTGTGGTTGACAACCCAACCCACATCCATAATCATAAGCAAAACAAGGTTCCACTCCGACAGGAAGGTGTTGATCCTGCCCTTGTGGGGACTAAGGTACCAGGCGGAGAGAAAAATCAATTTCTTTGGATGAAGCCTGGATCGGAAGAATATTCGCCGTTTGGAGAGGGAGAGTGGAAAGAAATTGTGGAAGGGAGAACGCGTCTATGATACCGATGTTGTGTGGTTAATTTGCTTATCAAGAGTACGATGGAATAAAAGTAGACTATTGAAAATAATTGCATATGCTTCATTAAACTAAAGTGAAAAATCAAACCACAAACCAGCAAAATGTAAAAATTTTGAGGAACCTTTCAGACCTCCTCGACACCCACCAGGACCGACCGACCGAAGTCAGACATCGAGACCAGGTTAAGATCATCACCACTTCCTAGACCGGAACACTCACACTGCAAGCAGTAGGTGTAACGGTCGAGGCGGAAGTAAAAAGGCTTCACTTTAGGGCATCGAGGACATGTAGTCATCAGCAAGGGTGGAGATTCTGTGGCTCTTATAAAGAGTTTAGAAAGGAGACGTCTACTCTAAAGAGATTCTTTGAACTGCAGGTAGAAGAAAAGTCAGCAAGGCCCAGAGGATGGACTTTTTAAGGGGGGTTGAACATACGTAGAGTCGCTTGAAGAAGAGAAAATCCTGGGAGTGATTGAAGTTTTTTATAAGGGAACCTCACCGCCTGAGCCCACTTTTACTTTTTCTGCCAGCTTAATAATAAATATTAGTGGCCTGAGTGCCTTAGTTTACGTAATTACAGGTTCAAAAATAGAATATTCTATTGTAGCTGGAAGGACGAGCTAACCTCAGATATTTCCTGACTGCACATTAATTGGTTGGTTGGAGGCTCTAGACGTGCTCCTCGATGAAGCTGGAAACTGTCATACAAGTTTTATAACTCCTTCTAGGCTGAAGGAGTGAATTTTTTGTCAAATTCCATCAATCTTTCTTTTCCCTTCCTTCTCAACTATTTTCAAGTTAATTGGATGCTTTTGGCAAACACGTCATTTTGTCTGTTTTTGCGCCCCTCGATCACCTCCCAATTTTTATGAAGCTATTCGTCTTTCGAAAAGTGACATCCCTGCCCTTTGCCCTTCTATGCGACTGAGAACTCATTAAAATGTCAAAATATAGAGCTTTTTATATCTTCTTCACTCAGCTACTGTGTTGAACTCGTGCACTACACTTCTAGGCTCCTGATACGGTCCCAAGCTCTTCCACTCCATATCCAACCCAAAGCCTTCAGGTCCTCCAACACGCAAGCCACGCGCATCCTCAGTCCACAACGGATGTGCAGCCATACCAATGACATTAACACGAAGGCCATATCGAAGCTCTTGAGATCCAATAGCCTCACCATCCTGTCCCAATACAGAGATCAGATCGGGAACGGTGCAAATGACTTCGTGGCGAGAAGAATTATCCGGATCAGCAACATCAGCGTACGCAGCGTATAAGAACTCGTTTTGGAATGGAATAACCAGGCAACGGCTCTCTTCTGACGTTGGACTTGCGTTGTCCTTCTCATCACTGCCCAGCGGTGCGATAGTACAGCTGCCCATTGTATAGCCGCGGCTTACGTCTCGCTTGACGTCGATAATTTTGCCGCTGTACAGAAGCCTTCCTGGAGTCGTTTCAAAGAGAGCTTTGATCAGATCTGTCTTCGACCTTCGGGCTTTGTGAATTGCGCGCCCGATATACCAGGCCTGCGACACTGTGTTGGGAATTGCATATTTCTTAATCACTTCCCCGTTCAATGGCGTGGCTGCCACAGCAACCTTGAGTCCCAGATCGACGCAATGTGCGCGTAACATGGTTTCAACTCGAGCGTTGGATTCCGCTTGCTGTAATGGTTGTCAATGATGCGCTCAGCATAGCCAAGAATCTGGACTTACCATAACAACTCCCGTATTGCCCTTTCCATCTGCGATCACACATGGGGTGATGGACTCTCCATATACGTATGGTGTCCCTTTTGATATCCATTAGTAGCTTCACCATATCTGTCAGATCTTTTTACTCACCATGCTCCATAGAGGGATATGCACGTCCCATTAAGTCGCCGTCAACAACGGGGATGTCATAGTACACACTGGTCGGGAACGTGGACATACCATTTCCTCCTCCAATCTCGTCAGCAATGACAGCTTCGAAATGATCATGGCCACCCATTTTGAGTGAGAAATCAATAGCAGTCATTATCTCAGAACCAGCTGGCATTCTCTCGCCTGAGACGCTGGGCGCTCCATACCAAGAACCAAAGACGCAAATATCAGAGTCTTTGAGATGACAAGGAGCCACCACTCTCATCTTTCCTTCTGCACCTGGGCTTCGGAGACTTTCCAGGCATTGAAGGTATTGGATATATGATGGACCGCCGCCACCTGTTCCGAGAACGCCAGTGCCGGTTGCCATAAATTCTAGATCCACAGGAGCAATATACCATACACCATCACGTACATCAGGCTGGTAGGCGTCGATATCGATGCTGAGTGAGTATTTGACTGCAGATTTGAGAGCGTCAGCACCTGCCTGTTGCTTGAATTGCTTTTCCGGTTCATCCTCTGTATCGAATTGGATCAACGCTTCGCTTGATGTCCTCCCTTTTGCAGGTGATTGAGTTGAGGCAGACAATGCCAATCGACCTATGGCCTTAATGATGAGTCGAGTAGCTTTGTTGGTGACATATTGAAGTGGAATCTTCTCGATGGCCACAATCTTGACGTCGGAAATATCAGCTCCACGAGCAACTGCAGCTTCAATGGCCTGGCACTTCCCTTCCTCCAGCACAGTCTTCTCGTCACGTCCCGCCAGAATCTCGATCATATCAACTTCTCCAGCAACCTTGGCAATAGCAGCCCCAACAGCATTCGCGGAGTCATGATGCGGCGGAATTATACATTCTGCGACACCGTCTAGATCGTCCATCTGGACAATCGATCCACCGCCGACTAATAGCAATGTAACAGGGAGATCAGAAACCTTCATGTCATCAACCGACTGCTCTAAGATCTTTTTAATCTGCGCCCGAGCCTTGATAACGATATTGGGGTCAATGGCATGTGCTCTCTTCGGATCCCCAATGTCTGCTTTCCCGGAAGCAACCACAATATCCGTAGTTGTCATTACATCGCCACCGAAGACAAGAGCTTTGCTAGTGAGGTAATGCCCGACGGATTCGGGTCCGACTTGAACAGTATCAGAATCAGCATCATACACCACGCGACTACCGCCACCAAGCCCAACAGAGAATACCTCTGGCATTGAGAATGCGGTTCGTACACCTCCAACCTCGATAAAATTCGGGGCCTGTCGTGGAAATCCGGATGGCAGTAAAGCACACAAGTCACTTGTTGTCCCTCCTACATCGACTACTAGCACCTGGGTCTCGACCTTTGCTTTTCCTCCACGATCTAATGATGCCAGGTATGCTGCACCCGTCATACTATTAGTCGGTCCAGATGCGAAAGTCTTAATTGGCAGCTCGGCCGCAGTAACTGCGTCTGTCAATGTACCATCGTTCTGGGTAAGGAACAGCGGGCAGTCCAGACGTAGCTTCACCATTGCCTCACAAAAGGCCTGCACAGTACGTCGGGCGAGATTCAAAATTGAAGCGTTCAGGATCGTCGCATTCTCTCGTTCTAGCAGCCCGACGCCGCCAATCTTATGCGAACACACCACAGACATTGATGGATCTTGCTCGAGAATCAGTTTTCTACAGGTCTCTTCGTGAATACCTTGGTGGTCTAGTGGCGAGAAAACACCCACAATGGCCACCATCTTAGCTCCCGAAGCTTGAATGCTCTGGACAGTTGTCTTGATTTGCTCCGGGTTTAGCGGTGTAATTTCCCGACCATCGATTTCGAGACCTATATTATTTGTTACTCACGTCCTCTTTGCTAAAAGTTACGAGTTCTAGTTTTTACCTCCATCCAAGTAAAATACCGGCCCACCCATGATCTCCTTCAAGGCAGGTGGGAAGTCAGAAAACGGCGTCACCTATGAATGTCAGCATCTTGCAGCTAGTGTTCTTCCTACCTGCGTTTACTAGTCTACATACCTGTTTTGTGAAGGGACCACACAGTCGGATAACAGCGACTTTACTCAATCGCCGGGCGTCTGCCTCCACAACAGCATTGACAAAGTGCGTTGTTCCAATAGCTACACTGAGAACATCCCGCCGATCAACTTGAGATTTTAACAACACATTCTCAATCACTGTGTGGATGCCAGATGTGACGTCTGTCGTTGTTGGAGTCTTGCCCGAAGCACGCACACCCCTTGATTCTGATTCTGTAGCTGAAATATCGATAATGGCCGCGTCTGTGTTTGTCCCACCTACATCGACGCCAATGCGATATGGACCTGATCCTTGAGTCATTGCGGAATGTCCGTGTCGCAGGTAGGTATCGTCTAACTATAGTAGTGCAAAGGTCGTTATACCGTAGAGAGGAACCTTCGTATCTAACAGCTTTCAGAATAAAGACTGATCTCTGTGTTATAGCGATATTCGTCAGTTTATCTGTCCCACTAATAGTCTGTCGAATTAATATTCAGCTTTTTCGGCGGTTCGGTCAAAGAAATTGGCTGATCTTAATCCTGCTTAGCTCGCGATAGCCGCAGACTAATGACCGGCAAGAAAATACCGGTGATTCTTAATTCCCGATTCCCGATGTTTTATTAACCAGTTGATTAAATGTTAGTCAACTCTCATATCCAAAATGGCCAATCTTCAGACTGATTACCTCGTCTTATCCTCCTCCTTTCCCAGGCTCCATAAACCGTCGACACATTAGCCTTATCGCAAAGTGTGGAGCATACTAAACAAGCACCAATCACAGCTTTAATATTCTATCTCGTCCCGAGGTCTTGCCGGAAATTGTTCTTCCCGGCAATGTTTCCTAGAATGTACACCATCTAACTAGCTTTTATGCTGGTTCTCTGCTCGCAGTCTTATCACGCCAGATAGCTTGACTAGCTATCTTCACACCAAAGCTTTCGCGACTAAACTAAGCCGTCTTATCGGTAGACTCAGAATCGGATGATCTATCTGAAAGGATTACCGAACTATGAATCGCAGTTAATTTGCCACATAAATAGCACACGAGGTACTTCGAGATTATTCTAACTAGACTATCATGACTGGTAGTATCTCATTTACGGGAAGTCTAGTAATTGTGAATGGAGAACATACGGCCTTGAGATGTATTGGGTTCATAGAGAAAGATATTATGGACCTCGGGATGTAAACAATGTGTTCTTCTTGGAATGTAAGTGGACCCAAAGTACAGAGTATCATGCAAACCCTTCCGGCCAATCCTCTTATGGCTAGTATTACGATTGAGATGAAAGAGGAGTAGATAAGTAATCATGCGGGTTATCTTTGATTGAAATTCTCCAGTTTCCTCGAGGCTTCTGGTGCTCTCTTCCTGATTTTCCCTCCCAACAATTCTCTCCTAATACAGAATGAGCCTAAAAGAGGTCCTAAGGAAATTAGAAGTTGACGGGGAGGGTGGACCTATACCAGATCGATGGATCAACAATGATATTAAGCCCATCGAGAAGGATCGCCGAACATGGGGTTTTTGGACTTTCCACAACTACTGTACGACCACACGGACATAATCTATAATTCAATCTCGCTGACCCGTTGTCTTAAGGGGTTCTGGTCAATTCGAACATCTCGACCTTCATGACGGGTAGCTCCCTGGTTGCGATGGGAATGACATGGTGGGAATCGATTATTGCCATTGTCATAGGCAACCTGATTGCCACTATACTAGTTGTACTCAACTCCGTTCCTGGAGCTTACTATAATTGTGCGTGATTCACCATGCTGTCGTCAAGAGACATTCTGACTTTATCATAGTGGGATTCCCCGTTGTGAATCGATATGTGTGGGGCATGTATGGAAGCCAATTCGTTATTTGGAATCGAATTTTATTATCAATCGGTAAGCTTGAATACTTTTGAGATAAGACTATTAGAGATTGGCTAATTAATGAAAAGTGTGGTGTATGCATCTCTTTCTTTTCCTCATTTCCAATCAGAAATCTAACCTTGTAATAAAGATGGTTTTCAAGCCTGGGTCGGCGGCGAGTGCGTATACGTCTGTCTACAAGCCATATGGCCAAATCTTGAAGAGCGCATCCCAAACCATCTTGCCGCATCAACTGGAACAACAACTGCAGAATTTGCCTCTTATATCATCTTCATGGTGATTTCCCTACCATTTATCTGGATCCGTCCATTCAAACTAAAGTATCTCTTCTACGGTTCCTCAGCAACCATTCTAATCTTTGAAATTGTACTATTAATCTGGTCTCTTGCCACAATGGGCCCAGATGGCTTCGGCTCAACAATGAAAGCCAGCTCTACTTATTCAGGCTGGAACATTGCCTTTGGAATCATTAGCACTATCGGTTCAATCGCAGCTGGAATTCTTAACCAGAATGACTATGCTCGATTTGCTCGCCAGCCCCGTGATGCTGTCTGGAGTCAGATTATCAGTTTCCCCATATATGCTATTATTTGCTCTGTGATCGGCATTTTGGTTACTGCTGCTACACAGAAACGATATGATGAGGCTATTTGGAATCTACCAAATCTACTTAGTGCCGTGATTGAGAATGGAGGGTCTCGGTCTCGGGCTGCTGCCTTCTTTGGTGCGGCTGCTCTAGTCATCTCTCAGATTGGAGTGAATGTGCCTGGAAATGCACTGGCTGGAGGTATGTCTTGCTTTTTCATTTCTGTTTCTGCAACACTGACTCATAATTTGAAGGCTTTGATCTGGCTGCAACATTCCCGCGGTTTATCAACATCCGTCGTGGTGCCTACATTACAGTTCTGATTTCCATCGCTTGCAACCCATGGAAGCTGGTCAACACTTCCACCGTCTTCCTCTCAGTACTCAGCAGCTACTCAGTCTTCCTGGGTCCAATGACAGGTCTCATGATATCGTCATATTTTGTCATCAACCGATCCAAAATCAAGGTTCACGACCTCTTTGTCGGAAACAGTTCCAGTATCTACTGGTACACAATGGGCGTGAATTGGCGTGCCGCAGTAGCAGTACGTAGTTCCAGCTCGGATGTTTTCTGATTCGATCAATTACTGACCTTCCTATAGTGGCTTTGCGGCACAGCGCCTTCTCTTCCTGGATTTGTCGCATATGTCAACACTAATGTGACTGTTCCAATCGGCTTGACACACTTGTACTATATTTGCTTCTTATCTGGCTTTGTTATCAGCTCAGCTGTCTATATTGCGCTTCACTTTGCGTTCCCTGACAGATCTATTCAGGATTTCATCAAGACTTCACCCTCTGCTGAAACTTTGATGAAGAATTATCGGGCTCAATGGGATGAGGGTGTCGAAGTTACGGAGGTGATTAATGAAGAGATGAAATTTTGATCTAGCTTAAGACCATCATGGCCACAACATGGACCTGTGTAACGAATATCTCCGCCTCCTGGAATGGACTGAGGATATGGAGTGGAAGAGGCTTACTTCAAAAGCGTTTAGAAGAAGATGGGATCGGGCAAAATGATGCAAAGGAATTTTGGACACATTTTCATCATTTGAGAAAGTGCCCTTACTTGGATGAAAAGGGTCAAGAAGTCTTCGCGAAGGTGTGCTAGATATTTCAGATCTATAGATTAGTGTCAGCCTGATGCATATTTTTTCTCATGTCATGCCTCGTATTAGCATGGACCGTGGAGTCGAAGAAAAGACATAAGAGACGACTTCTACTAACTAACATGCGAGCTCAGAATATCCCTAGGTAAGGGTGGCATTCGATGTTGATTGTATGGGTGTCTGCGCTTAGTCCCAGTGGTGTGATTGTCTATACAAAGTCTCCTGCTATCATATATTGGTCTATATAGTTCTGCTTCTCGTCTATCCTTCCACATACGACCACAGGATGTGGAGAACAGGGCTTCCCGTCCGCTCAGCCGTACTTAAGCCACATGTAGAACGCACTGAATACTTGGGTGACTCCTATCTCACTTTACTTTCTTGTAAAAAAAGATGACTAGACAATTCAATAAACCGAGCCCCTCCCTGGCAGGGCTATGGCATAGCGCTGGCTCAGCCAGTGCTCAGCCAGCAGAATATTGAACAGCGATACCATAGAAAGCTTACGTAGATTACAGAAGTATCTTGGAGAAGACAATCCAAAGGGGGATAGGTAGCTAGCTATGGATGACTATTACATATAACTTGGCGCAGTGATATTTGGTGTCCCCATTCACAGTATCCATTATTTCTATCACCATTCCGCCTACCTCGGCAGCGGCTTTCGCGGCAGCTTCAGCAACGGCTTCTGTAACGAGCTCAGCTGCCTGAGCAGCGAGAAGGTATTCTGTTGCGACAACCTCCGCCCCATCGTAGTCGTTTTCATTGGCTTGGAGGCACGTCACGAGGGCATTTCGCCTTTCATTGAGAGCCGCAGAAAGGTTCTGGGAGTTTTTGCGCAGCAAAATTGACGCCATACGATTGAGTGCCTTAGTTGATTCGACGCACTTCTTGGGATCTAGGAGTCATAAGTAATCAGAAGATAGCTTAGCTCAATAAATAATAGTAAGTACCTAATACTTGAAATTCAGTAGCTGACAAGCCGTATAGCAGGGAGAATTGTTGTATCTCAGAGCTGTTGGCAGAAAACCTTTCCAGGACCACCAGAGAGTCTGTCACAATATCGCCGCCATGTATAAGTTGATTTGTTTCCCGGATTGCCGCCATACGAGTAGGACTATCTTGAGAAAAGGCTCGACGGATCCATGATTGAAGGGTTCGTTGTCTGACATTATGGTAGTTTTGCTGCATGGCCAAAAGGCCTGGCTGCGTGGCTAGCATGTCTTCCATCTGCTGCTTAAGGATCGTGATCTGCTGGTTGAGCGTCGTGATTATGTCGAGGCCGTCATCATTTGCAATCATCATCTGTTCGGGTGAAAAGAAATTTCTGCAGCGGACTGCCGCATGATTTTGCGTTACTAGTTTCGACAGTCCCTTTCCAAAAAATAGAATATTGCAGTAAAAGAAAATACACTGGTCAATTAATCTCAAGTAGAAGAGAGCACAAAACACTAACGCTGGTTCCGGGTTTGCGCTTTGATGGAGAGCCAGGTGGGCTCTGACTGTGTGGTCTCTTCAGAGACCACATGATGACGTCAAAGTAGCAACTATGGAAGCAGGTTTAAGAAAAAGAAGCAATGTTTAGAGGAGCAAGGCTCAGCAATGAAATACATGTCCATGAGCAGGAAAGGTTCACGAGCAATACGTTAGCAAAATACCTAGGAAACTATACTGGGAGCTCCTGCCTCAAATATAACTAGTAAAGTCCCCCTCTATATTCCGACTCCCCCTGCCTGAATTTGGCCTGAAACCCGGATACATAAATATTCGAAAGGCTAAAATTCTACACAATTAACATGGATTGGCTGACCATACGACATCATGAAATAGTACAGGCAAACTCTCCCGGCATAAGATTGGGACTCCTGCAAGGTCCACTTGCTTTCGGCATCGGCATGTGAAGAATTCACAGAGACCTTCAGTCTCATTGAAGATGATCAGGTTATAACAAACGATCAAAAGACCATCATTGTCAATATTCTTGACTGGCGGGTTGTTGTCGGCGCTATGACAGGTCCCTGCTAAGAGTATCTCACTCGTCAAAAGTCCTGGTTCGACTACATCTATATTGCCAAGCAGGAAGCCCCACGGCTGCAGTCACTTCTCGTGAAGCTTGATAGTGCATAATTAAGGTTGACGCGCTGGGGTGATGCGGCTGGTCTCACCGGTTAGCAAATCACAGACGAGGATCCATTGAAGAACTCATACTTATTCCAACTCGACGAGGAGAAAGAAAGATAGGCGATCTTAGTCTTCTAGATTGCTACGACCATTTTCGAAGAGTGCTAAAAGCTTTGTCACGATGAACGCAACGCCAAGAGTAGCAGCAACCTCAGCATTAAGGAGAACGAGAACACCCCATCTGATTCTATTGACGTGAAGTGAAACCCCATGCACCTCTACCTTCGTGGGGAAATGCAGGAAATTGCCCAGCGGCGTAAAAATCATGTCTCTGTCCAGCAGCGTATCAAGTTCGCCATTTACAAGGCGAATCATCTCGAGAAGCTGATCCAGGACATCAATGACCATATTGACGGGCTATACAAGATCTGCACCCCGCCTGCGAAGGACCAAGATAGCCTTGGCAGGGCTGAGTTAGTGGAACTCCTCAAAGTTATGGAAGAATTGAAAAAATACTTAAGAGCGCGACCCACTCATCTATACTGCGGTTCAAACTCCCTTGGAGCAGAAGGTGAGTGGAACAATCATTGAAATCTTTATTTAGTGTTGATCTATACGTAGATTGCTTACATATACAAAATAACAACATGACCTTCAACGCGACAGACGCCATAGTCCAGAAGATGGAGCAAGACCAACATGGTCACTACGAAATGACAGTTAGTACCAGCAGAGGCAACAAGTTGGGAGGCAGCTAGAGGATGGAAATACAGAGGTGTTGAATTTAATTATCGAACATAGCTCACTCTTGATATGTGCTGCTATTTCGAGGGCCGTGAATTATTGGTAATTAAACACGAGGCATGTTTATTTGGATTCTAGATATTACCTTGCATCAATCCGATCAGTTCAACATTTTCCATAGTACTATGTATGTCACCTGTTGTAGAGTGTCAATTGATCCAAGCGTTGAGTGAAAAACTCTCAATTATCTTATCGTCCGAGATGCGCGCCGATTTAGTTTTTACTTTAAAAAAGTAAGAGAGAAAAGCCCTCTACAAGTATACACTTCCGCGTCTGTGTTCAGTCCAAAAATAAGGCTTGTTCAAGGATGAGGAGCCTCGATGGATCATAACAAAACCAGCCATGAAAGATGGCGGGAGTGCTTGCCTACAAATCCTCGAGGGTTATCATGACTGGGTCAATTCAGTCGTATTCTCCCACAATTCGAGTCTCCTAGCCTCTGCTTATAATAAAAAGATCGCTAAGATCTAAGATACTAACAGTGGCTAATGCCTACATACTATTCATAGAGAAGCAATTAATTTTCTAAGATCATTCGATATCTCTAACTTATCTCTTAGCACTGATCATAGCACTATTCCTTTATTTTATGTTTCAGATAAAGAACAGAGTAAATATGCTACTGAAGTGCCATCACTTAAATGTTACATGGATTTGGTTTAAATATCGATCATACATGGATCACTTAAAACTCGGATACTCGGAGATAATCTTCCATAGTTACCCCCTCACAGAATTACGACCCTCTGCTTCTGCATGGGTGATTGAGCTGATTTTGACGCTGGATGTGATAGAACTTTCATAATATCTCCTGATAGTAGCAGAGAAAGATAATAATCATATATCATATATATATGCCACGGCAGTGAGCGTGCCTGCTCAGTAATAGGAGGCCGAAGAAATCGTTAGCTTGTTCCTGAGGTCGTTAACTATTCATCTAAAATCGAAGTATGCATTCATAGAATATATACTAGAGAATAAACAAAAAGGAGAAAGGAGCGGCGAAGCTATTGTAGTAGCGAGGACGTAGCTTAAACCATCTTGCTAAAGCTCCAACGTCACTAAGCCTTCACGCTTCACTTTCCAATCAGCTTCGATTTTATCCCATTTCTCGACCTCATTAGAGTGAAGCCTTCCAGGGAAAAACTCGTTAAGCATGCTCACACCTACACCTCGGTAGTTTCTTTCGACGTCATATAATGTTTCCATCACCTTCGTCTGACCAAAAACACGGACATAATCTAGAGGAATGCCAAAGTTTTCAGGCTTCCGATCCCAGCCAGCGACAAAGACATTCTGAACAATACCGATGCCGCCAATAGCGAGAAGAAACCAGGTATTTAACTGTAGACCTGCCGCAGTAATAAGGAGAAGCACCCAGAGAATCGAGAGTGCAAGAAGAGCAACTCGTGTAAGAAGATTGGTAGATGCGTCAAAGCTGCTTTGTCCTGCCGCTAAATCCTCAAGATTCAGGCCATGCCTATTACCTAGAATAACGATGGCATGTTGAGCCCCGTTTCCTCTAGTAATAACAAAGGTACTCGGAGACTTATCGCGGCAAGCCCACTTTTCTTTCCTCCACTGCGGAAGAAGCCCTGTTGCAAAAGCAAGCGTATTACCGATGGCCGTTATCATCAAGATACCCCAATCTCCAAAGAGCCCACAAGGTACAGCTGCAACTCCTAGCTGCACGATCAAAGTGAAGATGCCACTCCAGTAGATGAAATCGCGTTTGGCCACACGAACATCACCCTTTTCACTCGGTTTATAGACCGTTACTACAAGACCAGCGCGTGTTGGCCTTTCTGCTAACTTGTCTTCTATTTTCTTGTCGTCTAACAGTGTTTCAATCTTCTCCTTTGTGGCAGGATCGCTCCATTTATCGAAGTCGCGCATGATTCTGCCTAAAATCCAGCTCGAGTTTTCTCTAATATACCCATTCTTGCAGTTAATGACTTTGCATTTGCAATCTGGATCTGATGGCATCAACTTGTTTTCGCCAATAGCGGAAACGAGGGTGGAGACAGAAAAAGCTACCCATCCTGATTGAAGTAGAGTTAGAAAACAAGTTATCTAAGCTCAAAACATGGAGGTTACCGAATGAGAAGATTACAGGTGCCAACCCTTGACCAGCGAGTTGTGCCAGTGCGCGGGCGACAACATCACCGCCCAAAATCAGTAGAACGCTAAAGACATCAGCTGGATGGATCCACTGAGCCCTGAATTCTTCCGACGTAAGAAGTGCATCAAACTTAGAATCGCGTGCTAACATTAGCGTGGCGGGTAAGGGCGCCATGAAGTTCTGGGACAAAATCCTGGAAGAAAAGCGAGAATAATTATGCGTCGGTCACATTCACCGCTTTATACGTCCGGAGAATCGGGGATAAACTAGCTGCATTGGATTTAGCTCAATGCAGAAACTCCTCCTTCCATATTTCGAATTCAACTGTCCACTCTCCTCCACTTCACCTTCCCTTCATCAGGCTTGGGTTTGGAGTAAAATATCGACGATCGTCGCAATTATGATGGAGATAATTTAAAAAAGAAATCTGGGATGAGGTAAGAATACACTAGAGCGTATTGGTACTAAATTGTACGGGCGAGATAGTAATCTTGCTGAAACAAAGCTAGTGTTGGTGAGAGACTGCAGGTACTCGATGCTATCGACACGATCCAAGAATGCGAAAATCAGAAGAGAAGTTGCTCCTAAAGACTTGGGTGAGACGGTACTAAATTCGATATTTTCTTCCTTGCCGGCCTCGTCTAGTACCAGGACTTATAGGATGAGAACGGACATGCTACCAAATATGAAGCAGAACTTCACATAAGATGAAGCGAATTTAATAATCTAGTGAGTCTAGCTAATTTTGAGATAGGCCATGTGTAAATTGCATTAATTATCGCCCAATAACACACACTCGTTAACCACGGAAATAAATTCTTATATTGATCACCTGAATTAATTGATTTATTAGAGGAAATTCAGTGCCGGCCTAAAGTCGAAACCAAACAGTTTTTTAATTTTGTGACTGCTCTATTAAGAAACATTATGGGTTTGAAAATAAAGCGCAGTGAAGATAATGACAGCCTGTACTACAGCAAACGCAATTACCATCTGGATCAAACTTCTTCACTAAGCCCACTATTATACCAGGAGCAAATGTCAGTGCAAGGCTCTTATAAAGAACTTTTAGATGTCTTTGAGGAAGTAACAACCTAACCCAAACTCTGCCCAAATCGGGTATGGGCTTTTGCAGGACAAGACTTAGCAAAATTAATTCCAAACTGGGGGTTGATGCCTTATTCCCCAGCAAAGTGCGAGGAGGATGGAAAGAATAATGGTCATGACGCGTGCACAATAAATTTCTGCGAACACTCTCAGCGCGATTTCAAAGCTATTAAACACCGGCATGGGTGCGAAGAGAAGAAGTATTGTTGGATATCATCTAGTCGATTTCCAAGAGGATTAATTCAAAGCGCCGCAAGGAATAGAAGATCCACCGTTTGAAATTTAGCTGGAAATGCCCTGCTCGAGTCTCTTCGACCATATATGGCAGTTTCTCACGTCTGGTCAGATGGAACTGGCACTGGGGCTTGGCAAGATGGAGAAGTCAACGAGTGTCTGTACTCTTTTTTCCGGGACATTGCAGAACAGTTCCAATGCGAGGGGATTTGGTGGGATTCTCTTTGCACTCCAAGAGAGAAGGCTGCCCGAACCAAAGCCATTATGGACATGGAGAGTAACTACGACAAGGCAAGAACCACAGTAGTTCACGATTGCTTCATACGTAGCTGGCAATGGAATTCTGAAACCGCGCGTTTTGTTATCCCCTCGTCTGTCGGAGGGAAGTGTTTTAGCGTCTACGAAAGTGGAGTATAATATATCTTTATCATTGGCTGCAATGCCTTACTGCCCTTGTATTATAGTAATCCTTACACACCAACAATAAATCTTTCTGGTTGGCTAACTGCTACTGTGTAAAAGTACATGATGATGATCTTGTGTACGCGTTTGGTCGCGTTTTACTCTACTTAAGTCAACTATACTATGAAATACGAAGACGACCAAGGTTTTCCCTATACCAGCTCATTTGTAGCTCCTTCTTCGCCAATCCGAGCATCTCCACCACTCATTGACCCAGGAGAACTTAGTCTGGATGAAATGAAACTGGATACAGTGGATAGTAAGCTCAACGCGGGTTTTGAGCCTCTTAAGATACCCTCTTTTGATGCGAAGACTAATCTACTAGAAGGTATTCATATAAGCCCTCTAAGGGTCTTTTTACTATTCTGTACACCTGATATCTTCTTGTTACTATCTGTCGGTTGACTAGGTTATTACCGAAGCAGACAGCTATTGATATCGTTTCTGTACGTATATAATAGGTGTATGCATATTGGGTAAAAGTGAAGTGTCATTCTAAAATGCTCAGATGAAAGAAGATATAGTAGCTGCCATGCCAAGATCACATGATCTTGGTATGTCAGCTGATATTCGTCCCAACACTATCTAAGAATAGTAATAAGTATGCGGTAACTCAGGGTGCTGGAGGACCTCACGCACGACCATGGAAACCAACAAAATCAGTAGAGATTAAGACCTTTATTGCTGTTTTTATCTATATTGGCGTCTATGTATCAAAAAACACTGCTGAAGAGGAGCTTTGGTCAAAAAAAAAGAGAAGCCTTATCACCTTCCACCTGACTACATCCCACTTACCCGCTTTAAGCAAATTAAGCAAATTAAGCGTTTCTTCCATGCCTCTGACCCTGATCAGAATAGAGAGAATGCTGAAAGCTAGGCTTCAGGAATCATAGATGTGGTGGCATTAAGTAGAGCCTTTAGCGGGTCTAATTCGTGCTGCATCTTTAAAATACTGGCTTCCATCAAGTGATATCGCTATTGGTGAGTTAATGATTCGCTACTTTAGGTCTCAGCATACTCTCAAGATGCCCCAGAAACCTATTTATCAGGGATATAAGCTATTGTTACGGGATGAATGCAGGAATTTGTACGCTGTAAAGATCCGATTGATAAACAAGAAGAGTTAACTAAGGAAGGGAATGCTCTTATGGCTCGTCCGGCTCTGCACAGATGCCAGGAGCGCAGTCTCTCCAGAGACTGGGCATGTCATCGGGTATCGACCCGTTACACAAAAAGTCTGGCGAGACCGAGGAGTCTGGAGGGACCAGTGAGTCTGGCCGTAGGAGCCACGGTCCAAGGTAGGTGATTACGGCACCAAAAAACCGGTGTTACATTTTACCTGCTATTCTATTACTTTACTCACCCTATGAGCACCTTCGGTTCACCTTTTAGTATAATTTTAGAGACATAGCTTGGATATTACAGGATGGATCGAAATCAGTTTCATCAGTGTATCGGGATGATCCGCACCGAGCTTCGTCTTGCAAGTCTTTATCACCTCCATATCGAGCTGCTCAGCCTCCTCCCATCAGCCCTGGTTTCAGTATGTCGACGCCAGATTGGCCATGCTGCTCAGTGTGTTGTCGGGATGGTACTCACCGAGTTCGTCCTGCTTAACTCTAACACCTAGACAAAGCGCATAAACTAGGGCAGTTCTAATAGACATGTGCATGGTGTGGGTATAGGTCAAAATTCATACCCATACCCAACCCATCTGTGAAGGGCTAAAGCTAAACTTTAGAGGTCGGCATGGATACATATCCGTAAGATTTTGGATTATTCGTATCCGTAACCGTAGTCGAGAGCTTATATCCGTGATATTATTCCACCGCCTAAATAAATCATACGATACTACAATAGAAACTTATCATCCCAAGTCCCTAACTTGATATCTAAATAGTTATTCATTCATTGATAGAATGAGTCTCCTACCACGCCATAAACGCGTTCCACGACAGGATTACCTTGTTCTAAATGATGGTAGTGATGAGGAAGCTGATCCTAGTGATCGTATCAAAAAGCAACCACCATTGATAATGTCCAAAAGCAAGGGTTCCAGCCTCCTCCCATGCTTTCAAGACCAATTTCTCTTGACGCGCGGTACAAGAGTAGAGATATGGATTCATTTTTAGCTTTATTGGTGCCAGCGGTGGGAGTTGCAGTTGATGATATGGTTGATGCAGTTGACGAAACCGACGACTTGTATTTACAAGCTGCATCTGGGCAGTATCCACGGCTGCAAGTGAAATCACAGAGATCACCAAGAGATGAAGTAACCCCGTCGGCCGCTTCTCCAGTACCGTTTGTTTGCGAAGGTGTAGTCACCAGGTCCCCTGTCTCGGTACATGTGCAGAATCGAATTGGACAGTAGCCATAGTTACAGGCGTAAGAGCATAGTCCAGCATAATTTCCATCTCCACTTCCTGCAATACAGGCTGGAAGAAGAAAGTCTGATACTGTAGAGACAGGCATAGCATGCTCTGTCGTATCACAAGTTTTGGTCGGACAGTAGCCGTAGTTACAGGCAAAGCTACATAAGCCCTCATAGCTAGCATCTTTGCCCTCTGCAGGATACCCTGTCACACCTGTGGCGTCGGGCTTTGTGCGTGCAATTCCCATAGCCTCACATGTATAAGTACCAACAGGGCAATCTCGCAGAGAATAGCATCTGTCCAATATAAGTGATCATTATTCTGGGCATGGGGTACATGCACAGGTGCCATGGAAATGACCGGGGATCAAGATCAGGATTCAAGGCTTGCGTTTTAGAAAATGATCACGCTGAGGTTAACTTGCGGTTTGAAGGACGATAAATAGAGAGAATGTGTTGATGGGAGGACGAGAAGCATCTTATGAACGACCAATCGGGCCAGGCGAAGGAAGGTCTGGTTGCTGCAAAGGGAGGCCATTTTTGTCACAGTTTTGTTCGTGGATAGAAATGAGAGGACCAATTTGCTAAAGTGCCAACATCAGCTCAAAAGGATGACCAAAGGAGAGATGCAGTAGGACTAGCTAACTACTCTGTAGTGACCAATCAGCTTCTGGCCGTCCAAAATCTTAGTTTCTGGCATCAGAAGCTGGCAAAATCCATTGCTTCGTTCTTTCCGTGAAATGTTTATCTGCTCCCAGGTGAAAGAAGAACCGCTGGTCAATTGATAGAGCATCCATTCCTCAAACTAAAAAAAACAATCCTACTATGTCCTCTACTAATGTTCGTATGAGAAGGTAGATGATACTCAAGATGTAAGATCAAAGCTGCATAGTAGAATTTGATTTAGTATGCGAATATGCTCGCTTAGCAAAAAGTCCATCGTATGAGCGAATCCTTCTATTTCTTCAACAAACCCAGGAGATTGACACTCTTAGGGCGCTCAATCGGCACACCAAGAGCACGGTCCCAAATAAGCTGTGCCAGAGGTCCAAGAGCACGGCTTACGCCAAAAGTGACAGTGTAGTACAAAGGTTGCTCGAAGCCATAGTGATAGAAAAGAACACCAGAGGCGGCATCAACATTAGGATGAGGATTTTTAGTCTATAGCGTGTTAGTTATCTCCCAAACCTAGTTAAAAGATATTACGTACCTTTCCATGCTCCGTGAGCACACCGGGTGCAATTTCAGAGTTTTTCTTGACTAACTGAAAAACTGGATTGGCAAGGACATCGGGTCGCGTGGAAGCAAAGTCCATTAGTGCCTGGAATCGTGGATCAGGCTTGCGGAGCACGCCGTGGCCATATCCAGGGACTACACGGCCGGACTTGAGGGTACTCCAAAGATAAGAGCTGACTTCTTCGTCTGTGAAATTTGTACCGATTTTATCTTGCATGGCTAGGATCCATCGTAGAACCTCCTGGGCTGCCAGCCCGTGGAGGGGACCCGCGAGTCCCAGTAGACCAGCACTGTAGCTTAAAAATGGGTCGCTGAGGGCACTACCAACAAGGTGAGTGGCATGGGCGGAAACATTGCCGCCCTCATGATCGCCATGAAGAGCCAGGTACAGACGGAGTAAGTCATGGAAGTCCTCGTTTTGTGAGCCTCCCTTTCCGAGGAGTTCGGCGAAATTGTACGACCAGTCTTGAGAAACATCTAGTTTTTGAGTGCCCACTGCATCAATCTCATCGGGGCGGAATACCAAGGCTGCTAAGCGGGGGATCTTGGCAAGGAGAGAAATGCTATCGTCAAAGGTAGGTTCCCAGTATTCAGCCTTGTTAAGACCATTCTCGTAGGCCCGAGCAAATTGGGACTCTGTGTTAAGAGCAGCAACAGCAATCGATAGCTGAGTCATTGGGTGCATTGCTTTTGGGAACGACTTGATCAACTCAAGAATGTGCGGGGGAAGGTAGGACTTCTCCGCCAAATCGCGCGACAAAGCGCGTACCTGTGCGGTGGATGGGACCTGACCGGTCAAGAGGAGCCAAAACATGGATTCAGGCAACATTTCTGTTCCAGAGGGTCCCTTTGGCAATTCTTTCTGGCAATCCTTGATTGTCTTGCCATGGAATCGGATGCCCTCGTTAGGGTCCAATACTGAGCCCTCCCATAGCATGGACTTCAAGCCACGCATACCGCCAATGACACTACCGATCTGTATTTCACCCACCGCATCCTCACTCTGGGCCTTGACCTGCTGGAACAACTTTCGCTTTGCTGGAATGATCTCTTTCAGGGTTGCTTTCAGGTCAGGTTCGATGGTCGCGTAATGACGTACTGAGAATAGCGGCCGTGCCTTGCAGATCGATGTCAACTAAACATATTTCGATTTGGGGACTAAAAGGTAGGGATTTGATTGAATTACCTGTGCGAATTTCGGGACTCGACGGGGCGTTCTCATAGCCATCGTTAAATATGGGTCCGGGGTAATGATGAGTGGGGCGGGAAGGATTGTGGAGACGAGATATAGATGCTTCTCAATGATATATAGGTGACAGAGATGCAATGAAAAGATGAGGAAGAAGGCGGTTGGATATGTAGGCTCATTCAAAGGCACTCCGTATACCGTCCGCTTGTGTGTGATGATCGACGTATATGTCAAAAACACCGCGTTTGAGCGCGGGGTTCCTTGACCTCTACCGAGGCCCGGACGGCTGCAAGCGGCCGACAGCGTCAGATTTGAACCGCCATATTCCACCAAGGAATCGACGAAATACTTGTTGGAACTAAATAAATATCGACTAGTCTCCTAGTTTACAATTGAACCTTGAAAGCTGACTTCAATGACTTTAGGTCACTGAGCAGAGTAAATAGCATTATTTAGATGTATGTAATGATGGCTTTCAAGGTTCAGGTGCGGAAAGACGGAACTGATTACTGGAGAATGAATATCCGGCTGACAAAAGATCTGATAAACGTTCATCTCAGCGTTTCTTCCTGTTGATTCTTTTGTACTTTGTTCAAATGCTGACATAAATATGGACACCTCAGGTATAAGTACTTGCCTCAGGCCACAGCGAAAAATTCGAAGGAACCACTGATAAGGCTAACCTGATTAGGCTATTTCAAAGCCACAGGTCAATCAGATTAACTATGATTGGTCGGATACTCCGCTCCCAAACAAAAAAAAAAAAAAAACTATCTAAGCCTGATCAGCGATACGGGCCTTTGCCTCTTTACACTCTCACTTCTCACTTCCCCTTTACACAGGCTTGAAGGGTTTGGAGATTTGTGTCTGGTATCTGGATCTTGTATAGTTTCTTCCGGATCACACATGACTTGATTTTGACTCAAAAAATCATCTCATCTTCACCTTTATTTCAAGTCCCTGGAGCGCTTCCCCCACCTCCATTATTATCATCCCCTGGATCCGCCCACCGATCCTCAAAATTCATCAGATTCTGGTCTATATTGATCCCGGATCTTTCTATACTTGACAGAAATAATGCCTCACATTGAATCTCCTTCTACCCACGCTATGCCGACCATCGTCGCTAAGAACCCCTCCGGGGTTCCCCCCACCCAGGAAGAGATTTCTTCGCTTATGAACTCCATCTTCAACGTTGAGTCTTCTCAACAGTCTCTGGATAACTCATATGCATTGGCCAACCTGCTCATGCAGAGTGGAGTTGCTGGTCTGCTCAACTCAAATGTCCTGGCCGAAACAAAGAAGGCTGCGACCGATAAGAAAAATGGTGCTCGTCGCGAAAGTGCCATGTTGATCATCGGCGCTCTGTTCGAACGCTACCCACGTGATTTCCCCCTCAGTGAGGTCGTGTTCCTCCTGCAAAATGGTGGTATCTTCGATGTTGTTCTGGATACTCTGGCTGATAAGGGCACTGTTGTGCGCGACGCCGCTCAATATGCCGTCGATGCGCTCTTCGGAGCACTCAGCCCCGAGGCAAAGGTTAACGCCTTGCTGCCTGCTTTGGAACAATATCTCGGAAAGGGCTCAGGAAAATGGCAAGGTTTTGCTGGCGCCTTCAAGCTGCTTGAGAAGATGGCCGTCGCGGCCCAGATCGGTGCTGGCACTCTCGAGGAGGAGCGCGAGAAGGATGTTCTCCGTGAGGCTATGGGCAAGACTCTCAAAGAGCTGATCCCCGTTTGCGAGTCTGGTATGCACGACTTGAAGAGTGAAGTGTCCAAGCAAGCCAGCAAGGCCATGAATGCCCTCACTACCCTGCTCTCCAACGACGATGTTGCCCCCCGTATTCCCCTCCTCATCAAGAGTATTGAGCAACCCTCGGCTCAGTCCCTGCAGAAGGCCATCCACGCCCTCTCCCAGACTACCTTTGTCGCCATTGTCACATCGCCCGTCCTGGCCCTTCTGACCCCTCTGCTCGAGCGGTCTCTCAACACCCCCAACACCCCCCAAGAAACCCTTCGTCAGACCGTTGTCGTCGTGGAGAACTTGACTAAGCTGGTCCACGATCCCGCCGAGGCCCGTACTTTCCTTCCCAAGCTCCAGCCTGGTGTAAAGGGTGTCAAGGACCGTGCCTCTCTCCCGGAAGTCCGTGAATTGGCAACCCGCGCCCTGGACGTCATGGACAAGGCTATGCTTGATAAGGATGTTGCCTCTGGCTCTATCACCAAGACCACCCCCGAGGATGTATTGGCTGTGCTTAATGCGAAGATCCAGGAGCAGGGTGGCCTTACCTCCGGCGATGCCGCTTTCCAGGATTTGGCTAAGACTTTCATCGCCAGCATGGTCCGTGAGGACGTCAACTGCCGTTACCACGACCGCATTCCTGCTTCCATCTCTCCCTACTTGCGAGGCCTGATTGGCGAGGAGCAGATTGAAGCCATTGCCACTGGCGTCAAGGCGCACTTCGTCGAAGACGATGAGCGCAAGTACGGCAAGCCCGTCCCAGATGACCCCAATGAGGTCGAAATTGTCAATGCAAACTTCTCTCTTGCCTACGGTGGTATGCTTCTGCTGTCGCACACTAACCTGCGTCTGCTGAAGGGTCACCGATACGGTCTCTGTGGCCGTAACGGTGCTGGAAAGTCCACCCTGATGCGCAGTATCTCCAATGAAAAGCTCGAGGGATTTCCTTCTCAGGACGTTGTCCGTACTTGCTTCGTGGAGCACAACCAAGGCGAGGACGCCGAGCTCAGCATCTATGACTACGTTGCCAAGGATCCCAAGATCGCCGCCGAAGGAAAGGATCACATCAGCAGCGTTCTCATTGAATTCGGCTTCACTGATGGCCCAGAGGGTCGTCAGGCCCAGCCTGTTGGATCGCTGTCTGGTGGTTGGAAGATGAAGCTGGCTCTGGCCCGTGCTATGCTCCAGAAGGCTGATGTTCTACTTCTGGACGAACCTACTAACCATCTTGATGTTGCCAACGTTAAGTGGCTGCAGGAGTACCTGAAGTCGCACACTGACATCACTAGTTTGATCGTCAGTCACGACTCTGGTTTCCTGGACGCCGTCTGCACTGATATCTACCACTACGAGAGCAAGAAGCTCGTCTGCTACCCCGGAAACCTTGCCGATTTCGTCAAGGTGAACCCCGAGGGCAAGAGCTACTACACTCTGTCTGCTTCCACCGTGCAGTTCAAATTCCCTCCCCCTGGTATCTTATCTGGTATCAAGTCGATGACTCGCTCCATCATGCGTATGAGCAACGTCTCCTTCCAATACCCCGGTGCTCCCAAGCCCTCCCTGTCCGATGCTTCCCTCTCTCTCACCTCTTTCTTCCCGTGTCGCTATCATCGGAGGAAACGGTGCCGGAAAGTCTACTTTCATTAAGATCCTGACTGGTGAAGTCATCCCTCAAACCGGAAAGGTTGAGAAGCACCCCAACCTGCGTATTGGATACATCAAGCAGCACGCCCTCGAGCACGTGGAGATGCATCTCGAGAAGACCCCCAACCAGTACCTCCAGTGGCGTTACGCCAACGGTGATGACCGTGAAGTGTTCCTGAAGCAGACCCGTCAGCTGACTGAGGAGGACAAGGCTCAGCTGGAGAAGCCCGTTGATCTCGGCGATGGCCGTGGACCCCGCCGCATCGAGGCTCTGATGGGTCGTCAGAAGTGGAAGAAGTCCTTCCAGTATGAAGTGAAGTGGATTGGTCTCCTTCCCAAGAACAACACGATGATCTCTCGTGAGACCCTGCTTGAGCTTGGATTCTTCAAGATGATCCAGGAGTTCGACGATCACGAGGCTTCCCGTGAAGGTCTGGGCTTCCGTGTTCTTGACCCCAAGACCATCTCCAAGCACTTCGAGGATGTCGGTCTCGACCCCGAGATTGCTAACCACAACGAAATCTCTGGTCTGTCTGGTGGTCAGAAGGTCAAGGTTGTGCTGGCTGGTGCTATGTGGAACAACCCCCACTTGCTGGTTCTTGACGAGCCTACCAACTTCTTGGATCGTGACTCCCTCGGTGGTCTCGCCGTGGCCATCCGTGACTTCAAGGGTGGTGTTGTTATGATTTCTCACAACGAAGAGTTTGTGGGTGCGCTCTGCCCCGAGCAGCTGCACATTGCCGACGGTCGTGTTGTTAGCCGTACCAACAATGCTATCAGCCTTGACCGCTTCGAGGACAGTGCTACCAACACTCCTTCCGGCCCCGGCACTCCTATCAATGCCTCCACCACCACCAGCGCCGCTCAGTCTGCCGTCAACTCTGGTGCTGAAGATACAGGAGATCTCAAGTTCCGTGCCAAGAAGAAGAAGAAGATGACCCGCGCTCAGCAGAAGGATCGCGAGGTCCGTCGTCGTCTGCGTCACATTGAATGGCTTAACTCCCCCAAGGGAACCCCTAAGCCCGTTGACAGCGACGATGAGTAGAAGGCTGAGACTGGATCAATAAATTGTGACGAGTAATGGGTTCTATGTCATGCTGATATGGTCATTTCCTTGCATGAGTACCTGAGGTACCGTTGTTTTTTTGTGATTTGCATCGGATCTAGATAGACGGCGTTTTCGGTTCCTTTTTTTTTGTTCCCACTGGTTGATACGATATGCCTTATTGCTTCTTATCATAGACCGACTTTATATTGGTCATTCTTCATTTTAGAATAAAAGTTATCCCCGGACTGTTTCTAAATCCAATAAAAATGTCGTAAACATAAACATCTATCGCACCTTTCCGACCACGTGATGTGACGTGTCGGCCCCTTAATGATTAAGTTTGAAACCAAAGAAAAAGCTTGGTATCAGTTACTGATGGATTCTTGTTTCATCCTTCAATGTTGCAATAGCCATCGACAAAATGGTCAGCAAGACGCGCCTTAGGCCCGCCGGTCGCGGGGGCTACGAGACCCTAGACAAATTCCCCGACGCGGACGAAAGAAAACATACGCGGACTCTCAGCGACGCAACGAACTCGAGCAACGATGATCCGATCGAAGACGATGATAACGTGGAACTCCTGCCATTAAATACCTCCGAATACCATGAATCAACTCAGAACAAGAATAATGCATCATTTGCAACACCCAGTTCAAGTTTCTCGAGCCCTCGAATCGATGATGGCGATGAACCCCACGACGTCGGCGAGCGCATTGAACAACTTCTTGAAGCAGAGCGAAACCCCTTATCCAAGACCTTCGATGTAGACCTAGAGGATATAGGCTCTATGCTCAGCATGAGCGATATTGAAGACGAAGACTATGCCTTTATGGGAGATAAGAGCAAACAAGAAAATCCTGGCACCAACGGGAAGCGCAATTTGAAGGCTGGAATCGAGTCTATCTATACCATGAAATCTTGGTGGCATACTTTCGCTTTGGTCTTTGTTGGAATACTACTGATGTGTCTTGCGGCGTGGGGGTTGGGCTTTTGCATCATGAGAAGCCCAGAGCTGAATATGTATGTTGGCCACCTTTTTGCGACTTTTCACACGAGCAGTTACTAATTGAGACAGGAATCTGTTCCCTGGTACCCTGCCCCATATGGAGGGGTGAGTGCGTTGTGGAAAGAAAGCTATGCCAAAGCACATGATCTTGTCCAGCGAATGGATCTGTTGGAAAAGGTTAATATTACCACGGGCACAGGCTGGATGATGGGGATGTGTGTTGGAAATACCGGTAAGTTCAATCAAATTTCCTGTGAAAATAATTTTACTTACTGCTGCGTTGTTCAAGGCCCCGCTGAATCAGTCGGATTCCCCTCCCTCTGTCTGCAAGATGGTCCATTGGGACTGCGCTTTGCAGAAAACATCACTGCCTTCCCAGCTGGAGTAACTACCGGAGCGACGTGGAATCGCGAACTCATGCGGGCCAGGGGCTTAGCTTTAGGACAGGAATCCCGGTCAAAGGGTGTGAATGTAATCCTCGGACCTTCGATGGGACCGTTGGGTATGATGCCAGCCGGTGGTCGTAATTGGGAGGCCTTTGGAGCAGATCCAGTTCTACAGGGAGTTGCAGCGGCAGAGACCATTCGCGGAATCCAACGCACTGGTGTCATGGCCACTGCAAAGCACTTCCTTATGAACGAGCAGGAACACTATCGTCAACCGTTCGAGTGGGGCATCCCGAATGCGCTTTCGTCCAACATTGACGACCGTGCGCTTCACGAGGTCTTTGCCTGGCCATTTGCTGAGAGTGTGCGCGCCGACGTTGCAAGTGTTATGTGCTCGTACCAGAGAGTCAACAATAGCCACGCGTGCGAGAACAGCAAGCTCATTAACGGCATTCTCAAAGATGAGTTGGGTTTCCAGGGCTTCGTGCAGTCGGACTGGCTTGCACAGCGATCTGGAGTTCAGAGCGCACTTAGTGGTCTTGATATGAGTATGCCTGGAGATGGGCTGCACTGGGCAGATGGCGATTCTCTTTGGGGAAGCCAATTGACCCGAGCGGTGCTGAATTCATCTGTACCTATAGATCGACTGAATGACATGGTGACTCGTATTGTCGCAGCCTGGTATCATTTCCGGCAAGATTCGTGGAAACGCCCACCTCCTGTGGACGATGGAGGTCCTAACTTCTCCTCCTGGACCAAGGAGAGAATCGGTGGCCTGCATCCTGGAAGTCCAGATGATCATACCCAAGAAGTCGTCAATCGATTTGTCAACGCACAGGGGAGCGGATCTCAGTCACATGCCAACTTAACCCGCTCGATTGCCGCCGAGGGAACTGTTCTGCTAAAGAACGTTAATAACACTCTTCCCCTCTCTCGTCTTGTTTCCATCCCCGATCGAAAGTACCGCATCGGAATTTATGGTGAAGATGCAGGTCCTGGCCAAGGACCCAACTTCTGTGCCGACCGGGGATGCAATCAAGGAACCTTGGCGTCGGGCTGGGGGAGCGGTGCTGTGAACTTTCCATACCTCGTCAACCCATGGGATATCCTTCAATTTGCATGGTCGCCTGAGACGGTGGATGTGCGAGGATATCTGACCAACAACGTTACCGTGCAGGACTTGACAGAGCAGGATCTTTGTCTCGTTTTTGCCAACGCCGACAGTGGCGAGGGCTTCATCAATAGCGAAGGTATCTACGGAGACCGCAACGACCTCTTCTTGCAGCACAACGGCACACAACTGATTGAAGATGTGGCCAAGAACTGCGGCGGCGGACAAGGCAAGACTGTCGTTGTCCTTCATTCCGTTGGACCCGTTATCGTTGAGTCCTGGATCGATCTCCCTAGCGTATATGCGGTGCTGTACGCTAATCTTCCCGGTGAGGAGAGCGGCAATGCTCTCGCCGATGTCCTTTTCGGTGAGATTGATGCCAGTGGACGACTACCATACACAATCGGCCGGAAGCTTGAAGACTACGGACCGGGTGCCCAGATTCTATACGAGAGTAGCGACCCTGTTCCGCAGGTCACATTCGCCGACGGCCTTTACATCGATTACCGCTATTTCGACAAGTACAACATCACGCCCCGCTTCGAATTCGGTTTTGGCCTGTCGTACACAAGATTCGACCTCTCTAAATTGCGTATCCATCGGCTGCAGGAAAAATCGCGTTTCCCGTCCAAGCGTCCTAAGAATGAGGTTGAGCCGCCCAAATATACCAACGAGCCTCTGAATCCAAGCTCTTTCCTGTTCCCATCGGACTTCACTGCCCTCAGTAAATACGTCTACCCCTATCTTTCCTCAAGGGAGGGAACCGAGGTCAGCAAATACCCTTATCCCGAGGGCTACAAAGACAAGCAGACGCCCTCAGCAGCAGGAGGTGGTCCTGGCGGCAATCCATCTCTATACGAGCCCATGCTCGAGCTATCAGTCAGCATCACAAACACAGGCACACGCCCAGGCAAAGAAGTCGTCCAAATCTACGTCTCATTTCCCGAAGAGGTAGCCGAACACCACGGCCTCGGATGGACCCCTGAGAAAATCGAGTTCCCAGACCGCGTGCTCCGGAACTTCACCAAAGTAGCCTTACAGTCCGGTGAGTCAACTACGGTCAATATGACTCTGTCTCGAAAAGACTTGAGTTACTGGAGCGTGCGTGCTCAGAACTGGATTCTGCCTACCGAAGGCTCGTTTAAAATTTGGGCTGGAAGAAGCTCACGGGATTTGCCGTTGGTGGCTGAATTCTAATTCTAAAATTAGTACTAACTAGCTTTTCGTTTTCATAGCGTTCTTGTAACAAATGGTTTCAATTGAATGCAAAATCTCGGTTTTTGAAGTTGTATCAAATCTGTAGGAACTCACCTTGGAATGGGACTGTTACATACTAAGGCGATTTCGGGGGGTAGATATCCATCATCCACGGACTGAAATCATTGGCCATAGAAAGTACGTCCGTTGCAAGATTGTATAGCTACTTAGTCTATTCGGGGAGTTTTCCATTAAATTGACAACCTAAACAATTTACATACGGAGTATATAGTTGTGAGAAATATTCTCATGGATATCTATAGAATGTAGATATTACAGGACGAAAGGAAAAGATAGACTAGCACTTATTAAGACCCGGTACGTTTCAAAGGCCGATAAACCCACTCCACAAAAGCTTCTTTAAATCTCTGGGATAATCCAACTATCTTCTTTCTTTCGAGATTGTGTTAAGCGGTATCTCTTTTCATGACTTATGGTGTAAACTTTCAAACAAAATGGCATGTCGCTCAAAAGCCTCGTTCTCAATTGATGATCGATTTCATCATTTGCTGTCGATTATTTTGTGAAAAATCTGCTGTATTTGTTTGCTGTTGATGCGCGAGGAATATACTGCATCAAGATAAGGCGAACGGTACGTATTTTAACAAAATATGGAAGATCAAGAGAGAAGAATCCATAAAACTGAGGAATTTGCTTCCCTTGATACTCTGAGAGCTTCTCTTAGGCGACACACTCATGGGCGTAATCATGGTCGGCAATTGCAAAGGGATTTGAGAATCTGCCTTCATCAGTGTGATACAGTCATTCTCGAAATCGGCTTGACCGACACTGCCAAGACCTTAGCGCAGATCAGTTATTAAGCAGGCTATTAATTAGGGCGCGCCGTAAAATGAGTACCGATGTGGCCTGCACACACTTTTGTGGGTCGGCCACACCGAATGTTCTAGGCCACACCCAGATTACCTCAGGCCACACCAGTCAGGTGACCATATTATTAAGCGAATACAATACGTTTCACACAAATCATACCACCCATTCCCATACTTGCTGCACCACATAAGCCTTACACAAATATACCCTTATCATGGCTGCAGAGCTTGATCTTGGTGAAGAGATGGAGATGGTCCTTAGGGCCACACCTGATACTGATGATTTGACTGAGACGTAAGTAAGAATGAAACTTAATGTATTAATACATTATTAATACATTATTAATGCGCTGATAATGGATTTTAGGAACAAGGTTTTCTTATTGATTTGATCGCTGGTGGTGGGCGTAATCGGCTTCGTACTCGCTATGTCTTGTATAGTGAAGACCTACCTGAATACCCTGCAACAGATGTTGACGGCTTTGCCTATATCGTGCATATGGCAAGGGGCTCAGAACTCATGGCCTTACGCAGTGTTCAGAGTGTAAGTGGTAATTCATCTCATTATAATCTATTATTAATGGATTATCATTTCTCAGGTTCAGTATGCAATGAAGCAGAAATACCGGGATCGTCTAAGCAACACCCAGTCATTCCTAGGTAATATTTCCTTTAAACATAGCCTTTCTACCTGTTCAGGCGTGAAACTATGTGAATATGCGCATCGAGGCCTAAAATATATGTCTCATTCATCCGTGACACCAGAGGATTTACGGCATATTGAGCAAATTCAAAACGGAATACCATTTTTGGAAGATGAAAAAGCGAAGAGAGCTGCTTATGTGTATGCATATGTTTATATATCTTTGCTCCCATTTACTTATAATTTAATAGGAAATATAATATAGCAGAATCCCTCTTTACTCAGAAGGTTTCATGTGGGAACCATTGGAGAGATAATTGTCGACCAATGTTCCGATGGAGCAATATTCCAGTAAGAATTTCTCTATTAAGGAAAAATCATCCATACTAATCTGGCGTTTAAGGGACCTGTGGGCACATTTGACGCATATATCATATGCTCGAATTCAGCTACCAGCCTTAATAGCCACTATTCTGAGCTCCTTAAACAGAATGGTAACATTGATATATCTTTCCTAGAATTTTTATTCTGTGGAATAGTTCCTAGGTGTGAAGGGCTAAAGCTAATCTTAAATTCAGAACTAGCTAGGCACATGCTGTTTACAAAATCCTTGAAGAACGTGAACAATTCGGGGTGGAATCGTGAGGTATGCGGTTGGTGGGTCACGTGGTACAACCACGTGATAGTTCACCAGGATTCAACCTGTTACAATACCCCCCTCCTATTCTCCTGTTTTCCGGGGTCCATTCGAAGTCGTAATTGGTCCGTATCGTAGTTCAAAGGTGTCGAGAGCTGTGCAGTTTTCCATTGCGTCGATAGGTTCCCATGTCAGTTCTGCGTATCCTCGCCATTTCACTAATGCTTCCCTCCGCGATCCACGTCCAATTTTTCGCGTCCTTGCTTGTAGGATCTCTTCAATTTCGTATTCCAGATCTCCTTCGACTAACAGCGGAGGCGGTTGCGAATCGTCCACGATTTGTGACGGTAACGGGTCCGTTGCCGCGGGTCTTATTAACTCAACATGGAAGACAGGATGTATGCCGCTTGGCACATCCAGCTTCACTGTATGAGAGGATGGCACTTCTAGAACTGTGTATTTGGCGTGAAGCCAGTCTAGTTTCTTTGAAGGCCGTATCGTGCGTACATTCCGTAGGTTTAGCCATACTTTATCGTTGATATTATAGACTGGAGCGGCTCGTCTTGAACGATTCGCTTGTTCCTGTTGGCGTTCTTGGGCGATAGCCATCGCTGCATTTGCCCAATCGGTGGCGTCTTGTAGCCGGTTCGTGAACGTTTCCGCTGCGATCTCTGGTCCTTTCTCTGCTTGGACTTCTATCACTTCGACTGGATCGACATGGTATCCGTGTGTGAAGAAGAATGGAGATAGTCCAGTAGAGGTTGCGTCTCGGTTATTGATCGCCATGGCTACGATAGGTAGTAAACTTGCCCAGTCGTCCTGTGCGTACGTAGTAAAGGCGCGTAGAATTCGTTCGACTTCTTGATTTGCGCGTTCCGTAGCTCCATCAGTTTGGGGGTGGAATGCGGTAGATAATCGGCGTCGAATCTTTAGCTTTTCGCACACGATTCGCCAGAACCCCCCTATGAACTGTGGGCCGCGGTCACTAGTGATCGCTATCGGTAAACCATGATGCATATAAATATGCTTCATAAAGACATCTGCGACGCTTTCCGCAGTAATACTATGCATATCTATTAGGATCACTCCTTTAGATAGCCGATCAGTAATTACTAGACAATTCGTCGCTCTTTCTTTCCCAGTGGGTGGAAGTTCTGTGATGAAATCCATGGATAGTTCGGCCCAGATTCGTTGTGGAATCGGTAACGGTTTAAGTAGGCCTTGCTTCGAATCTCTCCAAATCGTGTTTCGTCCGCAAATGGTGCAATTCCTTAAGAATCTCCGTACATCGTTCGTCATTCCTGGCCAAAAGAATCTACGGGCCAGTATCGTATAGGTTGCGTCCCGTCCTGGATGTCCAGTCGTGTAGGAATCATGGACCTTCTGGATCAAGGTTGTGCGTAGTGGTTCGTTGTCTGGAATCCATGTCCTTTTCCTAAAGCGTAGAAGATTTCGTTCATCTAAGTCACACTCGGATAGGCTTATTTTCAGGTTCGATTCGGCAGGGATTCGTCGGTCTCCCTTTTCAAGTGCGAGTGCGAACTGCTGGTATATTTGATCTTCCTTCCGCGCGTTATTCCATGCTTCCTGCGTTTCTGCTTCTTCAAACATCGCCACTGGTATATCAAAGTCTAAAGGTGGACTTGGTTCAGTGCTATTGTTACGGATTGTTACTGATTCGAAGAGTTTCCGGAAACGATTCGTGAGCCTCTCATCAGAGATTCCTTTAGGTTCGTCTTGTCCTCGCCGGGATAGAGCATCTGGTTGGATCGCCTGTTTCCCGGGTCGATATCGTAGCTCAAAGTCGAATTCGGCCAGGATGTCTGCCCATCTCATTTGTCGTTCGCTTAGATCCTGCGCCTTATGAAAGTATCGTAGATTTTTGTGGTCCGTTAAGACCACGAATCGCGGGACCATCTTCAGCTCTGGCTTCCATTCCCGTAGCGCATGGATGATAGCGAGTAATTCCTTATCGTGTATCATATAATTGGTCTCTGCAGGTGAGAACTTACGCGAGAGATAGGCGCATGGTCTTAGTGTCCCATCTTCTTGTCTTTGTGATAAGACTGCTCCTGTCGCCCATCCAGATGCGTCTGTTTCCACTATTGTTTCGGTGTCTTCTCGGAAATGAGCCAATATTGGTGCAGAGATAAAGAGGTCCTTTAGGGTCTCGAATGATTCTTGTTTCTCCTTGTCCCATTTAAATATCGTATCTTTCTTTGTCAACTGCACCAATGGTGCAGAGACATCTGCGAATCGTGGTATAAACGTCCGGTAGAAGTTAGCGAATCCAACAAAACCACGTACTTCTCGGATATTAGTAGGTGCTTCCCATAGCTTAATGGCTTCAACTTTCTTCGGGTCTACACATAGACCTTCTCCAGCTCGTATGATGAACCCTAGGTATTTCACAGAGCTCTGTTCAAATTCAGATTTCTCGATATCGCATTGAAGTCCAGCATCTCTTAGCTTCTGGAGCACCTCGCGTACTTTTCGTCTATGATCCGTGATCGATCCGTCGGAGTAAATAATGATATCGTCCACATATGCTGACACAAACTCGTCGAGAAATTCGCGTAGAACTTCATTGATATACCGTTGGAAGGTTGCGGGAGCGCCAGTCAGGCCAAAAGGTGTAACTAGCCACTCATAGAGCCCGTATCGTGTTCGAAACGCTGTCTTCCATTCTTCGCCTTCCTGCATTCTGATCTTATGGAAAGCCGCTATGATATCGAGTTTGGTAAACCAGCGAGCCTTCGACATGTTTCGTAGTGTTTCTTGAATCAGAGGTAGGGGGTAACGGTCCTTGATGGTTATGGAGTTTAACCCTCTATAATCGACACAGAATCGGATGCCTCCACCAGGTTTTCGTACTAATAACACCGGTGAAGCTGCTGGCGATTTGCTGACTCGTATGAATCCTTTTCCCAGTAGATCGGTAAGAGTTTTTCGTAGAACTAATAGCTCTTCTCTATTCATTCCATATAATGGCCCATGAGGTGGTGTCGATTCGTTACCATTTCCATCGCGTGTCAAGGGTATCTTATGATCGATCCCTGGGCGATGGCTCGGAAGCTTGTCTGCTTTCTCCTGGCTAAAAACATCTAACCAAGGGAGATATTGTGGGGGAAGTTTAGCTCTCGGATCGGTGAATTTCTTAGGTTGCAGCGCCTTGTCGATATCGTCCATAGTCACTTTGGCTATTCGGAGGTGGTCCGGCGACGAAACGCTATCGAATAGTTCTTTGATTTCTCCCGCAGATGATTGCTGTACTTTCAATCTCTTTACTTTTATTGGACCGATTGACGGGTCGATACGGTTCCAACAACGAATGCGCTCTCCATTTCTCGAATGGATATCTAAATACCCTCGTTTCGCAGCGTAAACTCCGTCGACATCTTTTAACCAAGGCGTCCCAAGTATCATTTCGTCTGACTGTCTTGGAATGATGTAGGCAAAGACTTTCTGCTGTTGTAGTCCATTAACATCAAGATCGAAGTATGTGGCCTGAGTGATCCGTCCTTGATTCTTGATGACTCCGTTCAGGATTCGCGGTGGAATCGGGATACGCGGAAGGTTAAGAGATTGCGCTAGGTGTCCGCTGATAGATGCATAGCTATCGCTTCCGTTGTCTACTAAAGTCTTCGCGAATTGAATTCCATTAACTCTAGCATCGACATAGAATGACGCCTCTTTCTTTAGCAGCTTCTCAACCCCCTTCTGCTCCTGCTCGCGGTTTAGTGTAGGAGCTAATCTTTTCCCGAATCATTCTCCGCTTCATCTTCTTCGATCGCTGGCGAATACTCCCTTCTTCGGGGGTGGCTCGATCTTGGTTCTTCGACTACTGCATTCCGTACCACTACTTGGTTCGGATTCCGTGCGGGCAGTAAAGGGCATATACTTTGCCAACAGTTATCTCGACCACATCGTAGACATCTCTTTTCTGTACGGCGACGTTGGAGTTCTTCTTTCTCGACCCATTTTGCACGTTTTCCCACGAGATGTTGATCCTCTTTACGAACCTGTCCCTTTTCGTTCACGAATCGGGACGAATTCGTCTGTGTGGTGTTCGTGTTTACTGTTGGAGTCCAGTCCATCCTATCCTCTGTGGCTATGGTTGATTGATCTCTTTGGATTCGCTGGCGAGTGGATAACTGGCGTCTGCCTAATGCGATATTCAGTGTCTCGCTATCAGTGTCGATTTCGTGGAGCCGTGTGATAAGACCTATAAAATCATAGGGAACACCACGATTCATAAGCGAATTCGTCATATCTTCGTTAAGAGCGTTTAGTAAGAGTTGTCGTTTTGCTTCGTCGTGCCATTCGGTTGCACCAGCATCTGCGAGCTCTCTTTCTAACTGGGGAAGGAATCGTGAAAAAGGCTGGTCGGGCTTCTGTTTAAGCTGATGTAGACGCCGAGCTGCTCGTGATCGAGCGTTAGGGTCTCCATACATCCTCTCAAGATATTCCAGAAGCATATACGGGTTGCCTTCGCTTCGTTGTGTCTTCACAAACGTTCCGGTGTTCTTGGCGGCCATTTTCTCTAGGCGGGAAAATGTATAGAGGAATTGCTCTTGTGGGGTACCGATGGCAGCTCCGTCTACTAGCAATTTGTTCTCTATCGAGATTCTCCAGGTTGGCCAATCAGAGATGTTTCCTGCATACATCGCGGGGTCGGGGAGACGAGGGCGAGGTCGTCGACTCTGGTTATTATCGCTGGTTGATTCGATTGGTATCCCTTGTGGTTCCGTGGGTGGTTCGGGAGCGGCCCGCTCCTGGGACCGAACCACTAATTCTTCGAGTCTTCTAATTCTCTCATCGGTACTAATACTTGTCTGACTGATGTGCTGCATCAACGTCCTGGCCCACTCGGGTGGGCTCGACGGTTCGCTTGCAGCCATGATGATGAAGATATTCGTTTTCTTCTCGTGTTTGAATCGGATGCTTTCCGTCTTCAATTCGTTTGTAGGATGCTCAACTAGATACTTTCTAAGAGCTTTTCGTATTCGTTGGTATGCTCGATCGGATTCTTTCCGAGAGCGATTCGTTCGTCTGTCGTATGTGGCTCGATCAGATACTTTCTGAGAGCGCTTTTCTTATCGTCGGTCGTGGGTTTTACTCTCGTTAGAGGAAGGATTTTGTATGTGAAGGGCTAAAGCTAATCTTAAATTCAGAACTAGCTAGGCACATGCTGTTTACAAAATCCTTGAAGAACGTGAACAATTCGGGGTGGAATCGTGAGGTATGCGGTTGGTGGGTCACGTGGTACAACCACGTGATAGTTCACCAGGATTCAACCTGTTACACTAGGGGCATTGAGCAGTGCGGTGTTGTTCTAAGTAATTCCTATGGCTCAAAATTCTGTGGTATGCTCATATAACCTATTATTAATTCATTATTAACCCATAATTTAGACTACGATCATATTCAAGGGCAAGGTCGGGTGCATAACCTTCCATGTACTGTGAAATTCCATTAGATGATTCCAGTAGACCTTACTCAATGCCCATATTATATCTTTTTCTCCCAAGGAACACATTCACACCCTCCTCCGCCCCCTCGAAAGCACCCAAAGGATGTCATGGCTATCATTACCCGGATACTTGAACAAAGACAGGATCCCTTAATAACCACTAGTAAGTACTAATCACCCATAATCCATCATTAACCTATTATTAATGTTTAAATAATTTTCAGCACGCTTTTTGGTTAGCCCAGAGCTATAAGCACTTTGCAGAAATCATAATACAAGTTCATTAAATAATATCCATCAAAGCTTTGCCAACTTAGACCCGATTACAGCGATTATTCGGAAGCAAAAACTACTACATTTCCTATCTGGTCAAGATCTTAACGGGGTCATATTCGAACGTGAGCGAAATCCGAAATTGCAAAGCTATATCCAAGACATCCAAGATGATATGATTATATATATAACACCAGCCGCGGCCAAGTTATTACATAAAATTGAATCATTTGAGATTGATATGTCTTTTAAACGGGTTAAAAACCGCTTAACTAGAGAGATTGTGCTTGTAGTATATATTGCTGAGCATCGAAGAAGTAAGGAGTTTTTACTACATTGTTAATCTATTACTAATCTATTATTTTATAGTCTATACTCTTGGACGTATCTATGTCCAGAGTGAATCTCGCAAAACATATTTTACTATGTTTACAAGGCTCTTTGACATTGTTCGGCAGTTAACACACCGTCAACTATAATTCTATCCAGTTCATGGCCAAGGTATTCAAGCTATTGTTATGGATATAGATACAAAACAATACAGTGGTAATTATCTATTCCTAGTCTTTTATTAATGGCTTATTAATCTATGATAGGCCTTGCTGACTACCTTGTGTCGATCTCAAATGATCTTACTAAAACAAGCCAGGATCTTATCCGTGGTCTTATTATCTTTTGCCGAATACACTTTTTCCGCGGGATTGATGAAACACTAAGGAAGTCAGAACATAGGGAACACACTCGTGATATTATGAGATCTATTCTTGATACAGAAACATCGAAAGATTATCAAGATGCATTAGATTTCATTATCAGTAAGTATAATAAACTACTTATTGATTGTTGATCTATTATTAATATATTATTAGTGACTGAGTCATCAGCTAAGATCAAATCTTGGGCGCGGCATAAGAAATTTGAATATATTGCTGCTGGTCTTCATCGTGGATCATCACTCATGCCATTAATGATTTTTGATGAAGTTCGCAAGAACATAAATGCGGCGGAGCAAAGCCATCATAAAGTCAATATCCGTGGTAAGCAGTTAACACTGCTACAGGCTGTCATACGGTATATCTTTCGTTAACTATCATGAATCATATTAATAAATATATAGGGGATTCGAGCGTGATATACAGGATATGGAAGAATACACAACTCGTGTGACATATGGCATTCGATCTCATAATGCTAGCAGCTCTGTTCATTCACATATGTTCCGATTCATGCAACAAAGTAAGAACTAAACTATGCTTAATGGGTTAACGATGAATTCTCATAATAGCTGTTAGATGTTAAACGTAATCAAACAGATTATGGAGATTTTCAATCCCAGGATGATGCTCTATTAGATGCAAATTTGGACACTGCTCCGAATTCACCCCGATATTCGACCTCCGGTGTGCCAATTGATAGCCAGTCTACTCGCTCACGTAGTAAATCGACTCCTTGACAATCACGCACTCTTACCTCACAGTATGTTTTTTAATCCATTAAAATAGGTTACTAATAAGTTATATAGACACAACCTTTCACGTATTGCCTCAGAGAATGCCCTACAGGAAGGTCAAAGTTCAACCTTACAACACCTATAGGATAAACTTCGCGAAGAAGAGCTTAAGGGATAGTTACTTACTGCATAAATTGAGAACAGAAAACGTCAGCAAGAACTGGAATATTTAGAAACACAAGATTCTCGCAAGCGTCGATAATCTCTCACAAAGAAACCACTTACACATATTGAAAAAAACTTTTTAATTAAAGCTAATTTAAATCTCATCAATAGCGTCAGAGATATCAACGAGACCATCAGGACGCTCAAGCATCGAGTAATCGAAATGCTGGAGGTAGGTACAGGTAAACGGCATTGTCAAACATCCTAGCAAAGAATATACATTAGTAATGGATTCATAATAGATTTTCAATAGATTAAACCTACTAGCTTTCTGAAGCTTGCATGAATTACATGCTGGGAACTTAGCAATGCCCTTTTCAGTCCTTAACCATCCTTTCACACCTCGAATCGACACTTGGTCTCTTTTCGTCAGAGGGATTTCAGGCTTAGCAGCCTTGCCACTTATGGTTTTGGCCACACGGTGGGGAGTTGGCGAAGTTTTTTTCGGCAAAGACGTAATAGTGGCAGTGCCAGTGGCAGGAGGGGTCGGTCCGTAGAGAGACTTGAAGAAAGCTTTAATAATCCGTTAACAACCCATTTATGATTCTTTAACATTTTAGAACATACCGACAACCTGATCCTCCTGAGCCACTGAGTGGCGGCCCTTAGTGACGTTGGTTGGAGAGATTTCAATTCCCTCGTGAGCTCGAACATGGACTCGTAAGTTGCCAGTTTCATTGAAAACATGCTTTGACTTTCGACAATCTCGAACACGGCAAAAGACCTCCCCATGATGAACGATAACACGATTATCAGCATCCTATATATAAAACCCATTAATAATGCATTAATCCAATCCCCGTTTTATCACTCACACGCTTATAATCAGGCAAAGCTAGTAGACCGGTTGGAACGTCATCCATATAACGTCTGAACTCGTCCAAATCACGAAGGAACCTGGCCATAGTGGCAGCATAGATAGAAGGCAGATGGATAGAAAGATGGGGATGGAAAAGTAACTTTTCAATTAATTAATTGAAAATGGGTTATTAATGGAAAGTGTGAGGAAAAAAACGGAGTGTTCAAGGAATACACTTGTAAACTAATATCCAATTAGAGCACACTTATGTCATCACCCGCCACATACTTTTCCTTCGGGCCACACCGGGAAGAATGATATTCCGGGGTCGGTGTGGCCGACCCACAAAAGAGTGTGCACATTTGCTATATTCTGCCGTAAAATGCACCTTGTATGGTACAGTATCTTGCTACGTAATATTAAACGATGAGCACAAGAATTCAATGGAATTGCCTAGAAATTTTTGGATCTACTCTCTTTCTTATATTGTAATGTAAATCTCGAAATCGGCTTGACCGCTATAAGTAATCTCCTGTTTGACGATGTTAAAAGGCGAATCTATTCTGCACGTGCCGTTTTTTACGAAGGCGAGTTGTAGACACGAATGAGGAAATACGTATGTGATGACTGATAACTTATATGAAGCTCCTAAAGCCTCTCACAAGGCTGAACACTAAACCCACTATTTAGCGACAACTTTTATCAAGTAGAACAATCTTTCTAATTTACTTCTCAGCATTAATATCATTCTAAAATTTAGCAATTTCCAAATCTAGCAATTTGAGAAAATTTCGACTCACGCCGAAACCTTTTCATTGCCATGTCCCTTCCATAAAGACGATCAGCTCAATCATGATCTCGATGCATCGGTTGATCATTTGCCAGGTCACCCCCGCATCAAAATTAGCGATCGTAAAGGCTTGTATGATTTTATTCTCCGGGAAGTTTGGTCTGAGGATCTTGAGTCGATATCGGGCAGACTCTGGTGGATGTCGAAGCAGGATAGTAGCAATACCTCTCCGTTACATCGACAGCGAGTAAAGGGCCGATGGGTCATCGTTACTGAGGATCCTCGGCTACATCTCGTCTGTATTGACACCCGAATTTCCATTAAACCCCTTCCTAAGTACATAATCTCCTACGCATTCTGGGATACAATTATGAGCGACCCGTCTGAATATGGTGCGGCGGCGAAGGTCAGAAAAGCCGCACTCGGGTATCTGCGGACGTATTTCTACCTGATCCAATACGAATCAGATCTACGGATCGTATAAGACCCGGCTCTCTGTCTGGTTCCTGAAGAAGTGACCTGGCCTCGCTTCCGCTAGTTCACTGCTCGTTTCAATGACATCGCGGAAAACGAAGTTTCGGGACAATATCATTACGGAGAGATCCGATTGACCCGACTGAACTATTACGCACCCGTTTCCCTAGGAAAAGGCCATTATCAATGGGTGTTGGAATATGGAACAAAGCAGTCATGTGATCAAATTGTTACTATATAATAGATAGCAAACTAAGAATGAAAACCAGACTTTACAACCACTTCAAGAAGACACACAGATATCATAGGTGCTTAAAGCGTTACCTGTGATAGGTGTCAGAAGTGGGCGATAGCCTCTCATCACCTTTATCGAATAGCTATTCCACACTTGATACAGGTGTACCGACAATGGGAGAATTATCAGTATCGAGCGTACTTTGCTCGAATTCAAGGCCCCGTCATATCTGCATCTGCATTTTTCTCGATCGGCCTGAACTGTATGCAGGTCAGTCTCGCAGTCTCTACTTCCGATAAGAGATATTCGAGTACCTTGTTATTTACGGCTTGCTACTGGCTCAGCACTCTGATCGGATTTGTGGCTGGTGTCTCTATGCTGATTTTGGTATTTCTTTTCATTTTCAAAGTGATCAAGGAGTGGAGGTTTGCGATAGCCCATCGGCTGTGGCTGAGACAAAATACACAGCAAAGACCAAAGGGCCATATGTAATGGAGAACTTAAGTAGATTTCAGGATATGCTATTGTGCAAAAAAAATTCGAGGCTGTTTAAAGATAAATCCGTCGTTCCATACCAGTGGAGTTTCGGGTCTTGTATTAGAACAATGATAGGCTGTTTCACCAGCTGTTGGTGGAGTGGAGATATATTTATACTATCTTGTTTCAACATACACCAGAGTCTGTCGGCAGCACAGTTTAAATAATTCAAATAGGATCTTCAGCAAGAAATCCCACTGCTTATTTGATCTATGCACACATCGGGACGGCCCATCTAGTTCCGAAAAGGCTATGTTGTATCTGATATCACTATAGTCACCAGCATCATATAAAAATGGATGCTTACCTGCTCGAAATATCAAACTAATCATGTGAATTAGCGAAGATCCCAAAGCTCTTATAAACATGTGAAATAGGCGTGACACGTCATATTATGCTGCGTCAATTTCTGCCACGTGACCTTGTATCATGTGGTATTCAGCCGCAGGCCTTATGGCTGTTACCCCTCACGGCAACGAGGCAAGTGCCTTGCATCTTCGTTTTGCCCGTTCACCAACAACTCTCTTGACCCATTTTTCTTCATTCGAGGTAACGTCGTACGAAATCTGGGCAGATCTGGCCAAGATAGTCGTTACAGCGTCTATCGTCATCTTGGTTACTGCTCTTATCAACCGCCAGAGGCAGCCATGGCCAAAAGGTTGACCTTCCGTGTCGACAACATCCCAAACAGTGATACCAAAGAACTAGAACATATTATAAAGTCCTTTGCTGAGCAGGACCCAGACTTGCAGAGGGCTGTTGCTACCATGACTTGTCACCGTTTGACACCAAGGGACAAGCACTTCGCCTGTGCTACCATTTCTATTACCACTTTACTATCCGGTGAGGACCTATGTGCCCGTCTAGGCCGATCTAGTAAGGGTTCCCAATACATCTTTACCTGTAGATTTGATGGAATCACACCACTCTATGAGGACGAGAACGGAGCAGATGTCGAGTAAGTGCCCACTTCTGCTGGTCTAAGTTGTGGTCCAAGCTATGGTCCAAGCTGTGGTCCATGTTTTCCTGGCTAACTATTCTCCACAGCATCATTGCCATCCCAGGCCTAGGAAGCCACGCTCTTGGTTCTTGGAAATCCACAGACAGCGATGAAGTCTGGCTACGCGACTTCCTGCCAAATGACCTGCCTAATATCCGAGTACTGCTATACGGTTATGATACAACATTACCAGGTAGCTTATCGAAGCAATCTATCGAAGACCTCGGTGGTACCTTGCTAGTACATATCACTGCCTTTCGAGCGAATGATGGTGTAAGTGGTCTCTATTGATTTCTAAGCCTGGCTAACCTCTAATAGACTTCTAAACGTCCGATAGTCCTTATTGGCCACAGCCTTGGTGGCTTACTGATCAAAGAGGTAGGTCATTCATAATCTGTAGTATCACGATCATCTATAGCATCACGATTAACCAGCTATTCCAGTTACTTATTCGTGCCCGTCGAAGACGAAGTACCACGGAATCTGATCTATCTCAAGCATGTTATGGACTACTTTTCTTCGGCGTACCAAATCTGGGCCTCCGAAATGAACAGCTGAGGACGCTTGTCCAGGGCCAGCCAAATAAGGCATTGATCGACGACTTGCTCGTCGACAATGACTCAGAGCCTTCAACCTTCCTAAAGAGGCTTGCCGACCAGTTTTCTGACAGTTGCAAGGACTATTACCATGTAGTCACGTTCTTCGAGCGCACTCTTAGTCCAACCTTGGAGGTAAAACAACTCTATATATAAGGCATCTAGGATAGGCTAACACGCTTTATATAGCTTACTCAAGATGGAAAGTGGAGCAAAACTGGCCACCCATATTTACTAGTCTCTGAAAAGTCAGCTACAAGCACAGGCTTAGTGGCAGTGATAGATGAGGATAACATTGCCCTTAATACAGATCATTCAGGCCTTGTGAAGTATAGCTCCAGGAGCCAAGGTGATTATCCTATTGTGAGGGAACGAATTAGAAGAATTGTTAGTGAGGCGAAGGCTGAAGTCGCTAAACGTTTCTCTGAGCATTGTATGTCACCATCTAAAAGAAATGGTGTCAGAAAAAGCTAATTATAGAGCTTAGATCTATACCTACCTCTATCAGACACAGTTCAAGCATGCCTTAAGTCACTAGCTTTCGACGAAATAGAAAGCCGGCAGTTTGAGGTTGAAGACGCTACCATTGGCACATGTAAATGGCTTCTCAGCAACGAAACTTTGATATACTGGACTCGTCAACATCGAGGGTTGCTCTGGATAAGAGGCAAGCCTGGATCTGGAAAATCAACACTTATGAAATATGCTCTTCGAGAGATCCCTGCCATTTATGATGCAAATACTATGGTAATTTCTTTCTTTTTCCATGGACGGGGCCAAGAACTTCAAAAAACCCCATATGGGCTCTACCGATCTCTCATACATCAGTTACTCAGGTGTGTACCAGGTGCACTTACTGATCTAATCGACTATTTTGAGAACCAGCGAAAGACAATTGGCGAGCCTGGAGATAAGTGGAAGTGGGAGCTACAGCAACTACAGGCTTTCTTGAAGTCATCACTTATAAGAATTTTGAAAACGCGTTCAGTTCTCTTATTTATTGATGCGCTCGACGAGTGCGGCGAAGAACTGGCCATCGAACTGATCGGACACTTCCACTATCTGATTTCAAGTCTCCCATCAACAAATGCTCGATTAGGCATCATGTTCTCCTGTCGTGAGTACCCTATTCTTGATCTCCGTAAAGGGTCAACTATAGTGCTACATAAAGAGAATAAGGCAGACATCGCCGCTTTTGTTCGAAAGCGCTTCTCTACAAGCGATATAGATGCTGAAATACAAGAGGGAATATGTAACCGTGCACAAGGTGTATTCCTATGGGCGCATTTTGTTATTGAACGCCTACTATATATGGAGCGAAACGCGGAACCAAAAGGAAAGATGAAAGCAGTAGTCGAACGTATCCCTCAAGGCTTACATGAACTATATCGTCAGCTTATTCAGGGTATGAAAGATCGCCCAGAGGCCTTGAAGCTTATACAATGGATCTGTTTCTCTACAAGGCCTTTGACGACGGTCGAGCTACAATGGTCTATGGTAGTTGATCCTAGCTACGCATATGAGACTCTTGACGAGTGTGAACAGTCGGATGACTTCATTACCGATGACTATATTAATAGACGACTCAAGATCTTGACCTGTGGACTTACAGAAATCGTACCGTCCAGAAATGCTCCCGTCGTTCAGTTCATCCACCAGTCAGTAAAGGATTTCTTCATCAAGCATGGGTTATTGATTCTAGATTCGACGATGAAATTTGACATGGTAGGCCCTGCTGCTCATTATCGCCTATCCCGTTGCTGCATCCATTATCTGAAAATGGCCATGATCTGTCGGTCTAATATCTCTGGCTGGTATAATAAGTCCGATTTCCCCTTCCTACACTATGCCACAACATCGTGGGTATCCCACGTTAAGGAAGGCGTGAAGTCGGAAGGAGACTCAAATGATCTGATTAAATACCTCGACTGGCCGAGAGAGTCTTTGATTTGGCAATGGGTAGAGCTATATCGAGAATTTGATCTCTATTCCGACAGTACTCCAACTCGTGGAAGCAATTTGTTGCATATAATTGCCAGATACGGATTGACAAAGCTACTCAATTCTGTTCTGCTTCACAAAGACAATGTGAAGGTGGATATTGATACTAAAGATAGAGAAGATGGCCGAACACCATTATCATGGGCTGCTTCGGGTGGTCACAATGCTGTTGTCAAGATGCTCCTTGACACAGGCAGGGTAGACGTGGATTCCAAAGACACAAACGGCCGGACACCATTATCATGGGCTGCCCGGGATGGTCATGTTGCTGTTGTCAAGATGTTCCTGGACACAGGCAGGGTAGACGTCGATTCCAAAGACACAAATGGCCGGACACCATTATCATGGGCTGCTTCGGGTGGTCACAATGCTGTTGTCAAGATGCTCCTTGACACAGGCAGGGTAGACGTGGATTCCAAAGACACAAACGGCCGGACACCATTATCATGGGCTGCCCGGGATGGTCATGTTGCTGTTGTCAAGATGTTCCTGGACACAGGCAGGGTAGACGTCGATTCCAAAGACACAAATGGCCGGACACCATTATCATGGGCTGCTTCGGGTGGTCATGTTGCTGTTGTCAAGATGCTCCTTGACACAGGCAGGGTAGACGTCGATTCCAAAGACAAAAACGGCCGGACACCATTATCATGGGCTGTTTTAGGTGGTCATGATGCCATTTCAAGATGCTCCTTGACACAGGCAGGGTAGACGTCGATGCCAAAGACACAAATGGCCGGACACCATTATCATGGGCTGCCGAGGGTGGCCACGATGCTGTTGTCAAGACGCTCCTGGACACAGGCAGGGTAGACATCGATTCCAAAGACTCAGAATATGGACAGACACCATTATCATGGGCTGCTGAGGGTGGTCACGATGCTGTTGTCAGGATGCTTCTTGACAACGGCAGGGCAGATGTGGATAGTAGAAGTGCAAATAATTCTACACCATTATCATTGGCTGCTCAGGGCGGTCACGATGCTGTCGTCAAGATGCTTCTTGAAACAGGCAAGGCAGATGTGGATGCCAAAGACACAAAATATGGCCGAACACCATTATCATGGGCTGCCGAGAGTGGTCACGATGCTGTTGTCGAGATGCTCCCTGGCATAGGACCTACTTTTGGATGAGAATAGCCACCCTGTCCATTTTATATGACTCAATCGGCTATCGGTCCCATCATCTCCGTCTTTTAATAAACATTGATCGCTCTATCTAGTTCAAGTAGAAAATAACGCTAGTCGCTATTTGCTCTACCAGATAACGAGTCGCCTGGGATTTGACGTCGTGATGGTCAGTTATGACACACAACTAGATTCTGGGGGTCCCCTTTCCCTTTTCCGTTTACTCATACGCTTCATTGATTTGCATTATCATGGAAAGTTCTAATTGCCAACAAACTAATAAGACTTGATATTTTATACAGGTCGGAGTTAAATACTGTAATTTCCACGGAGTGTTCGGGATGGGTTCTTGTAGTATTTTCCTCCTGGCCAGTTTCAAAGGAAAAGCTTAATTTCAAACGGGGAGGTGGGTGAATGAAAGTAGCCAGGTTTTGGCGTACATTGAGGTGAACTCATGTTTTTGGGCCTATTGTAATGACAGACTATTGGTGAGTAAGGTTTAGTGGCGTCCTACGCCATCTGCCGCCGTTGAGGCTGCTGTTCGTCTTTCAACACTCGAGTATTGGTCGAGATAGTGGTTTTTCGTCAAGCTTTCGTAAGCCAGAGACACATATTGAAAGTGATGGTCGGTGTCCGACAGATAGGAAGAGAGCGTGAATCAAAGTCTGGGATGAGATATCGAATTTCAAGGTGCCAGACAACTCCCCTCATAATTAGGCATAGATCCACCAAAGGGGTTTAAGTAATTCCATTGAATTCTTGTGCTCATCGTGTAATGTTATGTAGCAAGATACTGTACCATACAAGGTGCATTTTACGGCGCGCCTTAATTGATGGCCTGCTTAATAAATGATCTGCGCTAAGGTCTTGGCAGTGGGGCCCGAAAAGAGTTGCTGTGTGTTGATCAAGCCGATTTCGAGAATGACTGTAGAGAGGATCAAACACTTTAGCAACAAAGATTCGGGTTGAAGTAATTCAGTAGTCGCTTCTCGCATGACGACAGCGAAGACGTGCGCTCTGTGTCTGTCCCCATTTCGAATATCTTCGACAATCTCGAGAGTAATGCTATGTTACCTTTACACGCCGTGAAGGGGGCATTTTTTAAACGCCATTCAATAGCATGTCAATACTCATTTTCATCTCTAGGAAGAAAGCCCTTATGGGAATTAGCTTGGACCAAAAAGCCCCACTAAGAGAGAGCTGAACTAACTAAAGGATGTCAAAGGACCGATTCCAAGTTTAGTTTAGTGCATTATTAGTCAGCTCCCATACGCTCTTTACTGCAGCAAATTTTACTGCAGCGAATACACACACATACATACTTGATTACTCTGTCCCTATTTGCTCGCACGAATCCACTATTCAGTCCTCATTTGACAAAGGATTAAAAAATAATGCAAACCGAACATACTGCTTATTAGTCAGGATCCTTACGGCCCACTTTCTAGGCTGACCGCATCGGGAGTTGAATGTAGCAAAAACAGCACAAAACAGGCTCTTGTCATGCCCGTAACACATAGTGTAAAAATGAAGCTGTTGGAACTTGAATCTTCTGAAAAACCACCATCTGTGGTTTTTCTGCACACTTAGTCCGTTTGTGCTAACGTGATCTGGAAATGAAAAAATGCTACGTAGAAAGGGGTAGAATTACTTGATCATTCCTTCCACATCTTCCACATTGAGTACTTTCAATTTCCAATTTCTTCCAAAAGCTGACATTGTCTGTGTGTGTGTCCCTGAATTTCTTGCTTTTTACCCTGAACCCTTTTTCTCTCTGGCTCCATGGCACGGACTTTTACCTGTTCCAGGCAAGATGGACAAAAACGGGACTTGCTGATCATTTAGTTTCTTGCGAGCATAGGCGAATTTCGAAAGAGATATGACATCAAGATACATAAATGGATTCACAAATCTTCCTATAGCCACTGAAGATGATAGAGAAATACCTTGCCCAGGTAATCTTGTCACAGAGAGCTCAGCCACGGAGTTCTCAAATATCTTCGATTTCACACTGTTGATGCTGCGATGTATCCCCACGACCCCACATGGGTCCTATGTATTTAGGCGTGTTGATCCTTATATACAATGTAGTCCTCAGCAATCTAACTAAAACGACCCACCACCATGATTGGTATCAAAAAGAGAAATCCGATCGATATCGATGGAGGTTCCAGTCGCTTTTAACTGCATGACCCAAATCACCAAATCAAACGAAGAGTCGGTCTGAATACGGAAAATAGCCGAAGCTGCAACGCTATCTACTGGCGTGGAATCCTGATCTTGTCCTGTCGATCAATGACATTTCCAGTGGATCCTTGTGTTATCATGTCTCAGAATTTGAGCTAGGAAACACCTTTGGATAACTTCCACTGGTTACGCTTGATCCCATGCCCACTTCTGACCCATCTAACGGGCTCTCCTTTACAAGGGTTGGAGCTCACCCCTATCCTCTTACCCACATCCCGAGAGATCGGCTCCATGGTATAACACTAAATGTCGGATTAAATATACATATATAGTAAAGATCGTCATGATATCATCTAGCGAGCAATCAGATATCAGTACGAGACTATAAGCTAGACTTGATAGAGTTAGTTTCCTAGTCCTGGTCTAATTACCATTCAAGTATGGCTGGTGTCGATCACGGTACCTCAACAACACACTTAGGCTCCAGTGGATATGCACAACAAGAGGTGAACCTCCGAGGTCAGGCCTGGTCCACATGGTATTGGCATTGGCATATATAGCAATCCATTCCTCTATCCTGGTTTCCATTTCACTTAATTCACCAAAATTACTTAGCAGTGATCCATCCAGTCTTTACCATGAAGATCTCCGCACTTCTTTCTCTCGTTCCCATGGTTGCTGCCATCGGCACACGTCAACCAAAATCATCCGAAGACCCCTTCCGCGTCGTTTCCGCCCGTTCAGGCTCTCCGATCCATTTCCTCACCCTAACAGCCTCAGGCAGCAACTTCTGGCTCGGCGGCAAGAGTGAGACATACTGTCCCAGTTCAGCAGGCTCCTACTGCGCCAGTCAGACAAACGACACAATTGTCTTTGGCGGCAACAACCTGGTACGAAACGAAATCTACGAGAAACTCGACGCTCTATAAACTAATTTCTGGCAGGATGTCGTCGTCCCTGGCGGTCAAAGCATCTACGTCGCTCATAGCGGCGCTCTGAGCTTCACAACCCCTCATTCCAGCTATGTCCCCGCCGGTTCTTACCAGGGATCCTTCTCTTATACCCCTGGTAGCTCCTTTGGCAAGTGGACTTTCGCTGGCGAGGGTGCGTCCGGATTCATGGCTTGCCCTGTTTCTAACTCGACTTTGACTTCAACTCGCCGTCGCTCTTCTACGCCTCGATGGCAGGTGTATGTGGCTCTGCAGAATGCCACTGTTCCTACCAAAAATGTGAACGACTGTCTTGGCTTTGATGCGTTGGCTGTACCTATTAACTCCTCTTCCACCCACGCTGCTTGGGAGTATATCTGAGGCCCTAATCCTTTCGGGCTTTTGACCAAGCTAGTTTTGACTCTTTGGTCTATCACGGATTAGCTTGGAAGATGTCGAAGAGACTTGTCTTCGCTGATGACTTCATTCGTTTGGATTATTTTGTATATGTCAGATCCAGATACGATGTGTAAAGGGTTTCTATATTGCTACTCCTTGACATGGCGTATCCATAGCTTTTAGGATGGCGTCTGGCACGCATGTACAATAAACCTTCATAAGAGCATTATCTTCTAATTCAAATTTTCTATTTCCATCAGTGCTGTTTCGTCGTTGAAATTCGGAACAACCTTTCATTCAAATTCCTAGCTGGTCTGATGGGAAAAGCACCCAAGACAAAGGAATTTATTTATTGTCTGTATTATTATACCTATTTATATGTGCTTATGGATGAAATATTGGAAGTGAGGAGATTTAGGTTTGAATCTTAGGTTGGGCATCTTTCTTTGAATTTTCTATTTTTTTTTTTTTAAAAAAAAAAAAGAAAAGAAAAGAAAAGAAAAAGAAAAAAAATTATTTGGTTGCCTAAATCAATGATTTAGTACCTAACAGTACCTGGGTAGTTAATTCATTTCCTTTCTCCTTTCTATACATCTAGTATGCACTTTACACTGTTCTAGCGCTGGCAAAAATAGATACAGAACGTTTTTCTCATTTGAGTATGCGTTCAGCAAACTGCTCAAACATACACATTTCCAAAAAGAAGCGCTGTTGCCTGGAAGAAGGCAGTTCCTTAATAGATAGTGCCATATAAAGATACTTGATATCAGTATCCAATTACAGAGTTTAATGACTCCATCTATCACTGCGGCCAATATCAACAATGCTCTATATATTATTACAATGACGTCATTTGAACCATTACCCCGGATTTAATTCTGCCACGCACCGCCTTTTGTTCAACTTTGTTCGATGTACTAATTGTGTACATCGAGCATAGTTGTTTAGGGAGTACAATACACACTCAATCACTATCAAGTTTTCTTATATCAGCTGGCCGTATCTAGATATCTGCAACTTATATAAAAAAAAACAATGGTTAAGTGTTCAAAACCGTTGCGCACTTTTCTTTTGTCTTTCCTCTTTTCGTGTTTTCGTGTTGATATAGATCAAAGCAGTACTAGGATAGCGTAGGGCAGAATTTATTCCCATAAAAAAGGAGCATTTTCAAGTAGGCGCGCAGTCGGTTTCGAACGCCGGACTCCCATGTTCAGCAAAATGGAAATAACCTCATAACATCCTGATGACGACCGTTTAGTGAAAAAAAAATTTGTAGCTTCTCTTTGATTGAGCGTGTCATCCTTAATGCAGGGACCATGCTAATCTTCTCTGTTTTTTCTCATCTGACCAGGTGTCTCTAAAGACATAAGTTGAGTCGAAATTGTGGATTATATACCCTTTTTTCCGTTCTGCCCGGATAGGTGGACTGAAGTTCTCGCCGCTTTGGAGCTTTGCGGCAGTATGAGTATCTGCGTGGGTAGATTATTGATAGCTTTTGGATTGATCCATTCACTACTTACCTAGGTTGGTATTCTAATGTCTAGGTAGTAGAGTTCGCAATCCGTGGACCTTGGTCCTTGAGATGTGAAGAAATGAATTGAATCTAGGGAAGGATAAAAGTCTAGGACATATTGAAAGTAGATAGTTGATCTATACTCCATTGAGTGATAGGGTTGAAGGTTTTCTTCTGGCTAACAGTTGAATTCTACGTTCTGAAAAGGTCCTGGAGTTCTAGTCTCCAAGGAAAAAGAGAAAAAAAAAGTTAACTGAATCATTTTGTATTGAGATAATCTCAGAAGCATCGAAAGAAGTAAGAAACTAAAAAAGCATGGTTGTCATAATCATAAGCCCAAGTCTGTCAATCTATAACTTTGCAGCAGCACCAGGCGACGAAATCTCGTCATACAACAATGTAGTCAAGAAATCAGCATAATCCTCTCCAGTAACCTGATCGGCAAAGTATTTGGCAGCAAGCTGATACTTATTATTCTTCGCCCCACCAGCCGAAAGGCTATCAGCCTGCTCCTGCAGCAAACGCAGCGCATAAGCCTTATCAACGCGCTTGCCCTCCGCCGTGGCGACATTGTGCTTAACCCACTGCCACAACTGGCTGCGGGAGACTTCGGCCGTGGCGGCATCTTCCATTAGGAAATTGATGGGCACGCAGCCGACGCCGCGGAGCCAGCCTTCCATGTAGCTTAGACCGATGTTGAGGTTTTTGCGGATACCCTCTTCTGTGATCTTGCCGGGCACGTTCGTGTTGAGTAGGTCTTTTGCAGTGATTTGCACTTCTTCGCGGCGGGCGAAGAGCTGGTTTGGTGTTGGCATGTGCTTGTTGAAGATTTCTGAGGCGATTGCGGCCAGGGCGGGGTGGGCGACCCAGGTGCCGTCGTGGCCGGCGCGTACTTCGCGCAGTTTGTCGGCGCGCACGTTTTCCATTGCTTTTTCGTTGGCGACTGGGTCAGTCTTTACGGGAATTTGTGCGGCCATGCCGCCCTGTTCGTTATCAGTATAATACGGATAAAGGGTTTAGAGTAACCTACCATAGCGTGGACACCGCGGCGGTGGCAGGTCTTGATCAGAAGCTTGACGTAGGATTCCATGAAGGGGACAGTCATGGTGACGTCTGAACGATCGGGGAGGACAAAGTTGGGGTGCTGACGGAACTTCTTGATGAAAGAGAAGATGTAATCCCAGCGACCACAGTTCAAACCGGAGCTGTGATCGCGCAGTTCGTAGATAATCTCGTCCATCTCGAAAGCAGCGGTGATAGTCTCAATAAGAACAGTACCACGGATAGTACCACGGGGCAGGCCGATGTAATCCTGGCCAAGGTTGAAAACATCGTTCCACAGACGGGCCTCGAGGTGAGACTCGATCTTGGGGAGGTAGAAGTACGGACCCGCACCGCGGTCAACCAGCTCCTTCGCATTGTGGAAGAAGTAGAGGCCGAAGTCGAACAGACTGCCGGAAATTGGTTCCCCATCCACAGTAAAGTGTCTCTCCTCCAGGTGCCAGCCACGAGCACGAGCAATCAGGGTGGGTAGGGCACGGTCTGAGCGCAGCTTGTAGTCCTTGCCATTCAGCTGGAAGTCGACCTGGCGGCGGATGGCATCATACAAGTTCACCTGGCCGTTGATCATATTTTCCCAGGTTGGGGCGCTGGAGTCCTCGAAATCGGCCATGTAGGTCCAGACGTCGGAGTTGAGGGCATTCACGACCATCTTGCGATCTGTTGGGCCGGTGATTTCGACTCGGCGGTCCACCAGACCGGGTGCTGGGGGTGCACCCTTCCATGCGTCATTCTCGCGGATGTGCTTTGTCGAGGGGATGAAATCGGGGAAGATACCCTTGTCAATCTCCGCTTGTCGTTCAACGCGGCGCTGAAGGAGAGTTTTGCGGGTGGGGTTGAAGGCGCGGTGCAAGATGGCTAGGAAGGCACAGGCTTCTTTGGTAAGGATTTTGCGGGCATCATTGGGGATGCTAGCCAGAATGGCCACATCCTTTAATTGCTCTTCGACGGAAGTCATTGTGTAGAAGATAGTATATGCGGGATTGGCAAGTACCTAAGTATCAATGGAGCATCGAAGTAGAAGGAGCAGAGATATGATTATATACATCAAACCCGTCCAGCCGATAGACGACGTCAGAGCACAAAGTGCCGCGGTTGTTCGTTTAAAGCCCGACCAATAACAACCCGCGAAGGAACGGCTACTAAGATACTCCAAGATCGTAGTCAAAATACTTTTCCGACGGAAAACAACTTCAATCCTTTCGGCCGACTCCGCTCCCCCGGGTATTCTATCGAAAGACGAGATAGTCGGGGTACGCCGTTTATCTTATCTTTTATCGTGATTCTCTTAGCATTTTCTATCGAGTCAAGGGAAGTTCACTTTTTATTTTCTGTTCTTTAAGTACTATAGAATAAAATACTTACATTGGCTTTCTCCATATTCTTCACCCGAGGCTACTGTGCTCTCCCCGCATTTTCGCCCAATGAGGTCAAATCTGATACCGGGGTACGGTATATACTCGAACCAAACTTTTTGTGTGTTTTATATCTAGAGCCGAATTTACCCGATAAAGAGCCTGGGGTATTACGGACATACACATGTGATGTGCATGTGATGGATAGCTTATGCTAATGTCATAGTTGAAGCAGTATAGACTTGCTAATTCGTATATACCTAGGTAAGCTGTAAAAAAGTGGTATCTTTATCTTGTCATTGCCAGATCATCCTCAAACCGTCTCAATATACCGGCGAACCTCCCTGTAAGTAGTCAGTCAGCAAATACCCAAGCCTGATTCTTGACTCTGTAACTTACCAGTCAGTAACGGCTTCCTCCCACAGGCGCACCTCGTGTTCACGAGTGCCGCCAAAGTGCTCGACAAAAGCATCGCCAAACACCTCCCGCGCAATACTGTCCGGTCGCATAAAGGTAGCGATCGCCTCCTTCAGACTCTTGGCTAGTCGCACGCCCTTATCACCGGCACCACCCATGTCCTGGCCCTTAGTCAGAGGTGGCACTGGGATCTCCAGTTTCTTCTCGACTCCGCGCCACCCGAGCGCTAGGACCGCCGCTAGCACAAAGTGTGGGTTGGCATCGGCTCCAGGCACGCGTACCTCGAAGCGAGTCGCCTTGGCACTGGCTGTAGGTGGTGTAATCAGACGGACCGAGGCAGCCCGGTGCTCCAACCCCCAGGACACAGTGACGGGTGCCCAGAAGTTCTCTACAAGTCGTTTATAAGAATTAATCGTCGGTGCGAATAGTGGCATGATGTCCGGCAGGCCGACTAGAACACCAGCTAAAAAGTGGCGGCCCAGATTAGACAGATGTGCGACATCAGGGTAGGGCGGAGAGGGATCGACTGTATCACGTAGGAAGGCGTTCTTGCCGTCCTTATCAACCAGCGAGATGTGCATGTGGCCACTGTTTCCAGGAAGCCCTTGACGTGGTTTGGCCATGAAGCTGGGTGTGATACCGTGCTTGATTCCATATGCCTTGACAACGTATCTATATGAAACATGGTAAGTCATGGCCCACAAAGTTCTCAGGGTGATTCCCACTTAAATAGGCCGGCCTTGTCGGCCATATCTTTCGCCTCGCCGAATTGCAGTGCCTATCCGCAAAAAAAAAAAATGAAATTAGCTTTGATTCAGCAACTCAACAGCGCATCACTTACGGCCTCGAAAACACCCGGTCCACTCTCCGTATGCCATCCTTCGATATCGCAGCGGAATTGCTCGCATGCGTCGAAAATGCCGTAATAATAATCTTGATTGTGCAAGGGCCGAGTGATCGAATAGCCAAACATGCCCTCCGTCAACGAAGGCAGCGATTCGACTGGGTTATTCTGCAGGAATGCGGCTGTGGCTGTAGCACCCCGCTCCGGAGCGGGTTGGTCATTCGGGGCACGAAACTGATAGAACTCATACTCCGCTACGGAAGCAAGTTAGTATTACGCAGAGAAGAGCTGGAAAGGGAGCTTACCTCCTGCCATGGCGCGATAACCGGCAGCCTCAGGCTTGGCGGCAGCATTCTTCAACAGTCCACGGGGACACGCGCAGACTGGCTCACGGGTGTCTGGATCTAGGAAGCTGATGAGGAAAAAGGGCACGTTATTCTCCCACGGAATGCGACGGAAACTGCGCAAGTCGGGGATTGCGATGAGATCCCGATAACCGTTTTCCTTGTTGCTGATCTTCAGCTCCTTGAAATAGGTCTGGTCATGTTGGTCCCAGCCAAAGATGACCGAGCAGAATCCAAAGCCGTCAGACACGATGGAAAGGAACTTGCTCTTCTGCATCAGCTTCCCGCGCAAGACGCCGTCTACGTCAATACCGGCAACCTTGACCATGCGGTCATTCTGTAGCTCTTGGGCCACGTTCTCAGCCGTAAGCTCAGTCATTGAAGAACCTGACATTGTGATAATATGACAGATCAGTTCAGAGTGGTTCTGAAAACACTGAAGAATAAGAGAAGATTGAAGTAGAAGTAAGGTCTACTGAGGGGTACGCGGTCCTATGCTTATCCAACAATCTCCAACACAAATGAAGGACCAACCAGCATCATCGTCATACCCACTGATAAGAGATAACTGATAAGCGCGGTTAATTCCTCATGCAATCTGTCGATTATGTAACTCTCCTCCACCGCCCCCTCGCTGTTTTAATTGTAGCTTCATTCCAGTTCAGTTCCATTTTCCTCAATAACCTGTTTTCCCTGGTGAGTGTTCATAGATTCACCTCGTCTAACCATCCAAGCTGAACTACATTGTTGGTTGGGCAGATTATCGAACCTAGGCTAACTTAAGGTTCACATTATATAGTAAATACCCCAGTATAACCCCTCATCCATCACCATCATGTCTTCCGGAGCTCGTCTACAAGGCAAGAATGCCATTATCACCGGTGCCGCTGGGTAAATCCCCCTTACAAAAATCATTGTACACTAGTTGTGACAATATCTAATCACTCTGTCCTTTGTACAGTGGCATTGGCCTCGAGACCGCCATTCTCTTCGCCCGCGAAGGTGCCAATATCCTGCTGGCCGATATCTCAGAGCCCGCATTGGCCAAGGCCCTTGCCAAGGTGAAGGAGGTTGTGCCCACAGTTGCCCGTGTCGAAACCATTCGCTGCGATGTCTCCAAGGAAGCGGACGTGCAAGCCATGGTTGAGTCACTTGATAGCTGGGGTGGTGCAGATGTGGTTTTCAACAACGCCGGTATTATGCACGCAGAAGACGATGATGCCGTCAATACCGCCGAGAAGATCTGGGATCTGACTCAGAGTATCAACGTCAAGGGAGTGTGGTTCGGTTCCAAGCACGCTGTGCTGAGCATGCGTCGCCACAAGAAGACTTCTGGCAGCATCATCAACACAGCCAGCTTTGTCGCATTGCTGGGAGCTGCTACACCCCAGTTGGCCTACACCGCTAGCAAGGGTGCTGTATTGGCTATGACTCGTGAGCTAGCGATCGTCCACGCCCGTGAAGGATTCCGCTTCAACTCCCTTTGCCCTGGCCCACTCAAGTAAGTCGTTCCATTTTAGCCTAGTGGGTCGTGTTCTGACCTTTTTCCTCTTCAGCACACCTCTCCTGCAGGACTGGCTGGGTGATGACCAAGCCAAGCGATTCCGTCGTGAGGTGCACTTCCCCAGCGGCCGTTTCGGCGAGGCTGTTGAGCAGGCGCAGGCTGTTCTCTTCCTGGCCAGTGATGAAAGCAGTTTTGTCAACGGAACTGACTTTGTCGTTGATGGTGGTCTGAGCAAGGTATGTGAAGAGGGATTTGAATAATGGCGCACTATACTAATCGTATCCAAGGCATATGTGACCCCAGAGGGCCCAGCGCTCCACGCACCCAAGAACCTGGCCCATTAGATGAGCTAACGAATTTTTTTTTTCATTTCTTACATAGCAAATTATATTAAATAGCATTGAATTTCGGGTTGTCTATATTATCTTAATGATCTACAAGATCGATGTAAGATCCCTAATAATAGGGTTAAGGGGCTGTGTTGTGTTTGAAGTAAAAAAGATCCGATTATCGCTAGTTTCGATTGAACATGGTTGCCTCGGCTCATCTGACGGTAACAGCAGACCTGACAATCCCGAGAAATAGCCAAAGATCGAAAAAACCCCGATTCAAAAAGTGATGCAGACTTTAATATATGTCGAGATGGGAACATGATCACACGATGACATACGATTGTGGGCCATGGAAGAAATGAGAGAAAATGGGTGTCAGGCCATAACAAGTAAAAATCCCCACGTCATGCAATCCCCGCATTCCTGGCATTTCCGCGTTTCGCAGCCGAATATCTTTAAATTCCTCCGCTCCGGATTCCACGGCTCTTTCACTTGGCTATTTCTTGCGACAGACTCCCTCTTCATTATCGTCACAGTCTTTAACCTACTTATCATCTACAATGTCCAACTACGCCGTCTCCGGTCCAAACAAATCCTACAAGAGCTCTCCACACGTCTCTGCGATTAAGCCGAGGTATAGCCGCTGGTACATTTCACCCCCTTTTCCCGTCAACTTTCGGCTTCTAACCTGTGTCTAGGTATATTCCTCTCGTCGCAGCTGTCGGTCTTGGTGAGTACAGCTCTATCAGTGAAGCTCATTGAACGCATCAATTAATCTAACTCAGCATGTATAGGAGTGGCCTCATACAACTACCTCAACGCCGCCAAATCCAAGCACGAGACCATGATGGCCGAAGAACAGAAGCGACTCCAGAAGAATCAACAGTTATTGGATGCTTATGGGAGGAAAGATAGTCTGACCGACGTTCAACAGGCTCTAGATGCCTACGTGAGTCGGTGATGAGACCTGCACTCGAATCGGAATCGCACAAGCATTTGCCTCAGGGTCTCGACCTCTTACGAATCATGATATCGGCGTTTTTTTTTTTTTTTTTTTGTTTTTCCTGTGCATTTCTGGTTGGCGATGGCTTCATCTGCCCGAGGGAGAACGGGGTTCAAATTGCATTATAAGGGAACTAAAGCTTAAAGCTTGGAACTTGTTGGGCGGCCTCTCATTGAAGTCATGCCTATGTATATCACTCATTGAGTTACTTCAAATTGAATCATTTATTTGAAAAGAATCGACATGACGATCTCCACTTAGAGCATACGACCTTGCAATATTAGCTCTGACGTTGTACTGCCCAAGCGCGAAGCTATCTATGTATGCTGTAGACAGAATCGGGCTGGATAGCTTTCCCCAGCCAATCCTATTTTAAGGGTTAGAAAGCCACAAAAGTAGACAAGCTTGAAGAAATGGAAGAGATCCACATCCAACTAAGACAGAGTACTATGGAAGGTGATCAGCGCTAAACAGTTTAAGTAAGATGATCCGACAGCGGTCCAAACCGCGGTGGAGCACTTGCAATTTTCTATTATCTTCTAGATTTTGCGGTTAGAACTCGTCAACACCTGCTTACCAAATTTCAATACTCAGAAGTAAATCAGAATTATTTTGATTACAACCCCCGACCTCAGTGTAACGTATCACTACAGGCGCCCGCCCTGACTCTTCAATCCAACAACCAGTAAAAACAGCTGACCAGTAACACCAAGCCTATTACTCGGATGCTGGATATATCAATATACACCCGATGTGATGAGTCGATTGGGCGAGGTGAGGTGAAGGACTGGCATGGACCTCTATAATCTGATAGACACACAAGCTGCAGTATATATGAGCAACAGGGGTCGGGGAAAAAGAAACACACTTGGCGAAGAGTGCAGAATAGTTTGTATAGGGTGGAAGTAAAGAAGAAATAGAAAAGGAAAAGGGAAGAGAAGAGGAAGAGTGAACAAGAAATTGACATTCGATTTCATGCCCAGGTGAATTTATGATTTGACCTTAAAGGAGAAACAGATTTCAGAATTGACCGCAAGCTAATGCCATATCTTGAATTCCGACTCTCACTTTGCCCTAGTCTGTTTTGAGCAAGCTTGTCTTTATCCCGGCCCGGTCTTATCTCTCTCGGAGGTTGACCGAACTTTCCTGTTTCAATGAAATGTTGTCAACATCTTGACACCTTCAGCATTGGCACTAAACATGAAAATCAATCTCGAGGTCATGACTAATAAGGGTACTAAACCATGGCTGCCTCAGACATCAGCCCCTGATGTCACGTTTTATAACGCGAATCTCATCGACGTCGAATATGGCACGGTTATTCCAAACACGATCGTCCGGATTAGCAATGGACGAATTGCTGGCGTCTGGACTGGTACTCAGAGAGATGTACCCGTTGGCTCCAATGCAGTCGATTTGCAGGGTCAATACATATGCCCTGGTCTAATCGATTGTCATGTTCATATGATCGCAACCCCGGGAAGTTTCTCACTCAAAGATCTCTTTGCAGCAAGTCCGACTACAATTGCCTATCGCACTGCATACAATGCTCGCCAGATGCTCCTGAGAGGTTTCACCACAGCGCGGGATACTGGGGGTGCAGACGCTGCTCTCCGTGACGCTATCGCCGAAGGGCTAGTCATAGGTCCTCGACTTTTCATCGCTGGTAAAGCGCTTTCTCAAACAGGCGGACACGGCGATTCCCGTCCTAGCTATGAGAGTGACCATAAGTGCTGCGGAGGCCACTCCCCGACCCTTTCGCGAGTCTGTAACGGTGTTCCAGAGTGTCTTGCAGCGGTCCGGGATGAGCTTCGGCAGGGGGCGAATTTTATCAAAATTATGGGCGGAGGCGGCGTTGCAAGTCCATCAGACACTTTGAATATGATCCAGTTCACAGCTGAGGAGATTCGTGCCATTACCACCACTGCTAAACAGTCTAAGACCTACGTCACTGCACACGCCTATACTATAGAAGCCATTCGTCATGTCGTCGATAATGGAGTACTAGGCATTGAACATGGCAACTTTATCGACGAGGAAACAGCTTTGTACTGTAAAGAGAGAGGCGTGACTTTCACTCCGACTTTGGTGACGTACCAAGGTATGACAGAGCCCCCATTTGACCAGTTCCTCGACGAGGATGGCCAGAGGAAGAATCGAGAGGTGCTAGCAGGGGGGCTGGGTGCTTTGAGAATTCTCAGTAAGGTTGGGGCAAGAATATGCTTTGGATCAGATCTCTTGGGAGGATTGCATTCTCTTCAGAGCCGTGAATTCTCCATTCGGTCGTCCGTTCTGACGCCGAAAGAAATTCTCCAGTCTGCCACTATCAATGCTGCACGGTTGTTGGGGAAGGAGGATGAATTGGGATGCATCAAGAAGGGGAGCATAGCTGATATTCTTATACTGAAGTCTAACCCGCTTCAGGATATTACGATTCTGGATCACATCCAGAATAGTCTAGTGGCTATTTTGAAGGATGGACGTGTTGTGTTCAAAAATTCTAACTGGTTATCTGTTGATCCGATCTATGATCCTTGTCATATCCAAGGCAGTCACTGAGTTAACAAGAATCTGGACATCAATTGCATCACTTCAAATGCAGTCCTACATAAGATTACTTGTGATGTCAAGTGATAATCATGTGGCCACTTAACTAGTTATAATAAATGGTAATTTATGAAAGAACCGGTTAGGGTCTAGCGAAGTAAAAGTCATACGCTAATAAGCCCACCATAATACGGTAGCTGTAATATTGGATTAAATCAAATTGTACCGGAAAACACTCTGAAACAGATCTCGACCATGTGGGCTATGCGGGGCAGTAAGGTTGGGGGCTAAGTACATCTATTTACAAAGTAGCTGAACGGGAATAGTTGACAAAACATTATTTCGAATTTCTCAGACCACAGTATGGACACAGAACCCGAACACCCCCGTGCTATCCTCTTGAAGGAAATGCAAACAGCCGCCCAGCTCGGCAACCTGACACAGCTCCAGAGTCTACTCCAGCGATGGGAAACAGAGCTCATCAATGGCATCCCGGCAATAGAGCAAGATCAACTCTGGTTTAAACCCGGAGTGAACGAGCAGCTGGAATTATTCAACGAGCTGAACAGACCGAAAGAAGAGACAAAGTGGGTCCACAACGGCCAGTTACTCATGAATCGAGTCTTGGTATCGGCATCGCGAGGAAACCAAGTTGCCGTCGCAGAGTTTCTCCTAGAAGAGAAAGGTTGTCCCATCACATCCATTGCGGTGCAGGTCGCTATGATGAAACGTTCCTTTGACGTGCTAGAATCTTACCTTTCGCACGGTTGGGATATCAATCAGCCTATCAGGAATAATCAATGTCCGATATTAAGGTGGGGGACTGATCCATTTTCCAAAAGAGAGACCCGCTTGAATATCTATTTCTAATTTTATTGCCTAACTAGGCAGGTAGTCAATGATGAAGAACGGGTCCGCTGGTGCCTTGAACATAGGGCCAATCCCAATACTCGAAACAATAACAAGACTCTTGACGTGCTTAGCCATGCTGCACGTCACGCCTCATTCCCAGTGTTGGAGCTACTAGTTGCCCATGGTGGGGAGTTTTCCAAGAGTGATGCCCTTCATCAGGCTGCGGAAAAGGGACGTCTGGATGTGATGCGATGGTTGTTAGATGGTAGGCCTTCATTCAACTTATATTGTATGCCACTGACAATAATCTGCCTAGATCGTGAATTCCCCATTAATCAACGCGAGCTCGAATATGACATTGATATGTTCAACGATCGACAGTCAAACGGCCTGGGAACGGCGCTGCACGCGGCAACCGAAGAAGGTTGTGTGGAGAGCATGAAATTCCTAATTGATCGAGGTATTGATGTAGAACTACCAGATACACTTGGCCGGAAAGCTCTTACTTTATGTGAAAATGAAGAGACTTCTCTAGAACTAAAGAGCCCGGTCTGATTTTATTGTATAAACATGCCTCAAATCTATTCAACATATCTCGGCACAATGCAAGCAAGCCTTTTTTTTTACTCATGAGCATCGAATCCCCAGTTCTTTAGCTATTAGCAGCGGCAGTCTTTTGCATGGCCATATCAACAAAGATCGCTTCCCACGCACCGGCACCACCAGGATGCTTGACCATCATAGCACCATACAGCAACTCCTCAGGGCAATCATCAAGGAGCTCATCATCATCATCAACCATCATGTCCTCCGGCTCGATATACTTAACACGCTGAGTAGAAAGCCCCAAGTTATCCTTAACAATAGCCTCTAATTTGAGGTTATTGGGCTCAGAAACATAAGTAGTGGGAGATCTAAGCTTAACCTGAGCAAACAGATAGGCCTTTCCCCCAGCGAAACTGGCAGTATTCGCTGAGATCAACTTTGGAATCTCTCTCTGCGCTCGGGCGATATCTGTGTTCGTGTTTGAGTAGTGTCCCATGATGACACCGCCTCTGCCGGCAATGATCAGACCGATGCAGCCGCTGAACCCATCACTGGCTATGATTGATGGGCTGGATTTCCAGGCCATGTAACTTTCATATCCTTGCGCGACTGTCTTGGCCTTGTGCAAATCGGCAAGGAAAGAGGCGTAGTTGGATCGCTTTTCCAGACCGCGCTCTTCGATTCCGACTGGCGATGCACTAAACGGGTCATCAGTCAGTATATCTCACTTTTTTACCGTCTAAGCAGATAGTGGAAGGAACCTACTTGATAGATGTGGCCGGTGCGGACCAGCATATCGATATATATGAGACGAAAAGGACCAGTAGGGCCAGTAGCCGGCCACTACCGAGTTGAAGGTGCATGGTATTGAGGGAATGTAGGACTGTACAATTGATGAATCCTCGATTGTGATTTTACAGATATTGTTCAAATTGGCTGTCTTATAACAACTACAGTGGAGTCTCTGTTCACTCCTTGAGCTACGTTGGTTGTTCAAATTTTTCACGCTAAGGGGCCAAATTTCTATTTAAATGATGCTGATGGGATTGAAGATGTTGGATATCCATTTAATGTGGCGAGGGCTGAGTGCTGGAATATAATTTGTAGTGTAGGCTATACGCAGCGGAGTCAAGATCCAGCTTCCAAATTAAGAATATATCAAATTATTGAAACTGAAAGGGCCAAAACTCTCAACTGTTACCAGTGCTTCGACCTCTCATGGAATATCATTAGTTGTGGAAAGTCATGAAATGTCAGCTTGAGGATGTCATTTGCAGGGCAGTTGGCAACGTCCCACAATCCTGAGTATCGGATACCGACAAAGGGAAAGATAAAACAAACACAGCCCTGTAGAGACCTTGGGATGTACAGTGGTTATACAGCCAAATTCTCACTGTCCAATCCAGAAGGCATGAGCAGACGGGATGTTGTATATCAACATAAGTCGCTAAACTCAAGGAAGAAGGTGGAACAGATAAAAGGAATGAGTGTGTGGGTAAAGGCTTATATTGAGGAGGATCTGGATATTTCTATCGATGTGTACGCTGACTATCCATTGAAGCGTCATTCCCGAAGATTCTATGGAGTATGTGTCACTGTGGATGATGCGTCGGCCGAAACGTTGAAGATCGTCGAAGCCCATACCCTCAATTTATACAGCCATTTGGAAGACATGTTACATATCAAAAGACATTCAATTCCAAGCTTTATTGACTCGTTCGAGCTATACTATAAGACATGACACTATGTACTGCATACCCATCCACCAACAGATAAAACTCAAGAGACAGAAATACGACCCTGATCCTGATGTGGGTTCTAATTTTGCGCGGAAGGATTGAACTAGCCATATCTAGGCTACTGTATGACTGAGTGTATGATGCTAAAAGAATTAGCCGCAAGTAGCATCCTTCAAAACCTTATAATAGCCCTACGTATGCTAACTATGCTAAAAGTCGAAAGTAATCTAAATAGTTATCAATTACACGTTGGTACTACTTGGTAATGAACAAATATACAGAGAGATGCAATGTGCAAGAATTGCATACTGAAATGAGTAGTGATCAAGTTGAGAGGGGATTCGTGATTCAGATTTTGGAAGGAACGATGAAGCTGTAGGCTTATGACTGAAGAAATTGAGACCCATAACGATGGGTAGAGGGCGCAGCTTTTTTTTTTTTTTTTTCTTAATCTGACTCCATATGGATCGTAGATCAATCTATTCAAGGTCCCAAGGTTATTCATAGATATCCCCTTATTCTTCGTAGTAGGTTCAAAACACAACGTACAACTCGATACCCAATACCTCATGCGCATGCACCCGTGGAATTGAATATAGAGTGGAATATCAATCCATTGGTCCACGGAAGTTGGTCAAAGCCTCTCAACATTCTCACCAGATTCCAACATTGGAAGTTAAGTTAAGGGTTTAATATATCGCGGCTACTGAAATCGCCGGTTAATTTGGGTCGCGATGAGGTGCCCGTTTCACAGATGTGGTACAGGGCCAAATTGGGGTGGGAGGATCCATCAGGATTCGTCAAGAGATCCTACCCATACAGCCGGGGCCGGACTTCTGGACTATCTTTCCTTTCATTCTTTTACGCGCCACATGGATTCTCCAGGATTGCCAAGACCATCGCTGTACCGCTTTGACCCTGATTTGATTTAATTTGAAAAGACGGACTTGGAACGTTAAATGTTTCTAAATGGCTGTGGGTCCAAATCACTCGGCCGCAGGTTCAGGGCCTAGATGGCTGTGCATATTGCAGTGTCAGAGGGGTATGTTACCGCGCAACGATACCAACATTTTAGTGAACGAATCCATGCCGGGGTAAAAGTCCGGGGAGTATTTGAAGGCTAGAACTTTCGAGATTTTCACCAACAGGGTTAATTTATGACATCTTGTTCGGGAAATTTCCCCGGAAAACAGTCGCGTGCAGACTGTGAACCCAAGCGGTCAGACCTCCAGACCAAGGATCTGATAGCGTCATGTCGGATCACTTAGTTCTAGGCTAACCTCATCAGTCGAGTGCTGAGAGTTACGTTGGTAGTATAAACCCCGTGGACGAGGGTAGCCCATTTGGAAGGTAGTATCTAGCTTCAAACCTTTATGTAGGCAGCCGAGGACCGGTAAATCTAACTTCATCAAAAGTACTATTACAGAAATCCATAGATGTTTACATAGGTACCTGTGAAGTATTCAGTACTAGCTAACAAGACTGTGTGTACATATTCCTTGAACGTAAAGGAGCATTCGAGAATGAAAAGTTATTAGATCACGTGCAAACTTCCACATTTGCATGACATTAAGTATGAAAGAGGTTAAATAGATTGATGGGAATCTTGAAAGTAGACAAATATACTCGAACTCTCTTTGTAGTCTAGCTATAACTTGAAAGCACTAGTTTGAATCGCTTCTCTGCAGACCCCGGAATTCTCTTCCAATGAAAATTACATAATAAATTCCCCCAAGCGTAACCGCGGGGAAAGCCGAGCTTCCTGCCGAACCCCAGACCTAACCAAGGAACCATGGGAGCCATTGGAACCATTAAAACATTTCAGTAGGCTATGCTGGCCCAAAGTATTCACCGGGATGGGATTTCACCATCTCGGTCGGGGAAGAGTATGGGGAAGTTGGGGAATTTAGGGATGCCGAAGAAAAGCGGTTTCATTTGGCTTCAGGCTTGAGACTGTTTTAGGAGTCTTTGGGTTTACCGGCATCAAGCCACTCTCGTATTCTGAGTCAAAATGAAAGGTGTCCAGGTGGTTTAAGGTTACTGGAAAGACAAATCATGAGATTAGGCTAATGTACAGCATGTAGTATGTACTCTGTAGGGTACAGAATACCTACATGGGCATGTATCTATATCTACAAAAATACACGTGAGATGTCCAGGATGAGTTCTAAGATCAATCCATGTAATGAGACCACGTGAATATCCGTACTCAGCTGAGGTTCCAATTTCATCGTCATCACGGAGTACTCCGTACTCCGTGTTTCCGTACTCCGTGTTGTGTGACCTCAGATTTCGGGATAAAAGACAAGCGAGAAATGCCAAGCGAAGAAGCGAAAGAAGCGAAAAGGCGTGGATTGCCAAGGGACCATGGAAAATACAGAGCGGTGGAGACCCGACATTTCCCCGTCCTGACACAGAACAAAGGTTTAAAAGGGTTTAAAGAGTGAAAGTGAGGTGAAAAGCCGGGGCTGCTATTGCCAAATGCGGGGACAAATAGCACGTGATTATCGGATAGAGAGCGGTTCATTGGCCACGCTTATTCTTTCCTCAGATAATCTCACACTCAGCCGTGTCTAACTCCAGCTGACGGGCATTGTTCGGGATTGGTCAAATCTTACTAATATAGCTTCGCTCTCTAGATCTGAATCAAGATCTCAATGCTAGATCAGTACCAAAAATAGGATATACAAAGTACACAGTAGAATTAAATGGTCATGTGGACTCGGGAATCGGGAAAAGGGGCTGAAGTGGAATCGCCGATGCCGAGAACATCTGACGGTTGGAGTGAAAATGAGCAAAAGAGAAGTTTAGGTAAAGTGGCGCAGGGAACCAACAAATAAGAGGACGGGCATAGTATGGAAGTCTCGGATGTGTATACCAATTGGGAAGTATCTCCTGAACTCGGAAGACCCATTCGGCCTTGACCCGAGAATATGTTTGGCCAGATTCATTCTTTATTCCCCATATTTCATACTACATACCCAATTATATTATAGAATTGTTTCGGTTCGATCCGTGCATACCCCAGTTTTCTATAGAGCGCGTGGTCAGTGGGACTGAGAATACCCCAAACTATCATCAAAGTTTTACTTGTTAGCGTACCAAACATAGCAAATTCGAGTAGTATCACCTTTTTATTTTTTGCTCTCTTTTCTGGGGTTGGACTCGCGGGACTCTCACCATAAATATACCTTCTCTTTCCCTGTTCTTTTTTCTTTTTCCATCACACCTCTTCTCTATCACATCTCTCTCACCTTTCTACCTTTCTACCTTTCTACTTTACCCAACCCTTCACCAACCAATTACCATAACAACTATTCCCATCAATACCAGCATCATGCCCGGTGGTGCTGCTCTTTCCCCCACCCGGAGCATCGATGGCCAGCGCCTCGAGGCTCCGGTCACCATAAAGACCTACTTGATGTGTGCCTTCGCAGCCTTCGGTGGTATCTTCTTCGGTTACGACTCTGGTTACATCAGTGGTGTCCTCGGCATGAACTACTTCATCGAGACCTTTGAGAAACTGGTAGGTCCTCACAACCTTTATCCTTTTTTCTTCAACATGAATCCCGCTCTAACATTTTTCTTTAGGATGTTAACACTACCCCAGCTGACAAGTTCATCATTCCCTCGTCCCGAAAGTCCCTTATTGTTTCTATCCTCTCGGCTGGTACCTTCTTCGGTGCTCTGATCGCTGGTGACCTGGCCGATTGGTTTGGACGTCGCATCACTATCATCTCGGGATGTATTGTCTTCATGATCGGTGTCGCTCTTCAGACCGCTTCCACCAGTATCGGCCTCCTCGTTGCCGGCCGTCTTATTGCTGGCTTTGGTGTTGGTTTTGTTTCCGCAGTCATCATTCTCTACATGTCTGAGATCGCCCCTCGCAAGGTCCGTGGTGCCATAGTCTCTGGCTACCAGTTCTGCATCACCCTCGGTCTTATGCTTGCCTCTTGCGTAGACTATGCCACAGAGCACCGCGATGACTCCGGCTCCTACCGTATCCCCATTTCCATTCAGATTCTGTGGGCTCTCATCCTGGCTGTCGGTCTCATGTTCCTCCCCGAGTCCCCCCGTTACTACGTCCGCAAGGGCCAGAAGGAGAAGGCTCGCCAGGCTCTGTCCCGTGTCCGTGGCCAGCCCGTTGACTCCGAGTACATCAGCGTTGAGTTGACTGAGATCGATGCCAACCTCCAATACGAGCTGCAGGCCATCCCCGATACCGGCTACTTCAGCAGCTGGTTCAACTGCTTCACCGGTAGCCTTTTCAAATCCAACAGCAACCTTCGCCGCACTGTCCTCGGTACTTCCCTGCAGATGATGCAGCAGTGGACTGGAGTCAACTTCGTCTTCTACTTTGGCACCACCTTCTTCAAGCAGCTTGGCACAATCCAGAACCCCTTCCTGCTCACCATGATCACCACCATTGTCAACGTCTGCGCCACCCCCATCTCCTTCTACGTAATTGAGAAGTTCGGTCGTCGCCCTCTGTTGATTTGGGGTGCTGCCGGTATGGTTATCTGCCAGTTCATTGTTGCCATCATCGGTGTCACCGACGGCTCTGACCCCAAGGCTGTCTCCGCCATGATCGCCTTCATCTGCATCTACGTGTTCTTCTTTGCCGCTACCTGGGGCCCCGGCGCCTGGGTCGTCATCGGCGAGATCTTCCCCCTGCCCATCCGTTCCCGCGGTGTTGCCCTCTCTACCGCCTCCAACTGGCTGTGGAACTGCATCATCGGTGTCATTACCCCCTACATGGTCGACTCCGACCAGGGCAACCTCGGCGCGAAGGTCTTCTTCATCTGGGGATCCCTCTGCACCTGCGCTCTCGTCTACACCTACTTCCTCATCCCCGAAACAAAGGGCCTCACCCTGGAGCAGGTTGACAAGATGATGGAGGAGACCACCCCCGCAACTCTCACAAGTGGAAGCCCCATTCTACTTTCACTGACGACATGCATGCTGTGGATGAGAAGGCCATCATTGGTGGCACTGTTGCCCACCAGGAGGTCTAGGCAGTCAAAATCTGCTTAACTTTTTCTCTCCTTTTCTTGCTTGGTTTTAGGCCCAGGATGGCCCATAGTTTTAGCGGAATACCACGGCGTCAATGTGTTTCTACGCCTCACAACGTTCGACGGTCTTGATCCTTGAACCGAAAATGCTTCTAATGCTTTTAATGCTTATGCCTACGATGTATCAAGATCAAATTACCTAATCAATGATTTCAAAAAATATTCTCCATTCTAAACGTAATAGTAGTTTACAACTCCGATAATGACTTCTTTGCTTCACCACACTACATTTGAAATTTTCTGGTATGCTACTTTGACCACTTTCATAATGGAGTGCTTTGTGGGTCTTACGCATTCTCAAATTACTAAAATATTGGACTCCAACCCTTTACGCAACAGACCTGAACCTTTCCTGCAAAATGCAACCACAAACAGCCTCAGCCATTTGAAGAAGCAAAGAAAAGAACGCTTACGATCAAGACGACTCAACCAAATGAAGTTTCTTTTTTAACCTTTTGAACCTTTCCCATCTACCAGAACACGTGTCAGTCAGATATTTTCATCTCTCTCGAATCCCGCGACAATTCCTCCCCATTAGGCCGCGCGCACCTTACGCTGGCGCTCCAACATCACCAGCGTTGTAACGATACATTCCAGCATGTTGGGGATGGCTACAGCTATTTTTAAGGCTGATAATCTGAAGTCCAGAAATTTTGGCTTCATCTAGGCCCTCTGAACAGATCGGATTCGACAGAGTCGCTGGTCACTATGGGCATTGGAAGCCACTGTATTGGTAGTTAGAATGCCTGTGTAAGTCAGTGCGAGAATCAAGCCACGCCTCCGCAGCAAAGTCTCTAAGCGTGTTGCACAAAGGCATCGATATCATGATCATACGCGAGTACAACTCAAGTACCATATCGCTGGTGAAGAATTTCGATGACAGCCAACTGGTGATGGCAGTGCGCATTTTGTTGGCCTCTGGGGCACTTCAATATGTAGCCCAGACCCTTATGTCTGCCTATGTTATGCAAATAAATTTTCGCATATCTTGGGACGTCGGCCTAGCAGATATCCGCAGCCGTGGCCTTGATGGCGGTCGAAACGCCAAATCGAGGGTAGGTTAAGTCTTTTTCGGATCTATTGATTGCAGAGGACAACCTCAGTTACTATTTTAAGCCCATAGTGTCGATGAGCGCATTCTGGCTGAGGATAGATCAACTTCATTGTCCGCTTCCCGGGCTCGGCCGCCTTATTCGTTCCGTTTACCCCAAATATCAGAGCGATTGGCTGATTTTTACTTCTCTAATTCTATATAATTTCACTTCTTAATATAAAGTACTGAGTTGTTGCTAGGAATAGGCCTACCGGGAATTTGGCTTCCACCAATGCAAAGTAAAACATTGCTTGAGCTTTCCTATTTATCATTCCAGAGGTGAATTTTTTTACACCTTTCAGCTTGGAAATTAAAAATTGATCATAGAACTCATCTAAAATAGACATCCGTGAGCAGCGAACCTAGGTAGGGAAGCGCTAGAAACAGAATCAGCACCTGTGCATAGATTTGAGCTAGCATCTGAGGTGGGATATACGCTGAGTATAGAATCAGCATGGAATGAAGCTAAATAGGAAGAGGGTATTCAGATTTTGAGAGACAAGTTATATAGGGCCTAGTAAATAATTATATTCGTAAAGAGGTCAGACTATGCCGGATTGTAGGTTGCAGCTGCACCAACATTCCCGATAGCTATCCAAGAAATGTACCAGAGGAGAAAACCAGCATACCAGCAAACAGTGAAAATGAGTATTGGCCTCCGTTCCTTGGTATACTGGTATTTTCGGAGGTTTTCCAGGGTGTCTTCTCGAGCAATGGTGAGAAATGTTCGAAATTTGGATACTACAGTCTTCGTTGATTCATGACCCATTTCAGTATCAGCCCTCACTGGCTCAGGAATATCTTGTATATCTTCTTGGAGCTCATTGGAAACGTCATGTTGCGTGGGAGCGATGTCTGTGCTAGAGCTCACTGATAGCTCAAGATCAGTTCAGATGCCCGTAATTAGGTAGGAAACATCTCTCACCATTCGTTATCGGTTGAATATTTTCTTTTTCAACGCTATTATGATGGGAGCGTTTTGCGTGTTTGGACTCTGCTCGTTCTGTGGGCAAAATAAGCCATCTTAGTAGCTGAAGGCGAAGAATGAGGGCATACCTAGTACTGTTTCCGTAGTCTCGAATAGTGGTATAGCCAGAAGTATAACAGGCAACAGTTGTCCGAAACCCCACGAGTCTTCGCTTCCTTTCAACCCATTCACTTTCGCATCTCCACGTAGCGCTTGTAAAAGGACGGTGTTCGTGATAATTGATACAAAGGACGTAAGTAACTGAAATCCGTAGGAGGTGAAGATCTCAGTAATCGGAAATATAAATAAGACGTATGCCCCCGTCACCACGACCAAAATTCTCGAGAAAGGTGTAATAACTATCCTTATCAAAGGGTGTTCAATTCCCATCACCCATCTGTCGAAATCGTAAGCTTTTCTGTAAGCCCATATCGTGATAATCACGAGGAAGCTTTCAATATTATTCAAACGATTTATCGCCGCTAATCGCGGAAAGAACACTGCCGTGGTATATGCCATATCAGAGAGAGATAGCCATAGATCGAGAAGAAGAAGAAAAAAAGAGGTCCCAGAATACTGCCCTATGACATTCCAAGCGCACTGCATCGGAAGTCCCCAGTTAAATCCGATTAGGAAGTCATCATCCCATATAATCAAACTACTGATCATGTTTGCAATACAGATAGTCATAACCCAGGGCCACCTCCATGCACGTTTGAATCTGCTTTCTCGTAGGAGAGGTGTAGTTGTAATTGCGATAGCCGTGTAGGTTGAAAGTGCAGTGGCGCCTTCGATTACAGCAACATTGAAATGATACTGTGTAATGCTACAGTGCTGGATATATGCAACTAGGTAGATCGATGTACCGGTAAGGAGTTGTAAATCTCCAAGCATCAACATAAGATCTTGTAAGGATGACGGGGCTGGAAGCTGATTTCCAAATTTTTGCTCAATCTTTTCGCTGATGGGTGAGAAAAGCCTATCAACGCCATTCATCGTCTCTGGAGGCATGCATCCACGAATGAAATAGCAGCACAATGCTAGCAGGAAGGTGAACCACGCTGTCGCCAAAAAGGCTGCCACCACCTGGAGTCATGTCAATAACGTCAAAGTGGCCAGTAGTAGAGCTGACTGACCCCTATTCCCGCCTAAAAGTTAGTCAGCGATCATATCTATGATCTTAATTTGATCACAACCTACAACGTCAGGATCACCGTCGAAAGGTGAGGCGGTATCGTAATTGAGGGAACAATTTATTGAACAACCCATATTGCAATCACTAACGATATATTTCAAGTTTTCCTCGTGTGAGTTCTGAGCTGAAATGGCTTGTAACGACAGATTTTCTGCTGATATCTATGTTCCTAGAATATTTGCCGCTAGTATGGCTCTTAAGCGACTTTTTCACAAAAGCAAAAATGATGGCTTTGTTGTTTTCTTGGGATACCGGAGTACATCATAATTTACTCGCACCCGGGTGATGATCATGTCTTTTCTACAGATAATTAGCCAGTGGATCGACACGACTGCAATAAAATACAGATAGAGCGTATGAAATGTCAACATTTGTTTGGTCAGCTCCCGGGCCTATTTTAGATGCATGATGACTGCATATCCTCAAGTGGGTTGATTGGATATCACTCTCCCCCTCGAAATGTTTACTTTTGATGAAGTCATGAAGGAGCGCTATTAGGTATCAAGCGAATACGGGTATGAAATCAAGATGATTGGTTTCTTCTAAGTCTAGATAGATCACTTGATAGCGGGGTATCAGAAACTGAGGTGGATGCGGCTTAGTTCGGACTTTTGAGGCGACTTATTTAATCCAGTCGCTTCCATCCTCTAGAACCGCTTGCCCTTTAGCCAAGGACTTTGAAGCCTCCTCCCCCAACCATTGAGGCTCTAACCGGTCAATATTATCTTCAATCTCCCAAGCCCGACCGCCCTCAACATACATAGACTTGCCGTTCAGCTTCTCATCCACAATTAGTCCTGCAGCAACCATAGCCACATCCTTGGGAGCATTAACCGGCAGGCCGGCCTTGAACCAGGCATCCTGAATTCCGCTAACCATACCCGTGTGAGTCATCCAGGGGCAAATGGCATTGATGCGAAGACGATGGCCCGATTTGGGAAGGTACAGACGCAGGGAGCGCATCAATCCTAGCACACCGTGCTTAGAGGCTTGGTAGACGAATAGACCTGGAGATTCTTTAAATCCAGCAATTGACGATATAAGAGTTATGGAACGGTCAGTTCCCTCAGGGCGGTTTTGTTTTAGGTATACACTGGCAATTCGTGCAGTATAGAGAGCACCATTTAGGTTGACGTCGATGACTTTGGTAGTAGCGGGCTAAGATAGGTTAACACTTGAACTGCACTTATTTTGTAATCTGGAAGAACAAACCTGGCGAATATCCTCCATCGTCAGTTCTGGATCGAACCAGTTTCCAATCTCAGTAATTCCTGCTGCGGCGACTACATGGTCTATGTGTCCGTATGTTTCAAGAGCTGTGTCAAAGAGCCCCAGAACAGACTTATAATCTGTGACATCTGTTTCGTAGAAGATCGCCTGTGGGCGCGTGGGGGACGAAGCCGAAGCAGCGACGATCTTTGCTGAAAGTTCATTGCCTGCCGCTGCAGCTTTATCCCCAAAGCAGACGTAGGCCCCGTTCTGGCACAGATATTCGACCAGATTGGCTCCAATGCCATTTGCACCACCTAGATATGATCAGCAGCTGCTATTCATGAGAAAATTGAAATTGACCTACCGGTGACCAAGACAACCTTGTCTTTCAAAGACTCCGCCGTGACGTTGGGAATGAATTGAGACATGATGTTGATAAGCTAGGTGTAGAGGTTAGTTAGGATGGAATGTCCCTTCATATAAAATTCCTGCACGTCTGAATCCTCTCTTCCTTTTCGCCAAAAGAACAATATCAACCTGGGGAATTCCTCCCAAGGTCCGGAATTACTGAGCAAACACTTACATCGAATGAAATCGCAAAGATATGAGACAAAAGATCTTCGGGTAGAGGGTTCCCGGACTTATGAACGAATTAAGGGCCGATTATTCGGTAGTCCTCGTGACATCCGGATTAGTAACTTAGGGGGTTTTCCGATCCGAGGTTGAGATGAAAGTACGGGACTAACCATTTTAGGTAAAATTATGTATTAGTCTTTCCAGCCAAAAATACAAGCCGTTAAGTCTACGTGGGGCCTATCCGCCTTCAAGTTTGGGTATCTGTACCTAACACTCAGGCTAAGGCCCTAACTGTACACTCTGTTTTGGGTATTGCAAATTCAACGCCAATACTTTAGAATGCGGGGAAGTTAAAGTTGCCCCCACAAACTGATAAACTAATGTTACGCAACTGCAAGGTCACTGAATAGTGAACTCAAAAGTTCGAACCTATGAAAAACTTGAATTGATACTTGTCCTTACTAAAGTATATAATAGCGCTAAATCGGTTTTTTAAATATGCGACCAGTCCCGTCTTCAAAGCTAAGTACAGCAAAATGCCTCTCCTTACTTACCACCGCTCGTCTTCGACCAAAGGCCTTGCCAGCATCACCACATTGATCGTCGGTACAAAAGAGGCTGTCCTGATCGACGCTCCCTTCCTGATCCTAGACGCCAAGGATGTAGTTGAATGGGTCAAAGCAACAACCAAGAACCCGCTGAAAGCCCTATTCGTCACCCACCACCATCCCGATCACTTCTTCTCAGCAAACCCCATCCTCGAGGCATTTCCCGAGGCCAAGTTCTATGCCGCCCCATATGTTCTCGCCGGTATTAATCGCGAGTACGAAGACAAGGTGAAATTCTGGCCGACTGTCTTCCCAAACTGTGTACCCGACGCCCCGCGTAGACCGGAGGAGTTTAACTTTAGCTTTTTTATGCTGGAGGGCAACCTAGATAGTCCGGTCGTTCTCCTTGGCCCACTACAGGGTGACTCGGTCGATCATACGCTCTTCTGGCTGCCGACTGAAAGGACGATTGTATGTGGAGATACTATCTATGGACGAAGCACACACGTGTGGTAAGTACTTCTATGATATCTGCTCACTTAGCAACCTATGTACTAACAATATATCAGGGTTGAGGAAGTAGAAACAACAGCTCTACTTCAGTCATGGGTTAAGACATTGGAGCTCATTACAGCTCTTCAGCCAATAAAGTTGATCCCTGGCCATATGGAGGTAGGATGGGAACTTGATACTCAGGCCGACCTGGAACATACGAAGAAATATCTTCAAGTATTTGGTGAGAAGGTCTCATACGCCTCTACCAAACCAGGTGTTCAGGAACTTTTCGACTACTTTAAGAGTGAGTTCCCGCAGTGTAAGGAGAACTTGGATTTCTTCTTGGGTCACCTTTCGAACCAATTCGGCGAGGGTGGGCAGGTTTGGGAGGAGAATAAACACCATGCTGTTGATAAGAGGACTCTACAAGGGCTGAATGGGTACTTGTTCTAATGGAAATAGGTATATAGAACAACAAACTTCATAGTATTGATTTGAGAAAACTTGTATGCCTAGCCCCATAAATGTAAATCCGCAATCCCAAACCCCACATTTATGGAGCTACATTCGTAAGCAATATATACGAAGAGGGGTGATCTATAAGGTTTGGGCTTTGGTGGCTGGAAGTAAGCGAGATTGAGTGAAATGTGGGGTATTTCCGATATTTAGACCCCCAATTTTATGGGGTTTATATACCGGGGAGTTATACCGGGGAGGTATACAAGACTTTTTGAATACGTGTTTCGGAATTTGCTTATCTCCTGTAAATGTGGGTATGAAACCAATGCAGGTTTGTTGAAACGTGGTCTCTGTCTAGACGAAATGGTTGTAGGACGGGGCCAAATGCAGAATTACCACTTAACATCGGTAAGTATCATCTTCGGCGGCCACTTGAGCGCCGACCATGCTAGTGAGCACCGCATACCTAAGTACTAAAGGGACTAAACCTTCCAATGTTGAAACATCTAGTTCAATTGTTGTTGAATCAGACGAAGAAATTCAAAAATAAATTGGAATTTACCTAACTACCCACCAACCGATGCCTACTCATGATCGAAACCAAGATCTCAGCAACGGATTAAAGTATTCAGATATTCAAAAGTATAGGATTTAAGTAGAAAAGTAGTCTAACTAAATATCATCAAATACAATACCAGCTTCCAGATATCCAACCCTAGCAGCATCCCCAGAGGCTCCAAATCAGCAAGAAGCGATGTCAGAAACGATTCCAAGAGCATTTCTAGAAGCCCCAGAAGCCCCAAGCCTTCCTAATCCACCAATATCCGAACTGAATCAGATCAGGGGGTACCACTCAGACCTCAGAAAATGAGATTTTGTATCAGATGATGATGAAGGGCAACTCCAAGCCACTGCTAAAGCCTGATTTCAGCAAGAACATAGAGGCAGTGGTCTAGACTTAGACGAATCTAACATAGCATCATATGTTGTGTAAATAAAAAGTACTGAAGTTAAGCTAACTGGGTGTAAGTGATGGTATGAAGCATGCCTCATTACACAGATTCACGATGTTCTTAGGAACGGTTTTGAGCTGACCTCCTCATATGGGTAAGCGAGTGATATTTTTATCTGACATTCTGACCTCTCTTCCATTTAATAAAAGAACAGCCTCAGTTCATTACTATAACGGAATTGTTATCATGGCCAAGGCCCAGGGAAATCTTGGATACCTTAAGCGTATGATGGAGCTTGCAGGCAAACCTAGGCCATTGTCAGATAGAAGCGGAACTAAGAAATCCTTCTATAACATCTTTCTTTCTCGGTTATCTCTATCTGTTGGAACGAATATCAGCTGATATACCAAGATCATGTGATCTTGGCATGGCAGCTACTATATCTTCTTTCATCTGAGCATTTTAGAATGACACTTCACTTTTATCCAATATGCATACACCTATTATATACGTACAGAAACGATCTCAATAGCTGTCTGCTTCGGTAATAACCTAGTCAACCGACACTATCATTATGGGGTGCTTGGTGGTGTTAGCTTAACGAGCAGCTCAGTCACAGATTCAAGCATAGAGCAATAGGAAATTATCAGCGATTTATTTCAGCAACTTAAAGTTCCTACTAAAAAACAAATATATCAACCACCCGATAGGGCTGCCATTGCGTCCCTTGATATCAGCTCTATGAGTTCAACAATTAACGCTATACTTAAGGACTTGAATCTACGTAAATGAGTAGGCGACAGTGGCTTTTATTCTAGATATGTTGCGACAGCCGAGAAACAAGGCCATCAACGGACGGAAAGTATTTCGGCCGAAAAAGCTTCTGCCAAGACAGTGACTCTGGAACTAGATTAGTATATCACGGTATCCTTGAACGATATGCATTCATCGCAAACGACACCATTGAGCGATGTGCATTCGCGACAGTAATATCCCGTCTTCACAATTGTCGCTCGCTTGGCGATATTCGAATATCTTAACTGAGAATAGTAGACGCTGTGAGCTCCAACAAACCGCTACTCAACACCGTAGAAAATCCACTGGGTGTAGTGGATGCTACGATACTGAATATTGCGATTGTTGTGAAGTCTGCTTTTTCATTGATGAAAGAACTAGCTACTTATAGTACATGGGCGCCCCTCTGCTCTGGACGAATGTCAACATTCGTCCGAGACAGAAGAGACGGTGAAGACGGGACATTACTGTCGCGAATGCACATCGCTCAAGGGTGTCGTTTGCGATGAATGCATATCGTTCAAGGATGCCGTGATATACTAATCCAGTTCCGGAGTCGCTGTCTCGGCAGAAGCTTTTTCGGCCGAAATACTTTCCGTCTGTTGATGGCCTTGTTTCTCGGCTGTCGCAACAACCATCTCTTCTGTCTCGGACGAATGTTGACATTCGTCCAGGGCAGAGAGGCACCCATATACTATAAGTAGCTAGTTCTTTAATCAATGAAAAAGCAGACTTCACAACAATCGAAATATTCAGTATCGTAGCATCCACTACACCCAGTGGATTTTCTACGGTGTTGAGTAGCGGTTTGTTGGAGCTCACTGTTCTCAGTGACGAGCGACTAGCTAGCTACGCTCGCTAAGCGAGCGACAAGATACTTCGTGTAAGCCGATGCTATCTATGCAGCAAACGGATATGGATTATGAAAAAAAACTTCAACAATTTTTAGGCTGCTTAGATGAGCTTGATAATTCGCCTAATGCCCATGTTGCAGTCAACATCTTCTACACACTAGGCTATAGTCCCTATATCTGTTGAGGCTTTGTCTTGATTCAATTTTAATCAAGTACAACTTCTAGATTTCGAGGTCGGGCTTGATCATCTTGTCTAAACAAATAGGTCCTAGAATGCACTATGGTCCTTGCTCCAGAATACTTACATCCTCTTACTCATATTCTTCTGGCTGATAGGAGTGCGACTCATCAATGCTTTCTAACTACTTTCAAAGATGCACTAGCTGAAATAACGCCTACACTACCTTGAATCTTCAATTGAATATCCTGGATCCTACGGATCATACCACTGTCTCCAAAATCATAGACACAACATTCGCAGTTTCTCAAAGTACAGCATTTTATGCCCAAAGGCGGCAATAAGTACAGGCTGACTGTACTAAGCACTCTAAATGCGAAGCGAAAAGTTTTTTTTTTTTTTTTGGAAGTGAGCGAAAACGTCCTGTCTCGAAGCAGGGTGGTAACTACTCAAAATTCATAGCCGAAGTGAATTGCTAGTTCTGTTTAGGAATATATGATATGAAGGAGGCGACGACCTTATCAACAAGAATGTATAGATGATATTTATCCGTTTGATTAAGCGGTGATAGGACAAGATCAACATGTGACTGAAATGATCCAGAAGTGTGCTTTAAATAATGCGTATTTCCTATATAATTACAATCATTTGTTTCCACATTTAAAGACCCTAATAGTGAAGCAAACTGGATCAGGATTCAAGAAAATATAAATTGCTCTTATTATACTTCTTGTCGGTCGATAGTATCACCAAGTAGATAGTCTACTACAATCGAGGCAAGCAGTGGTGAAAGATGTGACTTAATTCACATCTGAAGTTCACTAATCTATTTTAGATCACCGATTCCAATTCTGGCAGAACTGTGATGGTAATGGAAATGGGGTAAATTCAGTTGTCATAATGATTCTGTAATGTACTAAACCAAATTAAATTTTGTTGGACCGATACTTCTACATTGTAACTAGTTGACATGTTTCGCTTTAGTCAGCCCCCACTTATAAACTAGTTAATCATGTATCGATGACCTTTGCTGAACCATCTTAACATACATATTACCGAAATTTTGCGGGCTCACGTCTAGGAAAGATGTCAACGAGCTTCCTCAGTCTCCCTGCCGAGCTTCGCAATGAGATATATACATGTCTTTTAGTGTACAGCGAGCCTATTGATCCCTGGGGTGGAAATCATGGACTCGAACCTAATCTCCTAGCCACGAACTCGAAAATCCTTCACGAGGCCAGGTCGCTACTCTACGGCAATAACCGCTTTGACCTCACCGTGATGATGCCTGACCTTATATCTCGCTTTCTTGATACGATTGGCTTTATCAACGCATCTCATCTTCAGTGTATCCGCATCGACTTTCCTAGACTTCATGTCATCGAAGACGAAGTCAGCCTGGAAGAAGACAGCTTTTATATATTGGAAAAGATCCAGTCACACTGCACCAATTTAAAAACGCTCATAACATCCTCAGAAAGCACAAATGCTTTAGAAACCGTGCTAGATCTATATGACAGCCCTAACATCTGTGCGAAGGCGTTAGCGCTGGTTGCTGCTCGCTTCCAAGAAATTCCATCTCTCAAAGAAATCGTCGTCGAGGTTTACGAGGAAGGTCCAAGCCTAGATATCAGAAGAAAAATGAAGAGTCATGGATGGATAGTCAATGTGGTGGAGCCATTGGAAGAACTGGAGTGGGATTTTGATGCGTTATCGAATGATCATGAGGATGATTATGATGATTACGATGATTACGATGATGACGATGATGATGACTATGATATTGATAATGACAGTGACTTTTGGAGAAGAGCGGCAGATTGAACAAAGAAGCTTATCAGCAATATCGAAGAGTTGCTACGGTCTAGCCGGCCCATAGGAATACGAACTTTTTGGTATCATCCACCATTGCTAAGCGCCTCAACAGGCAAGAAATAAATCATTTTGGAAGCCTGAAAAAAGCTTGTTGCGTCCTTTCGGTGATATAATAAGATCGTACTACTCAATCAAGGGCCCATTTGCCACCAACTGGATAGAGAAAACATCCTTTAGTAAGGCTTTATTGTCCGAGATACCCCTTTCACAGCAAGAATCAGCCTACTACAGCTATATCTGAAAACAGATCCCCTAAAACATATGCTATCCGAAACCGCCTTAGTCTAAATTTAGCTAGGTTGTCAATGTTCAATACCACTCTCTTACTGAACTTGATCAACAATGCCTCCAGGCCTCACTTCAATACACAGAGATTGAGATAATTCTTATCACATAATATAGAAAGTAAAGGATATATTAGATATACAAAATATAGTAAATGCCTATGTGACGCAGGAAATTTTAAAACAGTACTGGACCTTAAAAAAACGACAACAGTCCAAAGACAGTTCTACTTAGTAAAGGTCACCGATAGTCCCTAGATTCATCAGGAAGCTGCGCAACAACATGTTGACCATCAAGTTCGACGGGACCACGAATATTCCGCGATGTCTGCTGCATCTCCATAGCTGAATATTGCGGTGCCGGAATAGGTGAAGAAGGTGATTGGAACGACGACTTCATTGTTGGACTGCCGTAGATTGAATCCATATGAGTTGAGGCGCCGGTACTATCAATTTCGTGGCTATCCAGCTCAGTCTTGGGCCGGCTATCACCTGAGTGGCCGAACATCGTCCATCGTGCTGTGCGTTCGCCGCGGTCAGTAGTGCGTCCATCCTCTGAGGCTGCCCAGCGGCTGTAGATGCGGTTGCGACCGAGCACAAAGAAAAGTGCGATCAATATCGCAACAAAGACTACGCAGGCTACCACTATGCCGCCGATTGCTCCGCCGCTGAGACCGTGTCCGGAACTGGATGATTTGTCTGAACTTGAGGTGCTTGAGCCTCCTTCTGAAGGAAATGATTCTCCGGGAACGAGCATGTATGGATAGGTGAGGGCGCTTTTGTACTGTGCTTCCCATGTTTCGGATGAGTTCTGGCTATGATTAGCTTTTATCTTTCATTCAGGGCGGGAATCGCATTTACCTCGTTGATGACCCCGACCATGCCATTCTCAAGACATGAGTTTGGGGCTGTACAGTAATAGAAAATTGGCTGGACGTTATTAATATTAGCCCCTTCTTTATACCCGTGGACATAGTGTCGTTTGCAGGGAATACATACCGAAGTGTCGTTGATAGTCAGATTCCATGTTGGAAGCGGGCCTACAGCGTTACCATTGACTTCATCGAACGTCTCGAACATTCCAGAGTAAAAGAGGTCATTGCCAGTTGGCACACAGGGCGCGAGATAGTCTGCTTTCACTACGGAGTGATTGGTGGGGTAGAATTCGAAGACCACGACATCGCCGACAGCTGCAGTGATGTTCCTTGGCACATAGGACATAGGACTCTCCTTGGGGCCGACCTTGACGGTATGAGTTACAGCGCCAGTAGAAGAGGCGGTTGATGTTGCCGAAGTCGTGGTATATATAGCCGTAGAAGCTGTCAAACTTGCAGTCGTGATTTGGTAATCTGCTGCCACTCCGATGGCCAGCGATGTCAGCGCCGGCCACAGCAACTGACGAGTGAACAGCATACTGGGTGCTAAACCTGATGATCCTTGAGAGAGGTAGAGAAGTTAAAGAGGAAAAGTATCGAAACTTACGATTTAGTGGGCGGGGCTAAGTCTAGGTCTTGAAGGAAGGCTGAGCATTGTGGCGCACCCGTCGGATAAAGATGACCGATTTCATTGTCTCTTCGTATTTTGTATAGTGAACCAAGGTTGTGTTCGCATTGGAAAATACAAAAAGCCCCCAGCTTTACTCTGGTCCTAGTATATCAACTAAACCAATAGTGGTTAGTTTCCCGCCCCCAAAGTGGATGGCGACATGTCAGCGTGGGGCGTCAGATAATCATTCGGCCAATAATCATCTTACATACTAAAATCTCATTTTAAATCTCAATCTGCAGCAATTCAACATGGGACGGATACTCAGAAATACTTGATCTGTAAATGTACAAAGGTCAGGCTGATCCCTTCGGCTGATCTTCGCACTGCTTCTAGAACTTCCTTCAACACTAGCATCGTAAACTTGAAAGTATTTCCTAGGACTTCCGGGGTGGGGATTGATTGTAGGCTTATCGGGAATTGCATATCCGTCGACCGAAGAGTAATTTATAGAGTTAGCCGATCAAAGCCGTTGACCGGATTTCCAGCTCCTGGGTAGCGAGGTGCTCAATGCACTGACTGGAACGGTAAGAGCGGGCCCAGGCTAGTGAGATTGGCTTCAAAATGAACTGACCATCCAACAGGAAGAGCCCCCAGTTGTAGAATGCCTTGCACCATGCATATTCCTGCGTCTTGAGCGATTTAATGATGGTTCCCAGATTAGTTTTCTATTTGCCTCCTGTATTTTGTGTTCCATAGGGCACGGAGCTATCCACTATTTGCAGATCATGATCCTCCATTCAATGTACATCGGGAATATCCACCACGGGTTCCACAGTTACAACTTATTTCCTGTGCCACTTCTAATTAATCTCGTGAGGGTTTAGCATCTATGACGAAGATCCGACTTAGGTTTGTACTTATAAAGTCTAGTATGAGCCTAGACTTGAGAACGATATTGGAAGAGATGACTTCTAACTACCAAAATCTCAGGCTAGCTAGTTGCCACTGATTGTGCACAGTACTTCTCATTCTTCTTTTGTATCTCAATACATCCAGCTGATTTTAGCAATCAAATACTCCAGAGGTAACAATTTCATATATTTTAATGTTCGAAGCTTCCGTTTGAACGTAAATAACGAGTGAATACATGCCTGAAGAGACCGATAAACGAATACGACTTAATATACGAAATATGAATGTGGAATATCTGGATACGAGTTAAGTTGCCAAGACATAAACAACTCAGCCCTACTCGTTTATTTTTCCTGCAGTTCATTATCAGTTAAACCCTGCCATGCACGTTGCTTAAACCAGAGTGTTACAGCGAGATCCGAGGCCAATGTCGAGACTATTCCTTCCAAATTTCTAACACATGGTTATTGCATTCCTCATAACACCTTTAGTTTAAGCTTTCCTTTTCCAGTATGGCTTTGACCTGAACGCTAGAATCTAGACCCACATGCAGTATCTTGCTCTTACTGGTACATAAATAGCATGCGGTCAGCCGCTTTGATACGCCCGACCTGTCCCCGATTCAGTCTCGCCTTCCAGGGCTCTACAAGGCCCTGAGATGGAACTTTGGACAAGTCTAGTAAAAAAATACCATTTATATATATATAACTTAGGTCTTCGACAAGATTTTGATCTTCAATGCCGACTCACGCCCATCTGAAGCATGAGGCTGAATCTATACTTACAGAAACACTTTCCCGCATCTCATCTCCAGATCCCTGTAATAACTCAATTTCATCCCGCCTGATTGGTGCGCTGTCTCTGAAGGACACAATCTACCTCGTATTGATGGATGGCCGGAATATATCTATGTGATTAAGATCCAGGCCTCTTGACAAGTTCAGTCTTACCGTCATTTGACAAATGTACACTCCGCTTGAACATGTATAATGCTAAGTATTACTATGTCCCCTACTATTCCATTGCTTAGTGGAGTTGATGCCTTTTGAGATGTTTCATGCCTGATTGATGCCTTATACTAGGTAGGTCCAACGCCGTAGTCATTAGGTATCTTTTTCAAGGATATCTTGACTACAAATTCCGCCTAAGGACCACTTTTCAAATAATTTTCAAGATATGGTTTATTACAGCTTTCCAAGTTTGATGAAGTCACTCATGCAAGCCACAATATTGTGCAATCAGACCGCTATCGTGTTGGCACAACGCGGGGCAGATGGACAAACTACACTAGGACCTGTGTACTCTACATCGTAGGACTTCAGCCTTCGACAAATCCGAGATGTCCGATGGGTAGCCCTTGGAATGATAGTATTACACGTCAGACTCATTCAAATGTCAAATCCATTGTTACATTTCCTGTCAATTGACTGCAAACTCGCTTCTAGTTATCATTAAAAAAATATACACCTAGGAATAACTATACAACACGGATCAAAGTCTCCAGGTAGCGCTCAACACGCTTCACATCATTCAAAGCCGAAATCACTCCAATATATCCATCGGGTCGAACAACTGCTAGCACACCTTCAGCCGGGTTGACGCCGTAGATTTTATACACATCATCGAGCTGCGTGCCGCTATAGAGGGACATTTCTGAGTACTTCTTCAGCTCCTTAGGAACGTCATTCCACATAAAGTCACGTGTTAGCTCTGGGTGAATCACCACTTGCTCAAGAACGGACTGGGGAAAGCGAGGAATTAGAGCTCCAAGCTTAACTATTGTCTGGGCGGATACGCCTTGGGGCTCGAGGAGATCAGTTGAGGTCAAGACTAAGATGCGGAAGCGGCCTATCGAAGAGAAGTCTGGCAAGTCGGTTAGATACATGTTAAGTGGGAATACAACTGTGTGACTTACCATCTTGGAGATCTCGCTTATAGCCATCTGCGTGCCGAATAGCCTTGACATTCAGCAGTCTTCGTCCTGGTCGCAAAATACCCAATAGGTAGTCGGTGCCAGTGATTGGGTTGCCGGTGCTAGGCACGTCTTTTATAACTGTCATGTTCTCGGTATATTCAATTCCACAACCGCTGGTAAAGCCATTTCCTCGGCTGAAAACTTTGATGAATTCGTCGTGGGTCAAACCCTCAACACCATCCTCGGACTTGCCAATCTTTCCAGAGAACATGGAGGAGAAGTCACGGTCGAATGCAATAAGATCATGTGCAATTGTATGGCGCTCTATTTGGTATGTTTCAAGAAGCGGGTCAGGTTTCCCACTGCCTGCTGCCGGTGTAAGGCCATTAATAGACCATACCAACTTCCAAGCCAGGTTGTATGCATCCATCATAGATACATTCATCCCTTGACCAGCCTGCGTCGATGTCAGTAACAGAGTACAGCCAATTGACAGAAATTAGAACTTACCTTGGGACTGTGGGTGTGACAAGCATCTCCAGCAATGAAAACTCGATTCACACCCTCGGAGTCTTTAACTGCAAATTTGTCCGTCACGCGCTGGCCAATCTGATAAGCCGCCCACCAATCGACAGCACCATCCTTCTTCGGACGAATATAGTACGGTTTGAATGCTGCTGCAGCGTTCTCGAATATTGTGCTTTCAGAGACCTTACTCCGACGAGCCCGAGCATCCTCTGGCTGTGCATCGCCACTCTCCGCCTGGTCACTGTCCGGGACAATGGTATCCCCAGGCACTTGCACATAAAGACGAGTTAAATAATCACCGGTTGCAATGCGCTCACGAGGAATAACCATCACAGAACCGGCAGGGGAGTGGATGGCGCAACGTCTTCTGATATCAGGGAAATCTGTATCCACAACCAGATCAACCACGCCCCAGATATGGTCGAGTGACTCGCCCTCCAGCTTGAGTCCCATGCAGCGTCGAACGACCGAATGAGCTCCATCTGCACCAATTAGGTATTTCGTCCGTACGGTCCTCTGCACACCATCGGTCTCTATCTCAGCCACCACAGGAAATTCAGCATCTCCTTCCTCGTTGATTTTCACATCAATTAACTTGGTATTTCGCTGCACGCCCCGTTTCGAATATCGCAGCAGGTCAGTCTCTAAAATCCGTTCAATTCTACCTTGATGAATGGTGACTTCGTGAGGGAATCGTGCTGGAACGGCGACATCGGGCACAATTGAGGTGCGCTCAATAACTTTTTCTGGATCATCTGAAGGGTTCCAGAAGGCGACCTAAGCAAAAGAAATTAGCTTGGAAATTAATTGTCGCAGAGTAGATGTCACGTACCTGCCACATTTGACACCCTTCAGTGAGGATCTCGTCGGACAAGCCGAGTGATTTCAATGTCTCGAGGGTCCGAGGCTGCAATCCGTCTGCTTGGCCTGACTTCAAGGTTGTCGGTTTCGAGTCTACACATAGCAGTGATTCATCACTCAACCCGTACCGTGCCAGCAGGAGATTTAACATAAGTCCTGCTGGACCAGCTCCAACGACCACAACCTCGTACTTCTCATCCTTTCCCTCTAATATTTGGGGAGAAAGTCGGGGAAGGGGTGGTGCAAAAGAGGGGAGGACCCGTAATTCACGAGACGCCGACGCAGATTCAGTGAAGACGGGCATAGTTCACGATTGTGAAAGGGGAAGGAAAATGGTACAAGAGTGATTCAAACTCCCAAATGAGCAGTTGATAGTGAAACGACTCGAAAGAATTCTTAAATATTGTAGAGTGAAATTTGTAGTGGCAATGGAAATATTGGTAAGAAAATGGATATATTGGTAAGAGAATGGATATATGGGGAAAGTTGTTCTAGTGGATCCAAGTAATTACAAGTCTACGTTTTCATTTCTGGGGATTTTCCGGTCTGTTATCTTAGTGGATCTCGTGACTATGCATCTATTCTGAACACTTCAGATCCGTCCATGCATTTGTATATCCGAATCTCGGGGTGAGTTGACTCTAAGGGAATGATGTCGCCTGCCTAGTACGTACTTCGTACTATTTAAATACCTAGTGTACATAAGAATTCAAATGTTTGCCAAATGTTAATATCAAGGTGTATAATCTATAGCATCAGTTGCTTTAAGGGTCATCCAACTATTAGCTGATGATCTGACTAGTTCAATTCCCGTTGTCCCCGATGAAAAGATGAAAAGATGAAAAGATAAATGCGGGGGAGTAAATCATGGGGTAAAAGCCACCAAATTAGGGCTAGCCTCGGCAAATCATCAATTCTGGAAATCGCAATTTCCTTTACGAACGGAAAAACTTAAATATCCTGGTCTAGAAGGCGGTGTTCTGATTTGAGTGACGAAATATATTCCGTAATGACACCCCGCAATTCAGACCTTGCAACTGCGGAGTTCTGATATTGGGGGTTTTCCGGTCGATCTGATCCTTCTCGCATGGACTCTTGCTCCGTTCCCAACCAGCTTATGCCCCATCCCAAGTGGGTCGGGGGGTTTTCCCTGACTACCGTACCGGCGGATGAATCGGGGAGGAACTTCTTGATCTTCTGGTTGGATTTCAAATTATATCCATGGACGGTACAGATCCACTCGGGGCGTAAAAGAAGATTTCTACCCCCGTATTTAATCTGGGTAGACAAGGAGATATCCTCATTTTTGGAAATAAAACCAAGGACATTCGTCTTCTTTCTCATTCAACAAATGTCCTCTTCTCTATAACCACACACAAACACACAAACACACACACACACTTACTCACTATGCAGGGCCTATCACGAGTCTTTACTGATAGCCCAAAGGTTGCCCCTTCGGGTAAAGAGCCCATCGTACGAGTCTATGCTGGTAGCCCAACTTCGGACAAAGAGCTCATCGTTGATGACATCGTTGTAACCAATCCCGATAGCATTGTTGAAGATCGGTCAATCGATGAAGCTCGTCCTTTGAGAATTGTTGTCATTGGAGCTGGAATTTCTGGAATTCTCGCCTGCATTCGATTCACTCAAAGGATTCCAAATGTCGACATTGTCTTATATGAGAAGAATCCCGACATTGGAGGCACCTGGTTCGAGAATAAATACCCAGGATGCGCATGTGGTAAGTTGTCCTCTTGTCCCTCACGAGCTTTTTCCTATGTAAACTAATACTTGCCCCAGACATCCCCGCACATACTTATCAGGCTACCTTTGAGCCCAACAAAGAGTGGTCCACTTTCTACGCTGCTGCGCCTGAAATTCACGCCTACTGGAAGAAAGTTGCAGCCAAGTATGGTTGCATGAAGCACATCAAATTAAAGCAGAAGGTTTCAGGTGTTGAGTGGAACGAAGAGACCGCCAAGTGGAGCTTGCAAGTAAGTTTACCGCAAAATTAACTTAGCTATATATAGACATGTTCTGACTGATAAATTCAGGTCGAAGATAGCGACAGCGGCAAAATCTACGATGACAAAGCCGATATTCTCATCCAAGCAACCGGTGCCTTGAATAACTGGGCATGGCCAAGCATTCCAGGACTCCATGATTTCAAGGGCAAATTGATGCACAGTGCTCGCTGGGAGGATGACTTTGACTACTCAGGCCTCAATGTTGCTATCATCGGCAATGGCTCATCCGGCATCCAGATCGTGCCTGGAATGTTACCAAAGGTGACACACATTGATCACTATGTCCGCAGCAAAACCTGGATCGCGCCCACATTTGCAAGAGAGCAAATCGAAAAGCGCCAGAAGGGAAAAGACAACTTCGCATTTACCGCTGAGGAGATTGAAGAGTTTAAGACAGATAAAAACGCATACCTAGCTTTCCGAAAAGAGGTCGAGCTTGAGTTGCAGTCCATCCACGGCGCAACTATGAATGGCCACCCCATGCAATTGGAAGCTCACGACTTCTTCGTCGAAAACATGAGACGTCGATTGACAATCAAGCCTGAGATGCTGGATGGTCTTATTCCTTCTTTCGCTCCTGCCTGTCGCCGTCTAACCCCGGGCCCTGGATACCTTGAGGCTCTCACGCACGAGAAGGTCGATTTGATCTCAAATGATATAGTGAAGGTTGACGAAACTGGTATTTTCACCAAAGATGGCAAACACAGACCCGTTGACATGATTGTGTGCGCAACCGGTTTCGACACCACTTGCACTCCCCGTTTCCCTATCAAGGGCCGCAACGGTCTGCTGCTTTCTGAGCGATGGGAGAAAACTCCCGAGACATACATTTCTGTTGCCACAGATGAATTCCCAAACTACTTTATTTCTCTGGGACCAAATGCTGGTCTTGGAGAGGGAAGTCTTCTTCTGGTAATCGAGAAAGAGATAGATTACTTCACCCAGTGTGTAGCAAAGATGCAGCGTGATAACATTCGCACCATGACAGTGCGAAAAGAGGCTGTGACCAGATTTACTAAGTATTGCGATGATTATTTCAAGAAGACTGTGTTCAGCGGCAATTGTCGCAGCTGGTACAAGGGTGGTTCTGCGGAAGGACGAATTACTGCGCTTTGGCCGGGTAAGTTTCAATATACCGATGCCGATTTGAATTTCATGAACGCATCTAATATCTATCTATCTACAGGTTCTTCACTTCATGCGATTCAAGCATTCAAAAACCCCCGATGGGAAGATTTCGAGTACAGTTACTTCAACGATAACCCAGCTGGTTGGCTCGGTGATGGCTGGACTGAGAATGAGAAGAACAACAAGATCAATGTTGATTATCTGAATGATGATCGGATCGATTTCCCCACTCCTGTCACATCAAATCTTTAAAAGGAAGATGGTTTACCTGTATACAGAATTTGTTTAGAAATATTATAGCGATGGACAATTGATTAATTGATTTAAATATTTGAAAGTAATTCATGGGGCTTAATTTGTAAAATGTAGATTATGGAAAAAGTAAAAGGGAATAATAAGGGTCAATAAGTCTCCCACCTCCTGATCGGGGGTCAATATCCTAGAGAACCTATTGGTTGGGTGGTAGCCAGCTCTGGGAAACTTCGGCTCTGTAATCAATGAAGTTCATGTTCATTGAATGATAAGGAAGACTACTGGGTGAATGTGAGGATGAGAGTGAGAATGTGCACTAAGTGAGGTAAGAAGTGAGGGAAGGTTGACAAAGGAGAGGCGTTGATATAGAGTGATACTTAGGTCTATCTAGGCAGCGAGAGGGAAAAAACGAAAGGGAACCAAGAATATTTTAATTTGATCCTTCTTCTCGTGCATTTCTTTTTTCATCCTTTTTTTGTTGATAGAACCTTGGAAGTACGAAAATCATGTTACAAAGCCTTTGTTCTATTCAGAATGCCATTGATTGATACAACTCATGGATACCTTAGAACAAAACATGACACTTTACATAAGATTTTAGCCTCATTTCATCACCTATAAAGGGCGCCATCTCTAGGAATGTATAGAAGACCTTGCCAAAATCCCTAATCCAGCTTTTGGATTCAAGTCTAGCTATAATCGAAACCTAGCTTTCGACTTAATATTCAAACACAATTTTATCATCATGTCCAGCAGAACAATGCAAGAAGAGAAGCTTTACATGAGCACAATGTTCAAGTCATGGCTGAGAGAGCGCAACATGGTAAGCCCAGAAAGAATGGCCGAGATCCTCGACCACACGTCAACATTCTTCGATTACTTCAACAGCCCAGTGCCCATCCCAATCAACTCTGCCTTTCAAAAGCTCCCATTCAAAGTCGGCTTCAGAGATCGTTTGAAACTTAATACAAGCAACGAGTTGATTGACCCAGGCAGTCTCAGTCCTGATATCCGCCACTTTCGTCTGAAATGTAGGATGATCAAGGAGTTCATGCTGAGAACCAGTCAGAAACTAAAAGAGAATGGTCGGGTCGATGGTGAAGTGCGCCATCTACTGATTATTCTCTGTGACAGAATTGAGAGACTGGATCTTGAGCCCTATGGGAAGGAGTACGAAATCAAGCGTAGAAAGGAAGCGGAGCATCCACTACACAGATCAAATAGAGAGATGGAAGAAGGAGATGAAGAAAATGGAGAAGCTCAGAGCTGGATGACAATCAAGTTGAGGAAGCAGAGAGCACAAACCCAAGGATCTGAGGTTGAGAATACTTCTGCATTGAACCAGCAGGAGCCAGCATTTTCACAGTCAGAAGTGGACGTTGAGATGAAAAGAATAATGCGGCAGTATGCAAAAAGTGATGAAGATGGTGTCTTTTGGAAAATGGTGCAAGAAAGGAGGCATAGGAAAGATCTATTGTATTCTAAGTCAGAAGCAGAAGCAGAGATGTCCAGGATATGTGAGAAGTATGCAAAACGAGATGAAAATGGGAATATCAAGAAGACTTGGATGCGAGTCAAGCGAGAGAAAGAGGTAGAGGTAAAAAGATGAAGATGAGGAAAGTTGAGGATTCGTTCTGGCTATTATTTATTATCAATAACGTAAAACACTCTTTCAGCTAGTAAACCATTATACAATTTATATAAATTGAGGTCTTCTTTGTTCAAACGGGTTAGTAAAGTATGTACTCCGCACTGTAGCCCCATAAACACGCACGAACCCCTTAATTTCATAAATTTGGACGATATAACAGATCTGTTAGCCAGTTCAATGCAGTCCACTACCAATCAAGTATTTTATTCTTGTAAATTAGCTAATTAGATTCGATTCGGATCTGATCATGGAATAAATGCCGATTGGTTGAAACTCCGCTTTTGTCAAATGGTGACATCATTCGAATGTTACCATACCAATACAGCTAATACACCGGATCCATGCCAATATCCCCGGATAGTGGCCGAGCAGTGGATAACGTTGGGCTTGGCAGGCTTTGTAGCCTCGGCTTTGCTGGTAATACCAATACCGACCTTTTTCCCATTTCTCTCTCCCCAGATCATCAAAGAAACTTACCCCGGAATTCCTCCCCGATGGACCAACATGAAGCCCGCCAACAAGCATTTTCGATGTACAGTTTGCCAGCGAGGTTTTACTCGCATTGATCACTTGAAAAGACATCAACTTAGACGTACGTGATCTTCCTTACAGTTTATCTGGTTTAGTCTGCTCATTCTGGACAGATTCGGGACAAAAGCCATACTCCTGTATCTTCTGTAACGACTCATTTGCAAGATGGTAGGGCTCTTATAGATCCATATTAAAGCTCTCGACAAGCATAGCCCTAATACTTACAGTGATAATCTTCGCGATCATTACTCCGACTGCGTCGAGCGTGGGAACCGTCAGATTCCGGAGACAGGCCAGAGAGGCCGGCGGCGACATGCTTGTCAGTCTGTAAGTTGGTATCGAGCTTTAGAATTCAGAGCTTTCATAATAATTATGCTATCTTTAAAGTGCACTTCGATGAAATTGCGCTGCGATGGCAACAGTCCTTGTGAAGCCTGTGTGAAAAGGAACATTCAGTGTAACAATGAACGCACAGCCCGCCAACATACCTCTGTTTTCTATGAAGGTAAGTACTGTGGAAAAGTGTTCTAATAAAAGAGACTCACCAGAATATAGGATCCTCACCAAATAAGCAAGAAATGTATCCACAGGCATCTGATCGCGGATCGATTAAATTTCTCCTGAATGGCGGCACGGAGACCTTTACAGAAGGTTTCCAGCTACCTCCACGAAGCGACCGTCCTCGTGATATGGCATGCTTGAATAATGAAATGGAAGATGTGGTCGGGGCAGGCTTTCCGTTCGACGCTGGAGTTACCCCAGACTATACTCCTGCCTTTATCGATTCCGACCCTGTTTCATTTCAGTTTTTCGAAGACACTTTTCTCGACTTTTTCAATGGACCTTTCGGCGATGGCCAGAAATCTTTGGAAGATCCCTTCGCCGGGCAAATTTATCAGACGGCCATTGCTACGCCGGATTCCAGTATCGGCCTGTCAGCAGATCAAGCAATTTTTGAGCCTGAGCGCCCCTTTGCCATGGCTCTGATCCAAGCAATCTTAGCCAGGGCGTGGACGGTGCCTCTGGACGTCAAATCGCAGGAGGAAATATCCTCCAACCTCAACTATCTTCTTACTACTGCCCGCATACGCAAATTCACCTCGCTATACTTCAAGTATTGGCAACCCAGTTGCTCAATGATCCATTTCGCATCCTTTGATCCAGAATTAGCTTCTTTGTCACTTTTGGCCTCGGTTGTGTTCATGGGAGCAATGTACAGCCCAGATCAAAGAGAGGTTCACATTGCAAAGAGATTACTTGACTTTGCCGAGCTTTTCATATTCTCAAATCATATCTATTCCCCGGAAAGTGAGATTGCAACAATATTTACTGGTGGTTCTACTCCAGATGACAACACGAACGATTGGGTTACTTTCCAAAATTTCCAAGCCGGCTTACTCATATCGGTAGTGCAGTATTGGGCTGGTAGTCGCGCTTCTCAAAATCGTGCGATGGAGAATCGCTTCAGTGAAGTTATCAAGGTCAGTGCTGCAATATTTTTCATGAAGATACTGTATTAACTTTTGATATAGGTCATGCGCCGTTTGGGTCTTGTAAAGTGTCGACACCAATTGGACGAAAAATCCTCAGAAGAACTGTGGATTCAAATAGAGTGTCGAATTCGGTACATATCCCAAACTTCAACATTCTACTGCACTGCTAACCTTTCCCAGTACTGTTGCCACAATCTCGCTCCTAGATTGTGCATTCTTCTTCTATCAAAACTATCCCTGCCGGTTGACATACACCGAAATGGAAAACGATCTTCCAAGCGAAGATGCCCTTTTCCAATCCCCACACCCTTTCTCAGAGCCCTTCTTCCGCTACTCACGAAATCTCACCATATACGACTCATTTCAAAATCTCTTCGATTCATCTGACGGATCTGAAATCAAGACCATGGACTTGACTATTTTGGACATGTTTATTCTCATTCATAGTATGGCATCTTCATCTACCTCGTCTGTTGGTTACTAATGCTTCGCAGTATTTTTCTCTTTTATCAACTCGCACATGTCTCTTGTTGGCCTTCACAAACATAAAGGCTTTGGCTCTAATAATAACAATGGCAAGGGCGTGATTCCTGAAGACTGCCTACTCGGATCAATTCGCTTCGCCCTTGCTCGCTGGCGTGCCCATTGGGTTAAGCTACGCAATCGGGTTTCGAAGGATGAATGGGCTTCTATGGGCTTTTATAAGAATGGATATAACTTCTGGCTGGTCTCGCAACTACTAATCACCAAGAAGGATGCGGTTGACGTGATTATGCAGATGGAAGTCAGGTGCTCGGACAAACTGGAGAAGTTGAATGTGCTATTACTAGATGAGAAGGATTAGAAGAGATGTGTATATATAAAGGATTAATGGGATCTGGTTCTAGATTCAAGGCCATTAAGGTGTTCTATACGTTTCTGATTTTTACACAAACCCCAAGGTCGATATCCTGGATCTGCTTCTTCAATACTTTTGCAAGGTTGGGGGAGCACTTTAGCCGTAGGATGTTCAATGTATAATAGTAAATTCAATATCTATTTGACTACTTCATGCATGTCCTAAATTCCAAAAGGACTGCAAATTCTTGCGCGTGTCCTCATCAACAAAGTCGGGCGGCTCAGCGAAAGTAACATGCTCGCCATGCAATTCTGCAATTTTGCCAGACAAAGATTCATCCTCGATGAACTGCGCGACAGAATTGATCGCAGTAGACATGGGAGTGAGGATCATAGCCTTAAAAAGATCCGCACTAGCCGCAATATTGGTTTCTATTCTAAGTTAGCATACGCCTTCTTTACAATATTCGAGTTTGACAAACCTATGACAGATGGTGCTAATGCATTAATGCGAATCTTCTTGGGAGCCAGATGTTGCTCGAGCGATCGCACAAGATTCACCACGCCTGCCTTTGTAGCACCGTACATGGGTGCAACTGGGAATGGGTATAGACCAGCATTCGAAGCAGTGCAGACGATAAGGCCATTCGAAGTAGATCCACTACCAGCATTCTTGGACATGTAGAAGATCGACAGGCGGACAGCTACATCTCATTAGTAAACAAAGCTTTATCTGTTGAGGCTACACTTACAATAAATAACACCGATAAAGTTGACATTTAGCGTTGCCAGATCCGGCTTGGATGGCTCATCAACATCTTCCTCTGGTAGCAAGTTTCCCCTTTCGCTGATTCCCGCATTTGCAAAAACAACATCGATTCTACCTCGCTCGGTATATACCTTCTTGAAGACAGCCGCTTGGCTTTCCCACGAAGAGACATCGCATTGCTCAAAGGAAATACTTGCCGCTGGGAACTCGGTGCTCAGCAATCCGAGGGTATTAACACTAGTGGCTGGGTTCACATCCAAGATTGTAACGTGTGTTTCGGGCTTAGCAAGGAGGTGTCGTGTTATTCCCAGCCCAATTCCGGAGGCTCCACCTGATTGAAGTTAGCAGATGTTTTTTTCTACTTCATACTTGCGCATATACCAGTAACAACAACACTTGTCTTCTGTGCCATGATGATTTACTTGCTCAATGTATCTAGATAGCTGGTAACCTTTCAATAACATCTTTTAAAAAAGCTTTGTCGCTTAAAATTCCCCTGAGTTTTCCCCACATACGGGCTAGGGGGGATTTCCGGATCATCGTATCCCGTATTGTAAATTGAAAGTTTTCGGGAAACCCGAGGCTCTCGACCTTACCGTATTATACCCCGCATTATCAAGGGACTTCTAACTGCCGGATACGAGGCTTGTAGTCTACATTAGGACTAGTTCGTTAGTCGTGATGTCAGCACACATTAGCGTCTATAAAAATGACAAATTTAAGGGCATTGGGGCCGAAGTTAATGTCTGAACAAGGAAAGAGATTTTCAATATTCCAACAGAAAGGCCGTTTGATTTGCTAAATCTGGATGTATGCATGAATGTAATTTAGGTAGCGAATAGACTATTCCCATGGAAAGTGATGGGATATGAAGAGATATCTTATTTGTCAATGAAGATACCCCGTGGGGAAACACAGAGTGCCCCGGAGTTTCCCCGCTTAACCTCATGGGGCCGGGAAGTTTCCCCATATCCTCGACCCGTGACTGGTCGCCCCCTTTAACTGCATGTGTGGGATTTATACACGCCAATCCTATTCTTCATTAGCCACGCGCCTCCCGTGGGGAAAAAAAGATATATTACCTGCCGATCACCTTGGACAGGGATTCTTAAATCGACTCATAGACAGGATCATCCTACAGAGAGTGTCTTATTCCGCTTATCCCTTCCTATTTTCCAACTCTTACTTTTTTACTTTTTTTGAAATCTGCAAGCTTGCAGCTCAATCTATTCAATATGCCTCTCGGTATTTTGGATGATGATAAGCTAGAGCATATCCCAGGCACAGCACCCCTGAACGGTCTCCATGAAACAGGTCCCTACTCAGGCATTGACCCTGGACTCCTCAAACATGATAGTACTGGAAAAATTGTTCTTGTCCCTCAGCCTTCTGACTCTTTGCGGGACCCTTACAACTGGCCACGAAAGAAGAAGGAGCTTTTCACATTAACCTATGCTTGGGGTTGTGGTTGCGTCGGTGGTAGGTCCATGACCCAGTCACTTACTCGTCAATGAGAAAATCACTAACAACTCACTGTATCTAGCCGTTGGCCCTCTTTTGGGAGGAGCATTCGTCCCCCTTGCCAAAGACTTCGGTGTATCTCTATCGACGTTTATCTCCGGTGTCCAAGGTGGCACTATTGCTAGCGTCGCCGTGGGCAGTCTTTTGTTCAATTCACTTGCTGTGAAGTATGGTAAGCGCCCTATATACTTGGCAACCACTATCGGCTTGATGGTGTCCTCTTTCTGGGCCGCCGAAGCCAATAGCTTCGCATCTTTCGTCGCAGCAAGAGTGTTATGTGGTCTTTGTATGGCACCCTTCGAAGCTCTGATTCCGGCTTCCATCTCCGATATTTGGTTTGTTCATGAGAGAGGATTCCGTATGGCGATATTCAATCTTGGTGTTTTGGGTGGAATTAACTTGGCAGTTCCAATCGGTAAGATAGTCATCACTCCCGGGCCACTTCATACAGCTAATTGACTTTTTTTTAAATAGCTGCTGCCATCATTCAATACTCGAACTATCGCATTGCAATGCACTCCATGGGTGGTGCATTTACCTTGATGCTGATCCTCGTCTTTTTCTTCATGCCTGAAACCGCATACAAGAGAGAAGCATTGAACATCGATACTGGAGAAGCTACTGTATGTACCTGCTACTCTATATTATGGATTCCGCCCAAACTAATTCACCCTAGGTTGCTGTCGAAGGAAAAGGAACACTGGAGCAGCTCGAGATTGCGCCGACAAATGAAGAACAACAAGTATTGGCCAACCGGCCTACACCATGGATCGAAGAGATGCTTCCTTACAGTGGATATATTAATCATGTATCTTTCTGGAATACTCTTATTCGGCCATTCTACCTACTGGCCTCACCAGTTGTTCTTTGGGCAACCCTGCTCTTCACCTGCTGTATCTCCTGGCTAGTCGGCATTTCCCTCACCCTCTCCCAGATCTTCTCCGCACCGCCCTATAACTTTTCTGTTGTGAGTGTCGGAGCAACTAATCTGTCATCATTCGTCGCCTCTTGCCTGGGAACCGTTATTGCGAGTCCCCTTATTGATGGTCTAGTTACCAAGCTGTCTAAGGTGAACGGTGGCGTTTTCGGTAAGACCATTCACAAATCACCCTGCTAAACTAAACACATGCTGACCTTCTTCAAGAACCTGAGTTCCGTTTGCCAGTCATGATCTCATACCTGCTCTTCACAGCATCGGGTTTCTTCGCCTGGGGTCAATCCGCATTCAAGCAAGATCCTTGGCCAATTCCCGTGATTGTCTGCCTGGGAATGATCAACTTCGGAGTGCAGCTCGGTACAACCGGTGTGGTCACCTATGTGGTTGACTGTCACCGTGAGAAAGCCGGTGAGGCATTCGCAACGATGAGCTTCATTAAGAACATGTTTGCCTTTGGTCTCTCGTTTTATATCAATGATTGGATCGATACGCAGGGTGTTCGTAACTGCTTCTTCACTATTGGTGGAATCACCATGTTTTGCGCACTTACCACTATTCCTATGTGAGTTTTCCTCTAACACGATGCTTTAACTGTTGCTAATTATTCAAAGGTACATCTACGGCAAGAAGGCTAGAAGCTGGGTTTACCGACATGGATTTACTGATAATTGATTGATGAATAACGTCTTAGCTAAAACGGTCTTGTTACCTAGACTGTGCGAAATATACATGTTTTTAGTTGAATTTTCTTATACAAAGAAACTGAATACAACTAGATTGGAGGGAATTATCTTAATTTGAGGTCGTGATACATCCATTTTTAGAGTATTCTAGATTGCTTTTCTTGTCTTGAAGAATGGCCACTACAGCCTTAACACCATTTTTCCAACATCGGACTTCGTAAGATCTATTAACACTGGTAACACTATTCTGGATATATTCAGATGAATATCCGTCTTTGACAGACTAGTCTGTCTAGCAGCATTCGCTTCTGGCTCTCCTCCCATCTAGCCACAGACTGAGCAAGTGATGCCCAGCACCCTCGCTTCCATCAATTCCAACCCCAGCCCTCTCCATCATTGTTTCTGAAATTCCAGCATTGCAAGGGCGCTCTTCTCAACAAATACGAAAAGTTTTGGTGGACGAAGATGTTTCACCATCTTCCATACCACAACTGATTCGGATCGATAGTGTAGTGGTCTTGATCAAGATGGTCCTATCATATCCAGGTGGAAAAGGGGACCTGGCTTTGTCCCTTCTATATCCTCTCCCGTGGTAATGCGTCCTTCGATATTAGGCCAAACATCCAGCATAACTTCTTGATATTTGGAAGTTGTCAAAGCAACCGGCTTATCGTCATCTTCTGTCTTTGATTTCCCCGTGGCAGAAGAAAGAGCAGTTTCCATGCTGAGCTTACCTTTATAAAACGCGCGGATCCCATGTCTTGAATCATCTGCGTGCAGATGATTCAAGCACTGTTTATAACAAAACGCTCATTCAAACCAACCAATCGAAAAATCAATTAAGTGAATTTCAAGGCTTCATCACTACAATCCATTTAGATCTGATCTGTCTACTGTTAGTCAGTGCATCTGCAGCTGCGGATCAGGATCTTCCACGAGTGCATCAGATGGCAACAAGTTTGTAAAAATGAGTGAATATTTATCTATACTAAGTAACTGAAGCCACCATGCAAATCATTGGAATCGTAGGCTGGTTATAGGGATGTCTGAAGCATCTTTCCGGGCATCTATATCCCATCGATGTGGCGATCTAGCCAGACTTAATTTTAGCCCGCTCAAAGTGACCCTGGATTTCTTAAATTTTAGGAAGCCACCAATAGGGCCCGCGCCCTTCGGACACACAATTTGTAAGTGCATATTATGTATGGACGTTGCATAGAAATCGGTTTCAAAGCACACAGTACACGGTGCACCTCGCTGTCTAGGTAGAGATAAGCTAAGTACGAGTTCAATTGATAATTAGAGATTTTAGTCACTATATCTACGGGACATCAATTGATTGGTAGCTCTGTATAACATAAACTTTGGTAGTGCATTCAATGAAATCCTTAGAAGCACCTGGATACCTAGGCACCTGAGCTAGGTATTGAAAAACATGAATGCAAAGCAAAACCCGATATCATCAAAATGGGTCACGATGTACAATTAAGTATGAGATAAGGAAGATGAAGGCAAAAAGGAAAGAACGAATAACGGAGTTCCAAGAAGGCTAATTCATTTTAAGGTCTAGACATCTAGGTAATTTATCGTAATAGGACTTCCAAAGTCTAAGTAACTCTACTCCAGGATCACACAAGATGTCAAAACTCCAGCAATCCATGACATGTCACAAAACTGACCACATTGAATACCACCTGAGCATAAGGGTTTGTGGAGACAACTTATAGGTACATATCACAGCCCTAAATCGCATGATATACGCCTCCTAAGCCCTAATAAGGGTCAGCTCTATGTTTCATGGTATTTCCACTCATGACTATCCAATCTTGGCGCCAGACTTACTGCGGATTCTCTCGGCTCTATGAAAAGCGCATGACCCTCCACAAGCAAGGTTGACGGCAGGCCATCGACCTCAAGTGTTTCAATCCGCCCCTCCAGCCAAGCCTTCCGACCCTCGAACTTCACAACCTCCGAGGTTAAAGCGATGTAGGAATTGGCATATGTCGGATTTCGATAATTGACGCTCAATCTGGCTGTGACCCCAACTCTTGTAGCAAAAGGATGAGTGCAGCACCACGCGAAACTCTCATCGAGCAATGTTGCGAGAAGGCCTCCGTGGACGATACCCGGATGGCTACAAACATTGCCACCGAGATGCATAATCATCACGCATCTTTTGTTTTGTTTATCTTTGAATATAAATGGTGGCACGCTTATCTTCTGGTGGCCTGCTAGTGTTCCGGCCAAAAGACTCTCCCCTCTCAGGACATCTGGAGCATCCAGGTGTGGTCTTGATTCGGTGAGTAGAGGATTTTCTCGTAAAGCGGCTGTCAGAGGATGATTTTGAATAATTCTATCGATAGTGTTGATTGGATGTAATGGCGGATGGCGAGGGGCTTGTTGTATAGTTGATACAGTAGACATTGTAAGATTTAATGATGGTTCTGAGGATTGAGAAAAAGAAATTAGAACAGCCATTCCGCTGAAATATACTGATTGAAATAGAAAAGAGCAGTCTATTTAATTTCACTATATCAAGTTGAAAATTCACTCGAAGCATGTATGTGCTGTGATTTTCGTAATATCCAATTTCACTTGTGAGGTTTATTGATTCGCCATCAGCCTTGAAAGGTTGCATGCATACAGTCAGTAGATATCTGGATGAGCTCAAACGATCAAAAGATAGTCTCTCCGCGAGGCTCGGAAGTACCGATCAAGCGATTTTAACGTTAATCGTTCAATATAGCGAAGCTGCCATCCCTCTGTCATGGGTGATTGGGGCATTCCGAATTTTCTCATTGATATTAATTCAACCGATGATCATTCTTTCTGCCATCAATCGATGTAATGCATACATTAGAATGCACTCAAACATCTTTGTACTACCTATATGTCCCGATATAAAAATTGATGCTGTGAGGCATGTATGTAGACCAAATAAGGCATGTAGATCAATACCTAAAAGACTCTTGTACTGATTGGGGCATCCAATCATCTGCTAGAATGAATCAGTGTGTTTCCAGCAACCTATCAATCAAATTCTAGCGGACTCCTTACCCACATATGTAGATTATGAATAATTCTTCAGTTGTTCGCATCTTGGACTGTCGAGGTCCAAGAAACATTCCAATATTAGACATTGATATCGTTGAACCTCGATTCTGCATGTTTAGTCTGTTATTGCATTTGGCGGTCTGACGGGTTCTGATATCACTGGCCTATTCCTACCTAGTTTGGTATATTCGGGACAATTCGATCACATGGGCATGGTTTTTCGAAGTCGTTTTGCCAATTATAATGCATGGCCTTCTATTTTGGACAGCCGAGAAAATTCCGAGCTTACCAGGCTTTCTCTATACGATTTAGTTCCCGATCTACACTCTCAACATACAGGATGGATCGAAATCAGTTTCATCACTTTGCTCTCATATAATGTTTCTCGAGAAATTACTCGTAATACTTGTACCGAAAAAACCGAAAGCCAAACTCTTATCTTGCTCGTTTGACGACTTGCATTTATGCGTGCTCTATCTATCTTTTAACAACAATTCCACTTAATTTGTAGGTTGATAACTTTTGCACAATTAGTACTGTACTATGTCAAAGCATGGTTTCAATGTGTTTCAAAACATAACAATTTAAAGCTGAAAATAATCAACCTATGATATTCAACTATTCAGCTTGTTTAGCCATTCAAATCTGAGGTCTCCATTTCCCACTCAAGTAGTGTCTCAGAACTAGATAAAGTCTTTGGATGGTCCGGACCGAGTATTTGTTTCTGCTTAGCTGCGCAGTTTCGTAGCAAAATGATGGCTTCGGCAATGTGACCTGAAACTTTCAGGGTAAAAGCGAGATTGGCCATGCTCGTCAGTGTGGAGGGATGGTCCGCCCCGAGCTTCGTCTTGCTTATCTCTAACACCTGCACCTCAAGCTGCTCGGCATCCTCCCATCGGCCCTGAATTTGATACGTCGTCGCCAGATTGGCCATGCTCGTCAGTGTGTCGGGATGATCCGCCCCGAGCTTCGTCTTGCGAGTCTCTAACACCTGCACCTCGAGCTGCACGACCTCCTCCCATCGGCCCTGGTCCGCGTACGTCCTCGCCAGATTGGCCATGCTCGTCAGTGTGTCGGGATGATCCGCCCCGAGCTTCGTCTTGCGAGTCTCTAACACCTGCACCTCGAGCTGCGCGGCCTCCTCCCATCGACCCTGGTCCGCGTACGTCCTCGCCAGATTGGCCATGCTCGTCAGTGTGGAGGGATGATCCGCCCCGAGCTTCGTCTTGCGAGTCTCTAACACCTGCACCTCGAGCTGCGCGGCCTCCTCCCATCGACCCTGGTCCGCGTACGTCCTCGCCAGATTGGCCATGCTCGTCAGTGTGTCGGGATGATCCGCCCCGAGCTTCGTCTTGCGAGTCTCTAACACCTGCACCTCGAGCTGCGCGGCCTCCTCCCATCGACCCTGGTCCCAGTATGTCGACGCCAGATTGCCCATGCTCGTCAGTGTGGAGGGATGATCCGCCCCGAGCTTCGTCTTGCGAGTCTCTAACACCTGCACCTCGAGCTGCGCGGCCTCCTCCCATCGACCCTGGTCCGCGTATGTCGACGCCAGATTGGCCATGCTCGTCAGTGTGGAGGGATGATCCGCCCCGAGCTTCGTCTTGCGAGTCTCTAACACCTGCACCTTAAGCTGCTCGGCATCCTCCCATCGGCCCTGAATTTGATACGTCGACGCCAGGTTGCTCATGCTCGTCAGTGTGTCGGGATGATCCGCCCCGAGCTTCGTCTTGCGAGTCTCTAACACCTGCACCTCGAGCTGCGCGGCCTCCTCCCATCGACCCTGGTCCCAGTATGTCGACGCCAGATTGCCCATGCTCGTCAGTGTGGAGGGATGATCCGCCCCGAGCTTCGTCTTGCGAGTCTCTAACACCTGCACCTCGAGCTGCGCGGCCTCCTCCCATCGACCCTGGTCCGCGTATGTCGACGCCAGATTGGCCATGCTCGTCAGTGTGGAGGGATGATCCGCCCCGAGCTTCGTCTTGCGAGTCTCTAACACCTGCACCTCGAGCTGCGCGGCCTCCTCCCATCGACCCTGGTCCGCGTACGTCCTCGCCAGATTGGCCATGCTCGTCAGTGTGTCGGGATGATCCGCCCCGAGCTTCGTCTTGCGAGTCTCTAACACCTGCACCTCGAGCTGCGCGGCCTCCTCCCATCGACCCTGGTCCGCGTACGTCCTCGCCAGATTGGCCATGCTCGTCAGTGTGTCGGGATGATCCGCCCCGAGCTTCGTCTTGCGAGTCTCTAACACCTGCACCTCGAGCTGCGCGGCCTCCTCCCATCGACCCTGGTCCCAGTATGTCGACGCCAGATTGCCCATGCTCGTCAGTGTGGAGGGATGATCCGCCCCGAGCTTCGTCTTGCGAGTCTCTAACACCTGCACCTTAAGCTGCTCGGCATCCTCCCATCGGCCCTGAATTTGATACGTCGACGCCAGGTTGCTCATGCTCGTCAGTGTGTCGGGATGATCCGCCCCGAGCTTCGTCTTGCGAGTCTCTAACACCTGCACCTTAAGCTGCTCGGCATCCTCCCATCGGCCCTGAATTTGATACGTCCTCGCCAGATTGGCCATGCTCGTCAGTGTGGAGGGATGATCCGCCCCGAGCTTCGTCTTGCGAGTCTCTAACACCTGCACCTCGAGCTGCGCGGCCTCCTCCCATCGACCCTGGTCCGCGTACGTCCTCGCCAGATTGGCCATGCTCGTCAGTGTGGAGGGATGATCCGCCCCGAGCTTCGTCTTGCGAGTCTCTAACACCTGCACCTCGAGCTGCGCGGCCTCCTCCCATCGACCCTGGTCCGCGTACGTCCTCGCCAGATTGGCCATGCTCGTCAGTGTGGAGGGATGATCCGCCCCGAGCTTCGTCTTGCTTATCTCTAACACCTGCACCTCGAGCTGCGCGGCCTCCTCCCATCGACCCTGGTCCGCGTACGTCCTCGCCAGATTGGCCATGCTCGTCAGTGTGTCGGGATGATCCGCCCCGAGCTTCGTCTTGCGAGTCTCTAACACCTGCACCTCGAGCTGCGCGGCCTCCTCCCATCGACCCTGGTCCCAGTATGTCGACGCCAGATTGCCCATGCTCGTCAGTGTGGAGGGATGATCCGCCCCGAGCTTCGTCTTGCGAGTCTCTAACACCTGCACCTCGAGCTGCGCGGCCTCCTCCCATCGACCCTGGTCCGCGTATGTCGACGCCAGATTGGCCATGCTCGTCAGTGTGGAGGGATGATCCGCCCCGAGCTTCGTCTTGCGAGTCTCTAACACCTGCACCTTAAGCTGCTCGGCATCCTCCCATCGGCCCTGAATTTGATACGTCGACGCCAGGTTGCTCATGCTCGTCAGTGTGTCGGGATGATCCGCCCCGAGCTTCGTCTTGCGAGTCTCTAACACCTGCACCTCGAGCTGCGCGGCCTCCTCCCATCGACCCTGGTCCGCGTATGTCGACGCCAGATTGGCCATGCTCGTCAGTGTGGAGGGATGATCCGCCCCGAGCTTCGTCTTGCGAGTCTCTAACACCTGCACCTCGAGCTGCTCGGCCTCCTCCCATCGACCCTGGTCCGCGTATGTCGACGCCAGATTGGCCATGCTCGTCAGTGTGGAGGGATGATCCGCCCCGAGCTTCGTCTTGCGAGTCTCTAACACCTGCACCTCGAGCTGCTCGGCCTCCCCCCACCGGCCCTCAAGCTGAAATGCTGTTGCTAGCATACTTAAACTAGCAAGGACATCTTCATTCTCAGTATCAAATAATCTCACTCTTTGATCTCTCGATTTTGATGCCATTTCTCTTGTATCTGTGATATTACCCATTTCTAACGCATACCATGCCCCCCTATAAAGTAATGTAGCCCATTTTTGCTGGTATATAGTTGATGATGGCCGTTGTGATATTGCGGATTTAACATGAGGGAAAAACGCCCTACACTTCTCCCAGTTCTCATACTCCCCAGTAGGAAACTCTTGGTAAAGGGTGTTAATAAATTTATCTCTCCATTGGTCTCTTTGTCCATGAGATTTTAACCATGCGTATGTAGTCAGTTGCACCAACCGATGCATTGTGAAGAAAGTATTCTTCTCACTAGGAAATATAAAAGAATAATCCCTAAGTGTCATAATATCATCCTCGAAATCGGGCCCTATATCAGAATCAGATGTCTCTCCGTCACTAGAGTCGTCACTAGAGTTGTTTGAAACGTCTGAGCTTAGTGTGTATTTAGACCGAGATTGATACCGAATAAGATCTTCTGGTATTCCTTGCCGATCGAAAAAACTCATGAAAGAAAGCAGCTCTACTGCAGATGGCTTTGTTTGGTGTATATAATCGAAGGATAATTGCCATGTCACCAGGATTGAATTCTTTGCTTCCCAGTCCCGGTGGAGGTAACTCGCCTCTTTCTTAAGAAGCTTGATCGCTTCACGGTCACTCGCTTGAAAATCTCTGAGGTACTGTGACACTGAATAGCGAGGCGCCCGATTCCGAATAAAGCTGGCTGCCTGTATGATTGCTAGAGGCATATACTCGAGTACGTCCACTAACTGTCGATTCTCCTGGCTTTGACTATCTCGGCTCTCTCGGTTCTCTCCTGAGTCATCAAGCTTTATTTGGAGAAGATTTAGCGCCTCAGACCTTTCCATGGGTTGGACCTTAATCAGGTCCTTGTGATTGACCATTTTCAACGCTACTTCTCTCGCCCGGCTTGTGATGATAATCGACCCATTTCGACTTCTTGGGACATATTCTAACAGTGGCTTTGTTGCGGACCTCGTCGGGTCTTTGGTCAGATCTTCCTGGCCTACCACTGGAATCGAGCAAAGGAACTTGTTGTCATCGATATTATCAAGGATGCAGACCCATTTCCCTCTCTTCTCATCTCGGAACCAGTTCTCGACCAGTTTAAAAATATTATTTTTAGGATCCTGGCGACCCGGGATTTTGACCTGGTCCGCAATGTCCCGGAAACTTTGCTCGAACCGGGCTTCGTTGCTTGCGTGCACCCAGAAGACCCATGTTGCCGGCGATTCAGATCGGACTTGATAGGAGTATTCGATTACGAGTTGCGATTTTCTATAAATCATAAGTAAGTGATCAGCCACAGCAGAACCGATCTATACCTACCCAACACCACCAAGACCAATCAGCGCAATTCTCGACCCCGGAACTGAGTTCTTCTCACGGATCTGATCAAGGAGAGCATCACGGCTAACAAAATCTGGATCACGCGGGAATGGGACTGTTGATAGTGGGCTGGGTGGAGTTTCCGGTCGCTCTAGACAGTTATTAGTCAATCACCTTAACTTTATTCCATTCTAACTTACCCGGAAGTATATGAATTTCCGCGTTGATCGAGCCACGGTTTTCTCCAATCTGAATCCCACGATTATTACCGTGAAATGATGTTGATGCCATAATCAAATGAACCTGCCTGGCTTGCAGCTTTCATGAGAAGGACTGTTACCTGTCAGCTGAAGGAGGGGTCGTCACGTTCACTACCAGGCGACTCCGCAACGCTAAAACATAGAAGCGGATTGGCGGACAGGCCACATGGTTCAGGTTACAGTTGAGCTGACAGGAGAAAAAAGTTCAGCTGACAGGTTTTTTTGCCACGACCCTAATCCGGTTAGACCTCAGCTGACAGTGACTAACTAGAATAGGATGCTTTTTTTTGCTTTTTTCTCTATTTACAATACATAACAGTAATTTATTATTAAAAACGGGAGTTTCTGCCATAGATAGCTGGTTATTTATATGAAATAGCTTGTCACGGGGCGGGCAGGTGAATAGAATTATACTAGAACTGGACAGACAGTATTGCATTGACTGACAGGCTAAGACGAAGACGTAGCTTGAAGAGCTACATTCAGACAAGGTTCTGAGTTTACATGAGGTTGCGGGTCACGTGGCCCGCACTATCTAATCAATCAGTAGTCGTCTGAGCTAGCACCGTGACAGTATCCCCCTCCTTAGAGCCGAGCTCTGTAGAGGCGTAGACAGGACCTGGCTTAGACGGGTAGCGGAGGTAGAAGTTCTTCACTAACTGTCCACAATTTTCTAGGTGAGCAGCAGGCTCTTCAGTTAGGTCATCGTAACCGGTCCACTTAACCACGTATTTTAGACATGGTGTTCCCCGGCGACCACGTTTCTCCCAGCGGGAGTCTAGGATCTCCTCTACCTCCCACTCGTCGATTCCGTCGACTTCGACAGGTGGGGCAGGTTCTTGTTGCTGCGCGGGAAGCGGGTTGTCGTCGGCAGGGCGTAATAAGGAGACGTTAAATACTAGGTGGATCATCATTCCAGGGGGAAGCTGTAAACGGCAGGCGTACGGGCTTAGAACTTCGGTGATTTCGAAGGGGCCTAAGTTCTTCCAGTCTAATTTCTTCTAGGGGCGACGGGTCTTGATGTTCTGGGCGTCTAACTAGACTTTCTGTCCTTTAGTAAACGTTCGGGCAGGCTGGCGGTGATGGTTGGCGAATTCTTCGTGGCGAGCTTAGGCGGCCAGGATCTGGGCTTATACAAAGTTCGTGATCTCCTCCATATGAGCCGCGAACCTCTCTGCATCGCGGGCGGCGGGGTGATTACTCAGGCGGACAGGCTCGAATCCAACGACTGGGTGTTAGCCGTAATTAGCAAAGAACAGGGTGACGCCAGTCGACTCGCTTTGTATGGAGTTAGAGGCGAATTCGGCTAGCGGAAGCCAGTTAGCCCAGTCGTCCTATAGGTAGTTTATATAGGCTCGGAGGTACTGTTCCAGGATAGCATTAGCTCGCTCGGTCTGTCCATCTGTTTCCGGGTGAAAGGCAGTGGATAGTAGGCTCTTAGTCTTTAGGTGGGTCGTCAGGTGTTTCCAGAACTGGCTTATAAACTAGGGGCCTCTATCAGATACAATTATACAAGGGAGTCCATATAGCTTCTAGACGTGTTTCAAGAACAGGCAGGCGAGGTCTTCAGCGTTACAGGTCCCGTGGCAGGCCAGGAAGTGTTTCATTTTAGTCAAGCGGCAGACTACTACCAAGATTGCGTCAAATCCTTGGCTCTCGGGCAGGTGTGTGATAAAGTCTATTGACAGATCTAGCCAGGCGCGGGCAGGGATCGGGAGTGGTCGTAAGACTCCTTGACAGGCTTCTCGGGACGGGGTAATTCTGCGACAGGTATGACAGTTTTTGGTCCATTGCTCGACATAACGGTAGAGGTTCGGCCAGTAGTACTCGCGAGATATAAGCTCGTACATCTTTATGCGACCTGGGTGTCCTGTTGCTGGGTTGTCATGGCAGAGTCGGGCTAGTTCAGCTTTAAGGTCGTCGTTGTCTGGGACATAAATACGTCCTTGGTATAGCAGGTTGTTCCCATCTCTCACGTAGTGCGCGAGCGTGATATCTGGGTGCCGGGTGTAACAGGCTGGTGCCTGCTTTAGCATTCATGCCTGTGCCACTCATGCTCGTCACGTGCCACCCGCACCCGCATCCCTTATATTGCCACATGTCCATAGCTAGTCTCTCTCTCTTCTCTTCAAGCTTAATAAAGATAGTTTGTCGGCATCACTAGTTCTGCATTCAAGATTAGTATTAGCCCTTCACATTTATTAAGCTTCCTTTTCGATTCGGTTCCGGTTCTTTTTCGAGAAGTACACGAACCGCCAGTTTTCCACGATGGACCAGACCAACCTTTTAGCTCTTGTGCAGCAGATGCAGCAGCAGCTTTCAGACCAGCAAAACCAGTTATTAGCGATCGCTTCGCAACAGAACCAGAACCAGCATTACCATCTTCCTGACCCACCCCGATTTGACGGCAAGCCCTTCACACTACGTACATGGCTCCCAGCAATACAAGCCAAGTTAGAGGCCGATGGCCTTACAGGACGACAAGCATTCAACTATATCTATAATCGCCTAGAACCACCTCAACAAGCATCAGTGTTACATCTTCAAGATAAAGCCAACCCCGATCAGATCTTCCAGTACTTTCAGCGTCTATGCTATAACCCCCGCGAGAAACAAGAGAATATTCTTCGATTCGCCAATATCCGGCAGAGAGATGATGAAAGTCTTATCGCCTATCTAGCTAGATTTGAACGCCTTTCGCATGAAGCAAGTATAGGTCTCGTGGACCAGGCGCTTTTCGCGATAACCACACTTCACCGTGGACTCCGTCGCCCTCTTCGCGAGACCCTCGAACAAGTTAGCGATTCGCTATTTAGCCTTTCGTATGAAGCTTATATCGAGTTTTTACAACGATACGACCGTCGCCAGCCAAGATTCCAGACCCAGCCAGAACCCAGAAATCAGCCAAATTTCCAGAAGAAACCCCAGAACCAGTCCCAGAACCAGTCCCAGAACCAGCCTACCTCTAGTCAATTCATAAACCAACTCGAACCAATGGACTTATCAGTCAACACTACTAAGACCCGCCCGATTTCACCAAGCAACCAAGTAAGGATAAGAACAGCTCAGATCCAACCATACATCGTCCCCGAGAGACAGGCCCAAGAACGTGCCCAAGTACGCCACGATACGCAACAGTTCCTAGGTCTATGTTATTATTGCGGTTCCGAAACACATTATATAAAGGATTGCCATTTAACTAGCCCACGATCCAGCCGTTCACCAACCCCAACCCGCTCTAGAACTCCAGCTTACATCGCCTCCGACGACGACGACCCATAGGAGGGGGCTATTGTAACAGGCTGGTGCCTGCTTTAGCATTCATGCCTGTGCCACTCATGCTCGTCACGTGCCACCCGCACCCGCATCCCTTATATTGCCACATGTCCATAGCTAGTCTCTCTCTCTTCTCTTCAAGCTTAATAAAGACAGTTTGTCGGCATCACTAGTTCTGCATTCAAGATTAGTATTAGCCCTTCACACCGGGTTTTCTTTTCGTCCAGGGCGCTTAGGATTGACTATAATATCTGGTCTCTTTATAGGGTAGACTTGTATGCTTCCTTCATAGCGACTGGTAGTTCTAGCTGTAGTTTGTCTGCGAAGCGTATACTTCTTACTGTTTCTGTATCAGGTGGAGGTGGGTTAGGTTCTAGGCCTATCAGGGCGTCTAGTTTTAGGGTTAGAGGGGAGTCAGGCAGTGGTGAGGCAGGCGGGGTCAGTATTCCTAGTTCTCCTTGGATCTGGCTGTCCAGGTTTTTGCGCTTCAGGATTATATAACTCTGGTGCTTTAGTCGTTCATCCCCTTCCTTAGGTAGATCTTCTGACCTCCTGGTCAGTGCATCAGGCTTCGCGCCCTATTTACCTAGGTGGTAGATAATCGTAAAATTGAAACAGGACAGGAACTCAGACCAGCGGGCTTGTCGGCGGTTTAGTAACTTAGTGCTTATGAAGTGTTCTAGGTTTCGGTGGTCTATGATAACCTTGATCGGGGAGGTCGTGCCCTCAAGTTTAGGGCGCCATTCTTCGAAACAGCGTACAATAGCCATAAGTTCCTTATCATAGATTTCGTAATTACACTTAGCTACTAAGTGCTTCTTAGAGAAGAATGCAACGGGATGTAGTATTCCTTTTTCGTCGTACTGGGAAATAACGCCTGTAGATACATAATCAGACGCGTCGGTTTCCAGGATCATATCTTTAGTCTAGTCTAGATATATGCATAGGTTGGGTATGGGTCAAAATTCATACCTATACCTAACCTATCAGGGGTAAGGTAAACCCATACCTATACCTAACCTAACCCACGTGGGTATGGGTTAGGTATGGGTCCTATATAGGTATTTTTGATGCCTTAATGCCTGATTTTCGCCTCAACCTAAACTAAATTAGGGTAATTAGTGCCTTAGTGCCTAATTTTTGCCTCAATCTAGTACTAACTAGGTGATAAATATCATGTGAAATAAAAGTCTTAGCAAAAAGATGGGTTTATGGGCTAGGTGTGGGTTTTACTTTAAACCTATACCCAACCTATATGGGTTTTGGGTGTAACAGGTTGAATCCTGGTGAACTATCACGTGGTTGTACCACGTGACCCACCAACCACATACCTCACGATTCCACCCCGAATTGTTCACGTTCTTCAAGGATTTTGTAAATAGCATGTGCCTAGCTAGTTCTGAATTCAAGATTAGCTTTAGCCC